AATCCACCAGTAGCAGGTTTAGATTCAGTGGGTTTTGAACCGAATAATCCACCAGCTGCCGGCTTATCATCCTTCTTTTCTTCTGGTTTAGCACCAAATGAGAATCCACCAGTAGCAGGTTTAGATTCAGCGGGTTTAGCGCCAAATAAACCACCTGTAGCAGATTGGTCGTCTTTCTTTTCTTCTGGTTTAGCACCAAAAGCAAATCCAGTAGCTGGTTTAGAACCGAATAACCCACCAGCAGCAGGTTGGTCGTCTTTCTTTTCTTCTGGTTTAGCTCCAAACAGGAATGCTGGAGTTGTTGATTTAGAAGAGTCAGCAGAAGGAGGATTTATGGAGAAGGCAGGTTTATTTTCATTTGATTGGTTTCCAAATAAACCACCTGAAGGTTTTGGTTGATTTCCAAACAAACCACCATTTGAGGTCAGGGCGGCACCAGAAGCGGTATTATTAGATGCTCCAAAAAGACCACCAGAAGCAGTGTTATTAGAGGCTCCGAAAAGACCACCAGTGGTTGGTTTGGCATTAGGGGTGGATGGGTTCGCAGCATTATTCGAGTTAGCGCCAAACAATCCACCACTCGAAGATTGGTTATTACTTCCAAACAACCCACCAGAAGGTTGACTATTGGATTGGCTATTGGATTGATTTCCGAACAAGCCACTGCCAGAAGACTGGTTATTAGAGTTATTTCCAAAACCAGAAAAACCAGTATTACTTGAACCAAAAGACATGATTTAGTTTATGCTGAGGGTTGATCAATTGAGATAGAGGGGAAAAAATTCACCGAAAGAGATGGGCTTTCTTCTTGCAACTGTCAAGCTAGTTCTGTCCACGACTCTGTGATACGATATCAAACTCAACCTATTAATCGATCTTTGAATCGGCCAAAGGAACGAGTTGATGGTTTAAAAAACATTTTTAAAAAAAAAACGAAATGAGTGAAAATCAAAATATCGTACCCGTGCACCAGAGAGAACGGAAGGGATTTTTCAAGGTTATTAAAATCGGGACTATACGGACTACAAAGGACAATTGCAAGAATATAAATATATCTAAAAAGTGTTTATTAAAAATACGTAAGCATCAAGATTATTTCTTAGAACCTTGGGCAGCAACGGCGGCAGCACCGGCAGCAGCAGCTTCTGGGTCCAAGTAGTAAGCAGGTTTAGTTGGAGCCAATTTTTCATCTAATTCGTAAACCAATGGGATACCAGTTGGGATGTTTAAACCAGCGATATCATCATCGGAAATTTTATCCAAGTGTTTAACCAAAGCTCTTAAAGAGTTACCGTGAGCAGCAATTAAAACAGTTTTACCAGCAAGTAAATCACCAGAGATTTCGTCTTGGTAGTATGGTAATAATCTATCAATGACTAATTTTAAAGATTCAGTTCTTGGAATAACAGCAGGGTCGATATCTCTGTAACGAATATCACCAACTTGAGTAAATTTAGAGTCATCAGCGATTTCTGGAGGTGGGATATCAAAAGATCTTCTCCAGGTTTGGAATTTTTCTTGACCATATTGTTGTAAAGTTTCTGCTTTATCTTTACCTTGTAAATCACCATAATGTCTTTCGTTTAATCTCCATGATCTTTTAACTGGAACGTACAATTGATCAGCAGATGATAAGGCAATGTTAGCAGTTTGAATGGCTCTAGATAATTTAGAAGTATATAAGATATCAACATTAATACCAGCTTCTTTAATTAATTCACCAGCTTTATTGGCTTCTTTTTCACCAACGGCAGATAATCTAACATCAACCCAACCGGTGAATAAGTTTTTTTCATTCCAATCGGATTGACCGTGTCTAACTAAAACTAATTTTGGCATTGTATTATATATGTATTCAATTGATTATACAAAAGAGTTGGAATTGGAAAATCAATATATACAATAAAGGACTTTTTTTCATGTATTTATATGGAGCAAAGCCGTGGTGAGTGCACACCGTCGATTTAACCACCTGATTGCATCGGCGATGTGGAACTATGAAGTCCGAGCATCAAGTGTGGTTGTGGTGTACGGGGGCGGTTTACTGGAGTAAGGTGATGGATCAGTTGGCAGCATAAATTGACTGATTTTTCAATTACCCAAGGAGAACCCACCTGACTCCTGGGCCATGATGTTTTTATGGTCTGCTGGGTTGGGGGCCAGCTCGTAGATTGAGATGACCGGGTCCTTGGTGAGTTCTGTAGATTCTCCTCTTAGTTCTATGTAATGTAGATGGCATTCATCTTCTTCATCATCATGGATGTTTTCGAGAAAGACGGTTAAATGTTGGACTCCGGTGAATACATGGCGCGGTAAGTAGTGTTCGACAAACTCTGAATCGGATTCCAAAGAGTCGGGCATTTCGTCGTCGTCGTCGTCGTCGTAGTTGACTCCCACTAGCGGGTGGGATATTATAAAAAGTGGTTTCTTCAGTTCAACGTTATCAAAGTCAATTGATGGGTCATTTTTCCATAACTTGATTGTTTTAGGACAGTACTTTGTTCCATTGGTTCTTAGGATGATTGAGTATAATTTAACGTGGCTATTAATAAAGGGAATATTTATAATCAATTGAGCGTCACAATCCAGCTTGATCACCGGTTTCAACCGATACTTTTCACTGGGGATCCTGAACACTTTGCTCAACTCACTGGGTGGGTTTTGTAAATTGAGCGCCGTTACATGGTCAGTATCGATCTTACTGTGTAACGATAACGACTCGCTGGTTGGCGTGGGCGCTATATGACTGTGACCTTCTTCGCCATCGTGTGAATGGGAATGGGGGTGGGACTGGAAGTGTTCGTCTTCACAAGACATCCTGATCTTGAATCATAAACTAAATGATAAAGTATTATGTGAAATATAAAGTATACAAAATAGTATATCGAGTATAAAATAGTATATCAGGTATAAAATAGTATATCAAGTATAAAATAGTATAAAGTATAAAATAGTATAAAGTATAAAATAGTAGTAGAAAAGAATAGAATCAATTACTCAGTCTTGCTCTTTCTCGTTCTACGACCGATTGCTGCAATCCATGACTACAACCCGGGCATACAGCCCAACTCCCTCGGCTCTACCCGTCTGGCAGACCATCTTGTAACCCAAACGTAAGCTGCCAGTCACACTAACATTTAACCGGTTGCAACTCTAAAAGCTGTTAGGGTGGCAGTAGTAGTTAATCGCTGATGGCTGGCGCACGTGACTGCGCTCTTTTTTGTTCGTTCACCGTCTTTTCTGCTAACAGTGAGGGTTTGCCTGCACACAGGCGGGTCCGCTCAGCAGCCATCACTGAAAGTTTAGAGAAACTCAAACCGGTAGGCACTGCTAGCTATCGATAAGCACTTGTTCAAGTATATAAATGGGAGGGCTTATTCTTCTAAACCCGAGTAAGATATAGAATTATCACAAGATGCCTAGAAATCCAACCAACACCCTTATAATAACTCACTTACCTGGTGAAATTATACAAGATCCAACTCCGTTACTTAAGGATCTTGCAGTCGATAATAGTTTACTTGAACTTATATCGCTTCCTAAATTCAATAGGATATTAATCATTTGTGAGTCTAGTCAATTAGCCATCCACATTCGTCATATGCTTAAGAGCAGTTCTAACTGGAACTATTTAAGAATCACTTATTCAATCAGAGATAACCAGATGTCCATAACCAGTAATCCTCACTATTTAATTCAACAAGATTCTAAACAATATTTGGAATTACCGCTGGAACTGGGGAGTAGACGTTTCCTTATATCACCTCCTTTATCACCCCCTGCAGAATGGGACCACTGGGATAAAGTTGAAGAAGGCCCTAGTAACAAGACTTTCCCCACTGATGAATTAACAAATTTACTTTGGGAAAGATTAGGTGGGTTTGATAGTTCCCAAGTTAGAAAGTATCAAGATTATTCTGACAATGAATCTCTTTCTTCCGAGGATAACGATTATACCCATCATGCAAAAGATAACTTGGTGGTTGATCTTAATATGAAACCAGAGGTTCTTTTCGAAGATATCGATAATGGTGTTCCGGCAATCGTTTTGGATACCGTCAATAATAGGGGCCCACACACTCTGTCTGCCAAACTGCGTCCTCCCAAAACTTCTCTACCTCCTTTAAACTAATTATTTGCATCTTTTACTTCTATTATCTAGTTTGCCCTAATATATATACCCGTACACCCGGTTATCACGCCCGTACACCTAAAATTAGGAAGCGAGAGGGAAGGAAAAAAAAAAAAAAAAAAATAGAGATGAGATGCATCTATAGAAATTTTTCAACCTCCAGCTTCTTCGTTGATATCTTCATTACATAGCAAAATGGCCAATACTAGATCCAAAGCACCAGCTTCCAAGGCTAAGGCTGCCGCCACTCCTTCTCCGGCCTCAAAAACTCAAGGGAAAAACTCCAAATCCACAGATTCCCCATCTGCAAAAGGTAGAGGCAGACCTCGTAAAACAATTGATCCACAAGCTGAAGCATCCCCTGTTGCTAAAAAGGGTAGAGGTAGACCACGTAAGGAAGAGAGCGTGAAATCCACCCAACCAGAAGCTAACAAACAAGAAAAAACCGAACAAAAAACTAATCAACCTTCAGTTGAAAAAATTGTTAATAATGAACAAATTTCCAAAGCTATCGGAGAAATAATTTCGTACGTTTCACGTGAATCCAATAAACCTTCATCTGAATCATCCAAAAAAGATTTATTTGAAGATGCTGATGAACAAGATGATGAAATTTCTAAAAACTTATTTGTTAATATTTCAACCAAAAAATTAAATTCAAAATTTACTTTAAAACCAAAAGCTATTAGATTAAGTCATCAATTCCGTGATGTTTCGAAATTAAGAACATGCATTATTGTCAAAGATCAATTAATCACCTCTAATGAAACTTTGGAATCAATTGAAAATCTTAATTTACCAACTTTACAAAAAATTTATACTATTCAAGATATTAAAACTGAATTCAAAAATTTCGAAAAACGTCGTCAATTACATAATGATTACGATTTATTCTTAGTCGATGATAATGTCTTTAATATATTACCAAATGCATTAGGTAAAACTTTTTTCAAATCAAATAAAGCTCCGGTTCCAATTAAAATCACTAAAAATAAAGAATTGTCTTTAGAAAGTTTGAAAAATCAACTTGCTAAGGCTGTTTCTTCCACTTTTTATATCCCTCCAATCAGTAATAATATCGTTATTAAAGCCGGTGGTATAAATAACTTGAATCAAGACCAATTGGTTGATAACGTCCAAGATATCATTGCTACTTTCAACCAAAATGACATCAGAGCCATATTCGTTAAAACAACTTTATCTCCTGCCTTGCCAATCTTCTACGCTGATAAAATTTATGATCAACAAGACATTCTTAATGAAGATCAAGAAAAAATCGAGGATGAAGATCTCGATGATGATGCTTATAAACAAGGTTTATTGGAATTGGCTGATGCTGACACCGTCGCAAAACTTTTGGGTTCTGAGTTGAAAAAGAAAAAGAGTTCACCAAAAGCCAAAGCTGCTAAAAAGGCTAAAAATTTGTAATTTTAGTTTAGATTTGTATAGTTTTTCAATTGTCATAATTTTTTTTTAGTTCTTCTTTTAGTGAGATTTTTTTTTTATGTAAATGCGTTTCTTCACTTCGATGATTTACACATTTCTTCCTTGACTGATGTGGCTCTTCAAGGCTTCGTTGGATGATAAGTGTATGTATGATCCATTTAATTGGAATTGTTCAGTAAACTAACGCTTCTAGTGATTAATGAACAGTTTCTTCGTTATAATTCAGAATTGGAAATTGGACGCTCAGAAGATTACAGAAATGATCCAAACTCATTGTTGATTGAAGGCCTTAAAGTTCCAAAAAACTTCTTCACCGTCAAAGTAATGAGCCCCAATGATGGTCCAGTGACTCCTTTATTCATTCGGATTCGATCAAGAATGCCTTTGAAAATCAATGATAGTAAATACTATTTAAAAGAAGGTGAATCACCACTCATAGTTGACTTCACTGATCGTTTCACAGACCGATTTATAGACCAAGAAAATCATCTTCGATTCAAAATCGAAAGAGGTAGTTCCAAAATGTGTCAAATCACCTTGAAATGGGTTCCATTCAATATTTATCCCTATAGTGGCCTTGTCCTGATCAATAATATTCAACAACAAAATCCTTTGGTTTCGAAAATACAGGAGGTTTGCAATTTGAAAATAGATTTAAGACTATGTGAAGACATATTCCTGGCTACCCATTACGTTACTCTTCTGAGTCAAAAGAATCATGAATTGAGAATCGCTTTACTGAGAGGTATTCCAATCGTATATTCAACATGGCTTGATTGCATTAAAGATGAATTTAATGACATCAAAAAGTGGTCTATTAACTTATCTAACTTCTTACCCCCTTCTCGTCGCGGTGATAATCTGTATATGATTCCGAGTCAAAGTCGAGATAGCTTGTTTCAGGATTCTTTCATGGTCGTCTTTGTTGATGATACAAAAAAGAAAACTAGAGAATTGGTCGAATTATTGGGGTGCTTAAGTGCTCTGATTGAAAGACTCCGAAGTGATAAATACTTCAAATCAAATAAGCTTGACGGCGATTTATTGAAGGAAGATATAAAAAAAATATCAAAAGCTTATAATCCTGAGCGTCATTGTTTTATTATGACAGAATTGAATGAAGACCTTACTTTTACATCTTCTTTAAAGTCTTTTGCGGAATCTTTAAATGGTGAAATAGTAACAGAAGAATCTCTTTTCAATTGCATTAAATATAATTCAAAATCTTCCCTCAAACCTTTATGTTTATCGCAAAACGAGACGGATACTCAGATAAGAAGAAGAAAACGTCGTAAAATTGAAAAAGCAAGTGGATTAGATTTCTTTGATTTCACACCAAGTATTTCGACTCCGGCTCCCAATGAAACTCAAACTCAGACACAGCAGATTGGTTCATTTCCTCATTCACCAATAACCATAGACGAATCTTCTCAAAAGCAAAATACTGAAACTGATATTAGAAAAACGCTTCAGTCAGCACAGAAAGCCATGACTGAATCCACAAGGGCTCTAAATGGAATAGAACGCGGCTCAATCTCCCCTGTGTCTAAGCAACATGAACCAGAAGGATTTGAACCAACAGAACCTGAACCAAAACAACCTAAGCCGAAAGAACTAGAATTAAACTTTATGGAACATAAAGGATTGGCAATTGAAGAAACCACTGAAAGCTCTAGCAAAAGGTCCGCGCCTTTAGAATTACGCCATGATCAACCTGACCGCAAAAAACTAAAACTAAAAGAACCTGAAAAAATCGGGAAATTCATGCCTTCGATTTCGTTAATTGACGCAATAAGAAATACAAAAGAAGAGCAAGAGCAGGTTGTTAAAAAGGAGCTAGGACTTGATGGAAGTGATCAACCCCTAGATGAAAAGCTTAAAGATCTAGCAATAGTAGAATTGTTCGAAATAAAATTGAGAAGTCCAAAGCTGTCTGAAGCTGAACGGACACATCTGTCTTTCAAAGGACGTAAAAATTTCAAAAGATTTAACAAAAACCAGAAATCCAAATCAGCATTGTCGAGATCATTTTTAGACTTGGAACCAATAACACTTGACAATAAAATAACCTTCAAAAGTGAGGACCAGGGAGACACGGATGCAACAACTGATTTAGAACTGAATATGACCAAAGATTTTGATGGACTAATGGATGATGTGAATGGATACCAACCTCAGGGACCGGCTTTTGTTGAGCATGATGAGAAAAGTGATAATGAAGAAGGATTCTCATTCGGTAAAGGAGAAAGCCTATTTGTACCTGCTGACTCACAAAACTCACCAGCTAAACCCAGACACATTCCAATTAGGAAAGTAAGTCATGGGGGTAATGATAATGACGATGATGATGACGACGATGATGACGAACCAAGGTTTGCCTTTTCACGTTAGCTAAATAGCGTTAATAATACAGATAATCCGTAATCAATAAAAATTTTCTTTAATTTCTATATCATTTGGTCTAATCCTCATTCCACATAGACCAAGTTTTCTAAAGTAGGTATTGTGACTTTCAAAATAATTCCTATTGATGCTATCATGGGTCTTAAAATCTTTCGCTATGCATGCTTGATTACTTGCAGTTTGACAATCAACAACCTTCTCGAGAGAAGGGACTGGATTTGAAGCAGAACAGTTCAAATATATTTGATTTTCAAACTGAATGTAGTTATCATCGTTATTTCTATTACTAGGAATAACAGTGACAATATCCCCTTTATGGATTATGCGTAAGTATTTTCGATCAAAGGAATTGTGTTTAGCCTTGAACCTACTCCCCATAACATCATCCACCCAATCCACAAACTGCTTATTGCCAACTAACGGCTGGCCCATAGTTACCAACGTCATCTTATCAAAACCCAAATCAAGGAAGTGCAATGAAATGAAAAGACCAATTGCACCACCCATGGAATGACCAACAATAAGCAATTCGTATTCCTCAGGAGTATCAATCAACTCATGAAGTAATACTCTTTGTATAATGGCTAGTGTTCTAAGGAAATAATCATAAAATCCTTGATGGACTTTGCATTGATCACCGCAAGCCGGTAGTTTGCTATTAACGTTAGCATAATCGGTCAAGTCAGTTTTCAAATCAGTGAAAGTATCAAAAATTGACCTTGTTCCTCTCAATGAAACAATAATTGTCTTTTTAGAACTGTTAGATGCATTTTCATAGTCAAAAATATTGGAATTTGTAGTTGCTATATAACCGCAGACCGAATCATCAAAATACCATTGGTAAACCAAAGTAACATTTGGAAATCTTTTCTCACAACTCAATTCACATTCAAAAGGCTCGCCGATTTGGCTTGTAGAGGATATACAGTAAGAAATATCAATCAAATGTGCATATGTATATAGATTTGAATAAATCTCATTGTCAATTGGACTCACTGAATCACGATTCTTTCCTTTCTCTAAATTATGTTCCTGCCCGACAATTATACCACATAAAACCAGAAAGATAGCTAAGTAAATGTATATCATATTAACATCTGATGAGCATCTTATTATCAATTAAGCTTCAGAAGTCAGAAAAGATGAGTCCTGATGATCACGATAAGATAAAATCTCCTCACTTACGCAAAGTCCAAAACACAGCAAAATGCGACAAAAAGAAGATGCAAAAAAACGTATCAAAGTCCATTTTCGATTATTCGAAACGCTATGAAGGCCGTGCCAGCACCTATGGTGATTGAAAGCGTGAGCTTAAGTAACAGGAATGCCACTCGGTAACTCTGGTGGTGGAACTTTATCTATGAAAACCATAATTTTGCAGAAAATAACAAAAATATGTAAGAAATTACAAATGTACCAATAATTGCTGTGAATATGGACAAGATTGAAATATTCATCCATGCTTTGAAAAGAAGCTTTAGTGGAGAAAATAGATACAGAAACAGGAAGAGACGAGGAAAGCTGAAGGTATACAGAGTCATATTTCTTATTTTCCAGTCTAAAGTTTCCAACAGTTGAAAAGTTTTATTTAGAGAGTGGATAATTTCCAGCAAGGAATCGTCTAGATTGAAGAGCTTTTTTTCAAAGCGATCTTCCAATTGATCTAGACAGTCGTCATTGATAAGGATTAATTCCAGAGCCAAGTTCCTAAATTCGCTTTCAAGGACCGAATTATGCTGACGAGCGAGATCGTTGGCCGTGTTTAATGAGATTTCGATCTGGGTAGATACCTCCTCCGAATCCCGTAACACCAGGTTGAGGCTATTAGCAGTAATCAAGTTTTGGACTCCTACCAATTCGGACTTCTCGAGACTCGACACGATTTTAGAGATCAAGCTCAGAGTATCCAACTCGGCTTGATTCAAGTTGAGTGAAAGCCTTTTTTGGAAAGAATGGAGAGTCCTAGACCCAACCTCAACACCCTGATTGAATCCGTTTAGTTTCTCTGCCAATTCATCTAGTAGTAATGTATTATGGAGGTATTGATTTTGGGATGCTTCCACATGGCTTTGGAACGCAACCAAACTATCTTGCATGGTTTGCTCAAACTCCGACGTATAATGTTCGTATTTCTCTCTGTTTCTTTCTCGATAGTCCTCTTGCTGCAAAATCACACTACGTAACAACTCCATAAACTTATCAAACTTTTTTTGAACAGCTTCTCTCATTTCGTTAGATTGGTGAAACGATTTGCCTAGCTCTACTTGAAGCTTCTCGTAAATCTTGGTTACGTTATAAAAAACTTTTATAATCTGATCTTTAGCGAAAGGCAACGACTCTGAAAAGCAGATTGAAAACGTTTCACGGTAATTCCCACTGTAAGTTGTCCAATGCTGAGGACTACTTTGTAAGCTTTGGATACAGGCGTTAACTTCGTTTTCCTCTACTACATTCTGGCAAGCCTCGGGGTAGTTTACTTGGGTATTCTCAAATTCACAAACGGATAGCTTGAGTGCCAGAGTTTTCCTCCTTATTGGCTCCAACTGCTCTGCTCCAGAAACGATACATTCGTGAACTAAGTCACGTACAGCATTTTGAACACACTTTGAGTCACTCGTCTTATACAACAAGCTCTCGAACTCTGACTCAGTGAACTGAAGATTGTTTAGCAAGAACTCATCCATGAAATAATGTTCAAAGTTTGTGTGAACGTCTAGTTCACTAGCCCTTGTCATGAAACTAAATACCAAAAACATAAGCCAGCTAACACAAAATTTCATTTTCGATAGCCATAATAACCGCTTGCTCAGACCTGATCCCGACTGGCCTCTTATATATAAGTAGGAGTCTCTTAGTTTCAAACAGACTTCAAACCTTCAATTTGCAGTCTTTTTTGTGAATTGTACAATCACTCAAAAACAAAATATAACAAAACAAAAAAAAAAAAAAAAAAAAAAAAAAAAAAAAAAAAAAAAAAAAAAAAAAAAAAGCTCAAAGACTGAAAAAAACTACTGGGAAACTAATGAAAAACTCGAATTAAGACTCGATAGACGGGCCAAAACCGATATTACTTAGTTGATTTGTTATGCTTAGATCTCTCAAGGGACTCAAGGGGCGTCCGTTGTCATTGAGAAGAGGATACTCAGTGAAATCACCAATACTGTTTGTTCCAAACGAAACTATTCATAGGTTTGAGAGTGAAAAATTAACGGAAGAAGAGAATTTAGCGGCCATACCCAAACGTCCTAACTTTGATGGTCTTCCAAAGTACCATCATGAAATTCTCTCTCCTGAAGATACTGCTGATTTGGTGATTCGACCAGACGTCAATGACATTCTAACTTCGACGTTTTCTCAAAATGCAGTATTCACCGGTGATCCTAATTATAAAGTTACTCCGGCAAATGCTAATTTGCAAGAAACAACACTTTCATTACATTTCGCAGTTGCTGTTATCGAATGGATAAGGCTATTCAATACCCAGATTGTAACTTTGAAGAGTTTACCCTCGACCGTTAATAAATTACAGCATATAAATGAAGCCAAAGTAGATGCGATTAAAGCAAAATTGAATAGTATCAATGTTGAAGAATTAAAGTCCGTGGAAGTTCTCGATAAATTTTATACTTCTTTCGAAATATATAGAAAAGGTGACATAATGAGAAAGACAAGAGCCGATACAATCAATATTGAGAATATCTCTTCGATTCTTTTAACCAGTGAATTGATTCAGAGTGATAGTGAATTATTTGACATTACTTTGAGATACCTTGGTCTGAAACTAGCATACTTCAGCAATGAGAACCTTCAACAATTCACGGAGAAACTCATAAATCATTTGCATGGAGAAAATATTACTTCAGGAATGAAAGTTCAATCATTTAACAACTTCATGTCCAAAGTTTTTGAAATCCACCCTCGTTTAAAAACCGAGTTACACGTAAGCCAGCTAGATAAACTCGCTTATCTTTTCACATTGGCAAATAATATCGAGGATTCAAAGAGCCTCCTTCAGTTGCTAGTGACCAATTACAAAGTTGCTCCTTCCAAGGAGACATTCAACTTATTTTTAACAAAATATACCGAATCCTTGAAAGATTTCCAAGGACTGATCAAATCAAAGGTCTTAAAAGATTTACATCAATTGAAGCCAGTTTTTTTCCATAATGGCCTTGATAGTTTTTCCCTTAAATTTTTATTAGAGGAGATCATAGAGCATGTTTATGACCTCGATCATCTTATGAGGCTAATTGAGAATAAAGAAAATTCAAGTATCTTCCTCTTGAGCGAGTTTGCCGAGATGTTAATGCAAAGACTTCAAGTTATTCAATCTACCTCGGAAGACCCTAATACCACCAAGGCTTTGCAACTTACGCAATTAATATCAAAATTGGTGAAGGATAACGGCGTCAAGTTGGACAAAAAATCCCTTGAGCTCGCTCAGCAAATGTATAAAGACTTAGGTGATACTTCTAATTACGAGTACATAGGTAAATTACTAAATTAAATGTATATATTTTCATGATAAGTATAAATACGTAATATTCAACAAAGGGTCCTGTTATTATTTGAATTCGGAACTGAATTAGGTTCCGGATCATGGGATGGTTCCATATTATCATTATTTGAAAAACCAAATTGACTAGAATTATTTGAAACTTCATCAGCAGTATCGTTATACGGAGAATGTCGTATCCAGCCGCCCTTCCCCTTATTATGACTGTTGCTATCATTATAATTACTGTAAAACCCATTAGTGTAGATGAAAAAGCCGTCATCACTGGCTGAGTCATCATTCCACCTGGTAGTATCAACGTTGTTCCTCATGCGCATATCATCCATTTCAGTCTTGTATTCTTCTTCAAGATACTTTCTCGAAGATATAGTTCTTTTGATGAAACACACCATGGATGCCATAATTGCAAGTAGTATAATGGGAATAAGCTGAATCCAACCCAAGTAGCTTAAGTGAGGGATGAAAAGTAAAATATCTACCAAAAAGGCAAGAAGTGTAGATAGGAAGGATAGTAGCGATGCGGTTAGAATGAGACTCAAATATGGCCGGAGATCTCTTTTCCGTGGTTTGACTGACCCAGTAGACGCAGGCGATACGTTATCATCGTTGGATTGTTTCAATAATTTGTATTTGAAATGCTTTAGAGCTGTCCTCGACGACTCAAATCCTTTCGAATCTAAGTAAAGTATCACTGATAACGAAGAAATCAACAAAAATATAATGGCAGTCAAGCAAAATCCAATAACGTGTACAACCAATAGCTTAGATATCGTGTAAGTAGCTCCTGAGGGTAGTTCAATTCCTCCAAACTTATCATCATAATTTTCCTCAACACTGATGGCGTAAAAATGACTGTGCTTGGACGGGTATCCAATCTTTGGGGGAGAACATATATCCAAAGCAATGTCACACACTCCAAACAAACCAAAGGTGTTATTCTTGTAAGTTGATAGACGAATATTATAATTAGTGGACTCACCAGTTATAGGCACCGATATTAATGGTAGTAGTTGAATAACCAAGCAAATGCACGTAAGAATGCATAGCACAACTAGTCCCTTGTGCATTATATATGGCCTCTAGTTCTGATCGTCTTATCTAATCTGAATAGTAACTAATTATCATGATTTGGCGATGCTAAGATCTTTTTATTATGTCAAGAACAGTTAAGAAAAGTTCTGGAAAAAACACCCAAACACCCAAACGTATTTTAAATGAAATCAATTGGGGCTAATACAGTATCACATTTACAAAGTTGGTTTGTTGATAATTTAAAATTTCATTGCTTGAACATTCAATTGCTTCTTTGATTCTTGAGGATTTGATTGAATTGCTGCCTTTTATGGGAGGAAAGTAGGTAAAAAATTGAAGTTTTTCTTTTTTTTTAGAGCAAAGGTCTCAGAGTCAGAAAAATCTGAAAATTCAAGATAGAAAGATTCATGAGATACTTTTACTGGAGTCTTTTTATATTGAACATTGCCATTTTGTTGTCAAGTCTTGTATACATAAAACAGATCAATACGGTATCGAATCTGGTAAGGTTTCTAGTAACGAGCAGATTCAATTCAATTGCAAAGATGTCCACAATTCCATTAGATCACCCATACAGAAGAGAATTGGAAGTTGCTACATTAGCAGTCAAAAGAGCTTCCGTCTTGACTAAAAAACTCAGTGATGAAATTGCAACTACACAAAAGTCAGGGACCCATACCAAGGAAGATAAATCTCCAGTCACTGTAGGTGATTATGCTTCTCAAGCCATAATTAATAATGCCATCAAACTCAATTTCCCATCTGATGAGATTGTGGGTGAAGAAGATTCTGATACCTTAAGACAAGATAATGAAGAAGGTAAGACTTTGAGTGACAAAGTTTTCAGAATTATAACTGAAGTTCAAGCTAAGACTGATAGTTCAAATTTGAAAATTGGCAAGCTTGAAGAATTGGACAAAATTTACGATAGTATTGACTCTGGTGCTTCCAATGGTGGTTCAAAAGGCCGTTATTGGGCCCTTGATCCTATTGATGGTACTAAAGGGTTTTTGAGAGGCGACCAGTTTGCAGTCTGTTTAGCCTTGATCGAAGATGGTCAAGTCGTGTTAGGTGTTATTGGTTGTCCAAACTTACCAGCCACTATCAACTCTAATGAAGACATGTCTGGAACTAAAGGTGGTCTTTTCTCTGCTGTCAAAGGTGTTGGATCTTTTTATTCGCCTTTGTTTGATAATAATGACTTTACTCCTTTACAAAGTCAAGAACAAATAAAGATGAACCAGACAGTTGACCCCAGTTCTTTAAAAGTCGTTGAAGGTGTCGAAAAGGGCCATTCTTCCCATTCAACTCAGTCGCTTATCAAGGAAAAGTTGGGTTTTAGTGGTGAATCAGTCGCTAAGCAAACCATTAATTTAGATTCGCAAGTCAAATATTGTGTTTTGGCTAAAGGTCAAGCCGATATTTACTTAAGATTACCTGTAAGTGATACTTATCGTGAAAAAATTTGGGACCATGCGGCTGGTAATATATTAATTTACGAAAGTGGTGGTCAAGTTGGTGATATTTCTGGTAATCCTTTGTATTTTGGTAGTGGAAGACTTTTAGAATCAAAAGGTGTCATTGCTGGCAATAAAGCTATTTTCCCCCAAATAATCAGTGCCGTCAAACACGTCTTAAATTAAATTGATACATATATATATTGAAGGTATAGAAAATTCAAAATTTTTATATACAAGAATGCAGTAATTACATAGGTGTTGCTTAATGAACCCTAACGATGTAGTAATTTTGTTTACCAGTTCTAGCAAGTAAAAGTTTGCCATCAATCAAATGATTCTCCTTATCAAATAAGACAACATCTTCAGGATCAATGAATTGATCTCGGTCAAGACCCAAGTATACACCACCAGCTTTAATAAGGTTCTTAGTTTCAGATTTGGACTTTTTGAAAATAGCAGAAAGTAAGGTACTCATCTTGAGATCATTGGCATTAGGAAATTGATTCAAATTAATATCAACCATAATACCAGATCTACTGAATTTCTCTATCAACTTATCAGCTGAGATTTCATCATCAAATGGTTGATTAGGGGTCGGAAATAAAAAGCTAGTAATATAAGCCATTTCTTCACCAACACCTACACCGTGAATCAAATCAACCACTTCACGGGCTAACACTCTTTGTGCTATTCTCAATCCTGGATCCGACTTATGTTGGACAAGCACCTTTTGTTCAATTACACTCATTGGTAAGAGGGTAAATACTTTTAATAACTTTTCGACTATTTCATCTGGGGTATTAATAAAATATTGGTATAATTGGAAAGGCTTTGTAAGCTTATCGCTAATGAAAACTGCATTTCCAGCAGATTTACCAAATTTTTCACCACTAGGAGTGGTTAACAACGGAACAGTCATACCATATCCTCCAGTCTTTTTTTCCTTGTCACTCTGATCATGCTTTTGTAATCTGGATATCAAGTCAACACCAGCTACAATATTCCCCCATTGGTCATTACCACCAACTTGCAAATTAACTCCTTTGTTTTTGTATAAATGCCAAAAATCATAAGCTTGTAAAATTTGATAGGTGAATTCGTTAAATCCCAAACCGGCTTCCGAGTTGAGTCGACTTTGAATTGAATCTCGACCCAACATCGAAGATACTCTGATGAATCTACCGTAAGTAGCCAAAAAGTCAAGCATCTTAATGGAGGACCACCAACTAGCATTATTTTCAAAAGAGTGGTCCCCTTCTTTGTTAATAGGATACTTCCTGGAGTTTGCATACTCAACACCTTTTTCGATAAAATTGGTAATTTGTCCCAGAATTGCCTTAATATTATTGTCTCTTTCTGAATTTTCAATTTGAGTTCGTTCAGAAGTTCTTCCACTAGGGTCTCCAACAGCCCCAGTGGCTCCTCCAATAAGCCCAACTACATCATGGCCTCTCAATTTGAAATGAAGAAGCACCATCAAAGGAAGGAGATTACCTAAATGCAAAGATTTTGCAGTGGGATCTGCCCCACAATATAATTTGAGCTTTTTGTTTGCAGAAGGCTCAGTCAATTTAAATAACTCATCATCGGTGATAGACTCAACCAAGTATCGTGACTGTAAATGGCCAATCAAGGATATGTCAAGGTCACTTTTATAAGCACTTTCCAGATACAAATCTTCGACCTTGGGAACAATTGTGATGGTTTCAGGTCTATCTTCAGAATCGGAGGTTTTATTCGGCGTGGATGATTGCCACCTTTTCACATAGGCTGGAAAACGGCCTAGTGTCCTCCTTGATACCAAAGTATTGCGAAGCATTACACCGAATGTTAAATCTAACTGTGAAACCTAACAAGGGAATGAGAATCTGATTTTTATTGAAGTAATAAATATTTTCGTAGTCCTGTGTATAAATCCACACATATTTTTTTTTCTTCTTCTCTGCTCTTCTCTAAAGATATACTATAAACCATAACCAAAAGAATCCTGTTAAAAACTAAGAACAAGATGTCAAATAACCCGGGAGACATTCCAAACGACGTTGGTGGAGGTAAGAAAAGAAAGAGAAAGAGAAACAACAAGAAGAATGCACACCAAGTGGAAACAAGTGTAGTTGAGGAACCTATTGCAGCAAGAAAAGATGTTCAGATCAATCGTTCTAACAAGAAGATGAAGTTCGAAGATGGAGACTCAGGTGAGAAAATGGAGCAGCCCGAGCCCATTGTTCAAGATATTGAATCCAAAACGGTTGACGAAGATACTGCCAAATCAGAGTTGGAAGTTACTGAAGATCCGGTTGTCGATGAGGCATCAACAAAGAACGGTGAGGAAAGAAGAAAGACAAACGATAAGAGGATAAAGGAAAAAAAAGGCAAAAAGTCAGCTAAGGTCACATATTTTGATGATGAGGAAGATGAGGAAGATGACGACGACTTTGAATCTTCAAGAATTTATACTCTAGGATCGCATGTCAGCAGACATCTTTTAGCTCAAAGAGCTGCAGAATTGAATGAAGTTCGTCAAAAATTACCAATTTCCCAAAGCAAAGATCAAATACTTGACTACATCAGCAGAAACCAAGTAACGGTAATCATTGGTGAAACTGGTTCTGGTAAATCTACTCAAATTCCGCAATTTTTAATGCCTCTAAACAAAAAACAGATAGCTGTTACCCAACCACGTAGAGTTGCTGCAGCATCCTTGGCTACCAGAGTAAGTGAAGAATATGGATGTCCGTTAGGTCAAGAGGTTGGGTATCAGGTTCGTTTCTCGAATGTTACTGATTCTCGAAAGACAAAACTTAAATACCTTACTGATGGTATGCTTTTGAGGGAGATAATGCTTGATGAGAAGTTAATGAAATATTCTACCATTATCATAGATGAAGCTCATGAAAGAACCATTTTGACTGATTTAATTATGGGATTCCTTAAAGAAATGATCGTGACAAAAAAGAGAACGGACCTTAAGATTATTATTATGTCTGCTACTTTAAATGCAGAATTATTCAGTAAGTTCTTTGATCATGCACCAATTCTTTTCATCGAAGGTAAAATGTATCCTGTTTCCAAACATTACTTGGGTGACTCATCTGAAGATATCGTTGATACAATGGTAAGAAGTGTCGTGCAAGTAAATATGGGAGAACAAGAAGGTGATATTTTATGTTTTTTACCAGGTCAAGAAGAAATTGATAATTGTGTCAATATCCTACAAACAATTGCTCCACAACTTCCAAAAGAAGCACCTGCAATAATACCATTACCATTGTATGCGGCTTTATCACCTGCTCAACAACTGAAAATATTCGAAAAAGTAAAGGGAAGAAAGAGAAAAGTTATTTTAGCTACTAATATTGCTGAAACTTCCATTACAGTGAGTGGAGTCAAATACGTTATTGATTCTGGATTACGTAAAGTTAAAGTTTGGAAGCACCAGCTTGGATTATCTACGTTATTAACAACCTCGATCTCCCAGGCTTCTGCTAAGCAAAGAGCAGGTAGAGCAGGTAGAGAAAGTGTAGGTAAGGTTTTCCGTTTATATTCCGAAGATGTTTTTTTGAAGGCATTGCCCAAACAACAGGAGTCAGAAATCATGAGAAATGATATAATTCTTCCCATTCTTACTTTGAAGAAAATTGGAGTTGACGACTTACTTAATTGGACCTGGATCGAACATCCAGGCCAAGAAGCTATTTTATCTGCATTGAACACTTTATACACTTTAGGAGCCTTGAATGACAGTGGGAAAATAACCCCATTAGGTTATAAAATGGCGGTATTACCATTGCCACCCCAGTTATCAGTTGTGTTAATCAGTGCTTTGGAAATGGGCGTTTTAGCTCCAGTAATTGACATCGTGTCTTGCCTCTCGGTTGATAATTTAGTATTAAACGTGTTTAGTGGGAACGGTGAATTAAGGGACGAAGTGAATTTTAAGAGAAGACAATATTGCCCACTAGCCACTAAACTGGGTGATTTGATTGCATTAAAAGAGTATTTCAATTATTTCAACGAATTGTACAAGTCCAAGAAAATACCAGAACTAAAGGCCTGGTGTAAAGACATGTTTTTCAGTTTCAAAGGCTTTAAAAATGTTCTTCGAGTAAGGAACCAATTGAAGGAATATATGGTTTCAACGATAAAACAGGATGATAGTTTATCCCAAAACCAAAGAGAAACTCAACTTAAAAATTTAAAAGGTCAACTAGAGGCTGATGACATGAATATCGAAAGCGATACTGATGATGAAGAGAGCAACGATGACTTCGGAAAGGCTCTTAAAAAACCTCTAGACGTTGCCGAAATCCTAAAGTCTTTCTTGAAAGGTTACATAACAAATACAGCTATAGGAATGCCTGATAGATCTTTTAGAACTTGCACTAACGGTCAATTGATAAGTATTCATCCATCTTCTAACTTGTTTGGTAAGGCCAATCTTGATGCAATCATGTACATAGAATACGTTTACACAGCAAAGGCATACGGTAGAAGTTGTTCTGCCATCGAATTGACTTGGTTACAAGAGATAGCTCCTCATTTATTGGGAGGAGCCAAAGTCAACGTTAACGATACCTAATAGTAATAGAAGTAAAGTAACATCCGTACATCTGTAAATAAATTGAAGTAACAAAAAAAAAAGTAAGACGAATACTTTCGATATAATATCTGTCAAAGTTGCAAACTAAGAGGAAGCTTATGGACTACGATGAACCACTTCCCCTTATAGAAAGGTCGGAGATCATTATCTTTTCCGATTTGTCGGATGAGCAAGATCAAAACCTGACGACATCGCTTGCCTTCTACGGCTACGCAATTCTATTTTCAACCTGGCTTTTGTTTCTTATTACTTTCAATTCATTATTCAGCGTCTGGTCTTACGTTATTCAGCCACTTTCGTATAATCCAGAATCGAAAGAGCTACACAATAAATTGTCATACATATTTGAGAGTCTTGATAATTATGTTTTGAGTTTTTGGTGTATATATATTGTAATTTGGTGGTGGTCGATTATATCATGGTGTGGTCTTAAACTCTTTAGACATTCCAAGGGAATCCAGAGTTAGGTTTTCAGTTACTTAACCATCTTCACCTCTAGCTTTTGTCCACTCGGTGCCACCAGTTTGCCGACCTTTTGTTGTTATAGTTGATGATGGCATATCGATTCGTGATTTAGACCCGTTCAATTCCAACTTTTCTCTATTGTGTATAAGAATTACCTTATTATATAAACTCATTAGTTTTTCTGATTCATTAGAGCTTGTAGGATCAATATACTCGAAGTAGTATTTGAGAAGCTTATCACAATTAATTTTATGCAAGACATCTTTGATATACTGCACGTTTGATACGGTATTGGTTTTTGGGATTCTCTTCTCGATAGAAGTAATGTATTTTTCACTAAGATCAATCATATAGCTATCATTTATACCAATGACCCAACTCATCTTCTTACCCCAGTTCTCACAATATAGATTTGGCTCATCGAACACAGCTTCACATGGATCAATATGAACCCACCTTGATAAAGCGGAACTGTAATATTCACACCAGACATGATCTTCAAAATTCCAAACGTACCGAATGCCGGCATCAGCGCCCAAAACAGCTCTCAAGATTAACATAAAGCAATTAACCCATTCTCCACATCTTCCTTCTCTCGTTTGCAATAACTTAGTAGGACTATTAATTCTTGGGAAATCAATTGACTTCTGACAAGTTTTACAACGATATTTTTCTATTCTTGTAATCTCATCGGGATTGTTGATTGGTGGCCCTTCTATACCGATGGAATCCACATTCTCTGAACCATTTTTACAATTAGAGCACTCTGGAATAGTGATCCATTTGAAAAAATCATGTTTGAAGTAATGCAATAATTCTAATACAAGAAAGTCTTCATACCCAAGCTCGATTCCGTCTTTGGATTTCTTCTTATCACTCTCTTGCTCTCGCTTCTCCACTCCACTGTATATCTTAGCAAGATCTATAGTATCAAGAACTTTATCTAAATCACCAGCTTCTTTATAGCTATCAGTTATGTTCGCTAATCCAATTATGTTCAGTAAGAATCTTCTGTCAGATTCGCTATAGGGTCTTGCTACTTTTGCCTTTGCACCCTTCATTGACTTTTGGAAAACCTGCTTGGAGTATATGGTTAATAGCCTATTGGCTAGCGATTTATAATCGGTTTTAACACTCATTATGGCACAGTTTATACAGAAAGTATCGAGATCAAGCAATAGTCTAATATAAAAGCTGATTCTGAGATCTAAAATGATTTAAAGTGCGATTTTATCTTTATTTTTTTTTGACTTAAAATTAGGCAAGTATATCATTATTTCATTAAAAGTTATAAAATTTCACGTTCAATGACATGAATAACATAGAGGCAATTATCCAAAAGGACTAAGCTAAAAAAGTTAACTGAAAAGAAAAAAAGTTCAAAAAAAAAAAAAAAAAATACTATATACAAATTGAAAATCTAGTATTACAAAGGAGATATTACTCCATGAATGGTTTGCTAATGTACAGTATGAATGGATTAACTTAATCCATCATTTCCGAATCTCTGGATTCATCTTTTGTGTTTTGAGATTTTCTAGTCTCGTCGTCATCATTTTCTAAATTAAGATCTTTTATAATTTCTTCTTCTTCTTCGGTAAGCCCAGTAATGTCTGGAGGGATCTCTTGCATTTGGACTGAAGGAGCATGGGTCAAGTACCTTAGCTGCTCAAGGATCTCAAGTTTCACGCTTTCAAGATACTTTTTTGAATTTTTGTTATCGATTCGGCCCTCTAATTGGGGATGTAAAGAAAAATCAGGACCAAACCAGTCATAAGTAGGTAAGTAATTTGGAATTTTTGGATCTATGGTTACATCATTCAACACCGACGTTTCGTAGCACCATAAACGAGAAACATTTCTAGGAGTATAACCCCCACCACCTAATACAAGCATGGGGATACCGAATGATTTAATGAATTTTACACACTCACCGTGCCCTCTAATATTTAGATTGAAACAACCTAATCTATCAAACCCAAGGGAATCAGCACCACATTGTTGAACAATACAAGTCGGTTGGAATTTGGTGATCAAGGGCTCCATGATCAGTTTGAATAACCTTATATAAGAATCATCATCTATACCATCTTTTAAAGGTACATTAATAGCATAGTTTTTACCCTTACCTACCCCTATTTCATCCGTGGAACCAGTTCCTGGGAAAAATTCCCCGTTAAACTTGTGAAAGGAAACAGTCATAACACGGTCTGTTGTATAGAATGCTTCTTGAACTCCATCCCCATGATGTAAATCGATATCAATGTACATCACTCGAGGGTGAACTCTTAGTAGGTTCAATATACTAAGCACAATATCATTCACATAACAAAATCCACTTGGTTCTGATTTTTTGGCGTGATGCAACCCCCCTGACCAATTAATTGCAATATCTGACATTCCACTAATCAACTTACGGGATGCGTCTAAAGAAGCTCCCGCATATATCGACGAATAATCGTACATCCCATCAAACACTGGACAATCATCACCAATGTTGAATTGTGCTAGCTTTTTATCTGACAACCTAGCTGTTTTCTCAGGAGTTATGCTCTGTAGAAAGTTCACATAATCTTCGGAATGAAACTCTAACATCTCCTGTTTAGTGGCTTTTCTTGGGGTATACAAGTCCATCTTCTCGTACAATTTATATGAAATAACCAAATGGTCCGTAAGCATGAGCCTGAATGGCTTCATGGGATGATATGGCCCATAATGATATTGACTTACTTGTGGATTGTAATGGTATGAAACATTGGTTAAATTCGAATTGTTATTCGGGTAATGCAACGGTATATGACTAGCCGTCTTCTGATCGGCAGTGAAAGTCTCAGTCTCACTTACTGGTATCGCCATTATTATAACCGTCTCCTTGAACAGAACGAGTGAATAGGTTATACCGTATAAAAAATGATTAGAAGCAGCTGTTAATGGGCTGGTTACAGTTTGAAAAGAAAGAAAGAAAAAAAAATAAAAAAAAAAAAAAAAAAAGACAATTATTGAAAGACCCAAACACCGTCAGACATTGTCGCACAAGTCTCGCGACATTTCACTTTTGAATACTTTTTCTTCTGTCGCCACTGTAGAATTCAGCTGGAGAAACAGATACTTTGATAAAGTGATCTTATTTCTGGAATCCATTGGAGTTTTTCTAATTACATTTTAATAACTAAATAATAACAATGTCTGGTATGTATGAGGAGTTTGAAGCCGCGAGTGAAAGTTTGGTACTAACCATATTTTGGAATAGGTTCTGCAGGATTTGACAGACATATCACTATTTTTTCACCAGAAGGTAGATTATACCAAGTTGAATATGCATTTAAGGCGATCAATTCTGCCAATATCACTTCAATTGGTGTTACTGGTAAAGATAGTGCCGTTTTAATCTCACAAAAGAAGATCCCAGATAAATTATTGGATGCAGAAACTGTTAGTTATATTTTTAAGATTACCCCTTCAATTGGGATGTTGGCTACTGGTGCAATTGCTGACGCTAGAGCACAAGCATTAAGAGCCAGAGCTGAAGCTGCAGAATTTCGTTATAAATACGGTTATGAAATGCCGGTTGAAGGTTTAGCTAAAAGAATGGCTAATTTATCTCAATTATATACCCAAAGAGCTTATATGAGACCCTTGGGAGTTGCTTTAACATTCTGTCAAGTTGATTTCGAAGATGAGGATAGAGGAGCTCAAATTTTCAAATGTGATCCAGCTGGGTATTATACTGGAGTTAAAGCAGTTGCAACCGGACCAAAACAACAAGAAGCAACCACTTTCCTTGAGAAGAAGTTTAAAAAAATAGACTATATTAAAGGAGATTGGAAGGAAACTGTAGAATTTGCTATTACATCCTTGAGTTCTATATTAGGGACTGATTTTAGGAAAAATGATATTGAAATTGGTGTGGCCACCACTGATGGCTTCCGAGTTTTAACTGCAGATGAAATTGATGATAGATTAATCGCTATAGCTGAACAAGATTAGTTGGCTTATTTATGTACCAATAGATAATACATGAATGCAAAAACTTAATGTAGAAAAAAATTTATAGATTTAATGAAATTTATACAAACTTTTGTGAACGAATTAAGTTATTCAGACTTTTACATAGTAAAAAAAAGGAAAACAGGGAATTATATTCTCTGATTATATGTTTACCAAACATAAGGAATAAACATATATGGACAAGCTTCCAAATATTTATCCCAATCGGCGCCGTACTTCTTAGCACATTTTCTTTGATCTCTGTAAGCTCTATGGACTAAAACAATGAAAAAGAAAACTGGGAAAAACCATGGGAAAGGAGAAGCAAAGCCACACATTAAAGCCCAAGTTAAGGATTGAATCCAATCGGCAGTATAATGAGCTTTACGAGCATAAACGTACCAACCATCAGTTAAAAGAAGAGAACCGTTTGCACATTTAATAAATTTAGGGTTTTCCAAATCAGAAAATGGTAAGTATGGGAAAGTCTTACGAAGATTTTTATTACCTGACATGATTCTTCTGAAACTGTTTTTTTGACGATTACCAGTATCGAAAAAGTAGTAAGCAATAGTCAAAGTAGCGAATAAGGCAACATTATAAGCAATACTCCATTGATATTCCGAAGGTTCATGGTAGTATAAGAACAAAGTACAATGGCAATAGGTGAAAGGAACACCAGCGATATTCCAGAAAAGTAACATGAAACCGAATTTTTCATAAGCCATATCCCAGGTTGGAACAATAAGTTCTTCACCTTTAGCACAAGCGTTAGCATATAACCAATGAGCATATAAAACAAACGCAACTTGTGGGGTAACATATCCATAATCTTCTAATTGCTGTAAAGCACAAGCCAAAGATAAAAAGAATAAGAAGAACCAAGGAATTCTAACTTCGAAAAACATCTTTAAATCCAAGTACTTACCAAGTCTTGGGTTTAAAGGTGCTCCCATAAACATATCATAAATATGGTTACCAGTCATACGGTGATAATCACCAGTGACGTAGAGACACACAAGATATAATGCAACCGAGCCAGTCATACCGTAGATGATAGCAATGGTCATAAACTCACCAAAATGTTCAATAATATAAGGTAATTTGAATAAATTAGAGAAATGTAAACCCAAAATAATAGTCAAGGTAGTATAGAAAGACCATTGAGCATTACAAAAGTAAGGTAATTGTTTATTATTCAAGTGGGATAACGGTTGACCTTTAGTCCAAACCCCCGGTAAAGTCAAGTAGAAAATACCTTGAACAGTCATAAATAAAGTGAAAATGAAAATAGTCTTGAAAGATGGAATACCGTAATCAATGAAAAATTGCAACAAGTCATCCAAAATGAACTCTGACCACGATTGCCCATCGGATGGCCATGCGGGCTTCCCATCATAAAACTGAGCACTAATCCACATGTAATACATGAGGAGTGGGAATCCAATCATCATACCCAATGCACCAGCTGGACCACCAAACTCAAATTCGATTTGGTCTTTTGGAACATAGCCTGGACGTGTTTGTTCGGTTTGAGAGCCTTCAGCTCTTTCAATCAACGGACTGGTTTCTTCAGACATATTTTGAAAATTGCTTAGTCAACAGTTCAATTCGAAAGAAGAAGTAAATGAAGGTTGTTTATATCTATCAAAGCGAGTGAAAAATGATTCTCGATGATGTAAACAGCTTTTTTCAAAAGCAACATGATCGAATTAAAAATAAGCGCGAACATGCATCCGGGCTCTTTGGCAGTTCTGCAACCAAAAATAGGTTATACGACGGGAACGAGATGCTCGATGATTTGAATTCTAAACGATATAATGGGCTACAAGGATGGGTGTAAATCACTCAAATGGTGAATAAACAATGATTTAAAGACGATAATGTTACATTAGATGGAGAATGTTATAGGGGTAGGTAGGGTGTTTGAAGAGAGAAGCGGATGATTGTTTACGCAAAAGGAATTGCATCCATGTCTCCAACAATATCCTTTACTGCTTCTTCACCTTCTTCGCTCGAGTCTTCGAGACCACGCTCTTTACGATGCTTAGCCTTTTCTTTAAAATGGGCAACCTTGTCCAAGGCAGCTAAGGAACTACCGTTACCCAATTTGACCAAACCCAGGAAGAATAATTCGATTTTTTCAAAATCAATGTCTCTTTCAACTAATCCAGCACAAATCCGGAAGGGACTTTGGGTCATGATGCAACGGATGTCAAATAAGGTAGTGGGGAGAAAGAAGTTTGTACTCTCTGTCAAGATTTTGCCTTGCTGCTTCAATTGATTATACATGTCTTTATATTCATCTTTACCTTTGATGAAAAATGCGCTCTCCACTATATCTCTCACCAATTGTTTCACCAATGGGTGTTTATTAGGTAATTGTAGGAGACCCGGGGTTACTAAGATCCTCAAGTTAATCGAATCAACGTGGAGCTGATGAGAAAAGTCAAACCAGGAATAGTATAGAGTATGGCCGTCAGGATCATTGAATTTGGAATACGCTGCTGGGGGCAAGACTATCTTGGTCAAGGTTAATCTATAATCTGGATGTGCCGGACTGGTTCTAGGAATGATGTATGATTTTCGTTTGAATTGTGGAGCAACTTGCGATTGCCTAGCATCATGTACTAACGCCATCAATTTGGTGATTCTGGAATTTGATAATTGTTTTCCTGGATTGTTACGTAATGACTCTAAACAATTGGTAAGTTCTTGAATAAGATAGACATAACTCATACAATAACCAACAAACAAATTAAACTCATCCAGAACCAGTTTTTTATCAGGAAACATTGCATTGAGATGGAGATTCTGTGTAGGATACGATGTCTGAAGACCAATATGAATTAAAGAATCATGATACTCGGGATTACTTTGTGGATTAAAATGACCAGTATCCAAAAAAATAATTTTATTGTAATTTTCGCTATCGTCCTCTGTATCTGTTGTCAAGATAATCAGTTTCACTGAGCTTTCCGAACTTGAAGGGTTCTTTTTAGTTTTGGTTAAAGTTCCACCCAAGGGCGTATATAATCCAGCAAGTGACTCGATTGCGAAAAACCATATTTTGGCTAATGCCAATCCACCCGACATGTATTGATTATTTAAATCATTAGATTTAGAAATTTTACTATAATTAACCAAAAGATCCTTAGCTCCTCTTAAATGAGTTTTCCAAGAACTAAGTATGCTGTCTCTTTGGGTATGAGCACTGGCGGTGAAATTTGAAGTTAAGACTAAAACTGTTAGTAGTAACTTTTCAATATCATTGATTAAGTGGGATGAATTACGGTCACTGGCACCATTTGATGCAAATGCATCACTTAAAGAACGTAAACAAACAGAAATGTACTTTTGTCGAGTTAAATCATGAACTTTTTTACCGGTTTTGTTGAACTGGAAAGTCGCCAGTATCGCTAATAACGACGTTAAAAGGTAGGGACAATTCTTCAGATACATCAATAATAACTTGACTGTTTCATTGGATTCAACCGAAGATGCAAAGGGGTACAAATGATATGATAAATCAGTGGTAAGAAGGGTTTTCAAATAGGTTATATGGGGTGCAACCAAGTTATTATGCTTTATGCTTTCTTCAATTAGTTGACTGGTAGACATTTTCATTTCTTCGACGATTCGATCCTGTAAATTATATGATTTATTTAAGTCCTCTTGATTATGAGTATTGATCCGATCAGTAAAATCATCAATCTGGAAATTGTGTCTTTCAAATGTGTCACTTCCTGACATTGACCCCGAACTTCTATGGCTGTTGGCAGTCGGACTTGCATTATCACTTGTTATTCCCATGAATGGTGTGTTTCCATTATGAGAATCGGTTAGTGGTTGAATTTGACGTTGATGGTGTCTTAACATAGTTTCGTCGGAAGTATACAAATCATGATTTTGAAGAGCTAGATCTACCGATACTAAATGATTGATATCACTTACTAATAAGCTTGCTTCATCAAATAGATTCTGCATATCTTTATTTTTCATTAATTCGGGATTGATCAAATCAGCTCCGCCGGTGGCTCCATGTTGCAGAATTGAATGAGGTTCATTAGGAGATACGATATCTGTTATATTATTTCTAAAAGATGATTTTGGGACAGTTAAAGGAGGGGCAGGACTGTTAGCCCTAATTGAAGGGAATGCTAATGAGGTCATGGAAGGGAAACTCATTTCAGGAATGCCAGATCCTCGAGGAGGGGGTAATATGGGGGTTGTCTCTGAAGAATAATCATGCTCAACTTCGTTCCCTTTTATATCTGCTTGTTGCATATAACGATCCAGAGGGCTATGAGATGCATGAATAACTGGAGGACTTGTCATATTAGACACACTCATTGGGCTATTGGTTTTACTAAACTGATCAAGATCATCGTTACGTTTCACTATTTGAATATCCTTGTTTTCAAATTTTTCACCATTACCATTGTTATGGTTGTTATTGCTATGATCTTGAGTGGAATCCTGGGGTTGAACTTCACTAAACTTGAATCTCGACTTATTTTCGTATACACAAGTTTTATTCAATCTAGTACAATTATAGCATTCAGGTTTTTCTTCCAGGCATTTTATTTTACGACGACGACACTCGTTGCAACCTCCTCGACTATATTTTCTTTTCTTTATCACTTTCTTTTCACCATCCAGTTTCTTGCTCTCATTATCGTAGTTGCTCTCTTCGCTGAGGCTCTTATTATTTGATGTTACTGCTTTGGAAGTAGACCTTGAAGATCTTGTATTAGACTGCTTCCTAGCCATATCAAACTTTCTTGGGCCCTATTCTATTATGGTGAACTTTTGTCGGACTTCCTAATAAGTCTATATTGTAAAACTGAGGACTATTAAATGAAATTTATTAAACTCTGCTTTTGAATCTTGCTTGTTTACTCGAGTTTCGCCTGTTCAGTAAAGAATAATAACGGTAACTGTACCAAAACAAAGAGTACTCGGGTTCTTCTGCGTAATGCTGTAGCTGTAAAACGAAGAAGGTCTGACAAAAGGAAAAAACTTTATTATTTTTCAGGTCAAGAATAAAGAAAGGTAACTGATACTAGCGGAATAATTCCTCCTTATGGAAAACTTGTAAATGCACAAGTAACCTAGTATTGTAATTCTCCGTCGCTGCTATATAATATAGTAAAAGACAGCAAAAAATAGAGGGAAAGACGGAATGTCAATGTTATTTTTTTTTTTTTTTTTTTCAGTACAACGAGGAATTTTGATGTTTTATTTTTTTCTTTTAACGGCCCTGTTCAGGTTTAGGAATTTTGATGCGGCCATCACTTTAAAGTTCTACGAGACAATCAAAACATGACAAAACTAATATTATATAATTTATAAAGAACTAGTAAAAGCACATTATGGAAGAGAGGGAGACATGTCAGGAAAAGTATATATATATAAGAAACAAAGATAGTATACAGCCTAAAATACAAAAAAAAGATATGAAGCCAATTCCAATACATGACGGAAAGCATCAAAGATATAGAAAGAGACAAAAATCAATAACACATTAGAAAAAAACAAAGTAATAATAGTAAGAAGGCAAGATGTAACAGAAGGAAGGAAAAGCAATCAGAGAATACTTTGGATCTTAGTCATGATACGTCTACCATGGGGAGTGTTCTTGATATTTGGTAACAAAGGTTGTAAAGCCAAAGATAAGTCAGCCAAATCTTCTTTACTGGCAACATCCAAACTAGTTTGTAAGACGTAATTACCAAACGCATCATTTAACATTTCACTGAAACGGTCTTTATTGAGTAATAAAACCTTAATTAAACTATCGGTTAATTTATTGATTCTTAAGGATTTTTCAATGACATTAGAACCAAATTTATGTAAGGATAATGAAATAACATTTGATTTGATATGATCCAAAATGATTCTGATTGATTCATCATCACCTCTTGATAATACATATTGTACAACGTAATTTCCAAAAGGATCTAACGATAAGTTAGTGGCGTTTTCAGCCACTTTCAAAGATAATTGTTGGCGTTGTTCAGCATTACCGTGATCCAAACATCTTTGTAAAACACAACATCCATGTCTATGAGTAGCAATTTCATTACAATGTAATGAAGCAGTCTCAAAAATGAATTGATTATCTTCGGATTTTAATTTTTGTAAACATTTCTGAACAACGTGATTACCATTCAAATCTCTTGATAATGATACAATGTGAGGTGATAATGATTTGATAATTAATTGAGCTTCTTCTTCAGTAGAAATACATTCAACTAATTTTTGTAAAGCACGAGTACCATGAGGATCCAAAGCAATTCTGATAAATTCGGGTGCTGCATTTTTAACCAAAATAATTCTTTGATCATTAGAAACATTTTCAAATAATTTTTGTATGAGATAATTACCAAATGGATCAACCATTAATTCAATGATTTTTAAGTAAATTTCATTAAAAATCATGGTTGCAGCAATATCATTTGTTAAAAGATTTGGATCATTGGTTGCTGCCGCCTCGCGACCTAAATCCAATTGACGTTGTAAGAAACGGCATCCATGTTGATCTTTACACAAGGAAAAAAATTCTCCGGTGAAGTCTTCTAATTTAGCATTTGCATATTTGGAAGCATCGTCTCCTTTTCTTCTATGATTATTGTGCATTTTACGGTGCACATTCATACCATTATTCATTCCATAATTATTATGATTATGACGATGACGTCCACCGTGATGAGAATTACCACTACCATTGAAGCGATTTGACATCATGCCCCCATTAAATTGACCACCCACGGGTTGAATCCCGGAACCACCTAATCTAGTGTCGAACCCCGGTTGACCAGGAATTGATGGATGGCGGTGATGGGTATTAATGATTGGATGCTGATTCCACATACTAGGACTACCTACTTGAGGAGGTGGTCCCATAGTCATAGGAGGAGGCATTGACATGGATAAATTATCATTAAAATAAGAATTTTTAGAAGCTTCTCCTCCAATAGCTAATGACACTGGAGTAGGAGTTCCACTGATTGGGAAGTTTCTAACAGGGAATGGTTGGCCAATTGGAGTACCTGAAGGATTTACTGATGAATCATTAGAAACATTTCCTTCTTGTTTGATCCCTTTATTACCATCATATCCGCTTCCAGAGTAAACTGCAGGTTGACCAGGGTTGAATTGCATTTGAGAATCCAAGACACCACCGAAAACAGGAGGTGGAGGTGTGGAAAATGGACCATGCAAGTTTGGAATATTAGGAGGAATAGCACCGTTTGGGATTGGTCCAGAACCATTACTTGTATTAGCATTGGAGCTTGAAGCGCCACCATTGATTGAGGATTGTTCTGAGCTTGAAGCACCATCTTTTGAATCTTCAGGAAGTTCAAAAGGTTTGACTGCATTCAAATTCAAATCATTAGGATTCGATCCATTTCCATAAGCAAAAGGAGGAGCAGAGGAAGGAACGAAATTATTAGCCCAGGTAGTAGAAGGAGTACTAGTTGGACCAAAAGTCGAAGGCATAAATCCGGCACCGGAAGGATTAGGAGTTAAGGACCCTTGATGAGGTGGATGATAGAATTGTTGATAATAATTTCCAGCAGAAGCATCGGCCCCATGAGCATAGAAAAAATGGGGTTGCTGCGGGAATTGATTATCATTTTGATGTTCATTAATGGCAGCAACATCATTGGAAGGATCTTTGGGTAATTCAAAGTCTCCATCTAAATCAAGATTACCTAAAGCACCTACTATATCCAAATCAGTTGATGCGGTTCCAGGAGCAATTGTTCGATCTTGATTATTTGAAGATGGTCCATTATTGGCTGCAGAAGTAGAAACATCAATGTTACCAGAAGTACCGTCATTGGATGAAGATCCAGATGATTCTTGTACTTCATCATCCATAGAATGAGTAGAGGTATTGGCGACATCGGCAGATTGGTTGAAAAAATTTGAAGTATCTTTGTTGAAGAAACTGGATCCAATTGAAGCCGATCTCAAAGCTCCATTGTTCTTGGAAGCAGATGCTTTCAACAAAGTTACCGGTTCATTATCCATCGGATTGGACATGGATGCAGAACGTGATTGTAAATTAGCAGTCATTATGAAATTTTTCAGTCTTCTAATTTTTTTTTCAATTTTTTTCGTGAGTTGATGCAGGACTTTTTTTTTTTTTCTTTTGGTTTACTTCGCTATAGCACAGGGAGTTAAGATTAATATACAAAAAGGGTATTTTCTTTGGTTCTTTCAAAAGGAAAATCTTTAGTTTCTTGGTGGGAGGAGCAAACAGTAACAGGAATTAAAATTTTCAGTGAGGATCCTTTGGAAATCAGATGAAAAACTGTAGATTAAAGCTGCACGGGAAAATAACCTGGCGATAATAAGAAAAGCAAAAGATTCTTGAGACACTAAAGATCTTAGCAAGAGGGTTGAAGGGATTTTAAAATACAAAAAGAAAAGTAACGGGTGGGTGGGATATTCTTTAGTTTAAGAATAACTCAGATGTGAAATCAAACCCGGATGATAGAGAAAACAAATAAACAGTTCAAAGCGCAAAGACTCTGATATTAATGTACAGTTGGAATATGAGATAATAGAAAAAGAAAACGGAAGAATTAGAGGATTATGCAAAGGAAACGAAGGAAGTTGGAGAAGGAACTGGAGGCAGAGTGGGTAGATGGATTAATGACGAGCAGTATGGGATACGGTTAGATGCTTCACTTGTTTCTGAAAATGCTAAGTATGAGGGTGTTCTGTAAACGCAGCTAAAAGCCTAAACTATATGGATGATAAAGGGAAGGTGGATAATATTTAACCATTAATCTAATCCTTGAAAGTAAAACAGGAGCTAGCTTTTTTTTTTTTTTTTTTTCCAATATTCGCTGAGCCCTCAGTAAATTTGATCTGTTTTTCTACTATGAGAAAATTTTTGCCTGAATTTTTGTGTTTGAAATAAAGTCCTTCATCCTTTTTTGAGGGATCTAATGGTAAAGGCACGAAGAGGTCAGTAGAGGACTACTACTATTACTGGGTAATCGAAGCTTTATACAACGGCTGTAGACATGTGTCAAATCCAGAAGGTTGATTTGCTAATTCTGCTAAATATAGAGATGTAGATTAATCTTATCGATTTTGAAATTTGAATTGCTGCAAGATTTTTCAATCGTCAGCTAAGAGTCGTCAACATATACTTCTTAAGCGAAGTTATACACGAGGTTATACTGGTTGTTTATTTGAGATACTTTACTGTCTAAGTAACACCCGGTTTAGGAGGGATGAATTCTCCTGAAGGCCATTTAAGAATTGCAGCATTTGAAAAATCGCTATAAACATTAGAGTCCGGAATTTTGCGACCAATTCTCAAGAAGATCAGGAAGCTACCTTGTTCATCTTTGATCTCGTTCTTGGTCATGGCTGCATTGATCATATCTGTCATCAGTTGCGAATTGGTGAATAACTCTTTAATATTGACCGAGTCTACTTTATCCGCAACATATCTTTCGATATCATTGATCAATAGAGAGACCAGGGTGTATTTTTGTTTATCTGAAGGAATATTAGCCCAGCTTAATATTCCTGAATTTTTATTAAAGTCTAGCAACTCTGGTGGTAGAATCTTTCCCGACGGATCGTCTCTATTTAACGACGTAGCGGTTTCTGCAATGGCTGCAAGCCCCCATCTTGATACACCAGATAAAAACAATCCAAACAAGATTCCTTGGAACATTATTGCAGTTCGGCCACGAGTGGCACATCCCGGTATTAATAACATCGCCAAGATATAATGATGGATTCGAAGGGTTAACCCTGGTAACTGAGATATGATAATTAAACTGAATATGAAAGTAAAGTAGATATTGATATATTTTTTAAATCTCCCACTCAACCATATCTTATAAGCTTGAATTATAGCACAAGTCAAGATTGTGAATATGATACTACCAACAGCTAGAAACCCTCCTGGTTGTCTTTTCAAATCTTCTATAGTTAGCCGATCAACTGGTAATCGATCAAAAGAAATATTATTCAAGACTCCAAGCCAAAATAATGGATACCATAAAAATAGTCTTGTCAAAGGTGAATGTTTCATGTTTGACTCTTCCGGCAAAGTATCAAAGGTTCTTTTAGACGAGGTATGCCATAACACATATAAAATAAAACAGGTTGGTAAGAATCTTTCTAAGCCAATAGAAAGCAAATGGGAATAGGTTTCAGGATCCATGGCATCGACAGTAACTGGGGGGTCCGTTGCTAAACAAATAGTCCAGAACCCAGCAATGTTGATCGCCCAATACATCACACATCCACTGGCAAGATAAACTATGGGGATTCCTAATATAATATTCACGATAAGAATCAAGAGTCTTGGATCATAACAATGGCTGAAAAATTCATCTTTTTGCAACTTTAATGTTTTGAAAAAATATGAATTGGGGAAAAACGAATTGAAATCAATTGAATCGCTTACCCCGTAATGTCCTTTAGTAGAAGGGAAGGATGATTGGGATTTGCTGTCAAAAGAAACCCGGGCACATCCACCAAAGAACGGAGAAATCAAACCGGCATGGACCCCAGCTCCACAGGGAAATGAATCAGCTCGATAAGGATGACTCAATTGATTATTCTTTTCATCATGGTACTCACCACCACCAACAAAGTATCCCCTGTATCTAACTCTTTGATCCCCAATTGGGGCTAAAGAGTATACCCAACTACCACGATCACAAAGAGCAGGGCACCTGAAAAGAACATCCTTGCCCGAATCAATCGAGGGACATAACTCCCCATTCAAACCACAGGCAGCGTTTTTTCCTCGCCAAAAAGAATTACTCGATTCACAAGATAATGCCAAAATCGGAGGATCGTGGTTATTCGAAGATTGTGGGGGATGGGTGAAATATGGAATCAAGATATTATAACATAACCCAAACCAAAGGAAAAAGTACAGAATCAATGCTAAAATTCTAATCTTTCTAGGAACGTTTTTGTTTATACGGTCAGGAATTTCTTCCAACGGCATCAAAATATGAATTCTTGGTGCTGGATCATCAACTGGTTGTGTGGGACCATTCCAAAGTCTATACAAGAATCGTTTTATCCTCCCCTTGGTCGATTGATCGAAAATATAATCATCCAAGTATTCATCATCACCATTATTCGAATCAAAATCATAATCCTGCGTATTTGCTTCTTGATTTGTATTTGTTCTTCTGTCTTCTTCGTTTATATTCTCAAGCAATCTCTGATTGGTTTCGTCATCCATAGCTGAATCCTTCTTCGACTTGTGATTCACATCTAGTGCATCAAGAGGAATTTCTTCTGTAAAAGAATCCCTCAGGGGTTCATTCATTCTCTTTATATGTAGGCACCTAGAGCTAAAATTTTCCTTTATCGGCTAGGATGGATTGGAAAAAATAAGTCGTTACTCGTCCCTTACTAGTTAGCGATCGTGTGATAAGGAAGTACAAGAGAATTGCTGGAAGTATACCCTCGACGTATTAGCTTCTGATGTGTAGCCTGGATTGCTGATAGTGAAAAAACCTAAGAAACACACTTATGTGAATTTTTCAATTCTTCGATAGTGTTGTCTTCATTCTTCGTGCTCTTAATGATTTTTTTTTTTATGTTTTGTTCCGCTTTTCTCAGACGACTTTTTGCAATTACTAGCACAGTAAATTTTAGTAAAGCAGATTACAGTAGGACTACAAATGAATAAATTAACTTTGTTTATTTAGAAAACTGTATAAGAAGGAAAGAGACATAAAACAAATTAAAAATTACCCGTCATGAAAAAAGATAAGAGAAACTGAAAGGACATAATATACACGGTCAAAGAGACCAAAATTGACTTTTAAAAGATTAACCAGAACACATGGTACATGATTCTGGGTTATCAATTGCACAAGCAATAACCTTAGAACTGAAGATATCAGATTCACTTTCACCTGAATCACCTTCGGCTGGTTTTTCTTTCTCTTCAGTAGGAGCGGCAGCAACTGGAGCTGGGGTTGATTCAACAGCTGGAGTGCTTTCTTTAGTGTCGTTAATTTTTAAGTCAGCAATTGAGTTTTCTAAAGAGGTTGGTTCAGTTGAACCAGATCTATTTGAAAAAGACTCATTATCGCTACCGGAAGCATGAACTCTTGGAATGTATTTTCTTTGATTAAGTTTTTCCAAAGATGCTTCAACTTTACCAGCGGCAACAACAGAGTCTTTATCAACGGTGAATTGAATGGCAGCAGCGGCAGCTTGAGTTCTTAAGTAGTACATACCAGTCTTCAAACCTTTCTTCCAACCATAGAAGTGCATAGAGGTCAATTTACCCATTGTTGGATCTTTAATATGGATATTTAAGGATTGAGATTGATCAATGAATGCAGCTCTATCAGCAGCCATATCAATGATATGTTTTTGAGAAATTTCCCAAACAGTTTTATATAAAGCTTTAATTTGATCTGGAACATTTGGTAAAGATTGAACAGAACCGTTATTGGCAATAATATTATTTTTCATGGCATCATTCCAAATACCTAAATCAACTAAATCTCTTAATAAGTATGGGTTAACAATTTGGAATTCACCGGCTAAAACTCTTCTAGAATAGATATTAGAAGTATATGGTTCGAAACATTCATTGTTACCTAAAATTTGAGAAGTGGAAGCAGTTGGCATAGGAGCAACAAGTAAAGAATTTCTTAAACCGTGTTTAGCCAATTTTTGTTTCAAAGTGTCCCAATCCCATAATTCAGATGGTTTTCTATTCCATAAATCAAATTGTAATAAACCTTTAGAAGCTGGAGAGCCTTGATAAGTTTCATAAGGACCTTCTAATTCAGCTAATTCAATTGAAGATTCAACAGCAGCATGATAAATAGTTTCGAAAATTTGAATATTTAATTCTTTAGCAAGTTGAGAATCAAAAGGTAATCTTAAAGCCATAAAAGCATCAGCTAAACCTTGAACACCAAGGGCGATTGGTCTATTTCTCATATTAGATCTTCTGGCTTCAGGAACTGGATAATAATTACGGTCAATAATTCTATTCAAGTTGCGAGTAACAACTTTAGTAACTTCATGTAATTTTTCAAAATTATACCAAACACTATTATTGTCTTTTTCAACAAAAGAAGGTAAAGCAATAGAAGCCAAATTACAAACGGAAACTTCTTCAGGAGAAGAATATTCAACAATTTCACAACATAAGTTAGAAGACTTAATGATACCTAAATTCTTTTGATTAGTTTTTTCATTACAAGCATCTTTATATAACATGAATGGAGTACCAGTTTCGGTTTGAGCTTCTAAGATATGATACCATAATTTTTGAGCTTTAACAGTTTGTCTACCACGACCTTCACGTTCATATCTTTCATATAATTCAACGTATTCATCACCATAAACATCAGCTAAGCCAGGAGCTTCATTTGGAGAGAATAAAGTCCAATCTTTATTTTGTTCAACTCTTTTCATGAATAAATCAGGAATCCATAAAGCAGGGAATAAATCTCTAGCTCTAATTTCTTCTTTACCATGATTTTTTCTAATTTCGATAAAATCAAAAATATCGGCATGCCAAGGTTCTAAATATAAAGCAAAAGCACCAGGTCTTTTGTTACCACCTTGATCAACGTAACGAGCAGTGTTATTGAAAACACGAACCATTGGAATAATACCATTGGAAGTACCATTAGTACCGGCGATATAAGCACCAGTAGAACGAATATTGTGAATATGTAAACCAATACCACCAGCAGATTTAGAGATTAAAGCACAAGTTTTCAAAGTATCATAAATACCATCGATAGAATCTTCTTTCATAGCAACCAAGAAACAAGAAGACATTTGAGGGCTTGGGGTACCGGCATTAAATAAAGTTGGAGAACCATGAGTGAAATATCTTAAGGACATCATATTATAAGTTTCGATAACTCTTTCAATGTCATCACCGTGAATACCAACGGCAACTCTCATGATTAAATGTTGAGGTCTTTCAGCAACTTTACCATTAATTCTTAATAAATAAGATCTTTCTAAAGTTTTGAAACCAAAATAATTATAATTGAAATCACGGTCGAAAACAATGGCAGAATTCAACTCGTTGGAGTATTTTTGAACAATATCGTAACTTTCTTTTGAAATCATTGGAGAATGTAATCCGGTTTTAGGATTTACGTATTCGTATAATTCTTTTGAAACTTGAGAAAATTGTTTGGTGGTTTGTTTATGTAAATTAGAAACAGCAATTCTAGCAGCTAAAATGGCATAGTCTGGATGAATGGTAGTCATATAAGCAGCGGTTTCAGCTGCCAAGTTATCCAATTCAATAGTGTTAACCCCTTGATAAACCCCAGAAATCACTCTTTGAGTAATGGCAACAGCATCAACATGTTCAGTATCTAAACCATAACATAATCTCTGCACTCTGGCGGTGATTTTATCAAAACGAACTGGCTCTTTACGGCCGTCTCTCTTATAAACATACATATCTAATAAAACGTACTATAAAGAAGAAGAAAATCCTAGTAGATTAAGAAAAAGTGGGAATCAACAAGTTATTATATACTAGCTACGCGTCTGACAAATACTAGTAATTTGTTTTTTTTTTGTTTTTTTTTTTTCGTTTTGTTAGACACCACTGCGGGTAACCCGTGCAAGAACGCGTTTGCTTCATCAAAAACGCCTAAACCACAACACAAACACCTAAATATTTCATGAATGAAATTTATTTCTTTAGCCAATTCAATGATTTGGGATGGAAGGTAAACAGTTCAAGGTGAGATCTGGTGTCAACACACCTCTGGCTGGGGGTCCCGTATCGGTATAGGGTATTGTTAAGATCATCATCAATGCCGATAAGAAAAAGAAACCTGACATGGACATGATAGTAGACGTGGACGTGGACGTGGACGTGATAGTAGACAGACGTGATAGTAGACAGACGTGATAGTAGACAGATGTGATAGTAGACAGACGTGATAGTAGACCATGCGTAAATTAATTGACTGGATGATTGAACCTATGTCCGAAGGACCTAAGGTGAGTGACATACACAAGCTCAAGCTCGTGATTCGACTATACCATGATTGCTTACCATGTACGAGTTATCCATGATTTGTCATCTGGTTTATACTCTTTTTTATTCCCGGTTTACTGTTTTTGGAGACTGTTGCAGTCAGTTTTATTGTGCGACTCAATTGGGAAATCAACGTACTACATTAGGCTCTATCATGTTAATCGAATATGTATTTAATCAGAAAGTTATATAATTGGTTAAGGTGCAAGAATTACTTGCTTTCTTCCTTAGTCAAGTCACTAAAAAAAGTTAGTATCGTAGCTTATCAGCCAATGAAAAAGCAGTACATACTTGAACCATTTTTCCAAGTCGAAATCGTCTTCTTTCTTGGTGGCGGCTGGAGCAGCTGGGGCTGGAGCAGCCTTCTTTTCACGGGGCCAGGCAGCAACTGCTACAACTGATGATAAAGTTAAGATGGAAAGCTAGGTTGAGGTTAGTAGTGGTTGAATAAGCATGATTGCAGAAGAACATACAACGTGGGCTGGAACTTGTTTACCTAAGATAGTGTATGCGGCGGCCATGGTAGGAGTGTAGATGGATAGTTGAATAGATGGATGTTTCAATTGATCTAATGATGATGATAGTAGTATTCATTTGACGTTTTCTTTTATTCAGTTATTGATTGGCAAGCAGCAATTCCGATTCGATCGTGCGGGATTATGTAAGCACCCGTACATCCGGCCACCTTATTCACCTCTGCTGGTCTACTTCTACTTCTCTATCTCTGCTTGTCTGCTTGTCTACTTCTCTATCTCTGCTTGTCTGCTTGTCTATCTCTGCCTGTCTTCTTCTCTGCTTGTCACTTGTCTACTGGTCACTTGTCTACTTCTTAAAGATTCAAATGTGCTTGATCTGGAGATTAGGTTTCTCATGTTTCACAAGGACCATATTACACAAAATCATTCTGGCATCTCCCTCAGTAAACGAGCCAACACTTGTCCAGCAGGATAAGGTTTATGAATTGAAGACTACAGTGATCAGTGCTTTCAGTTTGTAGAATGTAGAGTTAGTGTGTTGAACTAGTTTGTAGATTTAGTGTGTGGATTTAGTGTAGAATTAGTTTGTAGAATTAGTTTGTAGAATTAGTTGTAGAATTAGTTTGTAGAATTAGTTTGTAGAATTTGGTGCAAAATTAACTTACAAATTGCGAAATTAACTATATTACATTCATATACACTAAGCAACAGCTTCCCGCCAGTAGTTTTCACAGCCAAACTTATTCAAAACCATATAGGCTTCATCGTCATTACTAGAGTGCATGACCGACCACTTCTTGAAATGCAACTGCTTCAATTGACCTTCCCATAGAACATCACATTGATTTTGAGATAAATCCTCCAGTTGTCCCCCTTGGGTCCATTTGATTCTTCTAGTCATCAATTTCTTATAGAAGTTGATATTTTTCAGTCCCCCTTCCACAATGATCAAGTTGAACCGGGGATTTAATAAAATGACCCCTACAAAATCAAGCTGTTTTGCATTCATATCAACTTTGAAAAAATGCTGAGGATCTTGCAAAGTTTGCACCTTATATACCGTGGTGAAGTATCCCTTCTGCAAATCTTGTTCATGTTGACGTTTGATTTTGTCATGTTTTTCATCTTTGGTTAGTTTGCGTTCTTCATTTTCTTGCATATGTTTTTGATATCTTTCTTCAACTTCTTGCTTAACTTTCATTTCTACTCCCGTTGGATCCTTGATGGCTTCATTGGTTAAAACGTTCATCAAATTGGATAATTTAACCTTAGGCGGTGGTGGTGCATCTAGCCCAAGTTTAATTCGGTCCTGTTGATCTTTATGCTTTTGTTGTCGATCATTCCGCCTTATACGTTTCATTTCTTTCTTGGTTAAGTACATTGCCTTTTCTTCACTCAAATGGCTTTCCCATGGAGGTGGAATCAAAACCGGGTGCTGGATATATATCGATACCGGTGCTTCTTCACTATCTAACTTTAATTCGGATCCGTATTTCATCTCGCTTAAATATGGTCGGTCCCACCATTCAACTATAGGAGGATACTGGGGTTTATACAAGTGCTCTGCGAGGTTTTCATCCGGCAATAACCCTTTCAGTCTTATGTCTTCTATTCTTTGGCGTTCTAATTCTTCCTCCTTAAGTCGTTGTCTTAATTCATTGGCCTTTGCTATATGTTTACCTTGTGGATTTAATTGCAATGGTCGTGGTTTATGTTGTAGTTTGGGGTCCACAGACATATCCGATTGGTTTAAATAGGGATTTATGGCTGCCGGGTCAAACCACTGGCGAACATTTTGTTTAAGTGGATTATGGTTTTTAGGTATCGATGGTGTTTTCCCAATGTTTCGTAATAATGGATGTAGTTCCACATTCAAACCTCCCTTGCCTTCTCTAGTCTGGTCTTGTTTCGTATCGTCTACCGTTTTTTTACCCTGATTATCTGATTTGGCCTGTTGTTTAGCTAATAGCCTTGCCTTTGCTTTGGCAACGGCATCTTCTGTATTCACCGATCTAGTCAATCCCGAATTCCAGGCTGGTCTTTTAGAGCTCTGCCCCGACCCATTGGAATTCTGTCTTTTCCTATATGACATGCCGTTTATCTAAGCTATCAAGCTACTTTCAACTACTTTGAAATGGCTAAAAAATGTCTATATCTTGTGTAGTGTGTTTTTACCAACTCTTTACAAAGTCATCATAGCAAAAACTTAGAGAACATGGAAAAAAAAAAAAAATGAGGAACAAAAGATCTAATATGCTTTTGCAAAAGATACAATCTTAACCTTTTGATTGTTTTCTAAAATTCATAAACTAGTTGAACGAGATCAATCAATCAGCTTATATTTAGTATACTTAAGTTCGTTTGATTAGTTTATTGGTTCTAATTGGCATCTTCAATCAAGAGTTGTGTGATTCGCAAAGTCAAAAGTTGCTCAATATATGAGTAATCACAAATAAAGCAAAAAAAATTGATTCCTGAACTTTGTCAATTAGTAATACTTTTAATATTTCAAAAGACTATTACTCCGCTTAACTGTCATTTCCATTGCGCTCGTTAAGTATGATAATCTCAAAGAAACATTTGAATAAGGTTGAAATGGAGAAACCATTGAAACCCTTGATTGATGAGTTAACCGAATGTCCTGAGAATCAGTTGCCAGTCAAGTTAAGACAAAACTTGACTTGGGAAAGACCAAAAAGTAATTTATTTCATTGGATCCCCCTTTTGAATAGATTTGATGAGGTTTTTGAACATTATATTTCAGAATATGGTTTAGATGAAGAATTTACTAAATTACGTGTGATGAGACCTGAGCATGCTGACATTTTGGTTTCATGCTTGCAATTCACTTATCTTTTATTGGAACATTGTGCCAATAGATCAATTTATTCGAGTTCTGATCGAATTTTCCATTTACTCAATACTGCTACTATTGATGTGAGACTACATGCTCTTCAGGTAGCAGTAATGCTTGGTGAAAGATATCTTCAAACTAACTCCTCCAAATATTCTTCCCCCAAGCCAGTAAAATTGAAAGTATTGGAATTGGCAAAATTCTATCCTTTACCTATTCCTCCAAATTTCAACCCCAGAACAAATAACCACCAAAATAAAAATGTCGATTCAGATGACAAAAATAAAAATGAGCATTTAAGCTTACTTGATACTATTACAAATAAAAAAAGATATCCTTCAAAATGGAGACTGATTCAATTCCAATATTTCAAAACTGAAGTTCCTCCTCCTCAAACTCAAAAGGAAACCAAGAAGAAGAAGAAGTCAAAGAAAGAATCGAAAAAGGATAATAAATCATTAGCAAGAGATACATTTCAAGAAGGTTTAGCAGACTTTACTCTTTCTGAAGAAAATGTTCGAAAATTGTCCTTGGAACAAATTTATGACAAGGCCACTGAAGTAATTCCAAAAGAATTTTGGTTTGAATTTTCATTGCATGCTCAAGTGGTTAAATCTTTCAATACAAAATCTTATGATTCAATCAATTTACGTGAACAATTGCTTCGTACCAAGTGCTTAGCTATTGCATTTGTTTGTTGTTCTTGTCCATCGGATTTTACTGCCCCAAGATTGTTTGAATCCGAACCTTATATTTTCAGCTTTTTAACCGACTTTATTCAACCAGAGAATACTGACCTTGTCTCCAAGGATGTTTATTTCGCTGCTATTAAAACATTAGAATGTATTTCAATGAGGAGAGTTTGGGGTAATGATATAATTAGATGCATGGGTGGTAACGTTAACCATGGTACTTTATTTCAAGTTATTCGACACATAAATAAAAAAGTCCGTGATGAAGATGATGACCTTTTTGAAAGAGGCTATGGTCATTTTTTCAATGTGTTGGGTAATTTAATAGTTTTTAAAACTGCTACTCCAAGATTAACCGCTGGTGGTATTTTAAATGATTTAATGCTGTTTTTGGAAACAAAGTCTAAGTATAGATGGACTTGTTCAGCAGCACTACATATACTCACACTTTACTTGAATGCTGCTCCAGAGTCATTTACGGACTTTGTATCAAATGATGGTTTCAATAAATTGATTAATACTGTTAACTACGAAGTTGATTTTGCCTTGGAAAATCCAGGTTTTGGTGGAGGACCTCCAAAAACTGCCGTGACTTATTATAGTATCACCCTCAGACAATCAAATTACATTAGAAATTTGTTAAAGCTTGTTTCACACTTAATTCAATCGGAATCCGGTGATATTTTACGTAATTTGTTTGATTCTTCAATTTTACAAAGCTTTAACAAAATCATTTTGAATCCAAAAGTTTTCGGCCCTGCAATTTTATCTGCAACAGTTGATGCAGTGTTTTATATTATTCATAATGAACCTACTGCATTTTCAATCCTTAATGAAGCTAACGTCATTGATACAATCTTGGATAATTACGATAACTTATTTATTCCTTCTAGCGATTTGTTAGTATCATTACCAGAAGTCTTGGGAGCTATTTGTCTCAACAAAGAAGGTTTAGATAAAATTATAAAACAAGAAACTATCTCAAAATATTTCAAATCTTTCTATGTTTTGGAACATGCAAAACAATTAGTCAGATCAGACATGTCAACCAACCTTGGATGTTGTTTTGATGAACTTGGAAGACACTACTCTTCCTTAAAGCCCATAATTATGCGTGAAGTTGTTGCGTTATTACAAAATTTGTTTAAATTTAGTAATGAGAAACTTGATTGCCTCCATTTTTATGACTCTCCAAATGGTGCTCTATACTTGAGTAATGACGAAAAGCCCGATCAAAAATCAAATCATCCCCAAGATGATAAAGAAATTGATGTTTGGGAAACCTCAGATACTGCCTATATTCTCGATAATCTTTTCTTTTTCCTAGGGGGGTTATTGCAAGACAGTGGTCAATGGGGTAATGATGCTATAGAATCAATTAAATTTGAAGTTTGGGCTGCCTTTTTAACTTTGGATTACGTACCATTTGATTATACTACTTCTAATGGTCTTTCCAGTTTGATGGGTGTTTTAAAATATTTCGATGATGAAGATAGAACATATGGATTCCCAGTTTTGTTCCGCATTTTTAAGTCTCAATTTCAAAATCCATTAATTCAAGATTTCATGTCATTTGATAATTCCAGTGTATCGTTTTTCGAACGATATAATTTTGATCCTGTGGGTGGTACAAAATTTTTGAATGAATTGAACAAACTCAATACGCTTATGTATACCATAACAGAGATTTACATTAACCAATCATTATTATTCCCAGATAGATACGTTCAAATTGCTACTTATTTTGGGGCAGAGGGACTAGAAGTGATTGATTACATGGGGGCTATTTTAAGAAAATGTGCACAAGAAGAAATAATCATTAGATCCAATGTCCCTGAGATAGTTGCTAGAAAGACTGCTCCAGTAATGGACGTTTCTAATAACTATGTTCCGGTACAAGTTTTTACGTCTAAACCAGATTCTCAAGAAAAGGAAGACTTGTCTATAGCCAAGTTCAAGAATACTTTACAAATCCGTTTTCTCACTTATCGTATTCAAAACCACATAGCAACTATATTCGCCTCTATAGGTCGCGTGTGTATGATGAGAAGACAAGATTACAGTCAATACATATTCAGAAGAAGAGCTGTCAATATAACAAATAAACTTGCAACAGTTATGACTGAGGCAATTGATGCTAAAGTCAGTGAATCAATGAAAGAGAATTACCTCTTGATTATGGCAAATATATTTTCTATAGTGATTCTTAATAAGGAAAGAAACAAGTATCTTGCTCAAACATCATTGATCATTGCCCTTATCGAATCAGGATTCTTCTCTTCGTTGAAGGATTCAGCAACTCATCTTTGGAACAGAATGTTGCAATTAGACCCAGATGAAGTTAAAAGTATAGAAAAACTTGAATATATCAGCTCTCAAGATGCCAGTATCACGAAAAATGCGCTAAATCAAATTTTGTCAATTTTTGCTAATACAACCAGCTTTGATTCCTATCCTGCGTTCCCTAATTGTGATCTTTATTATCATTATGGGTTTGAAAAACGTGCGGAAACTCAATTATTGCCTTCATTATTAGTGGAAGTAAGAATCGTTGCTATTAAGTTATTGGTTACCTGTATGGGAAGCGACTCAAAATTGTTCGATCTGAGCTCAAAGTTTCACCCTGGAAATATCCCAACTGCTGTAATTGAGAAAATGATTTCAATTTTCAAGACCTCTTGGAATCGAAATCATGAAGTCGATTCGGATTCTTTTATTCCTTTACAACCAGAGAATGTTAGCCCTTCGAGCGATAACATTGAACTTTTGAAATCTCTCGGACTAGATGAAACACAAGCTATTCATTTATTCAAACATGTTCATTCCCTCAAGGATTTGTGCGACACTGAATGGCCAGATTGTTCCGAAATTGGAATTTCTGAAGAAAAATGGAATGAGCTCAAGGGGTCGATTGGTAATTCAAGTGAACTTTACTCACCCAAGTCTTTTGATTTACCTGGTTATAAGGTAATTGACAGGTGTAGACTGCAGAATGCTGAAGCTTTTCAAAAGAGCTGGATCAAGATAGTTGGGTTGTTTCCTAAGAATGCTGAAGATATCGCTGCTATGTTCAAATTCATCATTAAAGATCTCGATGCAACTCTTACTGATGTCATGGACAGTGTAATCGACCTCTCAAAGTCTAAAAACGAAGAAGGACTCGGCGCTACGACCCATTTACTCTGCTTACTCTTACGAAATGGGTCCCAAATCAAGGATAGATCACCAATTTATGAACGATTCAATTCCTTCTTCTTAACTCAATTCACCCATGCAAATGTCAACAAAGATTTTTTTGCATATGGATTGCACATACTTGCTCAGATGTTGAGTTATCGTGATATTCCTGATCCTGAAGTCAGTGACTTTGACTTCGGTTCTATGGAAAAACGACCAGCGACTTTTAATGATGACCAAATGGAAGAAATTTTTGCTTCTTTAATTAATCTCCAAAATATTAAGGATATCAAGTCAGCCATTGGTATAGGTAAGTTATTGTTGTTGTATTCTAAAGATTCTAGATATACCTACAAAATTACTGAATCAACCTTATTGAAAGAATTGATTCCTTTAACTAAAATTTTTATCGATGAAGAGAATAACTTACTTGAGTTTTATCAAAAGATTATGAACATTTTATTGAGGACTTGCTACGAGACCAAGGATGTTTTACGCACCTTATTTTCGGCGGAGATAAGTCAAAGTTTCGATACTAGGACTAAAAAGGCGACCTTTCAAATGCTTATAGATGAACATTGCGAACTTATAATTAGAGATCAAAACTTATTTATCGACGTATTTTCTGATCTTGTGAGGTATTATAATTACGATGGCAGTCTGAGAAACTTCAGCAACTTAACGACAATGTTGAAGGATGATCTTACTAAACCAAAATCTACTCAGAATGACAAAACTGAACAAAAGGATGGCGAAGGTGATATTGAGATGGAAAGTGTGAATGACAAACCCCCTGTTGAATACATTGGAACGAATAACACTCCGCCTTCCACAGGTGTTGTTCATCTCCTTTTGACAGAGTTGATGGAGGTGAGTAAGCGCGATTGGGTATCAACTCCAGAGGATGTGAAAGAAAAAGAGGCAAATGCTAGTGAAAAAGATAAGAAGAAAGATAACGACATCGTTCTTTTGATGAAAAATTCAAATTTTGCCTATTCCTGTTTTCTTTTGAAGACTATCACTGAACTCGTTGGTTCTTTCAAACAGTCTAAGCTCGAGTTTTTGACCTTTTCAAAGAAGTTGCACCCCGAAGATAAATTGAAACCACGTTCTACTTCCTTGAACTTCTTGACCCATCAACTAATCCCAACGGAGTCACTAATCAAGTCTAGTGGCGCCGAATTTGAAAGAAGAAATGCCATCTCGTCGCTTGCAAAACTTTCTAATTTAGCTTTGTTGTCTACCCCTGTCATCGAAAAAGATCAAGTCGCGGATCCAAACAAGGAAGACGCAGATATGGCTGTTATCAGGAAATTTTATGTTGATGTTCTTCTGAAGAATCTTAAGGAGGTATTGGCTTTACCAAAGACAGCAAATATTCGTTACAGTAAGTTGATTGATATCTTCAATTTGGTAGGCTCACTTTTGAATCCTAAATTTCGCGAGCTTTCCGGCCCTCTTTTAAGTAAGAATGCCACCAAATATGACACCTACTTCATTGCGAAAGCATTGATTGACAAACAAGTCCCAAATCAGTTAACTTCCATTCTATCTGAACTTGATTTGAATTTCCCACAAATCAATAAAATAATAAAGTCGGGATTGAAGCCTATTAACTATATCGGAAAAGTCAAGACAGATTTCCAAGACTTATTTAAAGCTGGTTACCAAGGAGAGAAAGATGACGAAGATATTGTCCCAGAGGATGTTGATGATCGAGATGAGACTCCTGATTTATTCAAAAACTCTACCTTGGGTATGTATGATGTTGACTTTGATAGTGAGGATGATGAGGGTGATTACTATGATGATGAGGGTCCATTAGAAGTATTGATGTCTGGCGAAGAAATCTCAGAAAATGAAAGCGACTTGGACTCTGAAATGGAAGACGAAGATGGCTTGGATGATGGATACGGAGACAGTGGTCTGGAAGATGTTGAAGGAGATGAGGGTACTTACTCTAATGACGAGGATATGGATGATGGTGGTATTGAAATTATTGACGAATTAGACATACATTCTCATGACGAAGCTGATAGCGATTCTGATGACTATTCCGATTCTGATGGAAATGAATTTTACAGCCAAGATGATAATGAGCAAGATGATGGATATGAGGATGTTAGTGAATATGACGATGACGAATTAGATGGCTGGATTGAGGAATTCGAAGATGGTGATGAGCCATCCGATGGAAGTGGATCAGAAGCTGAAGACGACGCAGGTGCTGACCAAAGTATCATGCGGATTCGTAGAAACCGTAATGGTTCTATTGAGCCTACCACGGAAGACGACCCTGCAGATGCTATGAGTGAAGATGATTCCGAAATTGAAGATCCGGAAAACTCTGACTCACTTCCAGCCTCAAGAAGACGTGCTAGAGATTTTGCCACTTCCTTTTTCGATGCTTTAAGGCCAGCAATGGGAAGAACTAATATAGCATCACTATTTGGTGGTTTATTCAGTACTGCTAATGATGATTATCAACTTTTAAGGGGATCTATCCAAATTGGTGGTGAACGTGCTAACGGTATCCCTAGATTTGAAAATGCTTTAGACTTTTTGCTGGGAAATAGAAACAAGAACAATGATGATCCTTTGAGCAGTATGTACGTGAAATCAACACGTGAACGTTGGGACGATCTCTTCGAAATTTTTTTCTATCCCTTGGACAGGAAGCGCTTCTTAAGCATTGCTCCTGCGATTCACAACCGTATTGCTGGTGAAAGTTTGGATTTACTTAACAAGAGAAAGGACGAAATGGAAACAGCTAGGAAGGAAAGAGCAGAAAAAATGCGTAAGAAGGAGGAAGAAGAACGTGAAAGACGTGAAGAGGAAGCCAAAAAGAGAGAAGAAGAAGCTGCAGCTGCTAATGATAATAATGAGCCAACTGCTCATGTACCAGTTATGGTTCGTATTGGTGATCGTGAAGTTGACATAGGTGGAACTGATATAGACCCTGAATTTTTTGAGGCATTACCTGATGACATGCGTGAAGAAGTATTCACTCAGCATGTCAGAGAAAGAAGAGAAAATGCTACAAATACTGGTACCGATGCTCGTGAAATTGATCCAGATTTCCTCGATGCACTTCCTGAGCAGATTCGAGAAGAAATTTTGCAACAAGAATCAATGGCAAGACGCTTTTCATCATTTGAAGACGAAATGAGATTTAATGATAATGAAGATGATGAAGATGATGAAGATGAAGATGGAGATATCATTGAGCCAGAGGAGATTGAACTTTCTCCACTTGGTGTCCCTACTTCGGGGTTGTCTAGATCATCTAGAAGTGAAAATAATAAAAAATCGTCTAAAGTATTTTTCACCCCACTTATCGAACGCCCTGGTGTTGCATCTTTAGTGAAATTGCTCTTCATTCCACAGCCAACTACTCATAGAGACAGTATTCATCACACTTTACAAGCTTTATGTCATAGTAAGCAAACGAGGGTTGAGGTCATGAATCTCTTGATCGGTATTCTTCAAGATGGTCTTCACAATCAACGTTCAATTGAAAAGCTTTACCATCAAATAACAATAAGGGCTTCTCTCTCTAGTGGTAAGCATAATGTGTCCGTTGGCAACAACAAATCTACCTCCTCACAAATACCTATTGGAGCAACTCCGATTTCGGTTGGTACTCAAGTAATTGAAGCAATACACTATTTGTTGGAACATAACAACCACTTACGTTATTATCTATTAACTGAACATGAAAATACTTTCGTCGCTAAAAACAGCTTCAATAGAAAAAATAAATCAAAGCTCTCGTTAAGTAAGGAAGACAAATATCCAATAAACTATCTTTTGAAATTGCTTGACAATCATACAGTTCGGGATGAGCAAGTCTTCATTGATATTTTGGCAAGAGTTTTACATATAGCTACTAGGCCCTTGCAGATTTTACACAAACCAAGAAATAGTGGCAACCCTCCTCCATTTGCTTCACCTGTGATTCCAGATCATAATTATCGTCAACTCATTAAAATATTAACCTCCAATGATTGTCCTAATACGACCTTTAGAAGAGCTATAAGTGCTATGCAAAGCTTGTCCATCTTACCAAATGCTCAACGTGTTTTCAGTATTGAACTTTCAGATCAAGCCACCAGTTTAGGAAATACCATTATAAATGATCTCAAAGCATTAACTAAAGAATTGGCTGATGCAAATGATTACAATACCGAAAGCAAGTCGTTTGCTAAATTTAGCGCTTCAAGCTCTGATCAAGCTAAATTACTTCGAATTTTGACTGCTTTGGACTACATGTTTGAATCAAAAGAAAAAGAAAAGGACAAAGAAGATCAACCCAAACCCGACAGTGAAAGTGCTATTGTGGATGATGAGGAAGAAACTCCCAAGCCTGCACAAGCATTTGCTTTTAGAAGAATGAGTATCGATGAGATTGAAGAATTAACTGGCTTATATAAAAGGTTAGCTTTAGGTACCTTATGGGATGCCTTGAGTGACTGCTTAAGAATTATGGAAGATAAGCAAGGAATGGCGAATGTCTCCACTGCATTACTACCTTTGATTGAAGCACTTATGGTTGTTTGTAAACATAGTAAAGTGAAAGAAATTCAAATCAAGGATGTTGTTAAATTTGAAGCAAAGAAAATTGATTTTACCAAAGAACCAATTGAAAGCTTATTCTTTTCATTTACCGATGAACATAAGAAAATCTTAAATTACATGGTTAGAACAAATCCAAATTTAATGAGCGGACCATTTGGTATGTTAGTGAGAAATCCCAGAGTTTTAGAGTTTGATAATAAAAAGAATTTCTTTGACAGACAACTTCATCAAAACAAGAATGCAAATAATAAGTTAGCGGTTAATATTCGTCGTGACCAAGTATTCCTTGACTCCTATAGAGCATTATTTTTCAAATCAAGAGATGAATTCCGTGATTCTAAATTAGATATTAATTTCAAAGGTGAATCTGGTATTGATGCTGGTGGTGTTACTAGAGAATGGTATCAAGTATTATCAAGACAAATGTTCAATCCTGACTATGCATTATTCACACCAGTTGCTTCAGATGAAACTACATTCCATCCTAACAGAACCTCATATATTAATCCAGAGCATTTATCATTTTTCAAATTTATTGGTAGAATCATTGGTAAGGCGATTTATGATGGAAGTTATTTAGATTGTCATTTCAGTAGGGCAGTTTATAAAAGAATTTTAGGTAAGCAAGTATCATTAAAGGACATGGAGAATTTAGATTTAGAATACTTTAAATCTTTAATGTGGATGCTTGAGAATGATATTACTGATGTTATAACTGAAGACTTTCTGGTTGAAACTGATGATTATGGGGAACATAAGATTATTGATTTAGTACCAAATGGACGTAATATTCCAGTGACTGAAGAAAATAAGAATGAATATGTTAAATTAGTTGTTGAATATAGATTAACCACCTCAGTTAGTGAACAAATGGACAATTTTATTAGTGGATTTCATGAAATTATTCCAAAGGATTTAGTATCAATATTTGGAGAACAGGAATTAGAATTGTTGATAAGTGGATTACCAGATATTAACGTTGATGATTGGAAGAATAATACCACATATAATAATTATTCTCCATCGTCAATTCAAATACAATGGTTTTGGAGAGCAATTAAATCTTTTGATAATGAAGAAAGAGCCAAATTATTACAATTTGCCACGGGTACATCTAAAGTACCATTAAATGGTTTCAAAGAATTAAGTGGAGCCAATGGTACTTGTAAATTTAGCATTCATAGAGATTATGGATCAACCGATAGATTACCATCGTCGCATACATGTTTTAACCAAATTGATTTACCGGCCTATGAGACCTACGAGACATTGAGAGGATCGTTGTTATTAGCATTTACAGAAGGACATGAAGGATTTGGATTAGCATAAAATAAATATTTAATTATAACATATATATATATATATATAATAGTATAAATGAATCTAGTAGAAATCAGTTCGATAAGATATGGCCAAAATTGGAAGCCACTTGTTCTAAATCATCGGTTGAGCTCATATAATCGACCAATTTATAATTTTCTTCATTTATTTTAACAATTTCGTCATTATATAAGCCAGCATCTTTAATTAAATCGATTGGCTTGATGGTAATTCTTCCATTTTTCTTAAAGACGTATTTAGTGATTGCAATAGCGCATAATTTTTCATTTTTGGACCCATTTGGAATGACAAATTTAGATAAGACAAATAACCATTTTTGATCCCAAGCCAAAACTTTTGATTTAATTTGAAATTTTTGGAAAAGAGTCAATTCTTTTTTGAAGATACATTGAATTGAAGCTACTGGGACGTAAGGGAAGTTAGAAACTTTACCGGCTGATTTGAATTCATTTTGAAAGTTATCAAAGTATTTATAAAAAACAACTTGGAAAATTTTAGTAACCAAATCGGTTCTTGCTATATCTAAATCTACTAAATAGGTTGAGTTTGATTTATGTAAGTACATATCTATTTCCAAGGGAGACACGTAGGTGTTGAACGTGGTATACTCAAATAGATCAAGCTTATTTGTTTTGGAAGTGATTCCAAAAGTGTTTTCATGGGTAGCCAAGTATTTGAATCTGGGTAATATCAAGTTGATGATGATTCTGTAGTAGAATTTGAAGCAATAAGCCAATGGAAGTGACTTGTAAGTGGAGACCAAGAACGCTGCCACCAACCCCTTAACCAATTGGTTCATGTTGTGAAGATGAAGAAGGTAAGTTGAGGAAGGTAAGTTGAAGAAGGTAAGTTGAAGAAGGTAAGTTGAAGAAGGTAAGTTGAAAAAGGTATAGTTGAAAAAGGTATAGTTGAAAGAACTGATACACCCGTACCCAAAGCAGGCTCCGGACTTTGCGGAATTATGACGCACAAAACCGTGCTGCAGATTTAACTCGAGCCAAAGAGCCGAGGCCCGTGCACCACGCGCGCGCAATTGAGAAATAAACTTGAGAACGAAAAAAAAAAAAAAAAACGCAATTAAACGGTTAAATAAGAACGGCTAATTCAGTTGAGAAAAATAATTTTAGAATTCGCAGCCGACTGACTCCTATTTCCCCTATACTGAAATACGACCGCACCAATGATCACACAACACAGGATACCACACAGGATACCACCCAGGATACCACCCCGGATACAACCCGGTGCAAGATACAACCCAGCAGTGTGTACAGTCCAGCAGGGCAGAGCGTAGAATCAGCTCACCCGGGACTTAGCATCTCTCCGATTAGAACCGTTGGTAGAGGCCGTGGGGCGGGCGCGGCGGACCAGCTGGAATTAGAAATAGCAATTTCCCAAAAAATCGTCGAAGTAAGATGGACCCCCGGATTACAATGGAGGTAATCCGAGATCTAGCCTTGCCTTACAAAATATTTCTACACTAGTGAATCAAAGAGATACCCATGCAATAATAATATACAAAAGAAGTAAAGTATGCTAGCCTAGTTTTTATTGTATTCGCCATATTGACACTCATTTGTTTCAATATGGTTTAATAACCAATCGTCGACATTTTTGAATTGAGCGTGACACATTCTACATTCGCCAGGAACTTTATTACGTTGATCTTTCTTAGTCCCGTTTGGATACTGGAAATGGATTGCTTTTAAATGATTTTTGAAAGTATCACATCTACTAAAGATCCCACTGGAATGACAACAGTAATCCCCGGGAGAATGATGTTTAAAAGGACATTTGAATTGGCCCTTGTCACTACCAATTTCTTTCCAATGGCATTTGACATGTCTGAATAAATCATTTGGTCTGGCAAACCCCCGATTGCAGTATTGGCAAATGTGAGGCCTGGAAGTTGGTTTCAAATGAGTGGATTTATGAGTTGCCAAATTAGAAAAATATAATTTGCACTCAGGACATTGTCTCTTCTTTCTTGGTTTCCATTTTTTATTTTCTTGTTTATGTTCATTGGCAACATCAACCGTACTTGGGGTTGGGCTAGTGGTGCTTGTAATTGGTGTAGTGGTGATTGGTGTAGATGAAATTGGACTCAACGATTCCAATTTGGGTCTGAGTGGATCACTCAAGCTTCGGTTTCGGGTTTCGCTGGTGGCAGCATTAACCAATTGATTGAAGCTGGAGTTATTCACTCTTGGTGGCGATCCAACCGGCGAAACGTTTAAATGGCTCGACGACGAATAGTTCGACGGATTCGAGTTATGATAGGTGGGTAAAGCGTTCGTCGACTGAATAACGGTTGGCAAATCCAACAGTAATGAGTGAATCGAGGGTAACTTTATCGACTTTGGCTGTGCTGGTACTTGTGGTTGGACTGATAAATAACTCATTTTAGTTGAGGGATCTTATGTACGTACAAATCGTAATAGATCCAATCCTATATATATATATATATATATATATATCTAAAAGACAAGTCGGTTACTAATAAAACCGAGTAATTTTGACAAGCTCCGGATATTCCAATGGAAAGGCTAATTATACACGGCTGACAAGAAACTAATATTTTCATTTCCAATGGCTGAGAATATTTACAAAATACGTCAAGCCACCCATCTTATCCGAACACCACTGGCTTACCGGGACCCAACCCTGGTTTAGGGGTAGATTCTGCCGTTGGACCCGTCAGCCGTGGCCGACTCTTCACTGCTCGTACTACCCACCATCACTTCATCACTTCACCAGTTGGCCACTTCGTCCTTCATCTCTTTGTTCATCGCTTCATGGCGAGCCTATCCTCGTGGAAACTGCCACGTCCCACCGCCGCTCAGTACTACGTGCTCTCGAAATGGGGTCAGTGGTTTGTAGGTGAAATCCACCCTCCTCCCTCTTAGCAGGAATAGGGGTAGCCCCAGCGCACTGGCCTCCGGAACCAGAAAGTTCCGGCATCCGTACACCGCGAGAAAAAAAAAGAAACGCTCGGCCGGTAGCCCCATCGCAAGTATAGTGTCGAGCGCAGAACGACACAATCCGCCCGCTAATTCCGGACCCACTTCACGGTTGGGCATCGAGCAAACGACGTCTCGGCACTAAGTTGTTGATTAGCTGTCCGGAGAAAGATCCGTGCACACTGCGATGGTCTTTTTCTTGCTCACGTGACTGGCAGATGAGCGGCCGCAAAGCGCCGCTTACCTAAGCGTCTGGGCGTCAATTACATAAGCAGGAATGGAAGTGGAAAATTAAGCATTATATATAGACTCTTCCCTGGAGAGAAGATTAAACTTTTCTAGATCTAACTTTACCTTCGCTGGATGCGGTGGCAGTGGAGGTGGCAGTAGAGGAGGTGGCCGAAGCGGCGGCGGCCGAGGCTTTAGATTTTTTGGTACTGTAGACTTTGATGTAGAAAGAAATGAATAAAACCAAGTAACTGGTTAAAATCAAATAACCGTAAAAAGCAGCCAATTCACTACCATAACAATCGCCAATGTGAGGCAAAGAGGGGAAGTAACGGTAGGCGTAATGGGTATAAGTAGCAAAATAAACAAAACCTAAATCCAAAACGAATTGAATGATTTGGAATCTGGTAACCCATTCCTTCCACCAAACTCTAATACCTCTGGCACTTAAAAAGTAGTACCAGTACATAACAACATGCACGGCCAAGTTTAAGGAGATAGGAACCCATTCAACAGAAGTGGATCCGGTTAATTGGGTGTAGCATAATAAAGCAGTAGCACCATGATGGTAAGTGTGCAAGAATAATAATTTTTTCTTTTTCAAAACCAAAAACACGGTATCAATTAATTCCAAGTATTTAGTTAAGTAGTTTAAATAATATAAAGTAATTAACTTTGGAGCAAAGGCCTTTTCATTACAAATGGCATAAAAGATTCCGTGGTTAACTAAAATTGGTAATAATTGTTCAAACATTAATAATAATAAAATTAAACTAGCACTAGTTAAAATTAAATTATGTAATTGAAATAAAAAATTCAATTTTAATGCTGGTAATTTCAATTTAGCACTTAACGATCTTCCACCAAAAATAATAATATAATAACTTATAATTATTCCAATAGCATGGTACCCATTTGCCAAAAAAGTTTGGTGGTAAACAAACTCAAAGTCTTCAGCCGGATATCCAACCAATTTTTCAAAACAAAATGAAAAAATTGGCCATAAATGTAATCCAAATGGTCTTTCAACACTTGGCCATCCGTACTCGACCACCGGATTACTTGTAAAAGCGCTAAAAAGGTCAGACATGTTTGAAGATAAAGAAGAAGAGTAAGGTTTTTTCATGTTTTTTTTTTTTTTTCCGATTTCTTTATGTTTTGTTTTGGATGTTGCTAGCATCGCGGTGTTGTCGAAAATTTCACTGCAATTACGACCCTGACCGAGGGTAACGAATAATAAAGGTAACGTGTGTGTACGGGTGTAATTTATTAACGTATAAACAAGTCATTAATATATAAAAGTAACTAGATTACTTTTTAGGTTTTGGTTTTAAGTTTAAAAAGTCTATTGAAACAATAATGTCGTAACCGTTTTCTTCACAAGCATACAATGCTTCGTGTTCATTCAGATGTAAGAAACGAATGTTTTCTCCCACTAATGCTCTTAATAAGGTAGTTGATTCCAAATCTCTGATTTCAATAAAAGTTGGTTCAAAAGCTAATAAATACGGATAAAATAATGCAATGTTTTGAGGAGTACCTTCCCAAAAAATCCCCCAATTGTGATTTGTTCTCCAACCATTCCCATTAATTAAAAATGAAAATTCTCCATAACTTAATAAGAAATTAGTGTCTAATCGATGAATGGCCAAAGGTGTAACACTTTCTCGTTGAGTTGCAAAATCAAGCGAAGGATCAGCCTCATCTAAAATCGATTCCTTCTTCCCGGCTTCTAATGATAAAATTTCAAATCCTTTAGTACATCCAATACATAATTTTGTTTTCAAAAATGATATGGACACTGGATCGGATGAAAATATAATTTCTCGAATATCATATGATTTCTTATTCTTATTCTTATTATTTCTTTGATCGAATGGATTGGTTGGTTCGATAATACTAATTGAATGGGTACTTCCAGTTTTAACGGCACAAACTAATAATCTTCCATCACAAATACCAGTTTTGAAAAATGAAACATGATTCAAGATTAATTTACCAGATCTAGTGTTCTTCATATGGTCTAATGAATCAGTACATGATAAATCAAATTCATATAATGATTTATCACTTAAAATTAATAATTTGGAATACTCAACCAATACCTCAACTTGAGTAACATATAATTTACTTATAACTAATGTTGGATCAGAGCAAATTTTTTCATTAGAAGTTGCACTGATTGATCTAACCGTTGATACCCATACTCCAGAATCAGTCCCATATAATAATTTTTTACCACCATAACAGGGTACTGCACAATTGATTTTATTATTACCATGAAATCTTCTGGTTTCATATTTTGAAAGCGAAAAAATATCATGTTTTTCAATTAACTTCTTTTGTTGAGTATATATTTGTTGTAAGACTTGATTTTGATTAGTAACATCATCGGCAAACAAAGTTGCATGAACTTGATTTCTACCTAATCCCAAAAAATTAATTTGTAATTTCGGTGCTGATCCACTGACTGCATTAATATAATTAGTCGATTCTGTTCGATTCTTCAATCCTGTATCTGATACAATTGATCCATCAATTCTATGAGGAATGACTGATCTCACGGTTGGTATATCATACCCACTATTAACAAATAATAATGGCAAATAAATTGGTTTCTCAAATACCTTATGAACTTCTCTCTTATTTTGAATCTTATGTTTAACCAATAATAAAGCATGTTCAAATAAATATAAATCAATTTTTTCATTATCCCTTTTTCTATTAAGAGTAACTTGATAAATAATTCGATTATTATAACTTAACTTAAAATTAAATCTTTCTTCTAAAGTTTGTTTACCTAATAATCTATGCAAAACCATTATTTTATGACGATCAGTACTTTCACCAGTTTGAATATTAATTTTAACTAAGATTTTTTCAATTTTTTCTTTAGCTTTTAATAAATTTTTATAATCTGGTGATTCTTCCTTTGTATTTTTGATAATACCTCCTAATAATAATTGATATCTGGCTGGCCTTTGAACACCTTTAATTAAAAATGATGATAAATCTTGTTTCCTTGATTCTGGCTTCTTCTCAATGGCATCCAAAAATCTAGCATATTTCATATTAACTTGTTGTTGTCTTTCATGTTCAAAACTTGCAAATACTTTATTACCAGAATATTTAATAAATGGTTCAAAGTTTCCAACATAATCTAAAAATACATCACTAAAAGTTTCAATAACAGGTTTTTGTTGTTGTTGTCTTTTAGTTAAAGCTTCACTCATTGATTTAGCTAATCTTAATAAATCATTAACTCCACCAAAAACAGTTCTAATAAAAGCTTCACGTTCCCTTTCAGGTATAATATTATTAGCAGGATTACGTAAAGGCATGATATAAAAATCTGTCATAAATTCTAAATCCTTGACATAATCACGTTCAGTATAAATAAATTCATAAATTAATTCTTGTCTCATTTTTTCCTTTTTATCTAATTTATCTAAAACTGATTGTGGTACAGTCTCATGCCATAAAGTTTTATTTGTTTCTTGATCATGTAACGATAATCTTGAAACTGCTCTTTGTAAACCACCTTGAGGTTTTAAATTTAATCTTGCTTGTTGTTCTAATCTTCTTGGACAAGCAATTGAATAACATAATTTATTTCTAGTACAAGTTGGAGAATAACAATCAGTTAAAATGGTGAAAACACCATTAACTCCAGTTGATCCATCCTTCATATGATTCAAAGAAGTGCTTGAATCATGAGAATAAGAATTGCCTAAAGGAGTAGAAGGTTGAGGTAATTGATAACCTTCTAAAATTTTAGCAGTATCATCTTGGAAGAATTCAACATCACTATAAATATGGTTAAATGCATAAACTTCATTAATAGAATCTCTTAAACGATGATTATAAGTAACATCCCTGAAAAATCTTTGAGCGTCTAATGATCTTCCTAATAATAAGGCTAAATTCCGATCATTTGTTCTAATAATTTTACATAATATATCAACGGCCATTTTACCAGTAAAAGTGTCATGATATTCTAAACCATCTTTAGTATTAATTGATAAAATGATTGATTCTTTAAAAGCTTTAGCGACTCTTGATAATAATGCAGGATAAACAGCTGGTCGTTTAGGAACGACTGTTTTAGTTGAGCCAATAGAAGCTGATGAAGGATTTCGATCAGTTTTCAGTAAGGATGCAGTTGAATTATATTTTTTAGTTGATAAGGAAGATGATAATTTACCTAAAGAACTAAAAGATCTTGATTTGGAAGAAGTTAATGAAAAAGTATGTTGAGATGAATTAGAAGAAGAGCCTCCGCTACTTGAACCAGGTTTATGATTATTTTGTTGATATTGCTGATTTTGATATTGTTGAGCTTGAGGTTGACCCTGAGGTTGACCTTGAGGTATTGGTTGCATTCTTTGTTGCTGATTTGGATATTGTTGAATTTGAGGATTTGGTTGACCATATCTAAGCGATGTTGAAGATAATGATTTAGTTCTCATATCATTTTGATTTTGAGCCGGTTGATTATTATACGGATAAGAATTGTAGTGGGGGACGCTAGGAGAAGATACAATACGTCTACCATCTTGAAAGTACCCAAACTGTTGTTGCTGGTGTTGAGGTGGTGGTGGCGGCTGTTGCTGTTGAGGTTGTTGTGGTTGATTAGGATAATATTGATTCACCGGCTGAGATCTTTGAAACGGGCGACGCATTTCTAAACTTTCGGTACTATTATGAACAGGGTAAGGAGCTTGATTACGACCAGGATCTTGAGTAGTATAACTATCGACACGATTATAGTTTGCAAAAGATTGAGGAATGTTATTTTGAAATTGGTTGGTTTCAATATTATGATCATTATTTTCATGAATTAAAGACAGAGCAGATTTATTTGTAACCAGATGATTATATAACATATCATTCAGGTAACCGTTTTGCTGATTAGCATAAATCGGGTGGTGTTGCTGATGGTGATGATGGGGTTGTTGTTCTTGTTGCAGTATTTGATTATCAAGAGGTTGATTATAAGAATCCGGTTGAGAATCGGTCAGTTGTTCTCTTTCTAAAAGCACTTGAGGCAATAGATGAGCTGGTATGTTATTTCTTCGTTGATTTGGATAGGACATTATAAATTAACCAGCAAAGAAGCCAACAACGAACAAAAACACAGAGAAAACGAAAGGATTAATAAAAAAACAAAAAGGAAAAACAAAAAAACAACAAAGTTAAACAAACAATAATATGCAAACAAAATTAAGAAACAAGAATGTAAGGCTCTCTCTAAAAAGAACTTGGATTGATATGGGAAAGGGCTGATAGTAAAGTAACACAAGGACTTTCCAGTTAAATCAAAACAAATACAAACAAACTATTTCAATGATTCAATTTATAACAAAAAAAAAAAAAATAAAAATAAAAAGAATCAGAAAAACAATGGTAATTCGATAAATACCTTTTTGACGGAAGGGTACGTTACAATGACGAATAGATTATAATCGACGAGGATGAATCAGGTACAACGTGCGATGGATAAGCTTGTTTGAATTGATTGATGATGAAAGAAAAGTTCAACAAGTAATTGAAAATTCAATTTGAAAACGAAACGAGAAAAAAGTCTAAAAAAAACGAACAAAGAACACACTACAAAAGGCTCACTGGAAAATTAAACCACTCAAAACTAAGCTGCTCAGAACTAAGCTCAACTAAGCTAAACTAAGCTATTAACAGATGGCAAAGCTTAAAGGTAAAGGCCTTCGACAAAGGTTGGCGGAGATAGAGGATGGGTGCTGGTGTTCTTAATAGGTAGACGAAAGTATATGGTACCCTTTTTGGCACCGGGACAGGGACTGATCCGAGACTCCCATTCAGCTTCAGACATTGAAATTCATTGACCATTCAGTGATGGTATTAGATTACTCATTACTCAGAGGGTTTAGAGTATAAGGCCTTATAGTCGACAGTAGTATACATTGTTCATGGTGTTCATACAGATCACGGTACTATTCAGAACAATTGTCAGAATACTTAGAGTACTATTCGGAATACCATTCAAAGTACCATTCGGAATACCATTCATAGCACTATCCTTGCAGTATTCATAGAGCATGAAAGGAAAATTCAGTAGAGCAATTATAGGGTATTGATAGTACTCAGACTATTTAAAGTAATATTGAGACTACTATCACTATTCAGAGACCAGAACACGCATATTCATTTTGTCGAACACAGGGTTTACAGAGTATGAAGTAGAGAGTAGAGTAGAGTGGAGTGGAGTGGAGTAAACTAGAGTAGAGTAGAGTAGAGTAGTAGAGGGTTTTATACTGGTTTAGCAGTCACACCCGTGCACCATGTACCCAAGCACTACAAATAATCTATTTAATCCTCAAGTGGACAGAATACAACTTTCAATTGTTTATTAACTAATCCAAGATGCCAGCTTACCATTCAACCTTCTTAACTGAAGACTCAGTAGATAATAGAATCATTGGGAATTTGGTGTTGTTACCAATTCACACCAATTATAGAGGTCCACTGTATCCACCACAACAAGATTATGATATAATTGAAGAAATTTTAGACTTATTTAGAGCAAATTCCTTTTTCAAGAATTTTGATATTAAAGGACCTGCTGATAGATTATTAATCTACGGTATATTGTTTATCAGTGATTGTTTATCCAAATTAAATAATCGAGTTAATTATAGAGAAGCAATTAGAATATTAAATAACTTAAGTCTTGATTCCTTTGCATTACCAGGAGATATTGGATTCCCATTAAATGCATTATATCAACCACCATCAAATAAGAATGAAGCTGATTTATTAAGATCTTATTTACAACAGTTTAGACAAGAATTATCTGATCGGTTATTGAAAAGAATTTACGCTCAAGATGAAAATGTACCAAGTAAATATTGGTTAGCCTTTACTAGAAGAAGATTTATGAATAAAAGTTTATAATTTATATATATATATATATAAATATATAACGATGATGGATTAAATCAATGGTATTAATACTCTGACCCTTTGTTTATACTTTAAATAATCATCTCCATGAAATTTAACTAAAAACCATTCTTCAAATCTTATCCTTTTTTTGAAAAAAAAATTCATTACGATTAAACAGATTATCATACTTAGCATATTTCCTAGCAATATTTGAATTCCATTGACAAAGATCCAAAAACCTAAATAGCTTGGGTGTCGACTGAGTCCATAGACCCCATGGGTCACTAATTTATTTTGTTTCTCTGTTTCAATATAATGATTAAAACTAGCTCCGCAGGTTTTGATCGATAAGTGTCTTAATAAAATACCTAATACCGCTAGTATTACTCCCAAAATGAACCAATTGGATTCAACATTGAGCTTCAGGTAGAATTCTATCATGTTCATGCTCTGGATAGCCCAGTACTCTTTACTACCCCCTTGTCCATACACTAGGAACAGCCTTGAGGTTACTTTGTTACCGTTATATTTAGCCGTACTGATAAATTCATTATAATGGAAAAGTGCTAATAACAAAAGGTAAAGCAGTAGTTTTATTTTTTTGAAACTTTCACTGGTGAATATGGTATATAAACACCATGCTACCACTGCCCCAAGACCCAGTGATACGTAGACAATCTCAGCAAGATTATTCGACTGTGAGTTGTACATGGTTGATGTACTTTATATCTGCGATTGAAATATTTTTTTTTGTTTTTTTAGTGATGGTGTTCTTTATTAACCATGTATGATGCTAACAAGGTTGATTTGGCTAAGGTTGCCCATAAGTCGGTATTGTTGGGCTTTGTTGGCTGTTTGAGTGTATACGGTATGGTAAATGGGTATTGCAGAATAGGGGTCTTTGTTTTGCTGCTATGTATATTTCATTATATGGAATTTTTAAGTACTTACTATTTTAATACCAGTCAAGTAGACGATGATTCGTTTATAATGGAGGATCAGGATTTGCATATGGTTTACATTGGGTCATTAGTTGAGTATGGTGTTCGAAAAGCAATTGAATACTATTTCGATATACCAATTGACATCAAGGTATTGGTGGTTATTGGATTGGTATTGACGGTGATTGGCCAGACTACCAGAAGTTTGGCAATGTATACTGCCAAACAATCATTTAATCATTATATTCAAAGAGAACAAACGTCAAAACACCAATTGGTCACTACTGGGGTATACCGGTACTTGAGACACCCGAGCTACTTTGGATTTTGGTGGTGGTTTATTGGATTAGAATTATGGTTGGGGAATTTTGTTATATTGATACTTGGAGGATATCAATTATGGAATTTTTTCAATAAACGAATTGAATTTGAAGAGAAGTTTTTAGTCGATTTTTTCCAAAATGATTATATAACTTATAGACAATCTACAAAAACCTGGATTCCGTTAATCAATTAATAAATATATCTGTATGTATGTATTTATGTATGTATATAAGACTATGGCAAGTAAAACTATTTTGTACCAACACCATAACCATTGACGTTTCTATACATCAAGACCCCGTTATCACCATCAACGTATTGACACCATCTTCCTGATTTCCATAAAGACTTAAACATATTTTCATCAGAGTATTGGTAATTTTTACCCATGACTTTTTTAATTTCTTCACTTGCTTCTCTAGCGTTGTAAAAAGGAATTCTTGAAACGTAATGGTGTAAGACATGGGTTTCGATGATATCATGAAAGATAAACCAACCAATGAAACCAAACTCACGATCAATGGTGGCAGCAGCTCCTCTGGCAAAATTCCATTGATGAGCTTCATAATGAGGCATTTTTGGATCGGAATGTTGTAAAAAGGTAATGAATACTAACCAGTGATTAACAAAAAGATATGGAATAAACCAGTTAACCAACAAGTTAAAGCCACCGAAATTTTGATACCAAGTATAAAGAATAAAAGATTGTAAAATCAAACCAATATCCGATAAAACAATGTACCAATAATCTCTTTTTTCAAATATAACCGAGTTTGGATTGAAATGATTCTTACCCCAGGAAGAAACATTTGGATGGTCATTACCGGCAGTAACATTAGTAAATAAATACATGATCCAACCAAACAATTGTTGTGCCACCAAAGTGTATAAAGTGTAAATTGGAGAGTCTCCAATTAAATCATCGACGTCTTCTACTCCTCTCACTTGTAAGAAGGTCGATTTAGTCTTAGGAACGAAAACCATATCACGATCCATATGACCAGTGGCTTTATGATGTTTACTATGACTAAACTTCCAACTGAAATAAGGCACCATCAAATAAGAATGAAGCACCCATCCAACACTATCATTAACCCATCCGTAATCACTAAATGCTTGGTGGCCACATTCGTGGGCCAACACCCACAACCCAGTGCCAAATAACCCTTGCACAAAACAGTAGCCACTCCAAGCAACGAATCTTAATGCTTGATTTGGGATCAACTCAATATAATTATTGGCCAAAAACCCAAACACCACCATCCAGAAAATATCCCGGAAAACATAGTATAAAGATTCAAACACCCTTCTTTCATAACAATGAGCAGGAATTGCCTTCAAGATATCTTTGATAGAATAATCGGGAGCTTCAAAAACATTTCCATAAGTATCAATGGCACTAGCCGGTTCAACACGATTACTGAAAGTAGCAACGTTTCCCTTTTGTTCAACTTGGGTTCTACTAGAAACCCCACTGGCAGTAGCAGATGAGCTTACTTGACTAGACATCTTTAAAGAAGTATTCTTCCACCTACTGATTCACCAACCAAATCACCTATAAGCGTAATTCAATTAGGGATGGAATTCACGTCTTTTATAAGATGAGAAAAACAATTGCAGCACAAAGTGAAAAAAATGTTCAGATTTTTTTTTTTTTTTCGTTTTTTTCTTTCTTTCTTTATTTTCTTAATTGTTTTTTTTTTTTTGTTAGTTGAGTTTTTGGTTATTTTTCGGCTGTTTTTTCTTTTTTGATGAGCTTTTCTTTTCTTTGGGTGTTTTATTGGGGCTAAAGGTTAAGGGATGTAGCGAACAGGCGGATAATTGCAAATCATCTACAGGTTATATACAGAGTGTGGCCTAAAGAAGAATCAACAATATCTATTGTCCAGGGTCTTGATTGCTTATTCATTATCTCTTGAATGGTATTATCTACTGAATGGTATTATTATCTACTGATGGGTGGTTTCCCAACAAGCGTAAGGATTCCATGGGCGTATTGTTGTGTTCAATTTTTGTCTTGTCGTCACGTGACTGCGTTCACGTGACTGCAGTAATAGTTATCTTTCTCTTTGTGCTCTATTGTATTTGGTCCAACCTCGGGATACCGGAATACCGATTGCTACCGTTTGCAACAATTATACTGTTATCAAGGTTTTTTATATTAAGAATTATATAAGACTCTCTAGTTGTTAATGGCCAGCACCGTCTGCGTTTAATAATTTTTTGAAAATGTCACCAAAGGCAACCATAAACACCGTTTGCCAAACCCCTAAACCAATTCTAGGAGTCACCCCTCTGTATAGACCTTTAATACCATTGTTTTGGTAAATATACTTGAAAGCACTCCCGACACCTAATTTGGCCGGTCTATTTGGGTCTTTTGTCTTTGATTGCATTTCAACTCTAATGACTTCAATTGGCTGGTTCCAAGCACTTAACCCCCCACCAATTACTGAACTAGCAATTTTTTCGATGGCATTTAATTTATCATTTTCTCCCTTCTTGGTGATTTTACGAATTGCTTCCTCTGCTAATCTGGATAATCCGAATCTCGACCCCCAATTGGTCATCTGTCTAATGGCAACTGCGTTGACTCCTTTATTGATTCCTCTGATACCTTCTTTTTTATAAATATCTTGGAATACTTGGAAACTAGTTTGTTTGGGAACTCCAGCAGTGGCTACTTGTTTGGCTCTGGTGATCTCAACGGTTTTCATACAAGTACAAAACCCCATGGTTAAGTATGCTTGGGCTAACCCACCACTAATACCACCACCCATTCCACTAACGAAATTATTCAATCCTAATTTTTTAAATTGATATTCTGCTTCAGCAGAAACGAATAACAACACTGCACCTTTGGTCGAGGCTTCAATCCAGGCCCAAGGTATTAATCCCTGGTAAAACCCGAAAAGACCACCACGACTCCAAACTAATTTACCGGCTTGGAAAATACTCAATGATCTATTAGCTGCCATGGTGGTTTTAATAACCTCCAATGGCTGTCCCAAACTGGTGACTTCAGCCATGTTTAATCCTGCCCCCAATAAGATATTGGAGAAGTTGATTGGTTTCTTTTCAATTGTAGTCATTGCTGCTGAAGAAGAAGAAGTAGAAGAAGAAGAACAAGTTGTAATGTTGTTGAAAAATTTGGACATTCCCTTTCCCCGGGGTCGATCGGTGCGATTTTTTGCTCACCCCTCCTGTTACGGCTTAAACGAATAACGCATAAGGAATATGCTGCAAAAGATGATTTTTTCTACAAAAAAACAATAACAGTATAGTTTACAACGTAAGTCATTAAGGTATGCGATTATTTAGTTTTGATTACTTAGCAGATCCAAAACGATCGTAACAATAGAGTCCAATGAAGGTTAGGGATAATCCAAATATTTGGGTTGGACTCAAATTTTTATTATTTTCCCATAAAAATGAAAATAATATAATGATTATTCTTTTCAAGATATTAGCAATTGAGTAATTGATTGGACTGATCAATCCTAATAATTGGAATGCAATTAATGATTGTACGAAATGAGACCCTCCATTAAGTAATATAAGGGCAATCATGGTTTTATTTAGATTAAGGATTGATATGGATTCATTATTAAATTCCAGAATTATATAAATTGGTAAAGTTAATACGAATCCAATCATTGAACAGAAAAACAATATCGTCAACTTGTCGAATTTTTTCTCTTCATTTGTAGTGTTATAACTAGGTAAATCACTAGTTGATTTTAATGTTAACTTTTTCTTTGCAAAAATATTTTGATTAACAAAAATTAACATTGATATGAATGCATAGATAAACCCACTCATATATAGGGTTTGAATTGAGTTTGAAGGCTTATAACAGGTTATCATAATACCAACCATTAATGGTATTAATGTAATATAAGTGATTTTCTTATATGTTTTCCCGAAAAAAATTCTATAAATGAAAACGGTGGTTATTGGTGACAATGCTTTAATGGTATGCACTAAGGATACTGGAATTAAACTGGTGGCCTTATGACTAGTTATATGGCCAATGAATTGAAATCCTCCCATTGGTAAGGTGGTCTTAATGACTTGGGTATCTGGTTGAACAAATTTAAGTATCGAATTATCAATTGAACTTAATTTAGGTACTGATCCTTGCGGGAAATATCTGTCCAATTTAGGAAACTGAATTAACCCCATTACTAGCAAGATACAAAGAATCGAATTAATGCAAAATTGTAATTCTGTTAATGTTATTGGGTAATTATAGTTTGATAAAATCAACTTAGTTGAATTGTTTGATATAATTGAAAAAATATACCAATTAAAACATAATGCAACTACTTTCCAATCAATGGGAGGCATCCAGCTAGAAACCCCTGATTCTTGGGCATCACTAATGAAATAATCATGTTCTTTCACTGGAGACGTGGGATTGGATAATGGTGGTGAAAGCGGTAATTGAAAAGTAGCTACTCGATTCTGACTCTGTTTCTGTTTGGCTTTTTCATTTGGGATATTATGAAATAAGTGATTTGATGATAAGTTTCGATTAATTTGTGACAGCTTCAAGGTTCCTAAACCTAACCCTCCTTTATTTGGATTCATCCCCGATATTTTTTCAAAACTGGTGGAACTTGATTCTCTTGACATCTTTATCTATATATATATATATCTACCTGTCTAATGGCTGTGGCTGGGATAGACGAATATGTCAGGGTTGTTAATAAGTAGGCGTTGACAAAGATAAACCTAATACTCAATTGAAGGTCCTGAACCCTTGTTAGTAGAACGGTTATAATGTACTTTTACTCTAGTAAAGAATGTTGTTAAGAGCAAATGAATAAACAAACAAGTGAGTTTGCTGAAAAATCAATAAATTTTTCCAAAGGAGTCACTCTATTCAGTAAATGAGCCTGGTTCCAGCTACTTAATCTACCTCTATACTTTATCAATAAACCTATGGGAGGTTCAAGTGTTCTTAAATACTTGACTCCTTTCAATGAATTTTTCCTTTTCTTTCTTTCTTTTTTTTTTTTTTTTTTTTTTTTTTTTTTTTTTTTTTTTTTTTTTTTTTTTTTTTTTGTTTTTTTTTTCTTTTTTTTTTTTTGTTTTGTATGTGGTTTTCTTTATTTTTAATACATTTTTGACAGCCTTTGTTTATGTTTATACCGAAAAGTAATCTTTAATTAGCCTTTTCAGAACCTACAAGCCTAAATCTCAGATCACCTGTTTGCTACAGGGACAAGGTCGGGGAGTTGGATGGGGATGCCAAAGAATTAATGGAAAAGATGAAGAGCATGGTTTATTATCCATATCACAAAAACAATTCCATTGACTTTAATCGAATGGCTAAATTTCATATCGTACATATTCACTTTGGGGCTTCGGATAAGTTTTGACAGCGAACTTCATTGTTCATTTGGCTTGCTCTACTTCTCGACATACCGTGATAGCCTCGACAAATGGCAACCATCTCGACAAGCTGAAATACCCTCGACAAAGCTGAAAAATACTCGATTACTCAAATAATATTAACGGTTGTTTAATCTGCTATTGTTCGCATTGGTCTTCTCATAACCAGTTTCGGTTCCTGATTATGTAAGACAGGCACGGTGGGTGTCCCATGATCCATGCCAATTGGGAGCAGACTGATGAGGATTATACAAGCTGTGGAAAGCAAATTAAGGCCTGTTTGCAACTGTTACTGGTTGGGATGGGGATGTTGTCCAGGGGCCCATCCGTACCTCTGGTTATTTATAGATTGTGTTGTTAATTTATCTATCGCTTACGTAATTGTTTGATGTCACGTGATGGGTAAATGATTTTTTTTTCCAGAAAAAGTCGTAGAATGTCGCGTGTCGTCCGCCGGTGGAGATTTGCACGTGACCGGCTCGATCTAGTTTCCTTTTGAGACAACGACTATCACTGTTTTCCTGGCTTAATCAATTCCTTTTCTTTCAATACTTGACCTCCAATTGGTATACTCAACGCGTTTCCTATTCCAGGTTCACTATACTGCGGTCGCTCTTTCCCCCCGTTTTGATTTTCTTTCGTGAAGCTTGTTTTACTAGTGGTTGTTTTCGTTGCGTTTTGTTTCGTTTTGTTAATCCGAGAGGTTAGTTATTATCTTTAAAAAGATATCCCTTTTATCCAGGTTCCTAATCCTTCGTTTTATCGTTTTTGCATCTTTTTAGATATGTCTAGTGTAATACTATATGCCTCGAAGCAAATTTTTAAGAGAGCTTTAAAAAATGACGATGAATTAGATACCGATCCCGACGTTTCAACCCCCGATGAAGACCCTTTGGAAGATACTAACCCGGTAGAAAACGAAATTTTCTCTTCTTGGGCATTATTCATTTTGTTATTTTTATTATGCTCTGCGTTGTGGTCTTCATATTTCTTACAACAAAGAAGAATCAAAGCCATTCATGAAACGGTTTTATCGATTTTTTACGGGATGATTGTAGGTTTAATCATTCGTATTAGCCCAGGTCATTATATCCAGGATGCGGTCAAATTCAACCTGGGTTACTTCTTCAATATCTTATTACCGCCAATCATTTTGAATTCGGGTTATGAATTACATCAAGCTAATTTTTTCAGAAATTTGGGGTCGATCCTAACTTTTGCTATTCCCGGTACTTTTATCAGTGCTTTGGTCTTGGGGATAATTCTTTATATCTGGACCGCCCTTGGCTTAGATGGTGTAAGTCTTGAATTCGTTGATGCTTTGGCAGTTGGGGCTACTTTATCCGCTACAGACCCAGTTACAATTTTATCTATTTTTAATGCCTATAAAGTTGATCCAAAATTATATACAATTATCTTTGGTGAATCTTTACTTAATGATGCTATTTCAATTGTTATGTTTGAAACTTGTCAAAAATTTCATGGTCATCCAGTTAAATTCTCTTCTTTTTTTGAAGGTATCGGATTATTCTTAATGACTTTCACCATCTCAACCATAATTGGTATCCTAATCGGTATCCTTGTGGCTCTTATCTTGAAACATTCTCATATTAGAAGATACCCTCAAATTGAAACTTGCTTGGTTTTATTGTTTGCATATGAATCATATTTTTTCTCAAATGGTGCTCATATGTCAGGTATTGTATCTTTACTTTTCTGTGGTATAACTTTAAAACATTACGCCTATTTCAATATGTCAAGAAGAACTCAAATTGCAACAAAATATATCTTTCAATTATTAGCCCAACTTTCTGAAAATTTCATCTTCATTTATTTAGGTTTATCTCTTTTCACTGAAGTTGAATTGGTTTTCAAACCTCTTTTAATCATTGTCACTTTTATTCTGATTTGTGTGGCTCGTTGGTCTGCGGTTTTCCCATTATCAAGATTCTTAAATTTCTTGTATAAAGCAAGATTTGAAAAATTTAATAATAGATTGGCTTCAAATGGTGGTATTTCTTCTCAATCTTTACCAGATGAAATTGGTCATTCTTATCAAATGATGATTTTCTGGGCTGGTTTAAGAGGTGCTGTTGGTGTGGCTTTAGCAATGGGTATTCAAGGTGATGCTAAATGGACTTTATTAGCTACTGTTCTAGTGGTGGTTGTATTAACCGTTATTTTATTCGGTGGTACTACTGCTTCAATGTTGGAAATTTTAGGAATTAAAATTGGTTGCGTCGATGAAAATGATAATTCGGATGATGAGTTCGATATTGAAGCTCCCCAATTACCTCTTAATGTTATGGGTAATAGGAAACTGCAACAACCAGCAAATAACGTTAGGTACCAATCGGGAGTTTATAACGATGATTCAATAAGATCCCGTACCGGCTCCAATGTTAGCTTATCCTCAATTAAAGCTTCTAATGATTCTTCTGCTTCGGTTAATGACGTTGATGAATTCAATACCGATGGAGTCGATGATTTATTCCCTAACTCGAGTGGCAATCCTCCTATCGATACTTCAAACCCTGAAACCGCTCATGCTGCTGCTGTTGCATTAGCTAATAATTCAAGCTCTGGGGTCTTGGGTGCCTTTTTAAGTGCTGAAGAACATGCCAAGTGGTTTACTAGGTTTGATGAACAAGTCTTGAAACCAGTCTTATTGGACAAATTGCCAAATCAACATAAACGTAATGATAATGGAAACAGTGATGGTGATGTATGATAACTTTTTTTTTTTTTTTATTTCTTAAGCTTTTTTTCACTTTTACTTCGTTTTATAGAAATAACTTCCTAATGAGATCGTACTATATAAATATTTATTACTTTACATATATTTTTGTTTTCAATTTAAAGTTTCTTGCTCTCAATATTGAAGGAAAAAAAATGGTGCAAAAAATTTTTATATTTGAAGTTAATAATATACAAAGCTACCGGACACAGTAACTAAAATCTCAAATCGACACCTTTGTTTGATTGAGATGCTTCTTGTTGCTGTTGTTGGGCAATTGCAACATCAATGACCCATTTAGCCAACTTGAAGGCTCTTGCCGATAATACTAAATCATTTAATTTATAATTATATTTCAAACAAAGCTTGTAAAACTCATTCATTGTTAAATCATGAATCAATGCTATTAAATGATGTGTCTTGTTTTCATCTTCTTTACTTATGTAGATTGATGCTGGTAATGAATCAGTATAATTGGAGCAAGCCCTGATGGGTTTTTCTAATAAATTAATGATGTCACTACTATGATTGTTATTGATTGTATTATGTTTATCCTCTTCGACTGCATGGATAAGCAAGTTTGAGATACTTATAACTGCATTACCATAGTTAACTGGATTTAACACTCTGGAATCGGCATCTCTTCGTAAAGTGACTCTGAAAAAGGTACCAAAACTACTTGAAAGGAATGATTGTTGGTACTCATTATAAGTATCACATAAATCAGAGAGTGTTTTGCTGACAAAATTACCTTTTGCATGGCTCGAATTTTGCTTTATAGAGATTTGGTTAATGAAGATTGATTTGGCTGGAAGTATAATCAAATTTTCTAAAGACTTGCAAAGAGACAGGTTGGACAAACTTGCAAAGAAATTAGATTTATTTAGTGATTCACTTTCGAGATTATATTTTGCCAAAGGTGAAGTTGAGTTTTGACTGTTTATCTTGGAGCTTGGACTAGTGAAATATGAATTACCAAAGATGTCATCATCGGTTTTCAACAAGTTTGTATTAACATCGTCTTTTAAGATACTTTGAGTTTGTTGTAATTTCTTTAAATCGAATTTATTCCTGTAATTCACTCTTGAGGTGGTTTCCTTTATAACTAAGGCGCATTCATCTAATATAGATGGCCAGATATAACCAGTCTTGGAATGGGCGCTATAAATGGCTAATCTTAATTTAACTCCGTCAGGGTCGTCTGTAGTTGAAATATAGGCCAATTCTTGGAACGCTGTCAATCTACTCAATTGATGGTCTTCTTCGATGTTACGTAAACCAGATAAAAGAGTGTTAATTGGATCAGAACTATAAGTACTTATTGGCTTGCGGCCATCCAAGCATCCAATGGTAGCATAGATTTGGTAAACATGGTTAACAATTTCCCAACAATAAAGAACATGGAATGAGAAATAAGAAAGATTGAATAAATCTTTAATTGAAATATGGATTGGAGGGATTTTTTGATCTAATCCTAATAAGAAAATCAATAACCAATTCGCTTTGTAAATGAAGCCTCTTAAAACTAAATAAAGTAATGGACCAGTAATACTCGAGATCACATTCAATCCAACAGAGTTTCCAAACAATTTAGGGACTTTATTGAAGAACACACTTTCAGGTTTGACTTTGTTCACACCGTATTGAAACTTCAATCTATTGCGTTGGAAGATCAAATGTTGAAATGTATAAACTACTGCAATATAAGTTGAATAGTACCAATAGTAAACCCATTCATCATTTATTGGAGCCTTTTGTTGATATATTTTTGATACTGTATAATAATCGTAAGTGAATGGCAATTGAAAGATGAAAACTCCAGCAAAGATTATCGAAGATGCTAAATAAAAGAAGAAGTGAACCAAACTTTTCTTTGAAAAAACGGTATAAGCAATTTGTTGTGCTAAGGTTTTATTTGGTGACAATTGAACAGTACTGTTGTAATCTCTTGAAAGCTTTATAAGAGTCAATGCAATAAATATCAATGGACCTCTTATAGTAAAAGTTAGTAACAAGTTCCACCAAAAACTTCCATATGGAATAGCAAGAGTTATTGATATCAAAATCGCCAACAATCCATTGATGTTATTGAGATACCTTAATCGTTTAGCTAAAACTTTCTCAAAATATGACTGGTACGAAGAAACCCTTCCAGTAGGCTTTGATCCAGACATGCTCTATGAATATGTTTTTGAAAGAAACTACTTCTGGTATGAGTTCTTGGAGAAGTTCTTATATTTGATGAGTTTGTTTCTCTTCAACTCAGACTCTAGATGAGTTTTTCAATGGAAAAAAAAAGTATCACTGTTTTCGTTTTTTTTTTTTTTTTGGCTTGCGAGCTCTCCAAAAAATTCAGAGGCCCTTTAAATGTTTTACTATAAAACGATGAATACAAAATAATGAATGATATATTAAACTATGTACATAAGTTGAGTTATTTGAATTATGATGAAGAGTTCTCATTAGCGAGATCAGCATCAATTCTTAATTTTTGAGCTCTACCACTAATGGTTTCCTTGATAGCTTGTAAACCAGGTTTACCATTGATTTGACCAAGAGCATGATTTTGAAGTAAATTAGCATTCTTATCGAGGTTGGTGAAAACATTACCACCAGACCTAAGTTTTTCACCGATGGCTGAAATGTTAGAGTCAAATCTACCGACATCAACTTCGAAGGCTTGATGAACTGCGTCATTTAATTCTTCTTCGGTAGTGATGAACTTTGCGGCAGAATGGTATAATTCTAACAATTGGTTGGCCTTCTTTTCTCTTTCCTTTAATTCCAAGGTTTTTCTATTAAGAGTTCTCTTTTCTTTTAATATGGCCTCTTCGTTTGGGGTTCTATTTCTCATTAAAGAACCTTGCAAGTATGAATCAATAGTTGGCAAAGTTAGCTTGGTGGATTCAGAATCACCAGTATGTTGTTTCTTGCTTTTAGCAGCAGCGTCTGACGCATCTTTCTTTGCCTTCAATTCATCTAGTCTTGATAATCTTTCTTCTTCTCTTTTGTATGCTTCTTTTAAGTATTCACGTCTAATGTTGTCTTTTTTCAATTCCCATTTTTCTTGTTCGTTCAATTTAGATTCATCTTCTACTTTTGGTCTTCTATCCTCTATAAACATCTTGATTCTTTCATCCACAGTGAGAACGGGTTTAGGAATGGGCTTACGTGATATTTGAAGTCCTTTACTTTTTGGAACTGGAACTCCTTCTGCATAACCTTGTTCGATCTTGTCAAATGCAGCTTGTTCCTTTTCGCTTGGTGGCCTTATAGGATAACGCTTGAAGACTGGACGCACTTCAGGTAAGAGACCTGACTTACCACCGTATTTAAGAACCCTTTTTTTCATTATTGTCTTGGTGTGGTTAGCTTGACTATTCAAGATTATAGCTTTAACAGTACATTCTTTTTTTTTTTTCACCAACAAGAAAAAAAATTCACTGGTCGTGCAAAAAAACATAAAGACTCTTTTGGTAACTTGCACACGACCCGTATATTGGTGATATACTGGCATTCTTGAAGATAGACTTCTACGTGAAGGAGCTGGAGTATGAGCAATTGGGTTGGTTGAGAAGGGTTCAAGAGAAGCTATTCCTCGGGTATTTACAGCTTTTTCTCATTGTGTTTTGTTTGTATTTGTACAGTTACTCAAGATTTATACCTAATTACTGCAAAAAATTACATAAAATTATGGTTAAGTAAACAGTCGAACTAAAATAAAAGTAACATTGACTATCGTGAAATTAGCTATATAGAAGGCTACATACCCCAAGCTAAGTAAACATTTTCCAGGGCTTGTTTACCAATCTTTTTATTACCGATTTCATTTTTGAAAAGATTACCAATAAGGTTCTTCTTTACAGATTCTGTATCATGTTTGTGCAGTATAAAGAACTCAATAAGCACTTTTGGTGTCTGGAAATGTTTTTGAATCACCAAGGCTTTTTCTAATGAAATGCCTCTGATTGTCATTAACATGAGGATGAAGTATTCTTTGACCGTCATCATTCCTGTTTTGGGCATTGCGTCCTGGAATAATGGGAATAGATGAGTACATAGATAACTACCCTTTTCGGTTTCGAATTTATCTCTGAAAAGGTTTAATTGAGAGCGAAACTCGTCTTGATTATCAATGGATCTAGGCTTGAGCACTATTAATTTTTTACCTTCTCCTATATATTTATCATGTATGACATTAGTTAAAGTGGCAATATAGGATATTGTAGAATCAAGGTTTTTAAATTTACGGACATAAAATTTGGAAACTGTCATGGTCATGGAAATGGCACTCTTAATTGATTCAAGCATTTCACCTCCATTGAAATCTGCCATCATTTCCTCTACTAAATAGTAAACATACCTCAAACCTGATTTTTTCAATCGACTTTTTTGTTCTTGGAACCTACCATCCTTTATCGATGCTGCCAAATCATCTATTCTCTTTCTTTCGCAAACAAAGTCAAGCACAACTTCTTTTTTTGTAGTTCTATGTTTTGCAATCCATAAAATATCCCCCAAGGATAATGGCCTCACATCACACTTTACGTTATGCGAGCCAAGTTTTGATTCGAAGTAATCTCGTTCTTTGCTTGATCGTATTTCCCTATTATCAATGATAGGAACAATTTCGTAGTCGGTAGATGACCAAATCTCATAGGCTATGTCCGCATATACTCGTTTTGCTCGATCATGATGGTATTTCAAAGAATCTTTTCGCTTTGGCGATGACATGATTTCCTCTTCAGAAGGTTTTTGAACTCTTGATGGCGATGAATCAATTGTATTAAACAAAATGTTTGAAGTGACATTCTTCAGCGGACTCAAATGCTTATCGGTTTTCGAAGGACTAGTTAAGAGATTTGGGTCCGGATGTATAAATGAAATATTTGGGGAGCTTGAATTTGCAATTTCTATAGGTTTGCTAGGCGATGATTGAAGATTATTGGCTACTTCATTCTGCGATTTAGTATACTGGGACGACGAAAACGTATTATTAGGAGAGATTCGAATCCCGTTATCAAAAGACATATCCGAAACGTCTTGCCGTATCGGTGAGACTGAAATACCTTCTTGGTCAATCAAAACTTTAGCCAAAGATAACCCAGATTCAGTCAATGTGTATAATTTGGGAGTAGACGCAGATACATGGACATAATCCCGGTTTATGAGAACTTTTATACCATCCCAAGCTGAATAAAACACCCCAGCACCGGGATTAGAATTGAATGAACCATCACAATATTCAGCAGCCGTTGAGGTGATTTCATCTTTCCTTAGACCTCTTCCACGCCTATCTTTCAAGTATAATGCAATTAAGATCGCCCATGAACCGGCTCTCCTCTTCGGTAAGTAATTTGTTCTCTTGGTTTTCTTCTTTGGCTTATCGTCAGAATCAACTTGCTTTCTCTTATCAGAACTCATGATATTAAACGAATCAGGAAAGTCAAGGGCGTTAGACTTGCAATGTGCTTGAAGCTTCTTACAAAGAAAGTCTGCAGTTCTGTCTCCTATAAATTGAATTTTCTTTAGCTGTTTAATCTCTGTTATTTCCAGATCATGCTGTCTTAGCTTCTCTAATGCTCGATTATAAACAAGCGCCATCTTGGTTCCCTTTTGGGTATGTTCTATAGCTGCATCTTTAAGGAAGTCAATGAACAACTCTTTAACACTTCTTAGTGCATTCATAGCCTATCCTGAACTGTACTTCCCAAATCTGAAGTAGTTAAAAAGAAGGTCAAATCGATATCAAAATTAAGACGTGTTTTGGAACAACCTATCTGCAGGTTTTGAGATGCTGGGTCTGCTTTGGCTTTAGTTTGAACTAGTTTGATCCCACTATTGGTTAATTTACCCGAACCCCTTATGACAAACCGTTCTATCTATTATATATATCGGGAGCTTATGAACGTGTCAAACTCTAAAGGAAGACAGTGATGGAGTTTTCAATATCCTGTATACAAATTTCTTCTTTTATTCCACACAAAAAAACGAAAAAAACTAGACAGAAAAAACGAACGAAGAACATTAGCTCTTTGTTTGATAACACTACTCTACAGAAAGCTAAGATGTCGTCGACACCGGCCAAGAAGGGAATGCTCCCGCCCATCAACTTGATTTTCAAGTATTTACAACAACAATCTCCGGTGACTATTTGGTTATACGAACAAACGCAGCTGAGAATCCAGGGTAAAATAAGAGGTTTTGATGAATTTATGAATATTGTTATTGACGATGCAATTGAAGTGTCAACTAGTGATGGAAGCAAAGAAGAGCTAGGCAGAATACTACTAAAAGGGGATAATATAACTCTTATCTCAAGTTTGGATACTTAGACCATGATGACTCTACGCATCTTAAATAGTTAAGATTAGTTAATGTATATTAGTATAAATGTTAATCAAGATTCAAAGCTTACTCTTTTTTTCTTCTTTGGTGATTCAAATTCATCTATCAGAATGGGACTACTGCTACGCAGTAGTATCTCGTAGTCATCATCAGTAGTACCTCTTCTATTCTCAAATCGCTTACGTCGTTCTTCCTTAGCAACAAGTGAATTATAAAACTGGATTTGCTGATGTCTTTGATGGGAGTTTTGCTCTTTTTCGGCTTGAGTCTTCCGTTTAACTTGCAAACTATCTTTATTAAGGTCCTCAACACCTTGAGATCCTGGCCTACCACAACATTCATTCTGCTTCCCTAGTGGAGGCTTATCTCCCTTCTTTGTGGGACTCCCATTGGAATGTGCAACTGCTTTGCCCGACTTCAATGGGGACTTTTCCTCTCGACTAGATCTGGGAGACCCTCTATTACTTGTCATATTTTTTGCCCCATCAGACATATCCTTTCATACATCTCCATAAGCCAATCATTCAACAAGCACCTTGCTTTGATTCTAAAGCAGCAGCCAAGTCAGTTGGTGGGTTTTATATTAACTTCAGCTTTATTTTTTTTTTTTTGTTTTATCATGAACGAGTTTTCATTTTTCTTTTGGCGCCTTTTGTTTGTGGAGCGTAAAAAAGGTATTTCAAACAAAAAAATCGATATCAACATTTTAATCATTAACAGATCCCATTTGAAGAGAGTTCGACCTGGTAGAGGCTGATAATGGGTGATAACGTGAGAAGCAATACTTTCAACGGAACAAGTAATCGTGGGACGGCTCCACCTCCGGTATCAATAGCTACTGGCAATCCAAACTCAGCACATCGCGTCCCTCCAGTGATTTCTCAAGCTAACCGCTCACGAATGCAGCATAAACCTCCCGTGACTAAACAGTTCCAGCCGGTACCGTACAGCGAAGAAGAGCATGCCGTAATCCAAGAACGTTTGAACAAGGTTTTGGGTCCGGAATACGTTAGTTTCCGTCCTGGTGGTGGTGGCCAAAATGTGTCTTATATTGAAGGATGGAAGGCGCTTAATTTAGCCAATGAAATTTTTGGGTTTAATGGATGGAGTTCAGAGTTAATAAGTACCGAGGTGGACTTTCTTGATTTGAATCATGGTAGATATTCATTAGGGCTTTCTGTGGTTGTCAGAATTACAATTAAAGATGGGACTTTCCACGAGGATTTTGGTTATGGTTATATCGATAATGCTAAGAGTAAAGCCGGCGCGTTTGAAAAATGTAAAAAAGAGGCATTCACTGATGGTTTGAAAAGATGTTTGAGATGCTTTGGTAATGTTTTAGGTAATTGTTTATACGATAAAACAATAATTGCTAAAATGAAAAAGTTTAAGGTTGATCCTCCTGAACTTGATAAATCTGACTTTCATCGAGATCCCTTGATATTACAACGAGAAAATATTAAGCAGCAATCAGTTCGTTCCAGTGTTCCTGATGGTTCAAAGGGGACTTCTGGCTCGAATCAACAACCGGCCCAAGCTAAAAGACCAATGCATCATCAGGAACCTAAAGCTAAGAATAATAATAATGGTACAATTACCCCTGAACCACGCGATACGCATGGAATAAAAAATCCTGAATCTTTAGCTAAAACTTATGATTTGGCAGATTTTGATTCATTTGTCTTCAGTGATGATATGCCTGATGAAAATGAATTAGAAGATCATGATATGAATGATGGTATTGAGGAGTATGCACTTAATAAGAACAATGGGGAATCAGATTACTCTAATACGCTAAGCAAGGCTTCCACTCCTGTAACCAATGATACTAACGATAAAGCAGGAGCATCGAAGCATAATAATAATACAAATACAAGCGTTCCTGAACTGGTATCATTCATTAATGCTAAGCTGGCTAATATTTTACAAAAATCCCCGGAAGAAGTTTCAAATTTACCAAGTTATAATACAAGATTTGTTTCCAATAGTATACGCAGAACCGTTGATCCTAATAAATCAGTCCCAATTAAGAGAACCGAATATTCACAAAGAGTACATCAAACACCTCCGATTTCAAAACCAACAAATGACTACAACTCGGCCACCCCACTCGGAAATAAAAGAATGATAGGAATGCCACCAAGTCAAGTTCCACAATCGAAAAGACCCCATTTAGAGTATGTATAACTTACTTGAGATTTATGTAGAAGACTCTACTAACTTTTTGCAACTATAGAAATACAGATAACGAGGGTAAAGACCAGGAGAATAGAACTCCTGCACCGAAACAATGATTGTATATACGGAAATAACAGCATCACTTGAAAGCTTTTGTTTTCTCTTATATTTATTTTTAATGATAACGGTAAACTTAGCATATTATTGTAGTGGTGTACGCGTTGTAGAAAAAAAAAACACTAGAGGAGCAAAAAAGCTCTCCAAACGATTTGTAATAGGAACTGATCTAATAACCCATAAAAGATATGCCATCCAGAAGCAAAGCATCGATTCTACCGTTATTGCAGACAATTGGCCCTTATAATGAGGTTGCAGAAGAATATGAACCTGATGCGGCCGTTGAAATATTGAATACCGCAAAGATTCTAGTTATTGGTGCTGGAGGATTAGGTTGTGAAATATTGAAGAATCTTGCATTGACCGGATTCAAGAATATCGATGTGATCGATATGGATACGATTGATATATCCAATTTAAATCGTCAGTTTTTATTTCGTCCTAAAGATATTGGTAAGCCCAAGGCCGAGATAGCGGCAAATTTCATTAGAAATAGAATTAGAGATGATTCATTGAATATCAATGCAATATTTGGGAAAATTCAAGATAAGCCCGATAGTTATTATAAATCGTTTGACATTGTGATATGTGGGTTGGATAGTGTTGAGGCGAGAAGATGGATCAATGCAACCTTGGTATCATTTGTTGATGAGAATTTGAATAACTTGATTCCTTTAATTGATGGAGGAACGGAAGGGTTCAGAGGCCAGTCAAGGGTTATATTACCAACTATAACGTCATGCTATGAGTGTACTTTGGATATGGTTACTCCCAAGACCACCTATCCAGTTTGTACTATTGCCAATACCCCCAGATTACCGGAGCATTGCATTGAATGGGCTAGTGTATTAGAATGGCCTCTAAAATATCCCGATCATAAGTTTGATGCTGATAATGTTGAAGATGTTGAGAAGATGTTTGAATTATCGAGTGATCGAGCCAAAGAATTTAATATTAAAGGAGTTACTAAGCAATTAACCTTGGGAGTTGTGAAGAATATAATTCCGGCGATTGCATCTACTAATGCGATAATTGCCAGTAGTTGTTGCAATGAAGCTTTCAAGATATTGACAAATATCAATCCAATATTGAGTAATTATATGATGTATTCAGGGGATGATTCAATATTTACTTATACCTATAGTCATAGTAAGAAGAATAATTGTTCAGTGTGTGGGAATAAGACTAAGAAGATTCAAGCCAAGAGATGGTGGACCTTGAGTAATTTGATTGATAATGTTATAAGTAAGCAAGAGATTCAAATGAACAGGCCATCGATCAGTACCTCGAGGATGAATCTATATTTACAAAAACCCGAAATGTTGGAAGAAATGACTAGACCAAATTTGAATCGGAAACTTGTGGAAATGGTTGATATAGGAGAGGAGATAATTGTGACGGATCCTAATTTACCGATTTATTTAAAGTTGATAATCAACGAATTTAATGGTCCAGAAAATGAACCTAATGATATAAATGCGTTATTGGCTACATGAAAACATTAATAAAAAAAAACTAAAATTTTTCCATTTCATTAAGTAGTAAACGATTAAATTCTTTTATATTATCTAGATAGATATGATGACCACTATCATCAATTTCCAAAACGGAACTTTTATTTGATTTGGTTAAATTATTAATGATTGAACTAGCCAATTCACCACCTTTTTTATCCATCCAATCATCTTTACCATAACACCATAGCATATCGCATTTTAACTTATGTAAACCTCTTTCAATAAGTGGATGTCTTGCATCTGCACCGGGAGCCAATAAAAAATTTAACATGTATTCACCAGAACCTTTACTTTGAAAGATACCATAAGCGTAACGATGTAAAGCTTGACGTTCAATTTTGGGTAAATTAGCAAATCTTCTTGAAGACCACATACTAACTAATTTTGAGCCTAGAGGACCTGATTTTCTAACTAGGGTAAAGGGGGATATATTTTGTTCCCATAATTTGGCAAAATATTTAGGAACAAAGATTTGTTTACGGTGTTTCAATACAGCACCGGGACTTATCATGAGGATTTTTTTAGCAAAGGAAGGATTTTGCAAGATGCCATAAGTAGCCATGAGGTAAGCACCCATTGAATGAGCCACCACCAAGTTATTTTCCGGGAATAGATGTAAATTTTTCAAGGTCAACCATTTTTGGAAAGAGTCGTGAAACCAGGACTCTACTTCGGATAAGTTTTGAGCCGTGAAGGTTGGTCTGGAAGAACAACCGTAACCAAGTAGATCGATTGAATGGATGATCCAGTTTTCATTTTGCAGAATCTGATTGAAGTTTTTGTAGAAGAACCCCAAGCCACCCCCGTAGCCATGGACCAAGATCAAGTGTTTATATTTAAGGTAGTGGGATTCATCATAATTAGCCGGGTAGATGACAAATTCATTTATATAATTCTCATCATCAATGAATATTTTTAGTACTTCACTTGATCTGCCCAACTTATCAGGATTTGGATAAAATGGCAATAAAGATAATAAGTCGTTTTGAAACTTCAAAGGATTATTTCGATACTTAAAGTCATTTACCGATTCCTTAATCGATAATGGGAAATTTGCTTTGAATAGTTTATTTAGAGGTAATGACGTTGGATGAGTGGACCTTTTATAATTTTGGGTGATCTTCTTATTGATTGGTTTTTTCTTGGAGATGATTCTGGCTAGCAACGCATTGCTTTTTATCCTACTGGTAGTGAAGTATCTTATGCTTACGTGGGGATTCATCATCCTTGGACGAAGATGGGCAGTTTACTGGGGTAAGTCGATGCACTTGCTGTAAATGTTCAGCAGAAAAGCCCGTACCTTTCCATCCCACCATTTCCGATTACATAATCCACATCACGTGATACACATCTCATTTCCGACAAAAAAAAAATTTTTTTTTATTTTTCAAGTATCTGATCAATCAGGCCAGTGATCAATCAGATATGATTTCGGCCAGTGATCAATCAGATATGCTCGGTCAAGCAGGCAGGCAGGTATGTACATGCCGACATTGAAAGCAATGCCAAGGGGTCTTGCGACAGAAAGAATACACGACAGGCCGGCTCGTATAATGGGCAGACAAGCAACCGGCGACATCATCTAATAAAGAGACAAAAGCTAGTTTAATTTGCAATGCACTGCTGATTAACTCAACAAAAACCCAAAAACTGAAGCCCAAAAGATGCAGCCCAAAGAAGCAGCCCAAAGAAGCCCCGACAGAATGTAACGGAAAAGGAATGTATCAAGTGAAATGCTACAAAGAAACCCAGAAAAGGACCCCCCTTGAGTAGTGTGTCAGATGATAATTCAGCTATTGTATATGCGATAATCGGCAAGTGCTGGTCGCTGATTGGACTTGAACGCTTGTTGGTGCGGGTTTTTTATCTGATTAATCTGCGCTTTTCTCGCGCACTGGCAGCTCATCTGTCAATATAGTGACACATTGGCTAATGCCGGCCGGGGTGGTTGCACGACCCCGTTCCAATTTGCATCCAGGCGGAACGGTAGCCCGGGCTAAACCCACCAGAAGACAATGGATTTGGAAGTAACTGCCGTTCTATTCATAAAGTTAGTTAAATTATTGCATGAAAAAATTTTCTTTTCTTTTCTTAAAGAAAATGTTATGATTGGTTGTTTCCAGATTAATGAGTTCAGGTTTTGTTCGTATATTTTAATATACTCAGATGCCTTATTAGAGTATTGCCTTAGCAAAGGGGGATTTATTTTAAGACATGTAGAGCCATATATATATATTTGGGATTTCCTCCGTTGAGCATTTTTCCATTACTCTTTTCTTATAAAGTAAATTTCTCTTACAGTTTTTTTTTTTTTTTGAATCTCTTTATTCTAACCAACCCTTATCATCTCCATCCCTAGCCGTTTATTGTTAACTTTTAGTTAGAAGGAAGTAAGAGGAAAAAACAGAAAAGGAAAAAGAAATTAATATTTGGAAAGAATGAAGTTATCTAGTTGTATTTTCATTTCTTTCTTGATTAGTTTGGTTTCTGCTACCACCCATACTTGGTATTATGAAACCAGTTGGGTTGATGCTAATCCTGATGGATGTCAAGAACGTAAAGTCATTGGGCTCAATGGTACCTGGCCCTTACCTAACTTGAGAGTTAAAAAGGGTGATCGTGTTCAATTTTATTTAACTAATGGGTTTGACGATCGTAATACTTCATTACATTTCCACGGTTTATTTCAAAATGGTACTAATCAAATGGATGGTCCAGAAATGGTTACTCAATGTCCAATTCCTCCTGGGGAAACCATGTTGTATAATTTCACTGTTCCTGATCAAGCCGGTACTTATTGGTACCACTCTCATACTTCTGGTCAATACGGTGATGGTATGAGAGGTGCTTTTATTATCGAAGAAAAAAATCAAGATGATTTCCCTTATGAATACGATGAAGAAGTTGTTTTAACTGTTGCTGAATGGTATCACGATTTAACTGATGTTCTTAACCCTAAGTTTTTGAATTTGTATAATCCAACTGGTGCTGAACCAATTCCACAAAATTTGTTGTTTAACGAAACCAGAAATGCTACTTGGAAAGTTGAACCAAATAAAACTTATTTCCTTCGTATTATTAACGTTGGTAGATTTGTTTCTCAATATCTTTATATGGAAGATCACGAATTTGAAATTATTGAAGTTGATGGGGTTATGGTTGAAAAAAATACCACTGATTTACTTTATCTTACCGTGGCTCAACGTGTTGGTTGTTTAGTTAAAACTAAAAATAATACCGATAAAAACTATGCGTTCATGACTAAAATGGATGATGGTATGTTGGATGTTATTCCAAAAGATTTACAATTAAACTCCACCAATTACATCATGTACGATGAAGATAAAGATAAACCAGAGCAATACTACATCGATGATGTCGAAGATTTCTTTGATGATTTCTACTTGAAACCTTTATCCAAAGAAGAATTATTTGATGAACCTGATAACGTTATCGAAGTTAGTGTTCAAATGGATAACTTGGGTAATGGTATCAATTACGCCTTCTTCAATAATCTTACTTATACTAAACCAAAGGTTCCTACTCTTGTCACCGCCATGTCAAGTGGTGATGACGCAAATGATGCTTCTGTTTATGGTTCCAACGTTAACTCTTTTGTCTTACAAAAAGATGACATTGTCGAAATCCGTCTTAATAATCAAGATACCGGTAGACATCCTTTCCACTTGCACGGTCATGTTTTCCAATTGATTGATCGTGGTGAAGGAATTCCTGAAGGTGAAGGTGATCCAGTTGCTTTTGATCCAAAAAACCATACCGACTTCCCTTCTCATCCTCTTATTAGAGATACCGTCTATGTTAATGCTCAATCCTACATTGTTATGAGATTTAAAGCTGATAACCCTGGTGTTTGGTTCTTCCATTGTCACATTGAATGGCATTTGGATCAAGGTTTAGCCATCGTCTTGGTTGAAGCTCCTTTGGAAATGCAAAAAACTGAAAGTCAACACTTCACTGATGATTTCATCAGAACTTGTAAGAAAAATGGTATGAATGTTACTGGTAACGCTGCCGGTAATTCTAAAGATTATTTGGATTTAACCGGTGAAAATGTTCAATATGCTCCATTACCTGCTGGTTTCACCGCAAGAGGTATCGTTGCTCTTGTCTTCTCCTGTATTGCTGCTGTCTTGGGTTTGGTTGCCATTACCGTCTACGGTCTCCAAGATATTAAAGACGTCGAAAAGAGAGTCGCTAGAGATTTGGACGTTGATATCACCGATGATAACGACGTTGAAGAAATCCACGAATCTTCTTCCTCCGATGCTATCGAAAGTAATCGTAAATAAATTCACTAGAGGTGATTATTTATTGATGTGATGTTTATTGAATCAAATTTGGGTTGTTGCTTGTTGGAATTGAACCATTTCTTAAAAGGTCATGAAAAATGTGTGTGTAAATTGAAGAAACCTTTTACAGTTATGGTGATATGTGGCAATTCCTACAGAGAACAACCTATGATTCATTCATCGTATTTCGATTATCATGAAAAATTTTTTTTTCAAAAAACAGTTGCAAAAAATTGAAAATAAAAAAAAAAAAAAAAACTATTTCTACTCCTCTACTTTTATTTCTTTATTAATGTTAATTACGAACGGCTCGGCTCTATAACGAATAACTATCATCCCCATCCTCCTTTTTTTTACAGACCCCCAAAGACCCCCTTTTAATTTTTTATATTTTTATTGACCCATTTTTTTTTGTTGACTCTAATTGTATCTAGTATATAGTTAATGAATTTTCTTACCCGTTACCATACTTTTGTAATTGTAATCGTATATTACAAGGTCTTTAGTCGTATTCATTCAGTTCTTGTTTTTAATGTAACAAGTTTTCTGTAGTATGTAACATTGATAAATCCTTGCAACAGTTCTCGTAAACTTTCCAACACTATCAGACATTTCTTGACTTTGTGATGGCAGATTTCAGCATAAACTGACTATGTACCTATTGTCTAGCTTCCATTATTTTGATGAAATAAATTCAATGTTAAAGCTTAATTACATTCCACAAAAAAACCAGTTATTTTCTTAGGAACTTAAAAACACCTCCATGGTTCCCATGGAATTTAATCCCAGCAGACTCAGGTGTACCGAGGCTCTATATACACGAGCCTATCTGATCATAATCTGATCATAATTGGCCTTGGTAATAAATTAAGGCTAGTACAACCGGGAATTGTAGTTAAATTATTTCTGAGAGGTTCGGGTCTTTTTTGAGAGTTGATGCGCACAACTTTTAATTTTATCAACGAATGCTCAACACCATTGGACTCTAATGATGGTATAGAGTTGTTGGCACAACAATGTTTGAGGCAGTTTATATATCAGATAATCAGAATAATCTTATATTTGAGTATCTCATTTCCCTCCAATCCCCTCATTTCAAATCTTTGATCAACGTTATCAAGTCGAAACAAGATGATAATAAGGATACCTTGAATAATTCACCATTGATTCAAATCAATTCTGAATTCTATGTGTGCTGCCATAACGCGTCCAATATAATCATCTACTTGCTATGTTCCAAAAGCGACGAAAATCAATCGAATCCCATCTTACCGTTTGTTTTCGTGAACCGGTTAATTGAAGTGATGGAAGATTACTTTGGTATTCCTTTGGCAATCACCAAGATTGATGCTAATAATGACACTTTGACTTTGCTAATAAATAACATGATCGATGATGGTATACCGAATATTACAGACTTCAATAAATTGCGTGATTTAATTCCTTTCAAAAGTTTGTTATCCAGGTTTTTAAGCTCTAGTAATGAGTTGACCAAATCAATTACTCCAACAAAGAACTCGGTGCCAACTTTTGCTTCGTCTTCCAATGATATAGATTCTATTCCTTGGAGAAGGGACAATGTCAAGTACACTAATAATGAAATGTATGTGGATGTTGTTGAAACCATTAATGTTATATTGAAACCTCATCATACCAATAATTTCAAAAATGATAAAAAATTTGATTCTGCATTCTATTCAACCAGCTCTTTTTCAAGTCAAACCAAGTTGGTTCCAGTAATGGGGAGTATCAACGGTGAAATAAATTTTTTGTCTCATTTAACTGGTGTTCCATATTTGCAAATGTTATTGAATGTAAGGGGTTTAAATCTTGAATTACCTCAATTTCATCCATGTATCAAGATAGATAAATGGATGGACCAAGAAGGCAATCTATCGTTTATCCCTCCCGATGGTAATTCGACTTTGATGACATACCAAGTAGATTTGGAAAATTTTAATAAGAAAGTCCAACAAGAAATGTTGGGCTTATTAGATATTGATTATCAAGTTGAGTTGGGTCCATTGAAAAATGAATTTGAAATAAAAATCCTGCTCAAGAGTCATAAATCGGTATCAAAATTGGAAAATCTAATAATTGAGGTAAATAGCTCATCATTAATCAATGATATGACTTCTGATTCAAATATCTTGAATGTCAAATCGAACAGATTAACTCATGGTGATTTCCAATATAAAGGTAACGGTAAAGCCGAGTGGAACTTACGTAATTTGGCTAATGGTATCCAGCCAATTTTGAGGGGGTCGATAATCACCAACTCGTCTGATGATTTCAACTCTTCGTCTGCTTCTTCATTAAATGAAAATTTAATTGAAATCGAAAATTCAAACCTGGTCAAGCCAATAAAACCTAACTACATCAAGATCAGTTATTCAAATAAAGGTTGCGTTCCAAGTGGGTTAAAAGTCGATAGCTTAAAAATACTAAGTGCTAAAGGATTAGGTGAAACCGTCAAGCCTTATAAAGGTGTTAAGTATATCACTAGAACCGGAGACTACATAATTAGATCATGAATAATTGTTTATAGATTACAAAATATACTTTATTGCATTCGAAGCACAGTTCAATAATTGATCGTTAATTTGATATGGACTAAAGATTAGTTAATTAGTAGTGAAAGCGTATACAAAGAAAAGAATTAAAAAAAGAAAAACATTCAGGAATTAGATGATGATGGTTGCAATAAATTTCGTGTTACCTCATCTTGTGTTACATCACTGTTTCGTCCTAAGTTTCAATTGATGTTAATAAACTGATTCGAATAATCGTAGAAAAGAAATTTATACAAACTTTATAAGTTTAATCAGATTTCTTACTTTTTTTCAATTTTTCCTTTTGGGCATTTTTAATTAAGACATTACCGATAAATGAACCAACACCTAAACCTGCTAATAATAAAAGTAAAAATGGTAACTTGATAGCATAATCTCTTGGTAAGAAGAAGTATTGTAAGAAATTGTTTTCATCAACAAATGGTAAAACAAATACCCAAATAGTGTAATATGAGAAGACTGCTGTAGCAATTGCAAGCATTACGAGACCAACTAATTTATCACAAACCTAATATTACGGTCAGTATACTAAAACTTTAAATTATCCTCCTTATAAAGCTTCTAATACATACCATTGTATATCCTTTTTATGTTGCACGGTAGAAGCTGATGAGATTTGAAAAAATAGAAAACTTAACTCAATCAAATCGTTAAAGAAGTAGTTTTTTCTGTACGTGTCGCTTTTTGGTGATGTTTTTTGTTTATGCTTTTTTAGCGCTGGTCACGTGACCACGATTTTGATTTCAAAAAAAAAAAAAAAACTACTCTTGGTGTAAGGCTATACGATGGATTAGTACTTTTTATAGTATAAAGTTCAAGATAACGAAGCTTGCTGAATAATGTTGAACAAATTGAAGCTGAGAAAAGCACCGCTTTCACTTAGTTCGGTGTCGAACGTGATCAAAACCGCTGGGGTCTCCGATCTCTCACCGGCCGATATCAATCCAAAGCATATAGAAGTTACAACTACAAGCCAATTGGGGTTGCCAAAAAACTCGGTAGTTGCAGTTGCATACGATCCAGTGCAGTCACTTTTGGCAGTGGCAACTACCGATAACCAAGTGAGAGTGTACGGTCAGCATATGGTTGAAGTTGTATTTGAGTTCAAGTCAGCTACCCCGATTTCTGAGTTGAAATTTATCAAAGGGGTATATTTGGTTTGCATTCAGCCAATTTCCGGGAACATAATTGTCTTGTCATTGCATTCTAAGGAAATATTGACCACCTACTCCCCACCAGGTAAGATCCACTCGGTTGAATCCGACCCATCTCTTGATTTCTTGATCATTGGTTTGACAAATGGTCAATTGGTGTTTTACGATGTCGATCGCATGAATCTTACTCCATTTAGAGTTGATAACTTACAGAAGGCGTTGCTACCAAAACACAAATTATCGCCTGTTCTAGGCATTGAATGGAATCCAAGAGATATCGGTACCATTTTAATCACTTATTCCCATTCGGCTATCTTGTACTCTCTTACTTCAGGATCCATCAAATCTGCTTTTATATACAAATTGAATAAAGGTGACAAAGGTTACGATTATTCCAGTTACATTGCCAATGGCGGTAAAAAGAAGATTTTCGGATCTTCCAAAGAGGTTATTCCTGAGGTAATTGAAGCACATTTTCATCCAAATGGATTGCACGTACTCACAGTCCATAGAGATAACACTTTAGCTTTTTGGGATGCAAACGATGAGACCTTGTTAGAAGCAAGAACCACTATCGAGACCGGATTACATAGGCCGGATCCAATGCCTTTGGAACCTCCAACCGGAGGATTCGCATCAATATCTAACGTTAGATGGATTGCCGGTCAAGATCCTGAAATGACTCAATTAGTTATCAGTGGTGGTGATTGTACCCAAGGTAACATTTTGAATGTTCTTGATTTCGGCTACACCTTGAAATATAGTATGACTTCTCATGAAAAACAAGGTGAGTTCTACGCTAATCCTCAAGGTCAAAGAATTATCCCGGTGACATTCTATGACCCCGATGAAAATAACCACGGCGAGTTCATCGAAAAAATTATTCCAGTTTGTGGTGAAGCACAACCTTACTTCAATGGTAATCATAATCCAGAGTACTTAATACTCTTAAGCAATGTTGGTGCTTTATACATAATAGAGTATTCTTCATTCGGAGTTGCTCAAACTGGTGGTACTGACTTGGGACGTTTAATTTTACCTCCTTCTCTTTCATTTGTTCACCCACCAGTAATTTACTCTACTGTGCAATTGGTGAAGAGACAAGACTGGTATGGGATTGTCTCAGCTAGAACCGGTGCTAGTTCAAAGTTCAAGTTGTTACTTATCGGTGGTGCGGCTGCAAATCATAAATCTGCCCCTCGTCCAATGGGTTTCAATGATAATATGAGAAGTATTTTGATTACCGGTCATGAAAACGGCCAAATTAGAATGTTAGACATATCTAGAGGTGAGCACCAAGAACCTGAAAGTATCTTGCAAATAAGCATGAAGGAAACATTGTATGACAATGGGGATCCGAAAAGTTTGAAAATAGTTGGAGTCTCTTGTGGGTTTGAAAACAGGGAAATGCTTGTTGGTTTAGCCAATGGTAATGTTGTAATCTCTAAATTTGGGAAAGTTCCAACATCTAACCAAGCCTCTGCTAGTGGACAAGATTATCATGGGTGTCCAACTCAGCATCAAAACGGAGATGCTAAAATCATGAACATTAAGGATAGGATTCTGGGAAGCTTTGCATCATCTTCAACATTCTTACCTTTATATCTACTTCAATTAGGAGGTCAAGATGAGATTTCTTGTTTGAAAATGAGTAATATCGGATTTGCCGCCATTGCTTATAAGTCAGGTAAATTAGTTGTTTGTGATGTTTCAAGAGGGCCCGCAGTTATATTCAATGAAGAATCGGTTGCAAAATTTGTACCAGCTGCTCAAGGTGAGGGTACAATCCATATCACAACTATGGAATTTTCAATTATGGAATATTCTCAAGATGGTTATTCCTCAATCATTTTGATGGCCGGGACTAACGGTGGTGGTAATTTATTATTATTCAAGATTATGCCACAGGGTAACGGTGGATTTGGAGTTGAGTTTACTGATAAGACTGTAAATCTTAATTACAGAATGTTAGGAAACGAAGACCCAATAACCTCCAAATTGGATCAAATTATTCCTATAAATGCAACTACAGGAGAATCAGCAATTGCTTCTCTCGAGAACTTTCAAAGGTTGGCAACAGGACTTGTAATTCCAGGGTTCATTATCACTGGCTCAAACCGTGATTTAAGAGTATTGAAATTACCAAGAACCAAACTTTCTCACAAGGTTATAGATGACAAGTGTTTAAGATGTGGTATTATTAGAGTACGTGATAAAGGTATTGTGTTGGCTTCATTAGTTAAAACAGGTTTTATTAAATTTTCTTCCTTGCCTTCTTTAAGTGATATAACTGATATCAAATTACCTAAAGAAGTTTATAGAAAAGTTCAAGAAGCTTTAGAGTCAGGAATTGCATCAAAATCTGATATCTTACCCAACGGGGAAGTCTTTGTTAGACTCAGTGAAACTGAATTGGTTAACTTATGTTCATCTCATGATGATAGTAAACTTCGGAAATTACATAAAGAAGACAAAAGTACTGACTTATTATTCAATGAAAATGCAATTATCCCACCCCGTCCTTCGGTTAGTGCTATGCAATGGGCCAAAGGTTTTAGCAAATTCACAAGTGTTGAGGATTTAGCATTCTTAATTGCTGGACCAAATAGAAAACCGGCCAAGCACCCGGAAAGCAGATTGGCTCACAACATCAGCCCCGAGGCTAATCCCCAACAAGGGTATGGATTTGGGGGTGGAGGGCCACCCAAACCTGATCCAAATGATCGTGGGTACGCGGAGCCAGTTAGAAGGGGCACTGGAAGTTCCAATCCGTATGCAATCCCAACAGCCGGTAGCTTCATGAGAACCGTTCAGGACGGTCTCGACTCGGTCGAAGAGTCTGTCAACGGGTATGCAAGCAATATGAGTGAAGCTATGAGTGAGGGAATCGATAATCAAAAGAAATCGATGTATGGAGCAGCTTTCAAAAGTAAATTCGGTTTCTGATCTTACAAAACTTTTTTTTTTTACTTCAATGTATATATTTCAAAATCCTTCCTGATATCTGCCATGTACTATAGCACTTGTTTCTATTCACAAGTATTTCATGTTCCTCCCTACTTAGACCAGCATTTGCTTTGACTGCAAATTCAACCTAACCCCAGTAGGCTCAGCCTACAGTCTGAAGGAATTGTTTTGTACACCAGTTTCTAAAATGCAATGCCCGTGATATTCATGCTTGTCTAGCGTATTTATAATTGCAGCCCGTAGGTCTAAGTATATATTTCCAAACGAACCAATCTGGAGAAGCATAGACTTGATTGCAGCACCGCTTGTATCAAGCCAAAACAGAGCCTGAAAAATATGACTAAGCGGCTTTGAACCAACGCACACACCATCAATGACTCTTTCTTGATCAAAATGAATTGTTGGCCCCAAAGCAGCTCTGAATCTGTATTGGTAAATTTTTCAGTTTATGCAGAGTTACTTTTTGATAGCGAAGAGAATCCGGGTAACTGCAATGACTCATTCTCAATTAGGATATTTGAAGTTTGGCGCGGTGGACAATCAGTAAAAATGCTGCTATATGATTCCGGGCACACAAATTATAAAAGGACCTAATTTCTCCTTGAAAAATTTTTCATTTAGGTTTTTCTTCTTTCATTAATATTCTAATTATATATTTCTTACATTAATATAATATCATAAATAATGTCTAAAGGTAAAGTTTGTTTGGCCTACTCTGGTGGTTTAGATACTTCTGTTATCTTAGCTTGGTTATTGGAACAAGGTTATGAAGTTATCGCTTTCTTAGCTAACATTGGTCAAGAAGAAGATTTTGAAGCTGCTGAAAAAAAGGCATTGGCCATTGGTGCTACCAAGTTTGTTGTTGTTGATGTTAGAAAAGAGTTTGTTGAAAAAGTTTGTTTCCCAGCCATCCAAGCTAATGCTGTTTATGAAAATGTTTACTTATTAGGTACCTCATTGGCTAGACCAGTGATTGCCCAAGCTCAAATCAAGGTTGCTGAAGAAAATGGTTGTTTTGCTGTTTCTCATGGTTGTACTGGTAAAGGTAATGATCAAGTTAGATTTGAATTATCGTTTTACGCTTTAAAACCAGATGTTGTTGTCATTGCTCCATGGAGAGACCCAGAATTTTTCAACAGATTTGCTGGTAGAAATGATTTATTGGAATATGCTTCTTCTAAAGATATTCCAGTTGCTCAAACCAAGGCCAAACCATGGTCTACTGATGAAAACTTGGCTCATATTTCTTTCGAAGCTGGTATTTTAGAAAATCCAGATACCACTCCTCCAAAAGATATGTGGAAATTAACTGTTGATCCAACTGACGCTCCTAACACCCCAGAAGATTTCTCAGTCGTTTTCGAACAAGGTTTACCAGTTAAATTAGTCTTGGCTGGTGGTAAAACTATTACCGATCCTGTTGACTTATTCCTTGAAGCCAATGCTTTAGCTAGAAGACACGGGGTTGGTAGAATCGATATTGTTGAAAACAGATTCATCGGTATTAAATCTAGAGGTTGTTACGAAACCCCAGGTTTAACCATCTTGAGATATGCTCACATTGATTTAGAAGGTTTAACCTTAGATCGTGAAGTTAGAGCCATCAGAGATCAATTTGTTACTCCAAGTTATGCCAAACAGTTATACAATGGTATGTACTTCACCCCTGAATGTGAATATGTCAGAGCTATGATTCCACCATCTCAAAAAACTGTTAATGGTGTTGTCAGAGCCAGAGTTTACAAAGGTAACTTCATTGTCTTGGGTAGATCTTCTGACACTGAAAAATTATATGATGAAACTGAATCTTCTATGGATGAATTGACTGGTTTCTCTCCAGAAGATACCTCTGGTTTCATTGCTGTTCAATCTATCAGAATTAAGAAATATGGTGAAGCCGCTAGAGAAAAAAACCAACCATTAGACTTGTAAACATGAAACATAACTTTAACGAAATAATATATTTAACAAAAATGAGTACTTTGCGAATACTCAATGTATTTTAGCTATTATATAAACATAAAATATACTTAATTATTGATACGAAGAAAGCTTTCTATACTAAATTTTGCAACTTCTCTGGTAGCCAAAAGAAGATAAGTCCAAGAAATGTACTAGTCGTTTTTAAAGTCTAATACAAGATCATTATCGACATCATACTTTTCTCCCACGAGATTTTTGACAGCAAACGAAATTTGATCAAGTCTTTTATAAATCAAATGAGATAATAATAACGTTACAACATTCAAACGGCCATCTGGGCTGAATAGCCTGTCGAAGTCTAATCTATCCAAAAAATTTTGGGAACTAGTTTCATAGCTTCTTCTACCATCTGTGTAAAACCTTTCACTTAAAGAAACCTTATTGATTCCCCATTGGGTTCTCAAGATATCGAGGTGTTTTATAGATAAATTAGAAGACAAAACTTTCGGCAAAGGACTTTTGGATCTTAGGGATTGTGATGTCATATGTACTAATGAAAAAATGTCAGCGGTTAAATCTATATCACACCAACCTGCTCGGTGAATGATATGATCCATCCAATCATTGGGATCTTTAACTTGATCGACAATAGTAAACATCATGAAATATAATTGAACCACGTCGTTTATTAATGAATGTAGTTTGGTATATTTATCTTGTGGCCATAGACCATATAGTGGAACCTCATATTGAATTGGTTTCATAAGAGCCTTCACTTTTGCTAATGTCAACAATATATGTCTAAACCTTTCAACAAGAATGTCATGTCTATTAAGAACATGAAGACCTGGACTCTTGATTCTTTGCATTGCCAATTTGGTGACATTACAGTGCAAGTTACCAGTTGCTTCAAGGGCGTTTGCTAAGGATTTTCTAACAGCAGCTTTACTACTATTAACTTTGGGGAATACAGTGGCCAAGAAAGCTGCCACTAAACCAATCACAACACTGATGAATCTAGTTACAGCCGGACGAAGACCGTGTCCTATGTTGGCCAACTGGTTATATGTATCGACCCAACTTGTACCTAAGGTTAAGACCGGAGTTATAGCAATCATTACTGATGGCATAGCACTAACATGCAGAGCATGATGTCTGTAGTATGCAAGGAAAAAGTACACTACAGCAGTTACTGGTAGATAACCTCTTTCCTTCCCGGTAGATATATACCATGCTACCAATCCAACAAGAGAACCCAAAAACGAATAGACAATCTTACAAACAAACATGTATATAGTTTCGGCTGAATACTCTGAAGTTGAAACAGCGCATGTAATTGGAAGCCAAATCAATCTATTACTGAAATACCAACCTGCAGTTGTACGACAATAATACGGGATAGAACAGATAGTAACCAAACCACCTACTCTAATCCAAAACCATAAATGTTCATTTAAAATGTAATGGTTGTAAAAATGGATGCAAAAACTACCAACTTTCATGAATATGTTGGAAGGTTGTAAAGCATCTGGATCCCTTGCCTTTACTTGCTCTTCCAAAAACTGTTTAGACAGCGTAGTAGGATCCTCTGTGGAGAGACTTGATTGGAAAGTGGACTTAGTACTATAGTTTGAATGTGTAAAATAAGTGATTATCATGGGTTTCGGTCTTGATTCATCTAAATCGAGAAATAAATCAATAACTTTTATTAGCTCTTTGCATTGCTCTTGAACAATGAAAAATAATAACGAAGATTGACTGATAAAAGTCAAGACAGTCTCTTCGTTTTTATTAGCTTCTCTCATCATGTCTGTTCGACTTCTTTCGGCCAATTCAAGATCTTTTAATTCATCGATCATTCTCTTTCTTATTGCAACGATTTTATCATGATTAAGCTTTTGAGAAGCTTCACATTTGCGACGAATAGAGGGGATGAAATAACTGCCTAATCTATAATTGTTTGCAGCAAAAATCCAATCCACCACTGTGTCGAATGCTTCAGTCGTGCAGATTAATATTGGCTTGAAAGCTTCTTTAATGTGTTCTGATATGTAATCTAGATCTGCTAAAGATACTCTTTCAGTTGGATCTTGACCTTCAAACCTGTTCCTAAGTTCAGTTATGCGTTTTTCATTTTCGAATTGTCCCACTTCATAATATGATTCTCTCAAGGTTGATAAAAGTTTCCCGTGTGCTGAATCTTGAAAAGTGCTTGCAACACTAGCTCTCCGTTGTAGCCCAGCAAAAATATTTGAAGCCGTATCTTTTCTTTCAGCTAATAATTGGTAGAAATATTCAAAGCCGGCAGTTATACTAATGAGATTTTTCAAATGAGAACGATATTCAGCGAGATTACCTGGATCGAAACGACTATAAGCAATTTCATACCGTGCTGTTAAAGCAAACAAATCTAAAGCTGGAACCTTTACTCTAAGCAGGGTGATATCTTTTGAAAATTGCAGAAAGTTACGAAAGTTATCCGCAGAGGGTTTGAGTGAAAAAACAAATCTTGAATTACATTTATTGACATTTCCAAGGGCCTTAAGAATATTTCCGGAAGCACTGAAATATTTATAACTTGAAGTAAATGGGAAAATAAACAAAGCAGTTAAAATTCTCATGCAGTAAGATAGCCCCATAGGCTTTAATATATTAAAACCAATAAGAGTAGGAGCAAATATAGGAACCATGACGTTGTAAGAACATTGAATTACAAACATAATAACTGCACTAACAAAACCCATACGCATTATAGGATGAATTTTCTCAAACAAGCCAAAAGTAGTCATTCCAATGATTAACGCAACAATCCAAACGACGGTGGTCCTGGTCTCCAAATATCTACCTGTGAAAAACTGATCGACTAAACACAGTTCACCTCCTTCCCTAGTACAGATTCCTTCTTGGATCAACTCTGCAAGTAAAGCTTCAGCAGTTGGCCAACCTCGTATCTTAGCTTGAATAGCCATAGCAACAACTGAAAATAGCCATCCCCAAATTAAAAAGAAACCCGCAAGAAATGTTACCATCAAGTTAAGACTTATCAGTTGGCCACCTGGAGCAATAATAAATAGCATGATTTGAAATAAATACGCCCCACCACCCAACCAATGACTAATTTTGGGAATTACACAGAATATAACAGTTATCCATACCAGAATCCACGTTGAAAATGCAGTTCGAAAAGAGTTCATGTCCAAATGATCTAAAAACCAACCAGGTCTAAATGTTTCTAGGTATTTACGCCATATTGGCTTTCTTTTATTAACTTTTTCCTGACTGATATCAGACGTTGCGTCCGATTCTTTATAAACATTGAAGGGACCGTCACCACCACTGGTGTCTATTTCCTCATTATGAGCAGAACTCTTCGGAGTTGATTCATTCTCGTTTGCTGGGTCATAACTTTGAGGTTGCACAATAGAGGACCCTGAAATTGTTTCTTCCAAGGACCGCGCAGAATTTCGATTAGACAGCATTGTGATTTACTAGCCTATCTTTAAGAAACAGAAAGTTTGGGAGCTAATCAGTATTTATAATTACCCTGGAAAACTTCAGCCTTGATATATGTAATCCCCTTAACATGTGAATGCCGATTGCTTCATCGGCCATTTGTTCGAACCGACTTTCCTTGGTTGCGACCGTTATATTTATTTTTTTTTCCCTCTTTTTTTTTTTTTTGTTTTGTTAGTGTATTTTTGGTCTCAAGACAACAGTTTGCACCATTCAGTGAGTTTACTTAAATACTCGGGGACGTTCTTACCTATTAGGTTGGTAGGAACGGAGCGTTTTGCAGCTGCGTTTGTTTTGCTGCGTTCAAGATGGTCGCTAAGTTGATCAATGAGTTTGTTTAAGATATTGTAAGCTTTGGGGTGATGTATTTCTGGAATATCGTTTTCCTGTTTGATCGGTGTAGACTCTATATCTTCGATGAAGGCATCTTGATTGTTGAAATAGTACCAGCTTGTGAGCCATAACACCTTGTTGAACATGGGGAACCTGAACTTACTTGGTACTCTGGTCTTTTTCTCAATGTCATTGATTTTAAGATGCATCTCAAGACTATTTAGCAGCAAAAAATTACCTCCTATGACTACTGAGTCTTCCGGCGTATACACTGCGTGGATCCAGCCACTTGGGATGATGAACAAATCTCCTTCCTTTAATGTTGCCTTGAAACCACCGGCTGGTTTGCTTTGTCTTCCCTTATAACTTTTGGTGTAATCTCCAAACCACGTAAAGTTTTGATGGGGTTCTTGACACCATGCCGTGTATAAATACAAGTTGAGGTCGGTTGGAGGGTACAATAGAAAAGTCTTCTTGCCCTTGCATACCGTATAGTAAACACAAGTGCCTGAGAAATCTAGATGGAAATCAGTGTAAGATGATTTGACTGACATTAAACAGTACTTTGTCACTTGAGGACGGGGTTGGTTCTTTTCTCCGTATGACCAGACTTTATCCACCAAGTCCAAGTCTTTCACAACATTGGGTCGGGAAAATGCTTTTCCTATATCGTCAACCTGGGATACTTCCAACGAGATCACATTTCGAATTCGATCTCTACTTTCTGCATCGGTATAGAAATATTCTTTCCACTTACTCATGTTCCAACCGGGCAGAACCCCCTGCTGGGTGAGAACATCCATCACTTCAACTGGAGTGTCACCGCCTACCTTATCTTCTATGTACTGAACGCTGATTTCTTCACGGCGAGCTGGCAATTTCATTCCTGATTTTTCCAAGTCAACTTGTGGTATAAGGACCGGCTTCGGTAACTCGGTCCTGAGCACGTATTCTTTATTCAATTTTTCAGACTCTAGCACTTCTATATATGGGGTCTTTTCTTCGCTGGTTGCATCAGGCTCGAAGTTTAGGAAATTGTATACATGATGATGATTTGCCTTATCAATTGCAAATGTTTCACCTTCATTAAGAGCAACATAATCGATTTGAACTCTAGCCCTCTTCAGTTTCCTTCGGAATGACGATTCGCCATGTTTGGCAGAACACACTTGACAATGGTATGTGTTTAGATTCTTTATCTCGGGTTGGGTGAGTTTGGTGCAAATGGCATGATACCATTTCTTGCATACATCACACTGTATCCACGACGTTGATTTGGGGCTATCCAACGGATTCCCAACACATAAAGCACATGCCTCCAAGCTACTCATCTTCAATTGTGTCGTTAAGTCTTCAATGGACTCGTAAGTGGGCTTTCTATTATACTAGTGATTTGGGCCCGTGAAGTAGCGTTTTTTTTTTTCAGTTGCACCATTTTATTGTCCGTTTTTTCCTCTGTAACTGAGATTTTGCACTTGACTCATTAGATGTCTATCCTTCTTAGCTCTAGTATCCTTAGAATTGGAATATTTATCACAGTTTGAACTGGTACCATGATTAGAGTAAGTCATCTGTTGCACAAGCAGTTTGCTATAGGCATGAAAAGCTATCAGAGCAAGCTGGTAAGACAAGTCCAATGTTTTTCCAACAGTTCCAAAAGATTCAACTCACAAGAAACCTCATCAAAGGTATCATCTTCGGAGCAGCAGAAAGCGTTTCTTAAGGAATATAAGATCCGGTCGTCGTTAGAAAGGCTTATATACTATTATGCATCCAAACCTCTCCCCAAATTTTCAATCAAAGCGTTGTATGACCAATCTCGAAAATTATCAGAACCCTTCATCTTGCAAAATGCAAGAGATACGGTGGAAGCCTTGCTTGCGTATAATGCAAGGAGACTTAAGGAGTTCAGGAATTTGCCTTATCTAGTGATGTTAAATCCCCTGATATCTGAATCATACAACATGTATCTAAAATCAATGTCAGCATTGCTTAATGCTTCATTGAATCCTCCACTCACGGTCAAAGATAATGAAGAATTTCAAGAAAGCACGCTTAATGCATTTATCAACATTCATGCGGATACTTTACCCGGCTTATCCAAAGGATTTGGTGAGGTGATCCACTTGATATCTCTTGAACAGATTAAACAATTTTTAGATGTGCATTTAAAAGAACGTATCAGTATGCGTCTTATTGTGCACCAGCATATTGAATTGTCAAAGGCTTTAAATAGTCCTGCTGGATATGAAAAAGGTGGTGATTTCAATGGGGTAATCAAAAATCTTAATATTCTGGATATTGTTAGGAAAAATGCCGAATTAGTAAATGATATCTGTTTGATGAAGTATGATACAGCCATTCCTATAAAGATAGATCATAATCTATACCCAACCAGCTATTGGAGTAGACGCGATCCTCCTTTACAACTAGATGAGAAAACTGGAGATGTCTTCTTCCCTTACATTGAATATCATCTTGATTATATCTTTATGGAACTATTTAAAAACGCATTTCGTTCCCATGCAGAAAACAAAATTGCTGATCCAGTTCAAATCACCATCTCTACCTCTTCCAATCCTTCCTATCTAGAAGTAAGAATACGTGATAAAGGCAAAGGTATACCACAAAATACTTTAAATCATATATTTGACTATTCCTTCACAACATATGAGTCAAACGAAGGTGAAGCCTACAAGACTCTAAATGTTCCACCCGGATTAGGAGGCAACACTGTAGCGGGTATGGGTTATGGCCTTCCTTTACTGAAAAACTACGTTGAAATCTTTAACGACACCTTGCATGAACATTCTGACGATGGTCCTAGTATAAAAGGTCTGTTATCGGTACAAAGCTATTACGGTTGGGGTACCGATGTCTATCTCAAGACTGTTGGTGTCTAATGTTGTTCGTCTATAGTCTTTAATAGTAATCTAATCTAATGATGATAATTATGTAATCGTTTCTATTGTACTAAGGTGATGTTCTATGCGGGATTGGCTTGCGCTCGAAAAACTTAACTAGTGATCATAACATTTCCGTTCTTTTTTCTTTTCTTACTATATCGGTTTATTCAAGGTTCAATTACGAAGTATTGAAAGGTAAGCTTGGGTTCCTCTATTCCATTCTTTTTCTGGTAAAAAAAAGCAGCTTTTCATCATAGAAATTGGCTGCTTTGGATATGGTTGAGCCAATGTTTGAAAGGTCTCTGGTTAATTATCTGGACAACCATGCCGATGGGTCGGTGCCAATCACTTCTTTCCCGGTAGTCAAGCTTAGTAAATCGGAGCTTAATGAACAATTGCATCCTATATTAATCAATAGTGATACCGGTGAGTGCAACCAAAACCTATGCACATATTTTAAGATCATCATTGATAATTTATACTTCCCAGATGGAGAGACACCAAGCAATTACCATCATCTCTCAATTTACGCTTTGAAATTGCTTGATCTGAATCTTTTTGTTAAGAACTATAGGTGGTGTGTTGGGAAGATCTTGAGTTTACTCCAAGTTTTCATTGATATTCAAAACTGCCCAGATGAATTCGGTACTAATAAAGAATTACAGAGAGAAAGTGTTTGTATGAAAGAATTTCTTTGTATAATACTTTTGCTTCTACTTAAGTTGAAAAATGAGCAAAATATTAATGAATTCAACCACGAAGAAAGCATGCATCCTAATTTTAGATCCATTGATGCTGATTCACTCTTTGAGGTTTTAATAGATCTTGATTTTGTAACTATAATTGGAAATTTGATATCTGCCCATATAACTCACTCCGAAGTCAATCACGCTTCCTTTGTTTTCCTTAAATTTAGTGCCGATATCCTATTTGAGTACTTGTATAACGTTGTTTTATTATCGGATCAAGAATTTCATAGCTTGACCAACCAAACAAATCTCATTCCTATTCTCATTAAAGATTTGCTTTCAAATGAAAACTTCAACAATTATGATATTGATGGTGATGATTTTGAAGATGAAGATAAGTTGATTGCTTACGAAGAATTTAAATTGCTTCTTCTCATCAACGAACAATACTTAATGAAATCTTATAGCGCAAGAAGTATGAGCAATAAAGTTTTCGAAGGATTAATCAATGGTGTGGATAATGTGTCTCTCCATGAGAAAAATTCTGCTTCCCGTAGTAGCATATCGGGTTTTATAAATTTATTGGTCTATCATATAAACAGAGAAGAGTCTCATATTATCAAAATATTGATTCTTAAATTTCTATACTTGGTTTTTACAACATCCTATACTACAAAGTTGCCATATGTCAATGACTTGAAGATCTTGATTGATATATTTATTCGTGAACTTAATGATCTTGATTATACAGATGATTCTTCTGACGAGAATAGAATACTTATCATTACTTACTTGAAAGTAATGTATCCATTATTGATGTTCTCTCAATTAAGTGAACTTCAACAGGGTTATAAAACTAAGGAAATTCTAGAATTACTTCATAATTTAATTCTCAATGGGGACTCTTCCAATAAATCGACAACTAACTCTGATGACAAACAAGAGAATATCGTTGCCAAACTCGCTATGAAATGCTTGTCAGTTTCTTGGTTGAAAAGAAAGAAAAAATCATCATCTCCTGGGTCTGATTCTTCAAATTCTAGCTCTCCAGTAATTACAAACAATTCATTGAAACATAATAATAATAACAATTCTTCGGATGCGTCCTTAGAGTCCAAACTGAGCTTGTCCAATACACACGATATAGCCGGGACCCTTGATCTGAATGATTCATCTGACTCTCTTGCTGCGTCCTTCACTAGAATTGCATCTGTTAGAGCATCCACAATAAACGACTATCACCAACACACAACTCTGCATAACCTTGCAACAAGTAACACTGCCGATAGCCATAATTCAATTGTTGAGAACAATGGTAACATCTTTTTGCAAGATTCAATCTCCAAGATGACTATAAAACAACCAAATGAAACTAGAAAATCCAATTTATTAGATTTACCTAAAGAATACTTGAAAGAAAAGCCACTACCCCCAGTTTATGAATTCTATTCCGGAAATAGATCTAATGCATCGTCTAACTCGAATATCTCTACCTCTTCTTCAAATTCCTTACTTCAGAAAGCGTTGAAGAAAAAGGCACCACCACCTCCTCCTCCTCCACACTTGAAAGGTCATATCAATGTACCGTCTAGACAGCATAATGATTCCAAGATTGCACCTCCTCCACCTCCTCCAAGACGCAGGCGTTAAAACATTCCCCATAATTTGTCTTTTTTTTTCAGCATAACAAATATTGATCATAGATCTCCTTCACTTACTACTTGATTCTGTAACTCATATCTTATTCTACTAGCTTTTTCCATTTATTCCTTTCTCATTTGTTCTTTTATTTTGATTTGCTTGCTGTATTCCATTTCTTGTTTTATTATAAAATAACTTTTGGGTGACGACTCACTCCGTGTTTAGATACTAATAAAAAAGGTAGCTTAATTATTAATAAAATTTTTAAACTTTACGTTTGAATATTTATATTTGTATATATATTTATATATATTCATTTTAGAAACTAATATTACATAGTTATATCTTCTTTGAAACTTAACACATCGTCAAACCTTAATCCATTGATTTCAGTCTTTGTATAACAATCTAATTCTTTACTGATAGTACTTTCATCATCATTCAAGTCGAATATGTCGTTAGATGCAACCAAAATCAATCCTCTGGATCTGATTAAGGGAATTAGCTTAGGAACCAAGTTTAATAAATGAATTGATGTTATTAACCCAATCAAATTATTGTTAATTGTAAAGTTGACTGCTTCTTTGATAGATCTAATGGTTAATTCTTGGTCATTAGCAAGTAGTCTGTCTTGACGAACCTTGTTCTTGGAGTTATTTGAACTATATAAGGGTAAGTCAGTAGTTGTACCATCTTTCAAATCGTTGAGCATCAATCCATTTGTAGTTCTAGATTCAAACTCATTGGTAAAAGTATTATAAACAACACCATTCATAACTAAAAATACCGGAAAGTTTGGTTGTTTCCAATTAACAATCTTACAAACTAAAGAGTTGGAAGACAAAAATATGATTGATCTCACCAGACTTGGACCGTATTTAATTTTCAGGGATCTTATGTGATTGAAAACGTCATTCAATGTCATATCAATAAAACTATTCAAGTTCAGCTGAATGTTCACAACAAATGGTAGGTTTTCTAATTCATAGAGAGAAGGAAAAATTAATTCTAAATTTAAATTTATCTCCACATTGAGTATATCCAAAAATATGTCTAAAGGTAAGTAAATAATTTTCAACAATTTTTTGATTAAGGATAATTCATTTTTAGTCATCTTGGACAAGTCATGAATCACTTTTCTGTAATCAAATAAATTATCAGTCATGGAATTTAATTGTTCAAGAGATAAATTAGGTAAGTATAAATCGATATTTTCAGTTACCGGAATTGACCAATGTGGACATACCACGGGCGTACCATCATTTAATAAACAAATCTTAATTCTCAAGTATTCACCAGATAATGAGGTTGCAGTTACAAATGAAGATGAATTTCCGCCTCCTGATTTTAATTCAGATGTAGATGTCACAGTGTTTATGATATTGGTAGAATTACCATTCCCTGTCGAGATATTCTGGTTAATATTAACACCTTTTCCGGCTTGTAAGCTAGAAGGTGATAAGAAATTTGTAGGTGATAACCCACCTGCAGCATTAAGTTTTAAAGTTTGATTATTCTTGACAAAATTTGTAGAAGATTTCCAATATGTATCAAACTTTGACGTTTCTAACAAATTACCAGAAAATGGAAAGATGACTTGATAGTTGAATTTCAACTCCCCGATATTTTTAAGTCTCAAATCAAACAAAGGTAATTGAATGGAGCTTATTTCAGGAGATGAAGTATCAATTTGTGAAAATGCTAATGCTGTTGTTTTAGCAATTAATCTTGTACCAAACTTGGGGAATACTTCAAAGTCAATTCTGAACTCATTAAGAGAATCAATATCAGTTTGAAAGATACATTTGTTATTGGCCTTAGCCTCATCAGCAACTGGTAACAAAATATTTCTAGGGACTATATCTGATATGTTAGAGGTTAAAGTTATTCTTCCGGGCTTTAGATCAGTTGTTGAATTAAAAAGATTGATGAAATCGGAATCATTTGGGAAAATTAACTCAATCAATACCTTTTGTTCCAAAAAGTTATGACCATATCTTCTCAAGGGTAAAATAGGAGGAGGTAACTCCAAATGAGGGATTGACTCGACGTTTCCTTTTTCGATACCACCACTGTCTTCTGAGTCATCACCCTCGTCTAATATAGACATAGCTGCACCATCCTTATTTGTAGAATTTTCCAGAGAAGATGAAGAATGCATACTTGATTTATCAATTATTGAAGGAGGGGAAATCGGAGGGAAGTTTTTGTTACCGAAAGCCTGTCTATGGTAAGTAAGCAATTGGTTAAGAACATCAATATGACCTTCGACGACACAGTAGTATAAAACATTATAGCCATCTTCATCAATAATATCTAATTTAGCACCAACGTTAACTAATTCTTGAGTTGTTTTAACATGACCTTCCAGTGCAGCATAGAATAAAGGAGGCCATTTGTTTAAACCGTCAAGCTTATTAACATCAGCACCATATTGAATTAGAAGTTTTATTAATTTGTAGTGACCAGATCTTGCCAAAACATGAAGAGGCAATAAACCTTCGACATCCTGTTGATTAACCAATGCAGTATTTGGATCACACGAGGATAAGAGAAATTCAACTGTTTGAAAATCACCATATTTACAAACGTAATTTATTGGTAAGTATTGCAATTTAGAATCGTCAAGTTTAGGAGAGCAATTACTTCCCATTTGAACTAATTTCTTAATGATTTCAAAATTACCATGTTTTATAGCTAATAGTAAGGCAGACATTGATTCGTTATCCAAATCATCTATATGATTTTTTGGGAAATAAGGTAAGATGATATCGAGTAAATCCAATCGATTATTTTGAGATGCATAATGTAGGCAATTACGGCCATTAAAGTCTCTGCAAATTAGAAGTCTTTGGAGGGTTTTTGGTGAGACTTTATTCACAATATATTCAACAATGAATTTTCTTGAATGATCTATGCTATCGGTAGAGTTTAAAACTTTGACACCATTATTGATAAGAACATGTTGACTACTTTCATGGGTTGAGGCTAGAGCAATAGAGCAACATTCATGGATTACGTTTTTATTGTTATTGAAATCATCACTAATGAAACCAAAATCTAATTGGTAATCGATTAATTTAAGGAAAGATTCCAAGAAATTATCAGATATTTTTAAATTTGATATGGATAATAGGAAGATTTTGGAAAGCTTAAAAGATTCTGTACTGCTGAACTGTATTTTAGTTTCGCTAGTCAATTTATCGTCATCATTATTTTGTTTTGAAGGACTTCTAACTTTATCGATCCATCTGCTCAAGACTGACAAATCAGTATCTTTAATGGTTGCCACATTGACGAAACTTGAGTATAATTCATCAATTTCATTATTATCAGAATGCACAATTGACCCGTGTCTTGATTGAAAGTTTGAAGAAACTGAACCATGTCTTTCATGCTGTTCGTTTTGAATATTTGAGGTTGAATTTGTACGGGAGAATCCTGGGTGGGGTAAATATTGTTTATTTGGGAACCCACTATAATTATCTAAAGCAGAATAATCGCCATCCATAATTGATTCAAGGTCAAATAAAGATTGAGTAACTAAATCACTCAAGTCATTAATTTCATTTTTATGGAAAACTGGTTGAACACTAACTGCTGTTGATATGAATAGTTCTTTAGTATGGGATTTTGATCTTTTATCCCATTTTTTAACAACTTTACTAAACCCAGTTTCATTTAATTCTATAAATTGTTGTAATCTGATCAAATCTTGATGAATTTTTTTAAAATTTTGGTACAAGTTTAAATATGAAATTGATTTTTTAAAATTTGCATTTGAATTATTGGTGTTATTCGTACCATCAGTGTGTTCTTTTGATTTTGAAAATAATTCATCTCTTTTCATAACCAATAAATCTAAATTTACTGCTAAATTAGCTTGTTTTTCCAAGTAAAATGAATTCACTTTATCCAATTCTCTTTCAACCCTAAAGAAAAACGATGCTTTATTCTCTTTCAATGTCTGTTGGATCTCATCTTGTGATAAGGGTGTATCTATTCCGTGTTTAGAAGCGGTAGCTGGTTTAGCTAATTGTTTGATCAATTTCTTTAGTGCTTTATAGTCAATGAAATGACCAGAATACTCTGGCAACTCAAGTTGTCTCGAGGCAAGATACTTACCAAACTTCATCCTGCTCAAGTAAACTTCCTAGATAATCCAATACTACACTTCTTCTGGCGTTTAGTCAACGGTTTCAATTCTCATAGGGTTCAATAGTCCCAGATATTGTTCAATAATATGCAAACCACGTGGTGGTGTCCGGGGGTTTTCTAAATGGTGTACAGGTCTATAAAAGTGGTGTACGGATGTAAAAAAATGATATTATACTCTATACACTGGAATAAACTATTAGAGTAGGCATTACGAATTTTGTTTAAAGAAGTAAAAACTATTTAGATTCTTTAGCACTGTCGAAGGCTTCTTTGAATTTGTCGGCATTTTCTTTGGAACCAAATCTGATGGCAAGGGTTTGGGCTTCTGCTTCACCTTCAGAAACATCAGCAGTAACGGTGTAAACCCAGGATCTATCAGAACCGATATTTGGTTTTAATTCGTAGTCTGGGGAGATTAAATGGTTAGCACAGATTTTTAAAGTTTTATCTCTTCTCATTAAGATTCTGGTTTTACCAGATTCCTTATGTTTTAAGAATTTAACATCACCAGTACCTCTTTCTTTCCATTCTTTAGTATCGGCGTGGAATCTAAATAATTTAGCACGAACTTTATAAGTAACATCTTCATTTTCTTCATTGGTTTTGACATCAACTTTTTCTAATTGAACTAAAGGTTCGAAATGAACATCTGCTTCTTCTTCATCGGCTGCATCTTCATCCTTTTTGGCGTCTTCTTTCTTTTCTTCTTTACTTTCAGTTTGATCTTCTGGTTTGGATTCCGCTTCTTCTTTCTTTTCCTTCTTACCACCAAACATAGAGAAAACTTGGGAGGTTGGTGGCTTGACGGCTTCTTCGGTCTTTGGTTTTGTTTCTTCGGCTGACATTTTGTATTGTATCTGTATGTTAAAACAAGTACTACCTTGTAGGTGTTTTTTTTTTTCATTTTTCACTGACTGAGCTGATCTCAATAAAAAAAAGTTGAAGAATTTGATAGAAAACACCCATTGACCTTGCACACGACTAGAATAAGAGCTACAATATTACAATCTTTATAATGTTACAGTCTGAAGTAATGAAAACCCGGTGAAAGCCCGGTGTTTATATATCAGATATACTTAGGTAGTAAGAAGAAAAGACAAGCAAACACGAACAGATATTATGATACACGCATGATAGAACAGCATTAGGATATGGAACAATTAGTTGCTGTAATGAAGGGGAAGGTGATTAATTAATCATCCATTTCAGAAGGTTTAACCAAACCACCAACTTGTAAATCTTTTTGTCTTTGAAGTTTAAATTGTTCTTGTTTTTCAATTTCTTTATCTTCTGCAAATAAGTAATCGGTTGGATCACCGCCAAACTCTTTAATTTGAACTAAGAAATCTCTTAAAACACTTCTAAATTTATTTAAATCTTTGTAAACCGAAACCAAAACATTTAAGAAATTAACCAATTGGTCTTCTTGTAAATTATCAAAGGCTGAAGATAATAAGTTTGCTAAAAACTGTTTTAAATAATGTGAATTTGAAGTACCTTGAGGAGCTTGATCAGAAGAATATAATGGATATTTAATAATATTATCTTCAACTAAATGAATTAATTGAGCTAATAATTGAGCTTGGTATCTGAAACCAGATTTATGATCTGGTTGGGTTAAAACATAAAAAGTATCTGACAAAATTTGTAAATAAAAATTTTCATAAAATGCTTTTGTAAAAGGAGTATCACCTAATTTTTCAACATTTTCAATTAAATCTATAGTAAGTGATAATCCATTATCTTCAACATCACGATTGTTATGTTTGAAAGCCCATAATGCAGCATTGATTAATGATTGGAATGCATCTCCTGATAATTGTAATAAAGCCGAAAAAGATCTTGAATTAATTTCTTTTAATAATTTATAAAATTCAACTCTATGTTCAGGATATTCAACAAAATCATTTTTAATCATATCTAAAGTACATTCAAAAACATTTTGTAAAACTAAAACAACTCCATCCGGTATCATATGACCAACTTTTGAAACAAGAGCAGTCATACAATTTAAAACTTCTGCATCTCTAGCATCAGGAACATTGGATCTATAATCTTCTAAAACTGCTGCAAATAAAGGTTGGGCTAAGTCTCTAACAATTTCTTCTAAATTATCAGCTTTATTAATATAAGTTTCAATCATTTTCAAAATTTCCTTTTTAATTGTTCTTAAACTTCTAACTTTTGGTGTTTTAGTAGCAATCAATCCATTTTGAGCAACTAAATCTGAAATCATGGTAGAAACTGCTTTATATAATGATAACATATCAACATACATTAAACCTAATTGAGAATAAAATCCTGGACCTAAGGCTTTACAAACTGAAACATTAGTTTTAATGATATTAGCAATGATTTTAACAGTATCAGTATTAGTTAATAATTCTGGATCTTGACCAGCTTGTTGAATAATTTGTTTCCAAGCGATATTTGGTAATTCCATTAAATCAGCTAATAATTTATCTCTTGAATTTTTAGAAGTTTCAGCACTAACTATTATACCACAAGCTTCATAAAAAGTATGAACTTGTTGAGGTTGTAAGTCTTCAGTGATTTGTTGAATATTATTAATAATTTCATGAATGAAAGCTTCAGTTTCTTGAGGTTGAGTAACAACAAAATGTTTTTTACATTTAAGAGTAATTTTGATAAAAGTATCACAAGCCATATCTTGAACCCCTTCGTGGGTTTCATGCATAAATTCAAATAATTTATTGACAACAGTCTTCAAAAATTTCCAATGGGCTTTTAAGAAACGAGGATATTGACCAACAATATACATAATATTTGAAGCAACAACTGCTTTATTATCTTTACCACGTTTCATTTCAGTTAAACTTAATAAATCTTTAATAACAGAAACCAAAAATTTTTTCTCCATATCTTCATTCATAGTACCAGAAATTGAACCAATTGCCCAACACAAGGTATTAATATTTTGCCATGACCATTCACTTTCATCAATTTGTCTAGCTAATTTTTCATTCATGATTTGTTGAGTATCAATAACATCTAAATGAGTTAAGTAAACCAAAACTTCTCTTAAAGATTTATATAATTGAATAGTATCACTTTCTTTAACAAATTCACGAACAATTTCCCCTTCATCATTTTCGACAATTAAAACTTCTTCGGGTCTAGCCATATTTTCAATAATAATTAATCTTAATTTTGATAAAATTGAAGAATATAAATGAGCTCTTAAGGGAAATTTAGCTAATTGTGCAGGATCTGGAGCACCACTAATTGATCTACCAATACTAGAAGAATAAGTTAATTGTAACATTGGACTTAATTCATTTTGAGGTAATTTTTGAATTTCTTCAAATAAACCAGAGACAAAAATATTCCAATAATCTAAACAAGTTTTGAACAATTCTCGCTCATCAATTCTTGATAATTGAATAAGATAATTAAGCGAGGTTAATAATAAATCTCTTAAATTTTCATTTTTTTCTAAAGGTATTAAATGATTTGATAAAAATGTACATAAATACATTGCTAAATCTTGTAAAAAAGATTGATCATTTGAGTTTGCCACTGAATAAGAATCTTTTAAATCAGTTGTTGGAGGTATAATTTGAACAATTTGTTCCATTGAATTTTTAAATAAAATAATAAATTGTTCCTCATTTTCAGGATTTGATAAACTAGCAACTTCAGTTAAACATTTTAAAGTTATTGCTCTAGTATCAACAGCAGCTAAAAATTTTGAAGATAATAAATCAATTAAATCAGTTTGAAAAATATAATTTAATGGAATCCATTGAATATATTTCAATAAAGCATTTAAAGTAGCAATAATTAAAGAAGGTTTGCCCGTTTTATCTAAAACTTCATAACATAATTTAAAAATTTCTTCAAATTCTGCCTTCATACTTAATTTTAAAGTTTTAACTTTTGCTTGGGTTAATTGATCTTGACCATAATCAAAAACTTCTTCACTTAATAATTTCAATATAATCATATTATTTTCACAAACGTTAAAACTCGATCTTGAACTTGAAACAATTTCTGGAATAAATTTGGGCCAATTATGAGGCCATTCTTGTTTCAAAATACTAACCAAAGTTAAATCAATTTTATTAATAAGAGCTCTTTCATTTTCAAAAATTGAATCATTTTCACATAATGCAATAATCATATTAACAATAAAATTTCTAATTCCTAATCGTTCATTTTCTGGAATTGTTTTCCAACGGTATTGAATTAATTTATTTAAACATGATAATGCAATATACTTGGATTGTGAATTATTCGAGCTCGATAAAATTTGATCCGATCTTTGCCATGAGTCTGGGTGTTCTTGAAATTGATTCAATACTAATTGTGCTTGTTGTTGATCATTACCCGATCCTTTGAAAAAGGAATCCACAACTTGATCAAACAACGTAACATCAAGCTCTTTAGAAAAATCGAGAATTGATTCCATGATCCCAACGAGCTAATTTCCAAAAGTTCAACTATTAAGTAATCGTATTGATGTATTCAGCGATGATTAACAAGTAGTTGTTTTTTTCCTTTCTCCTGTTTTTTCTCTCTGTTTCTTTCATGTTTTTTTTTTTTTGAGAACTCCTTTGAGAAGATTCGAGATCTCATAGCGAACGACTCCAGTAAGTTCATTGGGCCAGAGTGTGGACCTGTGGACCTGTGGGCCAGAGTTGCAGGCCAATGGGTCAGATTGTAGGCCGATCATGAGCACCAATAAGAATCCGGTACACCGCTATATCAGTACATCATTATATCAGTATATCAGTATAACATATAATTATATCAGTATAACATGCAAAAGTACATCATTAGATCAGTATAACATGCATAAGTACATCATTAGATCAGTATAACATGCATAAGTACATCATTAGATCAGTATAACATCGATCAGACAAGCCCTCCAATACAAACCTTGTTGAGGTGCGATGGACTCGGAATGGATGCAAAACAGGGCTTACAGTCTTGATACTCTTTGATGAAGGATCAACTAGGTGGTTTGCTACCCAAGTTGGACTGCTATCCTCTAATGCTACCGGTCTATCAAGTAACTCTCTGGCTATTTATTAGCCATTTCTGTAGCACATCCTTCTTTTTATTGCTCTTCTTTATAATCTTGTAAATTAGTTAGTTTCCAATAGAGTATCTGTAGGTTTGTAGGTTTGTCCGGCTTGTCTGCTGAAGTTCGATTGTGAACTTTTCATATAGTCAATTGGTTAATAGCCACCGGGTACGGGTGGTCAGGGTCAGCGTGGTGATGGACAACGGCATCCTTGAGGAATTCGAAGAGTTTTGTTGGGAAATGGGGTCAAATCACCAAATATTCCATGGTGACTGGAACCGATCAGTGGAATTATAATGTCGTGCTTAGTCTACAGCAGTGATACAATCAGTTATATAATTTAGTTACTTAATTTTTAATAAAGGCAACCCCCTTTTCGATGTTTTTGGTCAATTGGTCAATGGCCACTTGTAACAACTTCTTTTCGTCATCGGAGATTTGTTGCAAAACTTGGTAATGAACCTCTTCAATCCCGTTAACACCCAACTTGACCGGTAAACTGAAGAAGTCCAACCCGTTGATTAATTGTTTGGCTTCTTTGGCACCTTTGATTGAATCGTCTAAATTCAAAAAAGTACATTCAACAACAGAAGACTCTTTGAAAGACTTCAAAATCGATTCGGCCAATCTATAACCAGCATAAGCCATGGATAAAGTGGCGGATCCAGCACCGTTTTTAGCTTGCACAACCTCATCCCCACCAAATTGAACACGGTGGATTAAGGCCTTTTGGTCATCTTGAGATAATTTTTCGTAGTACGATTTAGAATTGCCCAACGAGTATAATGGAACAATGGTTTCACCAGAGTGACCACCAATGACGTTAATGTTGAAATCCGAAGGCTTGGTTTCCTTAGCGTACAATTGGGAAATAAAAGTGTTTGCACGAACAATATCCAAAGTGGTGACCCCAAACAATTTTTGTGGATTGAAAACCCCATTCTTCTTCAAAGTTTCGGCAACAATTGGAACAGTCGAGTTAACTGGGTTGGAGATAATCAACACAAATGCTTTAGGAGCATTTTCAGCAATACCTTGGGCCAAGTCACGGACAATTGATGCATTGATATTGAATAAATCATCTCTAGTCATCCCCGGTTTTCTTGGAACCCCAGCAGGAATAATAACCAAATCACTGCCCTTTAATGAGTTGGCCAAAGCACTCTTGTCTTCCTTTGACGATGGAACAAACGATTCGGTCTTGGAATCAGAACAAATATGCGATAAATCAGCACCAACCCCTGGAACATTCACAACATCAAAAAGTGACAATTCGTCGACATTTTGATTCAATTTCAATAATAATGAAAGGGGTTGTCCAATACCACCAGCAGCACCGCAAACAGTAACCTTAACCATCGTATAAATAATTCAATTAGTAAGTATGTATATGTATATATATATCTAAAGTAGATAAAGTATAAAATATGAGTTTTTCAAAACGAGCAACGAAAAAGGTGGGGATACGTCAATTTATATAAAGCTTAACTTCGATGCTAATCACCTAAAGGAGGAGACTCCCCTAACTCTTACAATCGGCTACAACTGCATTATTCATTAGCGCATGGTTGTGTAACAGTATATTCCACTCCAGCCAACTGTCCTCAGACTCTCCCACCCTCCTCTGCTCTGCTCTGCTACTCTGCTCTGCTCTGCTCTGCTACTCTACTCTACTCTACTCTGCTCTCAATCTTTCATCCTCATGCTCTACTCATCGGGCCAGAGGAATTGCATCCGGGGAAGCTCTTCCACTGGTCCTCGCGGCCCTGCGTCCCCGGGGCTCCCAGGAACCCCAGAATTACACCAATTGCTTACACGGTGATTGCTTACGGTGCTTACCCGGTTCCCTGGTCCACTCCGAGGCCTGGGCTGCTCGGAGTTTTACTCTCCACAAAATGGTGTGTGGGTGTTGTTCACCCAGCACCTTATAAGTACGGTTTGATCTACTGTTAGGGTTATGTATATATAGCTTATATATCAATGTATGGCTATATATATCAATGTATGGCTACATATATCAATGTATGGCTACATATATCAATGTATGGCTTATACTCCTAATAAGATAATGGTTCTAAGATGTTACTGGGTGTACTGGGTCTGCGTGCACCAACCTATTGGGGGTGGGCGGGACACGCCCGCCCGCACGTGACGGCAAGCCATTGCGTCATTGCCAGAGAGCACCTCCGTACATCCCCACTGGCCAACCGAGGGAATCAATCCGACTAATAGATAACTTGAAGGTACTTCCATGTGGAGTGAATGTATTGTTTTGATGGAAGAATCAGGGTGTTTCTACTCCAATTTGCATTAGCATTAGCACAAGTCATTCTATGGCAGAGCTACTTGAATATTTGCAGGCCCCAACCGGCACAGTTCACTCTTGATCTTCTGTTGTTCGTATTGTTGTTCGTATTGTTGTTCGTCTTCTCTATCGTCTTCTCTGTCGCCTTCTCTGTCGCCTTCTCTGTCGCCTGTCGCCTTCTCTGTCGCCTGTCGCCTTCTCTGTCGCCTTCTCTGTCGTCTTCTTTGTCGTCTTGTTCTAATGGCTGCTAAAAGGGTTGGGGTCGTGACAGGAGATCCGGGGGTGCCCCCGGATCCTCGAGTCGTGTGCACCCGTGCACCTGCTCAACCTACTATCATCATTAACTTGCTTGTAGATTAAATGACTAGTTACCAATCTTGAGGAGATCAGTGCCATTTCATCCGATTTCTTGTCTTGCAAGGGTTAAAAATCCCATCAATTAATTGGATTGATTTCGCAAATTGTTGAAATTATTAACTATATTCCCCAGCAGCAATGAGTTTCCATAATAGAACGAATTCAGCATCAAGTGATGGAGATCCCTTTGATATTCCAGAAAAGTATTATGGGATCAACACTGATCCAGCAACCGCTAAAAAGGATTCGAGGTTTGGAAGAGTAAGAACATTTTCGGTTTTTGAACCAAAATCAAGCTCAAAATCAGATTTATTAAGTGATGATAGTCCTGACGATAAGAGTGATCCTACTAGTTTAAATGCTAGTAGTGTTGACTTACATTCACCAAGTTCGGACGATATTATATTACAATCTCAACATGCATATCAGGTTGAACATGGGAACTCAAATAGAAGACCCTCAATTGTTCCAATTTATAATCAAGATTCCCCGTTTGATGATGCAAAGGATAAACTCCCCAATCCCTTAAGTAAAAATCCAATTTCTTTCCGTAGAGCTTCTTTAGATGATAGTATTATTAGACCCAAGAAATTTTATATAAATGATATTGATTTGACTTTGAAAGAATTATTGGAAAATGAAGATACTGATCATAATTATCAAATTACAATTGAAGATACTGGACCAAAAGTATTAAAATTAGGTACGGCTAATTCAAATGGGTTTAAAAATTCCGCAGTTAGAGGTACCTATATGTTGTCAAATTTATTACAAGAGTTAACCATTGCTAAAAGTTATGGTAGAAATCAATTGATCATTGATGAAGATCGTTTATGTGAAAATCCAGTTAAGAGATTGAAAAGATTAATTAGTACTCAATTTTGGAAAGCTTTAACTAGAGAAATCACCGAAGATAACATTGTTGAATTAGCAAAAGATACTAAAATTGTTGAAGAATATACCGATGAAAATGGTGAATATCATAAAAATCGTGAAAGTATTCGTATCTATATCCCCCACGATAGATCGGATCAATACGATTTCTTCATGAGAATTAAACAGAATCATCCTCAAATAACCTTGGATGTTCAATACTTACCAGAAAAAATTGATGGTGAATATATCAAATCAATCAATAAAAAACCCGGGTTGCTTTCTTTGGCTTCTCATCCAGATCCTAACAATCCCGAGAAATTGATTTTCGAACCTTATGTTGTCCCCGGTGGTCGTTTTAATGAATTATACGGTTGGGATTCCTACATGATTGTAATTGGTTTATTGGTTGACACTACCCCAAATGATCATACTTATTTACGTTTAGCAAGAGGGATGACCGAATCGTTTATTTATGAAATTAAATACTATGGGAAGATTCTAAATGCAAATCGTTCTTATTATTTGGGCCGTTCTCAACCCCCATTTTTGACCGATATGGCTTTAAGGGTGTTCAATAAATGGATTGAAATTCAACCCGAATCTTTAAATGACGGTCTTGAATTCTTACAAAGAGCGGTTTTGGCTGCAATAACCGAATACGAAACCGTTTGGTGTTGTAAACCAAGATTAGATGAAAAAACCCAATTATCCTGCTATCATCCAATTGGTGTTGGGGTCCCTCCAGAAACCGAACCGTCCCATTTCAACGCTATTTTAAAACCTTATAGAGAAAAGTATAATTTAAGTCAATTAGAATTTATCGAAAAATATAATAATCATGAAATTGATGAACCTGATTTAGATGAATACTTCTTGCATGATCGTGCAGTGAGAGAATCCGGTCACGATACTTCTTATAGATTAGAAGGTAAATGTGCTCATCTTGCTACTGTTGATTTAAATTCTTTACTTTATAAATACGAAGTTGATATCTCTTTCATTATTGATACTTTTTTCCACGGTGAGTTGAAGAATCCAAGAACTGGTGTTGTTGAAACTCCCTCTAAATGGGATAAATTATCCAAAAATCGTCGTGAAAACATTAATAGATACTTATGGAATGATAATGATAATATTTATTATGACTATAATGTCGTTACTGGGAAACAAACCTGTTATGAATCAGCTACTTGTTTTTGGCCATTATGGTCAAAAGCAGCCACTACTGAACATGCTAAAAAATTAGTCACCCATTCTTTATCAAAATTTGAAGAATTCGGTGGTTTGGTTAGTGGTACTTTGAAAAGTCGTGGTGGAATTGGTATCCACCGTCCTTCTCGTCAATGGGATTATCCTTACGGGTGGGCCCCTCAACAGATTTTGGCCTGGATTGGCTTATCCAATTATGGCTTTGATGGTATCGCTCGCCGTTTGGTTTACCGTTGGTTATTCATGATGATTCGTGCTTTCGTTGACTACAATGGGGTTGTTGTTGAAAAATATAACGTGGTCGAAACTGAAGCTCCCCATAAAGTCGATGCTGAATACGGTAATCAAGGTGCAGACTTCAAAGGTGTTGCAAAAGAAGGCTTTGGCTGGGTTAATGCCAGTTTTGAATTCGGTTTATCCTTTTTAAACTTACATGCTGAAAGAAACTTGGGTACCCTAACTCCTCCTGACGTCTTTATGAAGAATTTACACGAATCCCAGAAAGATTTATATAGTTAAATTATACATGGTTAGAATTAGTCCTTGTAGATGTTTATCTGACGTAAACAAGCCAAACTGAGACAATAAACGTCATAGTACGGAGGTTTTCGGTGAAGTTGGCTTACTGGCACAGCAAAAGGCGTTTTCGTCCTCACAAAGCAAAAAAAAAATACAAAAACTGGAAAAACTCTAGCAATGAAAAATTGAAAAAAAAAAAAAAAAAATAAAGAGAAGGACTTAGTGCAATTTCAACCCATTTAGTAGATTGCTTGTTACTTCCAAGATCAAGAGGTTCATTTCATTCGTTTACTTGTTGTATAGAAGAATCGGCAAGATCAAAAGAAGCAGCAAGGCCTAGAGAATCGATAGTGCAAGAGAATTAGCAAGGTGAAGCCAATTGAGATTACAAGATGAGTTCGATATTAAGATCAAGTATAAAGCCAATTAGAAGAACCAGTCATATATATCATAAGCCACTACAACAATGTAATAGAACGTTCATCAAACTATCATGTCATCGAAATAAACAAGGATCCTTTGGAACAGCCCTTGAAACAGCTGAGAAAATGGTTCAGCCAACATCATCCAAGACCTTTAACGATCCATTTTCAATAGTTAGTCATGAAATGTCGAATTTAGCCAAGTCAATTGCAAATTTGATTGGATCAGGCCATCCAACATTGAACCGAGTTTCATCCTACTATTTTGAGGCTGAAGGAAAGAATGTTAGACCATTAATTATTTTATTATTATCTAAATGTTTGCTGGAAATACCAATTGAAAAAAGAGATCGTATTCCTATTGATACTGAAGATGTTAATACCCAAGCTTATTTTAGAGGCACTCCACCTCAAACCTCAATTGCTGGGAATTCTGTTGATAATTCAATGAGTCCCTTGGCTATATTACACGGAATTAATCCAAAAGTTATATTGGATCCATTATCAAAACCCATGGAAGATTTACCGCAATTTGAAAATGTTAATGGGATCTTACCAAAACAACGTAGATTAGCAGAAATTGTGGAAATGGTTCATACTGCATCTTTATTACATGACGATGTTGTTGATTTATCTGATTCAAGACGTGGTAGACCAACTGGTAATATTGCTTTCACTAATAAAATGGCAGTTTTAGCGGGTGATTTTTTATTGGGACGTGCTTCGGTTGCAATTGCAAGATTGAGAAACCCAGAAGTTGTCGAATTATTTTCAACCAGTATTGCTAATTTAGTAGAGGGGGAATTTATGCAATTGAAAAATACTGTGATCAACTCGAATGAAGATGTGGTTATCAATGACGGTGAAAAAAAATCAATTCCTAAAATGACCGGGAAAGTTCCAACTAAACAACATGATTATTCAGTGAAAGCTCCAAATGACGTTGATCATGAAACAAACGTTAGAGCTGCTTTTGAATATTATTTACATAAAACTTATTTGAAAACGGCTGCTCTTATGTCAAAATCTTCTCGTTGTGCTGCTATCTTAAGTGGTGCCCATGATGATATAATCGATAATTGTTATGACTTTGGTCGTAATTTAGGTTTATGTTTCCAAATCGTCGATGATATGTTGGATTATACTTCAAGTGAAAAAGTTTTCGGTAAACCAAGTCAAGCTGATTTGAAATTAGGTTTAGCAACCGCTCCAGTTTTATTTGCTTGGAAACAACGTCCAGAATTAGGTGATTTGATTGCAAGAAAGTTTGATCAACCTGGTGATGTGGAAATTGCTAGAAAAGCCGTTGAAGAATGTAAAGGTTTAGAACAAACTAAAATAATGGCTGAAGATTACCGTAATAAGGCTTTGGAAAACTTACGTAAGTTACCAGAATCCGACGCTAGAAGTGCTTTAGAATTCTTAACCAATTCTATCGTAACCAGAACTAAATAGATAAACCGTATTATATCTTATAAATAGTATCCTATTAAAATAAATAGACTAAATTATTGCACCCATTCAGGTATCCGGGTAACCATTTTCGCTGGAATTTTTTTTTTTTTTTCTCTTCTGATGAGACAGTATAAATACTCAATTACTGGACTAATGTTTTCATTCTTTTCTTCTTTCTTTCTTCGTCGCCAGAAGATCAATTTCTAAATCGTACATGGTTCTTGCCTTTTACCAGAACCATCCGGGAATTGTCTTTTTTCAATGGTGCTTAACCAATTTTTGGGACCTTTCTTTTTTCACTTTGTTTGAGAGTTACATTTTAATGGACTCTTTGAGACAAACTTATCTTTTTCAACGATATCTTCTGAGGTCAGAAGTTTTCGATGATAGAGATATTACATGTAGGTTATACTTATTGTTTATATTTAAACTATTTACATCTGTATGTATATACAATATTAATCTTTATTTAAAGAAATCAAGGAATGTCCGAAAAGCTTTTTGGCATCAGTAATCTTGACAAAACTCTTGTTTGGACCAGGAACTTGACCTTTGAGAATGAGAATACCAGCTTCACCGTCAACGTGTAAAACTTCGTTATTATTAACAGTACAATGTTGACCACCCATTCTACCGGCCATTTTTTTACCGGGTAAAACTCTACCAGGGTCTTGACCGGCCCCAGTGGAACCAGCAGATCTATGAGCTTTAGAAACACCATGGGTGGCTTTTAAACCTTTGAAACCGTGTCTTTTCATAACACCAGCAAAACCTTTACCCTTGGTGACACCACGGACGTCCACTAATTGACCAATTTTAAAATGATCTGCCCTTAATTCAGTACCTTCTGGAATATGACCTTCATTACCTCTAATTCTAAATTCACCGATGTTGGCTTTAGGAGAAACTCCTGCTTTCTCGAATTTTGGTAACACTTTTGGTGATAAGTTCTTTAATTTATCAATGTGACCCAAAGTCACCGAATCATATCCATCATTTTCTGCAATCTTATTTTCAATGACTTCACAGGAATCAATCTCAATAACAGTAGCCCCAAATTGTTCTCCTTTATCGGTGTACCAGGTGATCATACCTCTTTTGACCCCTAATAACCCGCATCTTTCCAATAATCTTTTTCTTAAGTTGGATGCTTCTAAAGAGTGGTTTTTAACCGGTGGTGATGTTCTGATGCTGGGTATGGCATGAAGCGAGGTGATTTGTGCTGCCCCACGCTTGAACATTATAGGTTTCAAGCCTGACTTCAACCCACTGTTGCGGATAATGGCGCTCCATATACTTCCACCATTCATACTGTGTTTTCCAGTGGATTTCAACTATTCCAATGCTTGTAGTTTGGTCTTTTAACCATCAAAAAGTGAAAATTCTCAGTGAAAGGAAAAAAAAAATGGTAGAAAAAAGGGGCGTGTCGATTTACAAAAACAAACATTAGTATTGGTGTACGGGCTGTTTCTTAATGATTATAACGTATATACAAGAAGTAATTTAAGTTCTATAATGGAGATCATAAAATGAAGTGAAAAGGTGAAGAGGGGACAGAAAGAAGAGTGCCTAACCGGTTCTCTTTTCTTTCAATTTAGGAGTTTCATCATCAACGTAAATACCTTTACCTTTATAAGGTTCAGGTTTTTTAAGTTCTCTGATTCTTGCAGCAAATAACTTAACTTGCTGTTTATCGGCACCTTGAATAAGAAGTCTGGTAGGAGCAGGAGAAGTGACTTTCAACTCGGAAGGAATTGCAAGCTTGGGTATGTAAGGGAAACCAAGTTTTAAACTGACGGACTTCGAGCCATCTGCTTCATCTTCCAATATAGCTCTGAACCCGGTACCAACCAATTTAACGATGGACAAATGGCCTTCAGAGGTTCCTATAACATGGTTTTGAATCAATGTTCTGGTGGTACCCCAAATTTCTCTTTGCACTCTGTCTTCTTCGTTTTCAACTGCTACACTGACAGCATTGTTCTCTTGACTAATCTTGACAAAGCTAGGAACGTTGATCTTCAATTCGCCTAATGGACCTTTGATGGTGATTTGGTTGTCAAGGTTGACCAACTGCTTGGCTTTTCTGAATGTCTTTGAAAATTCTTTGGGGATAGCCTGGGTACTTAATTCGACTCCTTCGGTCAATCTGACAGGAATTTTCCCGATATTGGACATTAGTCCACGAGAGGTGCTGAAAGCACGCGTGGTGGTGAACCCGATCCTGGAGAACATGACGTGGTGTTTGCGAATGATTGCTTGAAGAAAGTCCTGAAGCTGTTGAACAGTTTGAAAATTCGAACGAATGAAAAAAAAAAAAAAAATCAAAAAACGAATGAAAAATGAAAAATTTCACAAACCTGCAAAAAAAAAAAAAAAAAAAAAAAAAAATCAATGATGAGGTTCAAGTAGAAGAGCAGCCTACTACTACCTTTTCTGAATCTTTGAAGATAGTAAACAGTGATACATCTAGTGCTTGGAAATGGTTAGACAGCTCAAACACCACGAGAAGAAGTTATTGAGGAAAGTTGATTTCCTCGATTGGAAACAGGATCAAGGTCATCGAGACCTTCAGGTGATGAATACTTACTATATCCAGAATAGAGAAGATTATCATAAATACAATAAAATCTGTGGTGAAATAAGAAAGTTGGCGCATAAGCTTTCTTTGTTACAACCAACTGATCCATTTAGAATAAAGCATGAACAATTATTATTGGAAAAATTATATAATATGGGGATTTTGGCAACCAAGTCAAAGATATCTGATTTAGAAAATAAGGTGACTGTGGCAGCTTTCTGTCGTAGAAGGATAGGGGTTGTTATGTGTCGTCTTAAGATGGCTCAGACGATAAAGGATGCTATCACTTTTATTGAAGGTGGACATGTAAGGGTTGGTCCAAACGTTATTACTGATCCTGCTTATTTGGTTACTCGAAATCTTGAAGACTACTTAACCTGGGTTGATTCTTCCAAAATTAAGAGAAACGTTCTTAAGTATAAAAATAAAATTGATGATTATGAATTGTCTTGATCTGGTATTTAAATTTTGCATTCTCATATTTGGGTATTATACTCTAATTTGTATATTAGTATTAATAAATTACATTTAACTTAGGTTTGTAGTTCTTAATCATACATGTTATACTGGTTAAATAGAATATTATTGGAAAGGAAGAAATCTAAAAAGCAAAATTTATATAAAAACTGGATCAAAGACAAAATAAAAACAAAAAAAACAAACTTTTATTCCTAAAGTATAACTTATAGGAATTCAGAAGTTTCGAGTGAAATGAAGATAATAAAGAAGACTAATAATAATAATAGAATCAAATGAAAAAGTAACCTGAAAGAAACAAAAACTCGAAAACTTATACAAGCAGCCGAATCATGATTTCAAAATAAATTAAAAGAAACCTAATGATAACCTTAAACCATGTGGAAAACACCAAACGACAGAACTAAAAGTGAATAAAGAAAATAATTGTACTAAGAGAATTTTGATTTTCTCTACCTTAGAAATTAGTATTCATCATTCTTCTAACATCACTCTTCCTACTACCAGGAATTAAGTCATTATCAGTAGCTGATACACTTTCATTAAATTGAGGTTGTTGATATTGATACATGTTTGGACTAACAATTGGTGCCCCGGATGGTAATGATCCAGCTGGTTTGAATTTTCTTTGTTTAGTAATTTCAGTAACTGGATTTAACATTACAACCGAAGAACGGGCCAACTGTGAAGCTGATGGTATAACTTTAGGTGCACCAGGCCCAGCTTGAGCATTAGGTAATGGTGGAACGTATCCAGAATTTGGAGATGTTGGTTGTTGATTACCAAAAGTTTGGAATGATGATTGTGATCCTGCGACTGGTGAAGTAACTGGAGAAGTCCATACTCCATCATTTTCAATTGGAACAAATGGTTGTTTACCAGTTGGAGAAGTAACTATATTCTTAGCTCTTGGTTGGAAATCAGTATAAGTTTGAATAGTAGATTGACGAATGTCAGATGCAGTTGGTAAGCTTCGTAATGGTGGTAAATTTTTTGGTTTTGGTGGTTGTTGTTGCTGTGGATATGCATAAACTTGATTTGGTGCTGCCAAAGGATATTGATTATAAAATGCTGGATCATTTGCTAATTGTTGTTGGTTGTAATAATATTGTTGTTCTTCATGGGAGAAGATTGGAGTTTCAGTATAGATTGATGAAGTGGTTGTCATTCTTTTATCATAATTAGTATCACCTTTTAAATTTTTATTTATCTTCAAATGATCGTAACTAGCATCAGGATCTTGTAAATCAGGTAATGGGTTACTAGTGTCATGTTCAAAGGTACCAGCTTCATCTCCACCGTTTTTAGTTTTAACAGTATTCGAACGGTCAAAGTAAACTTTGTAAATTGATTTCATTCTTTTCAATTCTTCATCTTGTTCTGGACTCAAAGGTTTATTATCAATATTTTTTTCTTCCTCGTCATCATCATCACTATCGTTTGAAAGTAAATTAAATTGATTAAGACCAATTGATTTACGATTTGAAGAATTATTTGGAGCAGATACATTATTTGAACCTGGAGTTGTTTCAGTAGTGGTAACATTATCATCTTGACCATTAGTCATAGATTTACTATCAATAGTGTGTTTATCAGCTTTTTCATCATCATTATTAGATGAGAAATTAAAAGCTTCATTTTCACCTTCACCTTCAATTTCACTATCTTGACCAATATCAGGATCTGGCATATTAGGCGAAGAAGAATTAGAATTTTTCATTGCCGAACCAGGGGTTGGGGGTTTACGATTAATTTCAAATTTATCTTCAAAAGGAGATTCAACACCCATATCAATATTTGGAGCAGGCATACCAGCAGATTTATTCAGCATTTTCAGTAATTGACGTTGATGTATTGAAGCTTTAATTGGGCTATGGAAATTTTCTAAATTAGAATTATCAATAATGGTTGGTTCAGGATGGATAGAGCCTTTTCTTTCGAGTTCTTTGGTTTGATTTAAAGCCGATTCTGATTCATTTTCATAATTAATAGCGAATTTCTCAATGTTTCTCGAAGCAGAATTATCAGAAACATCAGTTGAAGAATCATTTAAAGTATCATTAGCATTATAGAAATGTTCTGGATTGAAAGAAGCGGTTGAATCATTTGGAATATTAGTATATTTAGTACCTGATTTAGAATTTTTAATTGATTTCAGAGGACTCTTAGTTTTAATTTTCTCATTTAAATCATCATCATCATCTTTATTTGCATTTAAAACTTCAGTTTTCAAATTTGATTTTTGCGGAGATCCATTACGACCAGCAACATCTAAGTTATTAATATTACTAAAAGAAGAATTTCTTGTTCTATTACCAAAGAAACTTGAACTACGTGGAGTACCACCAAAAGCAGGACCCGAACCTAAATGTCTTGCATACTCATCAAGAGAAACTTTTGAACCGGTTTGATGTTGATAAGGTAAAACAAAATTATCGATATATAAATCTTCTTTTGTCATTGTGGAAGGCGCAAGGGAAGCACTTGACTTATTGGCATTTGGAAACCTAACCGAATTACGATTATGGAAAGGATCTTCCATGGTATATTTCAGATTAGGGAAATCAGGCAAGGCGGTTGCTTCACCATTTTCATCGAAATCAGGGTCATGTTCTAAAGATTCCTTCTTGTCCTTACGGTAATTTTTGAAAAGGAAAAATCCTAAAACAAGAATGATTAAAGCAACCGGAATTCCAACTGCTAATCCCACAGTTAGACTATCGGTGGAAACTGGTTTTTGACATTGCGATGAAGAATCATCATCGTCACAATCATCACTAGACTTTTTCGATCTAGGAAGAAGCGATACCGTTGTAGCAACTAAATCATCTATTGAAGGACTTGCATTTCTAGTTACAAGATCGATTGTTGGAATATAAACCATCTTCTCTTTTCGGTCTATTGGTAAAACGAATGAATATGAACGTTAGTACGTCAGTGGGTAATGTTTCTCGAAGAATCACAACAGTCCTATCCTAGTATAAATCACCCCCAAGGACTATTGAAATGCTATTAAAACGAACAAAACGAAAAACGAAAAACAGAGAAATAAAGAAAGCAAAAAAAAAAAAAAAAAAATAACTTTCTAATTAAATTAAATTAAATTAAACCCGGTTGAAAAAGGTTGAAAAAGAAGTAGTTTGACAAGAACGTCAATACTAGTCAATACACAGAAAATATCAAAACTACCAGGTCCAGGCTTACATAACAGGCTTACATTAAGGCAGAAAGTTGTACGCTTGAAGTATGAAAATTTTAAAAAATTCGACGCGATCAGCTCTGTTTATTTTTTTAAAAAATTTTATTGTGGAAATTGACAACTGAATTAGAACAAAATATACTGTACAAGCTTCAATACACAGTAAAATTGCTAGTTAAATACACTAAGCGCAGTAAACTACTAAGTGAATACAGCAGATCAGCTACAATGTGATGGGAATATTTTTTTTTTGAAAGAAAGTCAACATTTCACACCTTGATTCCAAAAATTGCGATGATGGCATTAAACGAAGCCATAATAGGAGAGGTTAATGGCCTCTGCTTCCCATCCATCGATTACAGTGTAGACTATAATTAGACAGCATCTCCAGTATAGACCCAATGGTTAAGATACTGGCATAAGCTGCTTCAATCACGAATATATAAACACGGTTGACCCCCTTATTTTTAATTTCCCGTCCTTACGTACATGTCTTTGATTGTAGTTTTGTTCGATTTTACGTCTGGCTAATTGTAATGCTTTTCGTTTCCGAAAATTGTTTATTTACATACCATTCTATGATAGCAGATAAGCTTTGTTAGACGAAACCCAATTAGCTCCACTTGTTAACTAGGCCTTTCTTCCTTCTCCCAGCAGGCCTGCCAACTCCAGCTGACCAGCGGCTCCCGCAAATGCCCAACGGCTACTGGAAGGGATGGTATTTGTTTGTAATCCCCGTTCAGTGTAAGCTTTAAACATGTAAACGTCAAAGCTCAAGCTGTAAATTGCAAAAAACCTTTTTATTCGCGTCGCAAGTTGCCCAAATTTTATGTTTACAAAATCAACTCTAATTTTGTGCTGCAAAAATTTTTTTTTTGCAGAAAAAAAAAATTTCATGAGGAAGTGGATGTACGGATGTTTGTTTATTAATATAAGGGAGAATAAATACAAGGAATAAATAATTACCAGGCTTGGTTAGATTCGAATAATTCAACTCTCTTCTCAGTTGACAAGTTGTTGGCAATAGATTTACGTGTAGAATCTACCAAGTTGGCGTGAGCACAAGTAACAAAAGCGATGCTGGAATTGGCCTGCGAGATTTCTGATTTGACTAAATCATCGACAAGTGGTCTACCTTCTCTGAATTCGATGTGGTTCAAGTTTTGTTTCAACTGAAGGATGTGGTCGTTAGACAAGTCGTCGTCTTCGCTGGCGGAGGCATCTGATTTTTCGTTTTTAACTTCATCGATGTCATCGGCGTCGACTTCGCCGCCCCCGATTGGACCGGTTGCAAAACCCCCGATAGGGCCATCTAAACCAACGTGAGGTTGAGTAACATAGATTATGGTTTCAACGTTTAAGTTTTCCAAAGCTTTCAATTCATCATAGAACCACTCAATGGATTTATAATGACGGATGATCCAGTATAATTTAGTATGACTATTAGTTTTGGATAAATCACTGATTTCCGAATATAATCCAGGAATACCATTACCACCAGCTAACAAGATGTTAGTATCGAATTTGCGGGTTGGTAATCTATTACCATAAGGACCTTCGATCATCACGTTGATCATGGCTTTGTTATCGGGTTGATTACTCAAATATTGGTATAAACCGTGAGTCATACCACCTTTAACCTTTAAGTAAAAAATAATGGTATTATCTTCCAGATGAGAATTAACAATTGTGAAAGGATGAGATTGCCAGAAACAAGTTGGCTTCAAGAAATGAATGAATGCATGACAACCAGGGAATGATTTCCAATGAGATGGTTTTGGAACAATAACTTTTAAAGTTTCATCGGCGATTAAAGTAACATTTGCCTTTTTAACCCCAAATGAAATTAAACGTAATATTCTAACAAAACGATCAAAAGCCCAGATTGCAACTGAAGCATAAGACCATTGAATATAACCTTGATCGGCACTACCAGCATGATGCCAAACACCAACAACAAAGAAAATAGCCATAATTATATGAATTAATAAAAACAATTCATAATTTTTCTTACGGAAAACTAATAATGATTGGAAACACATAATACAAGCACAAATGGTGGCAACAAACCCCCATTGAACATAAGGTTTAGCATTACGGGTCTCATATTTCCCTAAACCTTTACCATTATAAGTCATTCCAACAGCATGAATAATGACTAAAATAGTACAAGCTCTACTAATCCAACGATGTAACAAACTAAATCTTGAATAAGACCAACCACTAATCCATTGAAGGAAATTATTTCTACCGGCAAATAAAATCAATTCAGGCATAAGGAAAAGAGAAATAACCCCAGTACGATCAGCAAGTTTACGACCAACACCAGTACCACGATCAATCCAAAATAAATCCGGTTGAATAAAATTAATATGAACAATTTGGAAAACTAAAGCCATAATTAACCAACCACAGATTAAAATGGTTTCCAATCTAGTTGGAGCAATCCATTGGAAAATTCTTAAGAAAGATTTATGTTCAAGATGTTTCGATCTACCAGTTGCCGGTAACGAAATGTACTTTCTGAAAAAATTTATAAACCCATAGTTTAAACTTTTAACAAAAGCAGGAGCAATGAAGTAAAGAAGGTTGCAAAACCCAGCAACCAAAACAATGAAAAACCAATATCCAATTAAAGCAGTACCAAACCAAGTGGACCAATTATAATTATAAAACCGGTCAACGGCAGATCTATAACCAGCATCAACTTTTGCCTTTTTCAAACCAATTGGCTTGGTATAGATTTGGGTGGCATTGAAATCAGGATCAGCAGTGAAATTGGAAACTAAGTAATCGGTGGCATTATCATAAGCCTGATTGAAATCTTTTTCAGTTAAACCAAAAGATGAACAATCTTTTAAAAAAGTTTCAATGGCTTTTGGATGAGGCGACAATTTCAAGCAATGAGCCATAGATCCTAAAGCTGGTTGGTTATCAACATTACAAAAAGCTTTTGCATCAGTTTCTTCGAAATATAAAACTTTTTTGAAAAGAGTTTTACAAGCAGTAACTGAAAGATCGGCTTTATGGTAAATAATTAAACCAGTTCCTTCCGATGCAATAACCGTTGATATTAAACTAGCAACTGCTAAAAGATTCTTCACTAACATCCTTGACTACAGAAAACCAATTCTTATAACCTACATTCCAAGGATAACCTCCGATATTTAAATATGGATCAAACCATAGGGACAAAACAATCAAATTAAAACAAAAAAAAAAATTTTTTTTTTTTTGCAAAAAAGAAAGGCAAGGCAAAGGCAGCATTACGAATGAAATACTTGTAAGAAACAAATAATATTATTTTCCGGTTTTAATTACTTATTTACCTGTCAAAATGCCATATTTTTTCAGCAGTTGACAGGCTTGACGTTTTGTTCTGATTCTTGTCTGGCACTGACTTACTTGTGGGAGCTTGTTCAGCTACGCTTTAACGTTTAAGCCTGGCTCAAACACCGATGGAATACCTGATAACAAGTAGAAAGCCTCTATAAAGAAGGTTGAAATTTTTTACGAATTGTTGGTCAATAATTTAGCAGCTGAACAGGGAGCATAACTGACAAGAAAAAGGCATCAATTCTTAATCTAATTAATTAATAAACTAGGTAATATTTCAGTTTGGCTGGTGATGAAGGAGATATAAAACAATGCGCAGCTAATTAAATAAGGTTACAAACAAACAGCAAAATAATAACTGATAATTACTAATGATTGATCAGATATCTGATATCCCATCTGATATCCCATCTGATATCCCATCTGATATCCCATCTGATATCCCATCTGATCTTCCGGATCACTAAATACGTTCATATACACATTTATATGTAGCCATATACATTTATATATACCGCCATCGATACACATCTACACATCGTATCTATAGGCAGTAACTGGTGGTCAATTTTGAATGGCTCTTTGGCTATTGGCTAGAGTCTTTTGTGCTTGACTCGGTTGCGAGCACCTTATTTGACAGTTTTGACAGAACTGGTTCCGTAAATTAGCTAATTCACTTATTATTATCCATTTTGCCTTATGAAGAGGCCACCTTTTGTATCAGAAGTAGCCAATAAACCAGATGCCATTGTCATTATTGATTGTGGGTACAAAAGGGCTAGAACTTGCATTGGTTACTTGTGAAACACCCCGACGCACTCCTTGAGATTATAAAGATAATCAGGAAGATTCATGCCGTTGCATTCTGGTGCACGGGTGGGGGAGTCGCCGAACTTCTTACTATATTCGTACTTCTTACTACTTCTTACTACTTCTTATATTACTTCTTATATTACTTCTTACTACTTCTTATATTATTTCTTACTACTTCTTACTACTTCTTACTACTTCTTATATTATTTCTTACTACTTCTTATGTTATTCTTTATTAGTTTGACTTAATATTGGTTTATTGGTTGGCTACTTACTCATGCGTACACTGCTTATACGGCAGGCTAGGCTGCATACTGGTGATAAGCCTGGACACTTTCTCTCTGACTGACCCTGTTGTGCCAGCGCCATAAGGCTTGGTGGTCCTGGGGGATTTCCATCAGCATCATTTTGGCAAGTACCGTGCCCCCGATGCATGCAATGTCTGCTTGGGTAAAGCGATCTCCGGCGATATAGTCATTCTTTTCTAAAAGATCGTTGATTTATTTAGCTCCTTTTAAGCCCTTTTCCCTTTGGTAGACCCCCCACTCTTTGTTTTGGGATTCTTCGGTGTCGGGTCCTAACCCGGGTGTTGCATGATGCAAATAGTAACTTAACGGTTCTGAAAACTGTAATTCGACTCTTCGAGCCATCATCCAAATAGTGGCTTGTTCTAATGGATCGTATCCACTCAAACTCCCGGGGTTGTGTCCCTGCTTATCAATATAGTCAATTATAGACGTGGTTTCCATTAAGTAGGTGCCATTGTCAAACTCGATCACCGGAAACGTACAAGAATAATTGATTTTCTTAAACCATTCTTGCTTGTGTTCTCCCTTGAAGATATCAACAGTCTGGTACTCAACCTGTTCGTGTAACTTTTTCTCGCATAAAGCTATATGTACCCGGCATGGATAGGGTCCAGCAGCAAAGTCATACATCTTGACTTTGTCATTGAAATTGGCTCTCTTCTCGCGAGACACTTTGGAAATTGACATCTTACTGGATGAGATCCTCGATCTTGATCAATTCAGATTCTGGATTCCCCTTCTCTTTTATAACCACGGTCGGTTCTTGGTCTTGCCATCAATCGGTCTTTGGGGTGCGAAACCCGTCCTACGGTGATGGATTCCGCTCATTAACTCCCCAAATCCATTTGCGATATCATCTCCTCCAATTCCTGTTGTTCCATTCTTAAATACTCCTCTAATTCTTCCTCTTCGAGCCTTGCTCTTTCGTCCGCAGCTTGTGTTTCCTGTCGTTCCTTCTCAAGTTCCTCCTCATCGTTAATCAATCGTTCTAAATCAATCTCAAATTTTCTCGCCTCTTCTTCATACTTCCTTTGGTAGTCATCCACATCCTGTAAATCGCCAATCTTCTCTCGATTCATCAGAAGCTTGTCTTCCCGGTGTCTCTCTCTGACTTCCCTCATCTTGTCGTGGCGATTCTTTCGATTGTAAGTACCAATCACTCGACCATCTCGGTTTTGATGGTTCACATGATTGAAACTGCCCCTGGTTATTCCTTTGTCTTGACTTCTTATGGGGGACGACATGGGGTGGAATAAACGATTCGATCTTTGTTGTTGGCGTCTATGAAGGTCATCTATTACATTCACATCATTGTCCTGTTCTTCGTGATCAAATGACGATTCATTCCCTCGTCTAATGGGTGAACTCAAGGGATATCTCATTTCCGTTTTTTGAGCACAACCTGAGGCTATCAAATTCATCAATCCCTCTATTCTAGCTCTGCTGTTGCTTACTCCTTGTCTCTCTCCACTATCCTTTGGTGTGTCGTTTCTGTAAATGCTTTAATTATTCAACTTGATGAACCAGTTCAAGTATATCATCTTATTCTATGATTTTTTTTTTTTTCATCTTTTGACGCGTTTTGCTGCTGTAAATCTTTTTTTTTTTTGACATATCGTCAGACTAAACGGGGTAAATCGATTCTTCATCACAGCATCGAATAGTCACTTCAATCGATAAAGTTCTCTATAAAAGGAACTCAATTGTATTAGCAGCAGTATAATAAATCATATTGACCTTATAACCCTCGGTAAATAATGACCACGGCCGAACCGGAATCAAAGTCAGATGCTCTGTCTATCTTAAGTTTTGATGAAGATGATAACTATGTCATGGAAATTATAGCTGAGAGTGTGGCTAAAATCGTACCTTCAGTGTTCCCGGAAACAATTCAGTTGAATGGGAAGAAATCTTCTCAATTCGAAGAATCTCATAAGCTAAATCGCAAATCGAAAGATCAAGACGAATCCAAAGATAAGTCAATAGAACCAGAAGAACAAGCATATAACAATAAAGATGCCAAAGAGATTGGTGCTACTTCAAAAGATCTAGATGCAACAGTTTCAATTTTCCCGGTTCACGAAATGGACGATGATGTTTTTGAACAAATTTTGGATTTGGTTGACTTAAATCTTGGTTCTTATTATCAGAAACGGTTGGGTAAAAACTGGAAAGACGAAAAAAGAGATGAAATGGAAGAATCTGGCTTGGTTTATGTGATATATACCGATGCCTTGACGAAAAACATAGTTGCATTTACTTCGGTTAAATTGGTCGCAGAACTAGCTGCAAAAGTTCTTTACTTGTACGAAATTCAAATATCCTCTCAATACCAGTCAATTGGGGTTGGATCAAAACTAATTTCGTCATTCCATAAACTTGCAACAAAACTTAATGACTTAGTTGGAGATGCAAAGTACAAATATTCGACTCATTTTAGTAATGAAGGTACCAGTCTAACGGTTTTCAGTGATAATGATCGAGCATTAAATTGGTATTTTAACCTTGGTTATACGTTCACCGATGATTCACCAAGGGACAAATTGCTAAGAAATGAAAAAGTGGTTAAACCTTCTTTCTACTTGTTAACTAGACCCTTGGAGCAAAAATGATGACCTACATATTTATGTTAAACTAATATAGATGTTTTATTACTATGAATACAAGATGCAATTTTATGTTTTTATAATAAATGAATTTGTGTTTGTTTTTTTTTAAGTTTTATGTTCATTTAAATGTGAAAATCAGTCAATATTATTGTTCTAAAACGTTAACATAACCACGACGGCCACCTCTCTTAGTCTTACGGCTTGTAGCAACACTGCTTCCGGATCCATTACCAAGCGATAATAAGTCATCCAACCCTGCAGTAGCTAAATTAGGTACATTGGCCTTTGGCTTTGGTGGAGGAGCATCCAGTTGTAGCCCTGCTGAAGCAGCTGGTGGTTGACCGCCCATTGCACGTCCAATCGGTGGCCCCGATGGTGCTCCTACCGGTGCTCCCGCTGGCGGTCCAGATGGTGGTCCAGATGGCGGTCCAGATGGTGGTCCAGATGGCGGTCCAGATGGCGGTTCAGATGGCACAGAACTTCCTCTTGAGGTTGGACCAGGTGGAACTGCCTTTTTCTTTGGTGGAGGTGGTGGTGCAGCTGGAGCCAACTGTTCTTCAATTGGTCTCGTAGTATCAATGTATCTGCCTAATTTTTCGTCATACTTGAATTTGTTCTTTTCTCCTAATTTAGCCCTAATAGGTTTGTTTTCATCTTTTTTATTTAACCATGGAAACCAACTACCTCCTCCACTAGATGCTGTAGCCCTATCTCTTGCAGCCGCACTGGCCAGTTGTCTGGCTCTATCTGCTTCAATTCTTGCCACTCTGGCTTCCTCTTCTCTCTTCTGTCTTTCTGCTCTCGCAGAAGCATCATCTTCTTCATCTTCATCGTCTTCTGGTACAGGGACATAATCTCTAACAGTGTCATCTTGGACTTCATATTGTTGATACAATGCAGATTGTTGAGACTGTGAAAGTCTTGACGAATATAATCCACCAGGACCACCAATAACCGAATTGGCTCTTGTTGTCAACTCAGGTGAACCTGGAATTGGAAAGTCGTCAAACCCTTGATTAAGGCCAAACCCAGATGGTCTTCTTTCTCCTTGATAGGGATTGAATAAAGCTTCCCTTCCTGGTTGTCCCGGTGAGACCGCAGTATTCAATAATAAAGAAGATCTGGCCCGTGGTGTCTGTATTGGAACGGGTTCAGACTCAGTTGTCACATTTCCTTCCGTCTCAAAACTTTCATCCACGTTAGTGTTTCCAGTATTTCCACTGATAGAAGTTGGAGGCTCAAACCTTGAGGCACCAGAAAAGTTGCCACTTTGAGGAATATTTAGTGCATGGTGATCAGAATTTTCTTCTGGTTGAATTTGATTAGAAAGAGTAGCAGCTTCACCACCGTTTTGTTGTGTGTTCATAGCAGACGGTGGATTCAATGTACTGGAAGCATCTCCCTGGCCGTCATTATTAACCAAAGGTTTCTCATCCTTCTGTTTGTACCCGAATAAATCACCATACGAAACATTATCAACCGGCCCAGTATATAAACTGTTGTTAGAGCTTCCAGCGCTATATTTACTAGCTCCCTTAGTTGAAGAACTATACCTACTTGGTCTTGTCTGTCTATTTGCACCACCTGGTGCATATGGATTAACTTTAGCTTTCGAGCTTCTTAAAGCCGGACCTCGTGGAGGGGGTGGAGCAGCCTTGGAAGGCTGTATAGAGGTACTGGACATCTCTTCTTTATTCACTGATTCTGCCAAACTTGCATCAGGGGCTCTAGTTGACAGTTCTTGAGGATCTTGTTCCGATACAAGTTCCTGGGAAGGTTCTTGTGGTTGCAGAATACGTTGTGGTACTGAAGTCATTTGTGGCACACTTGCTTCTGTTCTTGAACCACTTTCAGATTCTGTATAGAGTTCTTCGTTTGTTTGAGATAGCGGAGCCTGTTCATATGGTGCAGGAATTTCGTGAGCTTCAACTTTCTTTTCATCCAATGTGAAGTCAGTCAAATTGTTCTTAGAATTGCTGAATTGCAGAGCTTCCTTTTCAGGAGATTCTTTAATTGTCTCGGGGATATGCTCTGGCTCCTTCTTTTCCTCGGGAGCATAATCATGGAAACCTCCTCCCAACTTTTTGGGAGTTGATTTGAAATCCAGCGGATAATCCAAACTGATGTCACTTTGGTCTGAGAGATTTCTTTGGTGTTGATGAATGTGCTGACTAGATCCATCATTCTGAATGTCTCCAGACATAATACTACCGATTGAAGGGCGTTTTTGGGAGCCAGAAGGCCCTGTAACTGCAACAGGAGGTGGTATAGTTCCAGGGGTTGGCTGAATACTTATATGAGAAGCAATTGACAGAGTCGACGATTGGGCTGCTTTGTTAGAATACGGATAGCTTCGTGCGGAACCAAGATTCGACTTCTGTGCAACCGGAGAATACTTAGATTGAGCCTTTTTAGGTGGTAATAATCCGTCATTAGTTGAATCATTCAATTGCAAACTATGGGTTGATGCATTGGATGGTTGGTAGCGTGAATTACCTGGTGATGCAAGGGTAGATGAAATTGGTGGAGGAGGTGCTGGGGTTTGTTGAAGATTAGCCAAAGGAGACTGTTGGTGCTGCTCAGAGCGCTGAATTGCCGGTACTGTCTGTTTGGTATAAACGTTTCCAGATGGTGACGGTGAGTACTTAGAAACAGACGCATTCGAAGGGTTAGAAACAATTGGAGGGCGGGACAGCCCTAACAAGCCCCCATAAATCATATCTGTAGAGGAAGATGGTGCTGAACCAGAAGCAAGTCCATCTCTAAAATCATTTACCACACGAGGTGATGTTTGAGGCATGGCTGTTACATCGATAGTAGATGCAGTCCTTGAGACTGATGGACTGAACTTACTAAATGGACCACTTTCATTGCTTTTCGCCTTAGGCTCATCTCCACCTATAAACTTATCAAGTTGGCCCCAAAATTTGTTCAAGTTTACTCTGCTAATCTTATTGTCAAACCACCCACCATCTGGAGTATTTGATTCTGAGATTCTCATTAGTAAAGTCTGAAATTCATGAAACGCAGAAGGTCCAAAGAAATTTGTTTTACCCATAGATTTAAGGTTGGCACCAATAGCATCACAGTATTTTTGAGATTCATTGAACAAACCGTAGTCAGCTAATAACTGTGCATGTCTGAGTTTGAGAATTAATAAATGAGGAAAGCCAGCTGCTGGTACAGAAGCATTAGGAGCGGATTTTAAAGAATATTCATAAATTTCGCTGTATAATGAAGTCAGAGTCTGTGAGCCAACAAAAGTGAAAGCCTTACCATTATTCATGGGAATGTTAGACATTGGAAATCCTGCTAGTATGTAGCACACTTCACTGGCACTGAAATTTTCAATAGAAGACAAGTAGTTACCAAATTCCGATAAAAATTCCAAGCATCTTGATGAACCATTGATATACACCGCAGCGATGATATCCCTATAATTCAATGATGCCCAATCGCCTTCTGAAGGGACATTTCTAAAATCTTCAATAACGCTTTTTGAGTTACCAGCAAATACTTTTAACAAGATTGGTATCAAATGCAAAACCTTATTGGGTGACTTTTGAAATGGGAAAAGATTTCTTGCATAATCAGAAGCAGTCTTAGCAAATTTCTCGGATCCAATAAAACTAGAAATAATTAATGATAATGACCAGTCACCCCTTGACAAAGCAAAGTTCAATGCTGTTTCCGTATTTCCTGACTGTAATAATCCCCATACAGTATTTACCCCAGAATTGTCGAGTCTGTAAGCATTAGCCGTAATATTCAATGAGTGACCGAAGTTATTATCTGCTGGTTGATTATAATCTACGGTGGGATTGATAGCACCACAAACTGACTTGACGAATTCAGAAGAGTGAATATCGCCATCATACTTGATTAAGGACAATAAGACTTCGTTTAACAACAACTCATCTGTTCCAAAGGAGTTTCCTTTGTTTTTAATAACTTCAATATTGGTCTCAATCCATTTTTCAATGTCTTTCTTTTTGGACTTACTCTTGCTCAAAGGGCCAGGGAAAGTAGAGAAAAAATCTTTATTTGGTAAAGCTTCCGAAACTGCTTTGACTTGCAAAGAGCCAACACTATGATCAAATGCATTGCTTGGAGTGCTTGGCACTAGATAAACAATATTTTGAGAAGGTCCCCAATTGAAAATTGGAAATTGTCTACGCAAAAGTGCATTAGGATCTGTAATCTTTGGTGCAGGTGGAGGGGATTGCTTATGATAAATACTTGACTTTGGATTAGAGACACCACGAGATCTATTGATCGGATGCATTACCCCTGCATGATTGTTTGAAGCAGGAGGAATGTTTGGGCTAAACAGCCTTGGTGGAAACCCTTGCACTGGGGGAGGAACTGAACCCTGTAATCCAGGTTGAGGTTGGCCCTCAGGAATGAGCGGAGCATATGGATTGATTTCTTTTCCTTTTCCACCCACTAAAGAGCTAGCTCTCGAATGACCCCGTCTATGGCTATTTGGAGCATAAGGTCCAACATTGGGAACATATGGACTGGTAGCGGAGCCCTTATTTTGAGATCTTGGTACATTTGTATTCAAAGTAGGTTTATTTGGTTGCACCGAAGGAAATGTTTGCGATTGCGACTGGTTTTGGACATTAGGAAAACCAAAGTTATTTCTAGAATGCGCTTGACCAGCAGCAGAAGGTACAACGGCTGGAGGATTGGCAGAAGGGGGAACCATACTTGTTTGGCCCATAGACGGAGATCCAAACTGAGTTTGGCCTGCAGGAGGCGGGGCCATACCTGGTTGTCCCATTGGTGGGGGAATTGTACCTGGTTGTCCCATTGGTGGGGGAATTGTACCTGGTTGTCCCATTGGTTGTCCCATTGGTGGAGGAGGCAATCCACCAGCTGGGGGAACACTACCAATAGGTTGATTGGGAGGAAGGACAGAACCATGTACCTGATTAGGAGCTTGTGGGGGAGGACCCAATTTTGCGTATGGATTGACAGGTGACTTAACCTTTGCACTTAATTGAGGTTTTACTAGACCTGGGGAAGCATTTGAAACTGGTGTTGCAGTTTTAACTGGAGCAGCTGCTCGAGCTGGCCTAGCACCTGCCTTTGGTAATTGCACTGGTAACTCCTCGAAAAAAGCCTTAGGCTTAGACGAAGGGTGAGAAGATGTTGACGAAGATCTCAGGCTATTTCCCGGTCTAGCTGGTGGTGGCATAACAGGAGAGGAATGGTTTGAAGAAATTCTCTGTTTGGGTGGAGGAAGAGAATGACTGGACGAGCTAGCTGAAGGAGCGTATTTGTTTTCATGCCTTGGAGCAGGCTTGATTTTCTGAGTGATTAAAGAATCAGGGAAATCATAAGCATCATTTTTCTTTTTGGAGGCTTCCAAATTCTTAACAAATTGTTGAGAATCGCTTGCTTTTGGAGGCAATTTGTGGCCAGAAGAAACAGAAGGCTTATGAGGAACATAAGAATGATGAGGACCTTTCTTTGGTTGGTAAGAGGTATGTTTAGGAAGTTGTTCTTTTTGAGATACGCTTGATTTTGAACTTGCAGCTGTCAGAGCCAATTGATCTTCATCTAATAAGAGATCATCATCTAATAGAAAATCAAGAGAAGGTTTATCTTTAGAGCCACTCAAAGTTTTATCGAACTTTCTAGTTTCATCTTTTATGAGACCATTGCTATCGGTTCGAGAAATATCTTTTGAAGATTTGATGGTAAACTCATCATTACTGTCAAACAAGTCATTTATACTTTTATCATTGGTGAGGCTCTCTTTTTGTTCAAGGTCTTTATTATCAGTATCAAAATGCTCATTATCCGATTTAGATGCACCCTTAGAGAAGAAAACGTCATCATTATCGTCAGCAAATAAAGCATCCAATTTTTCTTCTGTAAGATCCCCCTTACGTTCATGGCTTTGGGATTCATCTATAACTTCATGTGATTGACCTTGCTCCCATGGTAGTTTATTTTCAGATTCTTGGGCAGATTTTGGTTTTTGCTGGTTATCTTCACCTTCATCCCAAGGCAACTTTACATCGTCACTTTGCTCAAATCCAAGTTCTTGTTTATTTTCTTGTAATGGCGAAAAGTGGGTATCTTTTTGTTGGTCTTCCCAAGGTAATTTTGTTCCCAGCTGATTTGAATTATTTTGGTTCACATCCCAGGGTAAATTTTCATTTTGTTGATCTTCTTCCCAAGGTAAATTTTCATTTTGTTGATTTTCTTCCCAAGGTAAATTTTCATTTTGTTTAGAGTGCTCATTTTCCGAAGGTACACTTTCGTTTTGACTAGGGTGATCGTCATCCCAAGGTAACCGATTTTCTGAGGAGTTTTGTTGAGGTAAATCTTTTTCGGATAATTGTTGAGATTTCTTAAACTTGAGGTCGCCAGTGTCCCAAGGTTGATGTTTTAAATCATCATTATACCAAGGTAAGTCATCTTTTTTAAATTCCTCGAGGCTGGTTTTTGAATCGTCATTAATTAAATGTTCGTCAGGCAAGGAAGGAACTTGATTTTTTTCAAAGGGGAAGCGTTCTTCTTGAGAAATCAGAGGCTGATTCCAAGGAAACTGTGATTCTGCTTCATGAGGCTGTTGATTTTCAGAGTCCCAAGGTAATTGTTGAGATTTTGATGGGTCATCCTTTGATTGATTTACTTCGTTTGATTCATTTCCTTCATTTAATTCATTTGATTCATGTATTTCATTTGATTCCTGTACTTCATTTGATTCATGTATTTCATTTGATTCCTGTACTTCATTTGATTCATGTATTTCATTTGATTCATGTACTTCATTTGATTCATGTTCTGGTCTGCGCTCTTCATCTAGTGCTTTATTTGATTGTGCTTCCTCTTGTTGGTTATGATGTTCATTCAATTGAGGAGGTGTTTCCAGAACTGCATTCAATTGGTTTGAGTCGCTTATATTAAGCACTGAATGAATAGAAGGTTGGGTATCTTCAACTGCAGTTGGTGAGAGTTCCGGAATAGTTTTTTCTTCTTCCGTTAAGTTAGACTCGCCTTCGTCTTCAAATTCCAATTTATGATCTTTGATTGAGTTCTCAAAAGTATTTTGTTCAATCATTTGAGTACGTTGTAAATCTTGTTTATTGAACCGGTTTTCTGATTCGTCGTCATCTTTGGCATCCTTGTCATCTTTGGCATCCTTGTCATCTTTGGCATCCTTGTCATCTTGACGATCCTGGAATTCCTGAGCATGATCTTGTATTTGATCTGCTTCTCCGGATTGACTCGGAATCGAGGTTGAGTTTCTTCTTAATATAGAATCTTCAGTATGATGAGCCGATTGTTGGGCAATTGAAGAAATTGTATCAGCAACAGATAATTTTCTTTTGGGTTCTTCCTTCACATTCTGTACTTTTAAATCCTCATTAGTATTGTATAAAACACTTACTCTTTGATTACTAGTTTTATTATCATTGAGAGGATAGCCTGGATTTAGATTCGAAGTAGAAGAAGCAGAAGATGATTGATCAGATGATTTTGAAGTTTCAACTGTTTGCTTAACCAAGTTCTGACTTCTTCTTTTATTTTTATTATTTCTTTTGGGAGGCATGTCCGCTTTGATCTTTTAGTTGACTGACCAGTCCGAAACGTTCAAATCAACAGGATTTAAACGTTCAATCAATGAATTGATCACACTAATGTAAATGATTACCTTAGACGCCGTTGATTTTCATCTTTCGCTGGAGATTTTAAAGTGAGCGTGTTCTTGTTGATTGCTTGGTGTATGGGTCTACTTTGCTTTAATTTCGATTTCAATCTGTGTCACGTGACTGGTGATCCCACCACTTACATTCAGTCAACTCCTTCGCCCCCGGTATACCGTATACGGTATAGTTATGGTCTAGTCACTGCTTCACAGGGTGGACAATAGAGCCGTAGTGAATAATTCGAAAGTTTTCAAAGCCCCGGTAAATTTTGCAGTTTTCTCGCGAAATTTGGCTAAGATTGGATGAATTGACTGCTAACTGCCAAAGCTCAAAGCATTTCAAGCTAAATATCGTCCGGTAATACGGTATCTATTGGTATAATATCCGTTGAATAGTATCCATTGAATAGTATCCATTGGATAGTATCCATTGGATAGTAACTGTTGGTATAGTTTTTGGTATAGTATCTACTAGCATAATATTCTACTGATATCCTGTTATCTACTGATAGCACTACTATCTTAACATCTATTGATAAAGTCATACATCAATATACTATATTCCTACTGATTGTCACCACTGACTCATTGCTACGTAGTATGAAACCCTGTCTACTGATATAGCACGGACTGGCAGTTACAGTATACCTACTACTGAGTGCTTCTATAAATAGTTCCCCAGTGCCTGAGGTTAAACACAAATGTGCGCAACGGTTTAGTTAGGGTTAATCTATTTATATATATGTGAAAGAAGCATTTCATTGATGAGTTGATGTTGACATTGACTTTCTTCTATACTAAATCACCTTTACCAACCAGATCGTTTAAACCATACTGCAACCCCGTCAATTGACAGGATAATCCCAGATAGAAATCCGTACATCAGTCTCTCTCTCTCTTAGTAATTTTGTTTCATTTATTCTCTGCTGCTTTTTTTTTTTTTTTTTTTTTTTTTTTTTTTTTTTATTTTTTTTTTTTTTTTTTTTTTTAATATTAAAGTTTCTGGTGTTATTTTTCTCTCTTCAGCATTCACTTTCTCTTGTTTTTTGAAGTAGTTTTCCAATAATCCATCTTCTTTGCAGTTATCAATTCCAAGAACAAGTTAAGAAGAAGAATCGATAGCCATGGGTAGAAGAAAGATTGAGATTCAACCACTCACGGATGATAGAAATAGAACCGTTACATTTGTTAAACGGAAAGCTGGTTTATTTAAAAAAGCTCATGAATTAGCCGTATTATGTCAAGTTGATTTGGCAGTTATAATAATAGGTAACAATAATAAGTTGTATGAATTCAGTTCGGTTGATACCAAAGAATTAATTAAAGCATATCAAGAGGTTGATTCCCCCCATGAATCTAAATCACCGGAAAATTATGGGAAGTATAAGAAAAAAAGATATTTGACAAAACATAAGAATACTGGGAATATTCATGAAGATATATCACTTGATGAAGATAATTTAGATAGTGATTATGAATCGGATGTTTCCGAACCAAACTCAAAACGTCAAAAGAGAAATCGTGGTAAAAATGAAAGCAAACCAAGTATATATAATAATAAAAGATCAACCCCTAATCTTGGATTTAATACTGATCTTGATAGTACTAATGGCTCTCATACTAGAGATAATTCACTTTCTTCAACCAACCATCAAAGACCAGTATTAAGAGTACAAATTCCAACGGATGCTAAAAGTAATAATAATGATTCGGCCAAAACCATTACCGCAATTGAAAGTAATATTGATCCCAGAAATAAGAAATATAATCCAACAAATAACTCGAATAATAAAAATAAAATGAAACCTGACATTGACCAAAACTCAAATTCTGATTCTCAACCAAATTCTTCTTCAAGTATTAATCAAAATAATTCAAATAATTCAAATAATTCAAATAGTATTGGTGGTAACGTTCCAACCATAAATACTCCCAAATATTCAAGTTTTAATACTTTTAGAAGTCCCGATTCAAGAAAACCAATCACTCAATTACCTTTACCAATTCATAATAAATCCAGAACCTCAAGTCCTTCAAGTGCTACTGCTCCTCCATTACCAATAAGTGGAGGAATGACTTCTTTTTTCAATTCTTTACCCCAGCCCTCTCCTTCAACTCAATATGGTCCTTCCGGTTCAATGTTACCCACCCCAGTACTAAATCAAGTTTTCAATCAACAATATAATCAATCCCATCATAATAATGATCAAGACGGTCATCAACAACAAAACTCAAAATTAAGACCTCCCTATTACAATGGGGTCATCAACCCTGATCAACAACAAAATCAAAATCAAAATCAAAACCAAAATCAAAATCAACAAAATCAACAACAACATCAACAACATCAACAAACCCCAGGCCCGGTCAGTGGCCCAGTGTCCGGTTTACCCTCTCGTTATGTGAACGATATGTTTCCTTCCCCTTCAAACTTCTATGCTCCTCAAGAATGGCCCAGTGGAGTTGGAATGACTCCAATTCACGCTAATGTCCCCCAATACTTTATGAACATGCTACCTTCGGCTGGTCCAGTCCCCCCAAATGGCGCAAGACTACAGCAAGTGCCTGAACAAGCCCAGCAATCACAACAAAATCAACAAAACCAAAACATACCGCCTAATCAACAAGGTATGGGTTCTCCTTTACAATACATGGGGCCCTTTAACACTTCAATGGGTGGCCAAGGTAATAACTACAACAACTCCAACAACCCCAATACGAATGGCAATGATAAACGGTTCAATAAGTAATCTGAAATAGAATAAGAACACTTGAAGTTAAAAAAATCGAAAAAAAAAACAAAAAAAAAAGAATATATATATATATATTTACATAATACACCTTTACAAGGTACTAGTTAGAGTATTTGTATAATTACGCTTGAGTATAAAGACATTCAATTCAATCGCCAATAGCCTACTTGTACTTGCAACTGCAAAAAGGATGCAAATTAATTAACTGGGTCTGCATGATTGTCAATTCTTGAATTTTGCGTTGGCACTAGGGCTGGCGCCCTCATCAACCCACTCATCGCACGTGATCTCAGCGTTTGCTGAAATCTCCTGGAAATTCGCAAGGAAAGTGTCTGTGTGCAGGATCCCAGTTATAGTTTTCAACATTGTGACTTTTTTTTCTTTTTCACCTACGATTTTTTTTTGTTTTGTTAGCGCGCAGTCTTCAAAAAATTTGTAAGTAAATTTTTTTTTTTTTTTTTTCATTGAGTAGTTCCAAAACTAGGTCTTGAGATTTTCAAGTTTTCAATTTTTTCTAAGAGAAAATTTTTTATAATAGGATTTTTTTATATTTCTGTTATTTCTCTCTTACCATATAGAAAGGCATAGGTTAACCAGTTCAAGATGAAGGTATGTCCTTACCAATGAATACTTTAGAAGATGAATCAAAGAGAATGGCGATATGCAAGAGTTGATGAAGAAGAATCGAAGGGAATCGTTGAAGAAAGTTGAAGATGAGTGAAAATTTAGTCGAAGACGTTACCAGTAGTGATTGGTAAATCAGGAAGAAGATGAATTAATGGAGAAGAGGTCGAGGAAGTGGATGGAGCTGTCTGATGAAACGGATGAAGAAGGGAAGATTTTGATTCATGTATTTGATTTAACAATATATACTAACATTTGTTTTTTAGTTAAATATTTCTTATCCAGCCAACGGTACTCACAAGAGTATTGAAATCGATGATGATCACAAATTACGTGCTTTCTACGAAAAACGTATGGGTCAAGAAGTTGAAGGTGACTCTGTCGGTGATGAATTCAAAGGTTACATTTTCAAAATCACCGGTGGTAACGATAAACAAGGTTTCCCAATGAAACAAGGTGTTATGCACCCAACCAGAGTTAGATTATTATTAGCTAAAGGTCACTCTTGTTACAGACCAAGAAGAACTGGTGAAAGAAAGAGAAAATCTGTCAGAGGTTGTATTGTTAACCAAGATTTATCTGCTTTATCTTTAGCTATTGTTAAACAAGGTGATGCTGATATTGAAGGTTTAACCGATAACACTTTACCAAAAAGATTAGGTCCAAAGAGAGCTAACCACATTAGAAAATTCTTCGGTTTAACTAAAGAAGATGACGTTAGACAATTCGTTGTTAGACGTGAAATTGTTAAAGGTGACAAAACTTACACCAAAGCTCCAAAAATTCAACGTTTAGTTACTCCTCAAGCTTTACAAAGAAAGAGAGCTTTGAAATCCCAAAAAATCAAGAACGCTCAACAACAAAGAGATGCTGCTGCTGAATACGCTCAATTATTAGCTCAACGTTTACACGAACGTAAAGCTGAAAAAGCTGAAATCAAAAAGAGAAGAGCTTCTTCTTTAAAAGCTTAAGTAACTTTTAAATAATCATAATAAAAAAACTTACTCCCTTTTTAATTTAGCTTGAATATATATTATCGAAAAGAAAAAAAAAAGCTTTTTTCATTGTAATATATTTTTGTATTGGTACTTTTCGATTTATATATTCTTTCATACTCCGGTTATATTTTTTGTTTAATTAGTTTATTTAATATAAAAAATATGTTTTATACAATTCTATGTAATATGTTGTCGTTTATCGGTCTCAACTTCTTCCCCAGTTCTTTTCTTTGCTAATCTCTTGATGTTTTCATAAACTTGATCATTAGTTAAATTCGATTCATGTAGGAAATTCTTTTTAATAAAATTGTTTTGTTGTTCCTCATACCTTGGGTCTCGTAATTTTGTCCTCAAATGATTATCAAATTCATCTTCTGGTACAAGTTCATTTGTTAAAGGGCATCTTATCATTTTGTTTGAAATGTTGGTTTTCCGATTCTTTAATCTTGATTCACCAGCAGCTTTAATTTTCATTCCCTTTGGCACTGGAGTTGCTTCTTTTGGAGTTGCCTCCTTTGATGTCACTTGTTCTGATGAAATGTCTTTTGATTTTGGCGTAACTTCCTTTGGTTTCTTAATAACCGGTTTTACTTTTTGTAATTCCATCTCTTTATTTTTGGCCTGTAAAGATCTATAAATTAAATCTTCCCGAGATAATGGTGTTGATAGTTCTGTAACCTCATCAATGGCATCAAAGTAAACTTTCCCAACAATACGAAAATCTTGCCAATCGATAGAAGCAAATTGTATTTGTCTTTCTTGCTTTTGATTATTGGCATCTTTGATTCTATCTTTATGCTGCTTCTTATATTGAGCTCTAGCATATGCATTATCGAATAACTTGTCCGATTCTTTCAATCTTGTCATTAGATCACCCAGAAGTTCGGGGCTCTCGTACAATTGTATCAACTTTTGATACTGTTTAACTAGATTTTTATATAATGGATGAAATGAATGTGCCTCTTTCAAAAACTCAAACTGGTGTTTATTTCCCTTCCCCGTTTGATACCTTAGAAGTGCCGGCCCATAACCACTATTCCTAGCACTAAATAAAGCGGTTAGTTTTATTATATCAAGGTCTAATGCTGATATTGGGGGTAGCTCCGTCAAGAATTCTAAATCAATGGGTTTAGGTATTTCAGCTACTGGTCTCTCTTCAACACTTGTGTTTTCTGTTTCGGCCTTCTTCTGATCTTCACCGCCACTTAGCTTCCACCTGTAATAAGGGTTGTATTCATTTTCATCTTTCAAAAATGCAAATTGGCCATTTTCATCACTGTTTTTCAATCGATCTTCAAATGTTTCTCCATTCTTCAAGACATACCCAGCAGTTTTGTCTATAGTTTCTTTAATCTTCTCAGGAGGAATCGGTATTCCCTCCACAAAATCTACCATGCTATTGTACTTCTGAATTAACTATTTGATCCTTGGTGGTGTGATGATGGTTCGTACCATCGTTTCTTCTATGCGATGGATTTACAATCAAAGGAAAAAAAGGCTGTCGCAAGTAAAACTTAACAAAGAGAAAAAAAAAAAAGTAGTACTGCACTCTTTGTCTATTTAAACCTTTGTTAAAAGTCTTTATATTAGACCCCGTACTAATTTGAGTTCCTTGTGTATATAAGATAAGACCTTGCTGAAAAGGTGCTCGATTCATAAAAAGTGGTCCACTTTAGAATGTCTCAAGATAATCCAGAGATCATTAGCAGACGTAAAAGCGGAATTTACAAAGTTGAAGATGACAAAGTATCAGCATTTGAATCAGATAATGGAATTCTGTTAAATAAAACAAGAGCGCTGTCAAATGCATACGAGTCCAGTGCTAGTAGTGAAGAGGGAAACACTAGTAGCGAAGACTCTGAAGGAGACCCTCTTACAAATGATCTCGAGCAAATTGGGAAATTGAATTTGAATAACATATCAAGCTATCTAACTACCAATAGTTTACCAAATCTACCAAATTTACCTAATTTACCCAATATAAGAAACATTGACTTAAAGAACAACTTGCCTAATTTCCAGGAGATTTCCAATGACATATCCCGCTATATTTCCTATTATGTTACTAGTTCCGATCTGGTTAATGATGAAGAAGGTAGTCAGGCCCAACTTGATGAAGAACAGCCGGAATACCAGCAAAGGATAATTAACTCTGTGAAGACAGCTATATCTACAAGAATCCAAATGACCAAGTTTCTAAATGATTTGAATTTAGGACATTCACTTTCTACTGCGATTGATCGTTTACAACCAGTGAAAAGTATTATTCATGAAAGTATAGTGTTACCGGTGGAAGATACTAGTGATTTTGAAGATGACGAATATCATGATGTTAAGAAAGAAATCAATTCGACTGAGCCGGTAGGGGTTGACTCAATTGTTCACACGCAACAACCGTTAATCAATGAGATTGTTATACCGGAAGAAAATAGTGAACCACATCATCATCATCATCACCATCATCATCATCATAAGCGAAGAAAGAAGAGAGATTATACCTACTCTGACGAGTACGATAGCTCTAATCAAACCGGAAGTGATTTAGATAACATAGAAGGACTTACGATGGAAGAAACCATATCATTAACGCATCTTGACTCATTGGATGATTTTTATAAAGAGGACTTATTAAGGCAAAAAATACAAAAGATTCAAACTCTGAATAATTTAAATCAGTTACAGAAGAATAAATTAGTTACTCGATTAATGATGGGGAATTATTATAAATTGATCAATGATAAATTAGCCAAAGATAACCTTCAATTACTACCGAAACATAGCAAAGAGAAGTTAGTTATTGAAGATAAAGAAGAGGAAGAAGAAGAACCTGTTGAAGAAGTCAAGCCAATGGATGATGTAATTGAAGAGGAGGAAGAATCTGAGGATGAGGTTATATTAACCGAATCAGATCAAATAGCATCGTATTTTGATCCACCTACTAATTCAATAATGGGATGTCAACATTATCAAACCAATTGTAAGATTGAATGTCCCAAATGTTATAAATGGTTTGCGTGTCGATTTTGTCACGATAATGAAATTAGTGATCATAAATTGATAAGATCAGAAGTTAAACATATATTATGTATGTTTTGCAATACTCCACAAATTCCAGAAAGTAATTATTGTATTAATTGTGAAAATGAATTAGCCAATTATTTTTGTTCAATATGCGTGTTGTACGATAATGATATTACCAAAGATATATATCACTGTGACAAATGTGGAATTTGCCGATTAGGATTAGGATTGGGTAAAGATTATTTCCATTGTGATAAATGTAATATATGTTTATCAATTGATTTGAAAGAACGACATAAATGTTTAACCAATACTACTCATTGTAATTGTCCAGTTTGCAATGAGTATTTATTTACATCAGTGAACAAAGTTGTCTTTATGAAATGTGGACATTCAATTCATCAAAATTGTTATGACGAATTAAGTAAACATTCATATAAATGTCCAATTTGTAAAAAAACTGTTGTTAATGTTGAAACCCAATTCAGAATATTGGATCAAGAAATTAGACAATCACCTTTACCATTACCTTATAATTTATGGAGATGTATCATAAGTTGTAATGATTGCAAAGGAAAATCAAATACTTCCTACCATGTTCTTGGTTTAAAATGTAAATATTGTCATAGTTATAATACCAATCAAATAAAATTAATTAAACCAGAAGATGAAGAAGAAGATCAATTACTTGAAAATAAAACTATATTAAATGAATTACCCAATCTTGAAACCGATAATAGAATTAATTCAATGAGATTAATTAAAACAAGTTTACTGGATAATTTTAGAATCGATGATCAGCAAGAAATAATTTCCGGTCCTGCTGATGATGAATTACTGGACGATGAATTCAATCATGATAATCCTCAAAATATAGTCAATTTTAAAAGATTAACCAATGCAATTGTCACTAATTTACAAAACGTCGGTGGCTCCTCTAGCCAGTCTCCTCCTCAATCAGAAAAATACCAACCCCAAATTACTTCGTATATTAGATCCATACTACAGAACTTCATTAATAACGCTACCAATGATATGAATAATAGTGACCTCGAAATGAAACACTCCAACTCCTCTAACGAAAGTCTCGATAACATCGGTGGATTTTAGTCCTACCAGCATGACTGCAAATTCTTTTGTTGGATTGTTGAACTAATTTCATTACTCTAATCGGAATCGTTTCGCAACATCGTCGTTTTGCGGTCTTTCCCGCCCAACAAACAACTATAGGGCAATCTACATTATTGAATAGTAAGACAAGTATCAATATATAGTACTAGTCTCTCGAATGACTACAGCAACCGAAGTCCCCACTCTATCATATGATAATATCGTAGCTAGTATCTACTCCCGTATTCAATACCCACCAGTACTCACCGGTATAACCCACCAGTACTCACCGGTATAACCCACCAGTATCACCATTCAACCATTACACATCAATCAACTACTCATAGTAGAGCATTCACTCTTCGCTTCAATCTATTGCCCTTAGGAGAGTATTCCCAGTAGAATAGTAGAAGTAGAGAACATGTGGTCGTAAACGTGCAAGCAGCACCCGTACACCGGGTACGACCCCTCCGCCAGCCGGGCGAAAACCGGTCTTTCCGGGGTCTTCACGGGGCCACTGCCCCCGGTGCTTACTGTGGAGATCACCCCGATCTGCGCAGACTTCCGAGAACAACTGCGTCATCCCACCGAGGGTGGCCCCAACGTTCTTCCTTCTTGATCTTCTTGTTCATCATCTTCTTGTCAACTTCATCTTCTTGATCTACTCCTTCTTCTTGATCAACTTCATCTTCTTGATCAACTTCTGCTTCTTGATCTTTATCTTCAATCCTCCGCAGTCGTCCCGGTGTCACTTGAAGCACTTTGCTACGCGTTCCCTTTGCACAGATCAGTTAGCCGCTCTATCCCCAGTGGTGCTTTCCTTAGGCTCCCGTTATTCCTGCTAGTGCAATTCCTGCTAGTTCTACCCTGCCTAACCACCCATTGTTACATTGCCGTGTTATCAATAGAGTGACTGACTCCCATAAGACTAATTTGTGGTTCTCCCGAGACTTGCCTCTACCTTTCACGTGAGGTTTTCGTACTCGGTTCGTTTCAACGGCTTTTTTAAAGCGATAGCAAAACCTCTTGTGGTTGCTATTCGAGGCTCGCTGCTTAACCTTTCCATCGTCTATCATTGGCACTCGCTAATTCACCTGGTGAAAGTATAGACGTAGTAAAAATAGAACAAAGCAGCACCAAAAAAAAAAAAAAACATACCAAAGACCCAATTTTTTAAGGAAAGGAAAAAAAAACCCTAACCGCTGAATCCAACAGCAAAGAAATACAACAAATCACCTAGACAAATACAACAAAATATTGATTAAGTACGTTAGTGTTGAAATTTACTTCCACATATTATGTTTGATCTTTGAAAAAGATACAATTCTTGTAAATACGATTGCATACATTTTAGATAATCATGAATTCACTTAAGATCTTAGTAAATTCATTTGATAATCTATATCCCAATAGTCAAAAATATGAAATACCTCTGGTTGAATTGAATTCAACTCATGAATATAATGAGGAAGATCATTCAATTGATTTAACTATAAATAATGAACAAACTAATGACGATAACGAAACTAATGAAAGAGAAGATATAAAAGAAGAAACACCAATAGCTGAAGAAATTCCAAGTAAATTACCAAATAAAAGTACCTGGTTTAATATTTTATCAAGTATAATATTATTCATACCCAATTATTTCATTGTTAAGCCCTTGTTATTTTTCTGGCTCTTGGTAACTTTCCCATTTACATATTTTTTCAATGATACTTCATCTTCTGATTTACTTAGTGAAACACCTCAACAACACGATGAAATTATCAATGAAAAAACTGAGTTATTGAAACATGAAAATATAATCTCCAATACTATCAAATCACCTACTGCATCTTCAAAATATATCATCCCTCCCCCTCAAAGATTATTCCCCCTTTCAAGAAATCCGGGTAAAAAAAGAAAAAGAAAAACTTTGATTTTGGATTTGGATGAAACCTTGATTCATTCTCTATCAAGAGGTTCTCCTCGTTCCTTTAATAACGGTTCTTCTCATATGATTGAAGTCAAATTAAATAATATTTCAACATTATATTATGTTCATAAAAGACCTTACTGTGATTTTTTCTTAAAAGAAATTGCTAAATGGTTTGAATTACAAATCTTCACCGCAAGTGTTCAAGAATACGCTGATCCAATTATTGATTGGCTAGAAAGTGAAATTATTAATTATGTGCATCCTCTCGAAGGTAGTCGAAATGATCGTAAAAATAAAAAAATTGACAAATATAATCAATTGGATCAAAGATATCTTAATCCTTATGATTCTAAAAAAGATGCTAATCAAAAAGTTTTCACAAAAAGATATTATAGAAATGATTGTACTTATAGAAAAGGTGTTGGTTATATAAAAGATCTTTCCCGTTTTTTCACTCGTGATGATGACTTGAAAAATGTCGTTATTCTTGATAACTCCCCTATCAGTTATGCTCTACATGAAGATAATGCAGTGATGATTGAAGGTTGGATCAACGATCAAAGTGATCGTGATTTACTCAATTTATTACCAATGCTTCACAGTTTGAGTCTATGTATCGATGTGAGATTTATCTTGGGTTTAAGAAGTGGCGAAAAGGCTTTTGAAAACTAATGTCTACAAGAAATTTCAAAATTTCATAATAAAAAAATAGTCAATGGACAATTCTGTAATCTTATTACTATTAGATAGATATTAATGTTAATGCTTTATTTATTTCTTTGGAAAAAAAAACGTAATTTGGTGTGCGCTTCAATTTATAAATTTTCACCAATCTTAGGAAGCCCTCTAGCTAATCTACTCGGTACGAACGATGTCTGATCCTATATCTTCTCTTGGGAACTTCCAATCGCTATCAAAGGGCTCACTTATCAGTAACTTGAATGAACTAGGCACCCAATTAAGAGATGCAAATGTGCGTTCGTCAGCTTATCAATTCATTCCAACTTTGATCCAAATCACTAATGAATCTTATAAAAATTTCAAAGAAACTAATGATCCAGCTATTTTGTTAGAAGCATTCAGGGTATTCGTGAACTTAACTGCTGATAACGACTCGAATCGTGATTTTCTAGCCACTCTTCAGACCGATGACTTGTCTAAGTTTTGGCAAAATATAGTTGGATCGTTCGATCTGGTGGTTGATGATCTGTTGTGTCAACGTATAATGCTTTTCTTACCTCAATTTATCCACTCTACTGAAAAGCTGGATGAATTTTTGAAATTCTTCGGTCATATTGGATTAACCAATGGTCTAATCAATTACCTCAACTACTCAAACGATCAACAGTTTGAAGATATAGAAGATATGTATGATCATTTTATTAGCATTTTGGAAGTCTTATCAAATGCTTCCTCGGTTATAAAACCTAATGAATTTTATGGGAAAGATCAAGAGTTGGCTCAACTACTTATAATTTTACAGACTTGCTCCAAACTACTTCAACCGTTCAACCATCCAGAACAGGAGGCTCCGGAGGCGTTTGGAGAGGTGTTAGATTATCTTTCAAAACTCTGTTATAACATCACTTTACTCGATGACTCTCAAGCCTTCAGAGATTCTAATGTTCACGAAATATTACTCAATTTATTGCAGTTATTACCTAAAGATGGTGCTGAAAATATCACTACAATTAAAAGAAGATTTTTTTCAACCAGTGGTAATATAACTTCTATGCCCAGTTATAATAACGAAAAAGATATTCGCTTAAACTTATCAATAATATTATCAACTTATGATAAATTTGAATCTTCTAAATCGGATTCATATACTGCATCAGCTGCGGCCATAGGATTGGGTAACTTCATTATAAGTAAAGAAAATCAAACAGTGGTTCTAAACTCTATCACTGACTTAACTGAGTTTTTAATCCTGTTCTTCAATATCGGATTCATCGATTTAATTCAGTATCAGGCATTACACTTATTATCGAACTTAACTAACGATAGAGTCTCGTATATTATCTTGACAAATCTGACAATTCATGAGAGGTTATTACAATTTACTAAAGTCATCATAGATAATTCAAAATATTATAAAGAGGTGAGCCAAATATATTTCAAGTTTCTCAAGAAACTAATCAGGTGGGGGTTCATTGAATCTTCTACACAAGGACAGCTTAACATATATGACTTTGTTGCAATTTGGCAATACCTCAACAACAACGAAACTAAATCTGAGGTTTCAGAGATTTATTTCCTTTTGTTGCAAGGGCTTTTGAAAGACATCTCTCTTTTCAAAGATTCAAATTTGACAAGAGACAACTACAGTTTCTTTGGCGAACTCTTAAGAAATGCAATCACCGATACAAATGCTAATTCAAATGTCTCGATAACTTTTATTCTAGAAAAATTGAAAACTATTGGAATCGCTCTACAAAATTTCATCAAAAATAACGTGACTCCAGATGTCTTGATCGCACTCATCTTTAACCAAGATTCAGAACTTTTCCAAACTAACTTCTTGCAACCTTTAACTAGATTTTTCACCAATCTAAGTGACTTCTTGAAATCACAAAACTTCGATGATTTCCAATCAAAAGCATTACTAAACAATTCAAAATTCGTGGCTGCCACGTCGATCACCTTCCTTGAACCATTCTCAAACTCCTCAGACTCTTTAGAAGTGTGCAAAACCATTGTAAGTATAGACTAAGCAGTATATAGATTCAATATAAAAACTTGCAAAACCTATTCAACAGTAATTCCGCACTGAAAAATGCCCAACCGTTCCGCATCAGGAACTTGATTCCTCGCGGCAGTGGACGGTCCCAAAAACGGCAAAAAATGGATTGAGCCTCACAAGTCGAATTTTGGAGCCATTTTTCACTGGTATATAAGGTGTTATTGAATTCCACCATTCGGTCTTTACTTTTAGGTGGTATACCAGTGAAATGACGCTTACTTCTGCATTCACAGAGGTACCTTACTCGGCCCCCGAACCGCTTGTCAAGGTTTTAAATAAATGTGCCAAAGACCAGAACCCAAACAAGATTGATGTAACCATTGGGGTATACATGACAGAAGACGGAGATTCGTCCTATGTTTTCCCAAGTGTGAAGCAAGCCAAACAAGAGCTATTGGTAAAGGATCCAGGTCACTGCTATACTAAGATGTCGGGTGTTCCTGAGTTTATCAGAGGAAGCCAAAATTTGATTTTTGGCGAGTATGCCAAAGATGGCAGGGTTGCATCTATTCAGACTATATCAGGAACTGGATCATTGCATATTGCTTTCCAGTTTTTGAGGAGCATTGGCTACAATAGATATTATTTAGGTAATCCGAGCTGGGTAAATTATTACCCAATGATTGAATCTATTGGAGGAGAAATCAAGGAGTATCAATATTACGATAATCTGACTCATGAAGTTGATTTCGAGTCTTTGGAAAAAGCTATTCGTGAAGCCGAGCCCCAGTCTGCATTTTTAATCCAATTATGTGGACATAATCCAACTGGAGTTGATTATTCAAAAGATCAATGGAGGCAAATTAGCAAATTGGTTAAAAACAGAGAAATCTTACTAGTTATTGACTCTGCCTATCTTGGTTTTGCCAGTGGCTCAATATATGAAGATTCTTGGGCTATTAGGTATTTGTATGAACAGAACCATGAATTTTTGGTGTGTCAATCATATTCTAAAAATATGGGGTTATACTCAGAAAGAAGTGGAGTTATACATGTTGTACTGCAAGATACCAGATTAAGAGATAATGTAGAAAGCAGACTAGTTGCAATTTTTAGAAATGAATGCTCTTTTGCCCCGGCATATGGGGCAAGAATTGGAGCCAAGTTATTGAACGATGATTATTTGAATAAAATATGGGGGAAAGATGTTTATAGTGTTTATGAAAGAGTGACCAATATCAAAAGACAAATATTTAACAAGCTAACTGACTTGGAAACTCCTGGAAATTGGGAATTTGTTACCAAGGCCAAAGGATTATTTTGGTTTTCAGGTTTGGATAAAAATCAAGTTAATAGGATGATGAATGAATATAGTATTTATATGAGTGAAAATGGGAGGGTCAATATTGCCGGTATAAATTCATCGAATATTGATTATTTCTGTTATGCAATTAATAAAGTTGTATCACAATCATAAATAATAAATCGTATATAAGAATGAAGAAAAGTAACTAAAATAGAAAAAATGTAGTAAACTAAAAAGGAAGAACTAAAGAATTGAATGACAAATATATAATAGAATATACTTAAATTATTAAACATAGCAATTAATAATGATGATGAATTTTTTTCAAATGAGCTTTTAAATTATCTTTTCTATTGAATCTTTTACCACAGTTAGGTTCATCACATTGATAAGGTTTTTCAGAAGAATGAGATTTCAAGTGTCTTTTAACATGTTCAGGTCTTTGAAATCTTGCTTGACATAAAGGACATTGATGTCTTTTCTTTGGATCAACTTTATCAGTTTTTTCCAGTTTTTTAATTGGTAATTTCAAATCAGAAGATAAAATACTATCAGCCACTTCTTGAATAGATTGATTTGAAGTATTTGTCAGAGAAAAGGAAGATGAATTTGAAGATTTGTGTTGATTTAATGACATTTGAGGTTGTTGAAGTTGATGCTGTTGAGGATTTTGATTATTAAAATAATGATTATTTTGAAATCCTTGGCTTTGTTGATAATGTAAATTTGATAATTGTTGTTGATATTGTAAATGTTGAAATTGTTGAGATACTGAAAATGTAGCCATAGGTGGTAATAAGCCTTCTTCACTAGAATTTGGATTGTTATGATTAGATAAAGAAGAAGCACCAGGCGTATTACCACTAGTCAAGCTTGCCAAATCAATAGAAGCAGGATAAGATTTTGTGAAAGTAGTATGAGATCTTTTCAAATCAGGAATTGATCTATTAACAATTTGAGGAGATGCTAAATCAATTGAAGAATTACTTTTAAAGCTTGATAGATTAGGTTGAGAGCTAGTATCAAAATTAAAAGAATCGAAATTTGAATTTTGTAATGTTTGATTTGAAGATAAAGTACTAAAGGACTTATTGGCAAACTCTTGAGAATAATAGATTCCCGGGGTTGAATTTGAAGAGTTATCATCAAAATGAGTGAAAGATTGATGATGAGGTGGAGGAGGTGGAGGAGGTTGTTGATATTGTTGTTGTTGCTGTTGCTGTTGTTGTTGTTGTTGATTAGTTAAGTCATCAAAATCTTTTAATTGGTCGAATTGATCATCATCGGCTAAGTGTTCAGATAAATTTTTCAATTTTTTACCGCCAGTAGTATTTTGAGTGAAGTTAGAATAAGATTTAGCTTTACGTAATTGTTTAAAAGCATCATCATCTTGATCTTCAATTTTAATATTTTCTAGAGTATCATTTCTTAAACCAAAATTATTCTGTTTTGAGCTACCGGGTAAACTTTTATTAATGGGACTGAAAAAAGTATGATTTAAATTACGAGCATTTGACAAATTAGCCATTGAAAGATTTGAAGTAGCACCCGGAGTTTGTAGAGGAGTATCGATATCATCAAGATCTTCATTAACTTGATCAACCTTAGGACTAATGAAGGAAGAAGGAGTATAGAAGGGGTTTAAAGGAAGTTGAGGAATTGAAGGAGGGGCCAGCTGAGGAGCATTCAGCTGAGGAGCCAGTTGAGCCAGTTGAGGAGCCAGTTGAGGTTGAGCCGGAGGCGCCAACTGGGTAGTATAGTTAAGCGATAAATTTTGTAGAGAAGAAGATCTAGTTGCTTGAGATAACATGATTGGATTATTTGAATGATCGATTGATATTCTTGATCTTGATCTAGAATGCTTCATTTTTGAGTTTTTATTGATTTTTGATTGAGAATTAAGATAATTTACCGGAGATAATGCTTGAGGTTGTTGGGGTTGTTGATTTCTTAAAGGGGTATTGAATAGATTATTATTTGACGAAGAAGAAAAGGATGCCAGTTTATTTCTACCTTGTTTTCTGGGGGTTTGAATTGAGATTTTTTGATTAGGGAAAGATTGGGGCAGATCACTTAAAGATTGAGTTGAAATCGACAGGGTTAAAGGAGGGACCGACCCATCATTTGAAACCAACGATTTAGAAGAATGGGAGTTATGGAAATTATGACTTGGAGGATCTTGATTTATTGAAAATGATGATGAAGTACTCAAATTTTTTTGATGATTTGAAATAAACCCACCGTTATTAAAATTTGAGTTCAGATCATCTAATGAGATATTCTTCAGATGTTGGAAATTATTAAATGATGAACTATTCAGGATTGAATTCATAAAATTATTATTCTCAATAGAGAAATTTCTCAGATGTTGAGGTAAATTAATTTTATTCATTGGCATATTTGAACTCACTGGAACCAATTCATTCAACGAGTCATTACTTTGATTGACCTGGCCTTCTTCGGGTCCACCCGTAGGTACCAAGGTAGTATCTTCATCATTATTACCAGTTGACCCAGTAGTAGTATCCTCAAATTGAGAATCAAGATTATATAAATCAATATTATTTAGATGCAATAACGAATCACTATTCAAATCAAATGGTTGTGATAGTTGAGTAGGCGAACTAACAAGAAACTTATCCATCTTGTTTAGTTACTATAATATACACACATATATCAAAAAAATGCTATCTGATAAACCTGATAAAAGGATTAACTAGAGAGGAAGTAGAGGGACGAAAGAGAAAAAAAAAAAAAAATTGAAAAAGAAAAAATTCCAGAGAATGCACGAAGTGAGGTGATATTTCAGTGTTTGCCCTATAGAGTATATTCTCACCAGTTGAAGTCTTGAACGGAAGCGATAAGAGAAGTAATAGCGAAAGAAAAGTGTAAGCGTGGTGGTGGTGGTGGTGTTGTTGTTAAACCAAATAACTTGATTTAAAGATAGTAACTCTGTAAGAAAAGATTGAAAATTGACAAAAATAGTTAAATTGGTGAAATAGAAAAAAAAAATTGAGAACTGCATTTTACAGGACCTCTACGGAATTCACCATTCTCTTTACAACCCGGTGTTCTCGCATATAAGGTGCACTACCTGCCGCTACTCGGTTGATGGGTTTGTCTACTGAGTCGCTGAGCGCTGGAGTTACTGGGTTAATGCCCGTACCAGTGGTGGAATCCAAGTACTGAAAGGACACTGCCCCGGAATTCGAAATTCGATTCAACTTTTTTTTTTTTTTGCTTTTTAGTGTATTGTGGGCGTGCGCCCGCGAAAAAAACCGTTGCGTGCGTGCGGCGCACGACCCGAGTCCCGCAGTACAAAAGAACGAACAAAAAGGTCGTGCCGGCAACGCCAGTAGTGTACGCGTCCTCCGGCGTCCTTAGACGCGACAGCCAGCCATTTGCTGGTTGATTGTTGTTTCATATTTGTTTGGCGGTTTGCTGTTTGGAGTTTCACTGTTCGGCTAGTGGAAGGTTGGGGGTTCGGTTTTATGCTGCTGGGGTTGTTTTTGGTTGCTTGGAGAAGTGTGTTAAGAAACACCCGTACACACCAGAACTTTCCTCCACCAGAACTTTCGTTCACCGAGGAAAGCGTGGGGCAAAACACCCATGCACCGACATGCACGTGACAAACGAATAATTTATATTGAAGTATATACTATATAAGTGATTATGGGTTTTGTTTAACAAAGTCAACACCTTTTTGGATGTTTTTAATCAAGGTTTCTTTGGCAGTCTTGATTAATTCTTCTTCGTGGTCACTTAATTCACCTAATGGGTGGACGATGGAAGCACCATCTGGACCTAAAGTGACTTTAGAACTGAAGAAATCAACCCCTTCATCTTTGAATAAGGGACTGTCAACAAAACTTGGTTCAATAACGTCTTTTTCACCAGCTAAACCGTCCAAGACGGCACCGGCAAATCTAGCACCAGCTTGAGCCATAGATAAAGTGGCAGAACCAGCACCATCTTTAGCTTTAACAACTTCATCACCACCAAATTGAATTCTGTTGATTAAACCGTCTCTGGTTTCGGTGTCTAAACTCTTATGGTTGGTTTGAGATAATAATGGAACAATGGTAACCCCAGAGTGACCACCAACAACGGTAACTTTTTCATTGACTGGGTTGGTACCAGCAATTTCACTAACAAATCTAGAGGCTCTTAAAACATCTAAAGTAGTAACACCAAATAATTTCTTTGGATTATAAGTACCCTTGGATTTGAAAACTTCAGCAACAATTGGAACAGTAGAGTTAACTGGGTTAGAAATAATTAAAACATTGGCATTTGGTGCGTAATCAGCAGAGGCCTTAGCTAAGTCACGAACAATAGAAGCATTGGTGTTGAATAAATCATCTCTAGTCATACCTGGTTTTCTTGGAACACCAGCTGGAATAACAATAACATCGGAGCCACTTAAAGCTTCTTTAATATTATCTGGATTGTAACCTTTGACAACAGAGTTGGTTGGAACATGACTGACATCAGCTGCAACACCTGGAGCTCCTTTTAAATCATATAATGATAAATCAGTAACTTTATGATTTAATTTTAATAATAAGGAAAGTGGTTGTCCAATACCACCATTAGCACCTAAAACGGCAACTTTATAAGCTGAAGCAGCAGATGAAGAAAAGGATCTAGTAGCAATCTTACTCAACATTTTGTTTATTTTAATTGTATGTTAATCTATCTAAAAGAAAAGAAAAAAGTCTCTCAATTGACTCCCTCGTCGAAAAGGATTCCTCCATATATATATAATTTTTGGAAATTTTTCTTTTTTTTTTTTCACCGATCCTCACAACCAACCATTTTTTATGCGATTCTCCTTCAATCCTTAATTCCCATTCACTACTCAATTGGCCGGTGGCTTCTTCTTTCGCTGCTGGTCCCAGGCTCTGTTCTGGCTGCCACGTCCTTCAATTGACCCTTGGTCCTGTCTTCTCGGAGTTGGTCTGGTAGTTGGGCCTTCGGAACAAGTATCCGATTTGGCCAATCATAGTGCGTGTTTCTATGACCGGCTACTCCGAAAAAAAGTCAATGATTTCCCCGGTTTTCAGTTTCCGCTCAATTTTCTGTCACTGTCAAACTGCAATTGATACCTTGATGAGATTGATGCACTGATTGGTGTACCTGGATGAACCAGATGATACTTGGATGCACCAATTGGTACTGTTGATGCTGTTGATGTTCTCAATAATCTGCCTGGTCAATGGTGTGGCTCGGACTTTGATCCCCTACTTGTTCCGCACAATTGCCAATGGCTAGTGCCAAATTTTGCAGTCTCGACTCATCTTTACTCGTGCTATTATATCGACCGACCTTCTAAAGTATCCTGATCCCACCTAAACCATTGTTATTCATGTTTGTTTATTCGCATACGCTGTTAAACGGTATGCATCTTGTTTATTTGTTGTTGTCTTTCAACCTGAATGTTTCACTGACATTATTCCAACTGCTTGATCCATCACACCTACGTAACCTCCTGTAACGCATAACCTACGTAACCTCCTATCACACATAACCTACGTAACCTCCTATCACACATAACCTAAGTAACCTGTCGGACATAACCTTTTTCCACGTATACTTAATTATGTGATATACAGTCTAGTAATTGTCTTTATTCTGGGAGTATATAATTGCTGCAAAAAACTCCCAGTTTCTTGCTTGGAACTACAGCCTGGCCACAGTAGCCTCATTGGCCAAGAACTCCTCTAGGAGTGATTTTGGCTTGTAGATATTCGTTGCTTAAGTTTCCATAGCTAACGAAGAAATTTTCTCCATAAGAGTTTACGTAGTATTACTGCACCGTCCGGTAACCAGTTCAAGAAAGTTTCAAAGTCACATCTCCGCAATATCTCTCTTGTAAGTAAAAGTCACATCTCCGCAATATCTCTCTTGTAAGGATTATCAACTCTAAAGGTGATAGAGTACCTACATTTATTGTTGTAGAAAAAATTGATTTTTTATCTTTACTTTTTCTCTACACAAACCCTTTTTCTCCGACTGAGCACTGAATATATGAAAAAGTAAAACCCCTTGACAAACATTATGTGTCAATTGCCTTTATTTTGCACTTTTAAAATTCTCCATTAGTTCTCGGTACTCGTGACACTTTGGTCGGTGCAACTTGTAAGAAGCGGAAAAGTGGTTGTTAATTTGCGTATGGTGCAGTCGTTGCGCTATATCAAATTTATTTTACTCGAGAAAAGGTGGTCGATTCGACTCCCGTTTGCGCTGCTTCTATGGCCAAGTTGGTAAGGCACCTCACTCGTAATGAGGCGATCGCCGGTTCGACTCCGGCTGGAAGCATTTGTTTTTTGATATTCACTACATTCTCTTTTTCGGCTGTTCTGTTTAACCTTCTTAATCCATGGAGTGTTCCACTAATGGCTTAAACTGGTTGTTTGGTGAGTTCATTTTTTTGCGATGGCCGATTTTTTAGGTGCAAAAAGCTGCACACTGCGAAACACTAATCAAGTAATTTTCAACTGTCAGATACTCAGCTATGAAATATCTATGGCTCCCTCCTGCCAACTTCAAGTATATAAAAACAAGACTAAATCAAATAAGAAACAGATAGTTTCATGTGGTGATATATACTTGTGTTTTCCGTTTAAGTGATTCTAAAAATGGATGCTAAAGACTTTACGACTCAAAATACAACTGAAGTTTCAACTCCATCCACCTTACTCCTGGATCCTTTTGCAGTTCCTGTTGAAACTCAAACAGATAAAGAAAAGATTGGCTCTTCGGCTTCGATCTTCTTGTTTTTCTCAAAACAAGACATTCCTTATGTTATCGTTGGCTTTATATGTATGATGGTTTCTTCTCTCGGATCCCCAGTACAAACGGTGGTCTATGGGCTTGTATTTAAAGATTTGAGTAAATTGCTTGGGAGAACTTATGATTTTGGGCAATTTGTAAGCAAGGTCAGATTCAACTGTGGATTGATTATGATAGTCGGTGGAGTGAGATCTATATTCACTTGGTTGGGCTTCGTTGTTTGGATGCAATTTGGTGAGCGACAACAAATAAGAGCAAGAAAACAATTATTCGATCTGTTTTTCAAAAGAAAGATTGAATGGTATGATACCAAGATTAGTCTCATGGGGGAAATTGCTCAAGTCAATAGATGTATTGAAGAATTAAGATCTGGAAATGCTGAAGTTCTTGGGATTTTGGCTCAAACTTGTTGCTCAATAATTTTTTTACTTATAACTTCTATGTATCATTCTTGGTCCTTGACTTTTGTTTTCATTGCTTCGTCTCCTTTAATGGCTTTGAGTACCTGGTATTTTGGGCGGTTAACTTATCGCTATGCTGATTTAGAAAATAACATCACTTCAAAAGGTTCGAAACTTTTGGACTGGAATTTCATGAGCGGTGATATAGTAAGGTTATTCAATGGTAAAATCTCCGAAATTTTCAAATTTAATGAAATTGTCGACGACTCAGCTACTGCTTTCTACAAAATGACAAATGCTCTATCGGTTAATGTGGGTATTCTAAGAGCATTGTCGTTTATTGCTGTTGTTCAGGGTTTTTGGTTTGGTAATTATATGATCAGAATCGGGAAATTAGAAATTAGTCAAGTATTCACTTCTTTTGCAACTTGTGTTTTACTAGGCTCAAATATCGGTTCTTTAGCTGACTTAGTGGCAACTTTGAATAAAGCAAAAGCTGCCGCCGTCACAATAGCAAATTTTTCGCTAGAGTCTGAAAATTCAAATGAATACGGTGAATCTCCTAATGCTACTCATGGACATATTGAATTTAGAGATATTGGTTTCAAATATCCAAATAGAAATGAAAGGGCACTTGGAAACTTCAACTTGAATATTGAGGCTGGCACTTTAAACTTTATCATTGGGAAATCAGGTTCTGGTAAATCAACTCTATCCCAATTATTCTTGAAATTTTACCACCCAGATAATGGGAAAATACTACTTGATGGTAAAAATATTGAAGAAATCAGCTCAGATTGGCTTTTTGAAAATACAACGCTAATCCAACTGGACTCGATAATCTTCGATACCACTTTAAAAGAAAATGTATCTTTGGCAGTTGTCCAAAGGTTTCTTTCAATTGATGATACTCCAGAATTAATGATCGAAGATGCTTGTGAGTTTGCTTTGTTATCTCATCTTATCTCTGAACTTCCAAAAGGTTACAATAATAAAGTATCATCATCAAGCTTATCTGGTGGGCAAAAGCAAAAGATTGCATTGGCTAGAGCGAAAATTCGTGATACCCCGATTTTAATTTTAGATGAAGCAGTTTCAGCAGTTGATATTAAAGACAAAGAGCTTTTGTTAAAATCAATAAAACAATGGAGACGTGGTAGAACTACCATCATTATCACTCATGAAACAAATTATATTGGTGATGGTGATAATGTCATTTTGATGGAAAATGGTCAAGTTAAGGCTGAAGGAACTTACAATGACTTGAAAAAAGAAAATATAATCGCTAAAGCTAATTTTGACCTTGAAAGAAAAACTTTTGATGCTATGGAGGAAGATAAAGAGAATAACAAAGGCGGTCCAAGTCGGTTCTCCTTGTATGAACAATTGAGAAATCCCGTTATATTGCAAGATCTTGAAAAACAAGTTTCAGGTGTTGAATTGGATGAGAGACCTGAAGATTTAATGACAGTACTTTCCATCTTGAATTATTGTCGTAAAACAATTGATGCAAAAATTTGGATAACCGTTGGTATTTTCAGTTCAATCATAAGTGCTGTGGTAACTCCAGTATTCTCCTATTGTTTGTCTAAACTTTTACTGAATATGGTTAATTCATCTATAGATTCGAATAAAAAGTATGTTAGCGCTGATTTAATACTTTGGTCTTCTATAATCATTGGTCTTTCTTTGTTTGATGGCTTTGTCAGTTATATTTCTCTGTTTCTTTTAAATTACTCTGGGGAAAGATGGATTGTCAATTTAAGGAAGTTGGTCTTCAATAAAATAAGTGATCAAAGTATGGCATTCTTCGATACTGAAACAACTAAGCCTGCTGAATTAACTGCTTTATTGATGAACGATACAAGGGATTTACGTAATTTGGTTTCGGAATTTTTGAAGGTGAGTATTGTTTTGATAATCATGTTATTAACAGGTATCATATGGTCGATTCTTTCTGGTTGGAAGCTCTCTTTGGTGGGAATTTCTTTTGTTCCTTTAATTTTATTAGTTACCGGTGTTTATAATAGGCTTTTGGAAGTTTTTGAAAACAAGTATAAAAATAGTATTGCAGAATTAGAAAATTCTTGCCATGAGACCGCTAGTGGTTTGAAAACAATTTTCTCTTTAAATTTGAAAGATCATTTCTCTTCTGTATTCGAACTGAAGTTATTTAACATCGAAAGAGTCGCTTTTCGAAGATCATTGAGTACTAGCTCTGGACTTGCTTTGCAAGAATTATGTACTTCCGTTGCAACTGCAACAATTCTTTATTATGGTATGTTTTTGGTTGCAAATTCCGATTATTCCCAAACCCAATTGCTCGAAGTCACTACTATTTTAAGTATGACTTTAACTCATGCTGGCTCTTTATTAAAACAAATCCCTGAAATAGCTAGAGGCCAAAGAGTTGGGACCTACCTCATCAAAATATTAGGACTACCCTCATCACCTTGCGAGGTAGAGGGAAATTTAAAATTGCACAAGTTGTATAACTCAAAAGATTTAATACGATTTAATGATCTTTCATTTCATCATCCAAACCGAATAAGCTCTACTTTGCTGAACGTATGCTTTAAAGTTGCTAAGGGGGAAACAATTTCGATTGTTGGACAATCTGGCCTGGGAAAATCAACAATTGTTTCTTTACTTACAAGGCTTTTTGACATTGACAGTAACCAGATTTACCTCTCCAATTATGATATTAAAAACATAGAAGTGGAAAGGTTAAGAGAGTTGATAGCTATCGTTCCACAGACTCCAAAATTTTTCGAAGGTACCATCTATGAAAATTTGACTTATGGTTTAGGTAGAGGAGTTAACCAAGAGAAAGTTCTTGATGCTTTAATCAGGTCAAATAGTTACGAGTTTATCAGTAGCTTACCCTTAGGTTTAGACACAATAATAGGCGGTGGGTTGAATTCTCTTCTTTCTACAGGCCAATTACAGCGCCTATCGATTACCAGAGCTTTATTAAGAAGTCCACAAATCTTGATTCTAGATGAGTGTACTGCTAACCTTGATCTTGAAAATACTGCTGTAATTTTCAAATTAGTACATGAATTGGCACAAACAAATTTAACTATAATTATAATAACTCATGAAGTGGAAATGATGCAATTGGCTGATAAATTGGTAGTTTTAAAAAATGGTAGAGTATCGGAAATTGGTTCTTTTGATACATTGTATGGCAAGCGAGGAGAATTGTTCTCAATTGTTACCGATGTTGCTTGATATATTTCTGCTCTTTTACATTAAATATTTGTAACCTTTTATATATATATTTAAAAAATACAATAATCGACTCTAAATAAAAAACAAATTAAATTTTAACATTAATATAAGGAACCTCGACATCTTCACCTTCTTTGTCATCACAGCAGATTTCAAAGATTAAATTCTTTACATGTGGAGGAATATCTTTTTTACTAACTTCTTTAATTAAGTCGGTCAATTTTAAGCTTAATCTATCTTTGACCTTCTTTGGTGGGAAAAATGAAGCATATAATAAAGAAACCCCGTAAGATAACATTGAGATTTCCAAGCCTTCTTTTTCTTGGAAATGATCAATCAACTCTTTTAATGTTATATCACCGTGTAATTCAAATCTATCCCAAATTTGATCAAATTCTTTATCGTTGTATTTACCTTTAGCAGATTTAATTGGTTCTGAGAATCCAATAAAAGGTAAAGCCAAATTGATAAACCCATTCTTGTAAGCTTCAATATCATCATTTTTAGCAACCACTTTGTATAATTCAAGACAGACCAAACCAGTGACCAAAGCAGTAGTAGTGGCAATAGCTGGGATAATCTTACCAGCAATGAATTTAGTTTTTGAAGCATCTGCAGTTTCTATAGCATAATTTAAAGCTCTGCAATTGGATGCAGCAGTAATAAATTCAATGTGGTGATTGGTATCATCATCTTTTTCGAATTCAATTGGAGTCAAACGATAGCCGGCTAAAGTTGAAGGTTCAGGTAAAGTAGCAGCGATCTTTTTAAGTTCATCTTCATCTAAGCTACCCGATAAGTTTTTAGCCTCTTCCTCAGCTTCGTTGTCGTTAGCGGCAATAGAAACGCCAGATTTAGGAACAAATGGCTCAATTTTAATTTCATCTAACACCTTTTTGTAATCTTCAAAAGTGGCTTGAGGGCCTTTTAAGCCGTAAATAAACGCTAATAAATTTGCACCACCAACGATGAAATTGAAGTGATCACTATTGTTAATATCGAATTTAAGAGGGGTTGGAGCTCTTTTTGGACCTGACCAGAAAGGAGCACCAGCTGAAGTTTTAGCATCTGGGGGGAAGTTATATAATAATTGCTGGATGTCGTGATTGTATTTAGATTCAAATTCTATTCTAGCCCATTTTATACAGTCTTCAAAGCTATAAGGACGGTTATTTAAATAATTGGCAATATTACCCAAGGTACCTTTAATATCTGGGTTTTGTTTCAAAGTTTGTTCAACGTAGTTTGGTTGACTCAAATATAAATTTACACTTTCTGGAGAGTCTGCAAAATAACCTTGGAATAAAGATTTTGCCCAAGCAATAGTATGATCAATTTTATTAGGGAATGATCTTAAAGTACATAATGGGATTGATTTTTCTGGAGGATCTTGAGAACTAGAATAGGATTCAGTTAAATTAGGAATAACAACTTGAGTATTACCTTTAGTACCCAAAGTACCTGATTCCAATAAAGGTTTTCTATAAAAGATACAACGACGGTCGACATAAGTTCTAGCATCGACGTTATCCAAAGCGTTGGTAACAAAATCCAAATTATTCCAGAAATTGTCATCGAAAATATGTTCAGTATCACTACCAACTTTTTCTAATTTAGATTCGATTTTACCTTCTAAGTCAGGATTCATAACTTGGACTGCTTGAGCAGCAACATCTGATTTATTTTTACCGACATCTTTTGGTCTGAATAAGAATTGACGATTCAAATTAGATTTTTCAATGGAATCCATATCAGTAATGATGATTTGACCATTAGGACCAGCACCTAAACCCATCATAGCCCAATTTTTCAACATTTCACAACCAATGGCACCAGAACCAACCAAGAAGACTTTCAAGTTTGAAATAGTTTCTTGGTATTTTTTACCAAAGACTGCAATTTGAGAGTCATATCTTGAATTAATTGGTTTAGTAGTTTCAGCATTTCTTGGGAATTCATCATTTGAAGGTAATGATTCCAAAGAATCAAAGTATAACCATTGTTTAACTGGGCCGAATTTAGAAGAACAACATTTAAGAACTTCTTGAGCAATTAAACCACCATAAAAGGCAACGAGACCAGGGATATCACCGGTAGCTTGATAGGATAATTCGCGGAGGACTTTTTCATCAAGATCACCTTCAAAGTTGGAGCTAGTAGCAATTTCTTTAACCAATTGAATGAATTCATTGGCATCTTGTTCATTATAAGGACCAGGTAATCTATCGTGTTTAGTTTTAAAGGCGTGTAAACCTTGGAAACCCAAATGGTATTGAGGAGGTTTATCGAATTTAGCGAAATCTGAAATTACATATTCTGGATTAGCCAATTGTTTAACAAGAGGTTCAAACTTAAGAATTGCAGGCATTTTAACTTGTTGATATAACCCACCTTTAATATATTCTCCATAAGATTCATCGATTTGAATTTTAAAAGCATAAGGACCCAAGACTTCAATTTTATGAGGAGAACCATCATTTAATTTAGGCATACCTTGAACTTCTGAGAATTTAACATAGTCACCATCTTGTAAACCGTGTCTATTATCATCCAACATGGTAACACTACCATCTTTTTCAATATCGGAAACGATACCGGTTAAAGGTTCTTCACCGGTTTGATCTATAACAGTGAAATTTTCACCAAAATCCACAAACAATTGACCGAATAAACCTCTAATATCAGCGTTGATAAAACCAATATCATTTTTATGAGTGAAAGTATTAATTTTAACTTGTTCTTCCAAAGAAACATTGGTAGTAACTATACATTTGAATTTAGCTAAAGTTGATTCATTTAAGTCACCAATAACAGATATTGGAACATATTGATTTAATTCCTTTAATTTTTCAGCACTAACATCGGCAGTTGACTTACCAATATCAGATTTGGATAAGAAAAATTGAGTAGATAAGTCTTTTAATTCAATTGGTGAAGGATCATATAAACTCAAAGATTTTACCCCGGCAAGAGCAACATTTTTAGCAATTTCAATACCTAAACCTTTCAATCCAATAATAAGAACATTTGCATTTTGCATTTTAATCATGGCTTCTTTACCCAAGACATACAATTGTCTTGAGTACAAACTCTCATCAATTGTTTGAGGAGGAGAGTCAATTTGCATAGCAGACATGTTTAATCAATATTTTAATGTTAAGGAAGATTGATTAGTTATTGCCACTTTATGGGGAGTTCAATTTTTGACTTTCTAAGCAAGGTAGTGTAATAATTAAGTAGTGTTGAGATGTAAGAAAATGAAGAAACTCCGTACATCTGGTCTTGTGAAGTATGTTGCAAAATTATCAATAGAAAGACAGTACTATTGAATAAGTCTGTAATGACATACATATTGTAATTGATGACAGAACAGTGAGGGATGGGGCAGCGATAATTGTATAAGATAATTAAGTAGACATTCGTCGATGAAGGTTATTTTATTTTATTTCTTCAAGCCACTTAGATACTTTATCATACCTAAAAGTAACTCTTCTTATATATATATTATATCGCTTGGTAATCTACACTAGTTTATTCTTGTTATAAAACCAGTATAACGAATCTTCAGGCTACACAAACCTCAACAGATTAGAAGTCAAAAGTTGTATAGTCTTTTTAAAAAGTGCTTCGATAATCAAGATGGCTATTCATGAGAACTCAAACAATAATGATGGTAAATCAATTTCAAGTGAAACAACTTTTACAAATAGAATCATTGATCCAGAAAAAACTAGAATTACTAGACTGATGCCAAAAGCTATTCAAGAGAAGATCAATGATAATAGAAGTGAATTAAAAAGAAAAGCGGAAGACGATCCGGAGAAAATTGATTAGAAAACACGAAAGACAACTTTATGCTATCATTCAGGGATTTACCAAGCTGTTTAGCGATGGTTATAGCCAAGATAATGAAAAAAGAACATAACGTTTTCAGAAAAGTAGATTTTTCAGATAAAAACTGGAAAGAAAGTGGTAAAGAAATTGATACATTCATAAAAAAGAATGTATATAAAACAGTTAAAATTCCAAAGGGAATATAACCGATTCTATGTACATACTAGAAACGATAATGATTTTAAAGGTGTTGAGTATAAATCAAGATGTGGGGTTCAAGGTTTTAACAACTTGCTGGTAAACATTATGATGGAACTGCTCCGGTAACACACTATAAGATTATTAACTATATTGGCTACGATTTTCAAATGGAAGATACATAATTTAGATATTAAAGCAGCATGCTTAAATGCTGGTTACGGAATAAAGCTGTATATGTATGAAATAATCAGGGTATGATTGGTATAAATGTATCAAGAGTGTTATTGGATTTAGGTTTTGGTGAAGATAGGGAAATTGCAACATTACTCTATTACTCTACTCTTGTCTTACTCTTATTTTAATTCTATTACTCTATTACTCTACCCTTGTCTTACTCTTATTTTAATTCTATTACTCTATTACTCTATATATGTGTATAGCCTTAGTACGAGTATCTGAACATGATGTTTTCGATATCGGTCAAGTCTTTGAATTCATAATTATCACCCATTTCAGTTAACCAAGCATCAACTTCCTCCTTTGATAAAGAATCTCTCTTTCTATTTTCATAAATGCTGATATATCTCACTAAAAGCACCAAAGGAATGCAAACAATGCTAAGAATCATTAGTACCAAATAAGCCGTTTGATAATCAACCACGATTTGGGGCCCGATTAGGCATCCAACAGCAAAAGCAATCATGGTAATGCAATTACGATAAACTCTTTTAGTTGAATTAGCAGTGTTAGCGGTATTCCACGAATAAATCATGGTGATTACACAAGTTCCAACATTGATTAGATAAACTGACATTAGTAAACCAATTTTATTCGAACAAGATAACAAAACAATATAACCAATTATTGCTGGAACCAACATTGATATGAAAATAAAAGAACGATGATTACCATTGAAATAAGCACAGATATTTGTACCTAGAACAATTGCTAAAATAGTAGAAACCCCCAAGGGAATCTGCATTAATGCAGAATGCTGATTATTAAATCCAATATTTTTAATCATCGAAACACTGAAAGTTAAAACTGCCCCAGTTGGAATCATTGAAATTAGCGTTAATAAGACCATTGGCCAAGTATGTTTGTCTTTGAATAAAAGTTCTTTCAATTTATCTGGTTTAAAACTTGATTCAGTACCCGTTTGGTTTAATCTAATATTTTCAAGTACTATTCTTTTCTCCAACCTAGTTAAAAATTTACAATTAGTTGGATTATCAGGTAAGCTGAAAAAAGTATAAGTACCAAAAAGCAAAGTTATGACTCCAATCACGAAATAGAACAATTGCCAGTTAGCCACTGATATCTTACTTGAATCGATTTTTTGGAAAAGAAAACTTAATAGTCCTCCAAACATCGTAGAAGTACCTGCTTGGATGGTCCACCAGCTTGTTCTATGAAGTTGTTGCGTCTTGGAGTACCACATACTGGTAATCAAACAACAACCTGACGCAAATGAATTCTCAAATAATCCAAGTAATGCTCTCAAGACCATCAAACTAGCATACCCGTTTGAGTTGGAATTAACTGCTCCAGTGCAAATCGTTACTATCCCAGTACAAATAATACAAATACCGAAAAATTTACCAACGGGGAATTTTTGAAAGCAATAAGCACTTATTGGCTCACCAAAGATATAGGCACAATATAAAATAGTCCCCAAGTCGTTAAACTGTGAAGGCTTGGTCAAAGCTGTTTTGATTCCCATTACTGCAGCATAGTTAAGTAATGACTTATCAAGAAATTGTAAAAAGTAAGCTCCACATAATATAAAACAAACTCGAAAGTCGATTTTTCTATAAGCTACTTTCGAATCAACCGAATCAGTAGAAGAAATCGTTTGTTCCTCGTTAACAAATTCAAAAGCCTGATCGTATTTCTGCATCTTGTGGTAATTAAAAGATTAATAATTATCCGTTACAGGATTTGCTTTATATATAAAGCTTTGTTGCAAAATCACTCAGTAGCGTGAGATCTAAGTGCATGTTCTATGCACTTACAATCCGCACGGCTGAATAACCAGTCTACTAGATAATTAATGATTATATAATTAATGGTGATCAAATTATGGCAGAACTCCCTTAGGATTCAAGTAACCTTCTCGGGCAGTCCCCAGACTTTCACTTTGCAAATAGTGTTTAGTAATATTTATTCTTGTTATTAGTGTTTTCTGTATTTTATTTCACAACGAGTTCATGTTCAACTACAATAATTCCTCTGTGCAGAGAAGACTTACTCTATGGGGATTTATTGTATTGAATAGATGTTGGAGTCAAGGTTCTTTGTAATGGTGTATTGTCAACTTATGAAAACTCAACTTCTTTTGCTATTTGGTCCTGGACGAAAGAGTGTTTATGGAATTCATAGATCTCTTACTAGTCTTCAGCAAACTACGTCTGTTGTTAAGTACGCCAGAAAGTTCCTTGATATTTGTTCACACTTTGAAGATTCTAATTATATGACTGATCCTTATATTATAAATCGTTTTATTATGGGTTTAAAACCTAGCATTGAACCTCTTGTTGTTAACAGCGTAAGATATGATTGGAGATCTTCTGTCGACAATTTTTTTAGCTAAAGACGTGGAGGCTTTAGTTAATGCAAGAAGAAAATAGCCTAATGACTCATGACCATTCGTATATGAACTCCCTCTTTACATATTCTATAGTGTCAAGTATCTGTAAATATGTGACACTATGTATCTGTAAATGTTTAAATTAGCTCATGTTTCCATCCCGTTGTAGATACCAATCAACGAATTTTAATCAAACTATTCAAGTCACCTTCGACCATTAAGTCTTAAATTTACAATGATTTCTTTTACGCTAAATCAACGAGGTCTTCAGAAACCTTGCTCATTCATTATAGTAAACTGGTGAAAGCGATTTTTTATACCGACTTATTGAGATAGAATAACACTCAAATTGGAAACTATAAAAACCCGAGCTTTATACGGCTTCGACAAATACCCTGAGGCCCTCTCCAAAGGCCACTTCAGCTATTTGAAGAATTTTTCAAAGAAACAGAGGTTTTTTTCCACTTCGGCCCAACGTTGTTATGTTAAAACAAAACTTTTACCCAAACGTCTACGGCCATATCCAGCATAAAGCATGATTACCCGTCCGATCAATAATTATTAAGCTGCTGAGAGCGATGCTGAGTACGTTAGTGGGAGACCATAATGGAAACCATCGTGCTGTAGACTCTTCTTTTTTTGATGATTGATGAAGAAGTAATTTTTGGCTGCGGGAAAAGGTTGCAAAAACGATGAACCATCCAAAGTATAGACAGCAAAGTATAAGCAGCGTTGATCAAGAGCCCGTTACCATCAACCAACATCACCGCTCTCACAGTGTAAGACGCTAGATTAGAGAGGTCCCATGCTTACAATGGAGAAATGACTTCGATTAAGATTACATTACACGCACAAAGTTGCAAAAGCAAGGATGAACAGCCATGGCCCGATGGCACTAAGTCTTTCTTCCTCTTGGAAAACTCGTATTTTTCTTCTACGGAATCGTTGAATGGCTCGTAATCCCGGCACTTTCGAAGCTCTTTGGTTCATCGGCACAGGCTAGGCCCTATATTTCACCAGGTGTAAGACTTGCGGGAGCAAATTGCCAGTTCTCCAGTGTCTGCTGGCACAGCTTGGTATAGTATAGTAGAGTAGAAGTAGAAGTGAAGTAGAAGTGAAGTAGAAGTGAAGTAGAAGTGAAGTAGAAGTGAAGTAGAAGTAGAAGGATGAAATGTACGGAGGTGTTGTGGGTCACGTGCCAGGACAACCACCCGTGCACCAGGGACAATACCTGCCCTAAACCGAGCAGTTTCATCAGCTACCCAACCGCTACATACAATACATACAAGCTTCAATATACAATAGCCAACGTATCATACAAGATATAAGAGAATCATCTCTTGTATATACATGTTTCATGTGCATCGTAACATTCTGGACCCAGACACCAGGCAGGAAACGGTCACAAATCTAGACCCGCACGCGAATACACGACTCAAATCAAATAAAAATAGACAGTGCGAGTAGTGAGAACAATCAAAATAAACAACTCAATAAAAAATTAACAAAGAAGAGCTACTAGTTTTTTTATATTAAAAGGATATAACCAAAGTTAACAGAGCTGGTTTTCAACTGCAGTCACTCTTTCAAGATGTCATTTAGTATAAGTAATTTTCTGAGTGATCCATTTGCTATAACCACCGTATCATTTGGATTAATTTCCGCCATTATTGCCATAGCAGGAGCAGGAGCAGCTAATCAATCGGATTTCCCACATTTTTCATGGTGGGGGATAGTATATCAAATTGTTGTTATAATCATAATATTATTACTTTATTTATGTAATACTATTGAATTATATAAGTTCACTTTGGTTGGATTAATCAGTATTGCCTTTATTTATAATACCAACTCGATTAATTGGTTAATTTATACAACCAATGATAGTGGGTTTTTATGTTGTGCAGCAGGATGTATTTTATTAAGCATCGTTAACTTAATCTGGATATTATATTTTGGAGGACACCCAGAATCACCAACAAATCAATTTATTGATAGTTTCAGTTTGAAATCTCACAATCACGGACATTTGAATTCAAATCATAATTTAGATGATGATAACTATGTCAACGTAAACCCAGTTACTTTACCTCATCATTCTTCCTCTTCAAACTTACAAGTTGGGTCTCCACAATTTCAAGATAATAACTTAAGACAATCCCAATTAACCACCAATAATAGATCAACAAATACTCCTTATATGTCCAGTTCCCAATTGAACGGTTTAGAAAACTTTTCTTCCTCAGACGTTAGAGATTTGAATAACTCAAATCCTCCAAACTCTTTTAGATATAAAGCAAAAGCTTTATACAGTTACGACGCTAACCCAGAAGATATTAATGAAATTTCCTTCTTTAAAGATGAAATCTTAGAAGTCGAAGATATCGAAGGTAAATGGTGGCAAGCAAGACGCTCAAATGGTCAAGTTGGAATCTGTCCTTCTAATTATGTTAAACTTTTAGATTAGCCTATGTATTTTTATTGATTTGTTTAATGTATGTGTAGTAATCAAAAACTCTCACTCTTGACGTATTAACTTGCCCATACTTCTTACCATCCAGTACATCTATCCCCCTCCAGTATATCATATAAGTTATGTACCGCTTGGTTCAGCTGACTTTTGTCAAACATTTGCATCAAACTGCTGTTGCTACTCAAATAAACCCTTGGAACTTGGGTTGGGTCGCAGCTAATGCAAGATCTTCTTCAACTTACCTCGGAGATTCGTTATCCACCAATATCGAAACAGTTAAACTTTCTTATGATAGACATCAGCCTGCTACTCCTTCTAACAAAAGCCCGCTTATCTTCTTGCATGGGTTATTTGGTTCAAAATTAAATAATAGAACCGTGGCTAAACAGTTGGTTGAAATCTTGAATAGAGATGTTTACTGTTTGGATTTAAGAAATTTCGGTCAATCCCCCCATATAAATCGTCTTGATTATCCTTCTTTGGCAGCAGACGTTGAAAAATTCATCGATGATGCTGAATTTGTTGAAAAACCAATATTAATTGGACATTCTATGGGAGCCAAAACTGCAATGGCTCTAGCATTAAGAAGACCGGAATTACCTAGATTCATAGTATCGGTTGATAATGCTCCAGTTGATTTATCAAATAATAATATTGGAGTTTATTCCAAATACGTTAGACAATTAATTAAAGCTTTGGATAATCAACAATTCACCAGTATTAAAGATGTCGATCTTGAATTACTGAAAGTTGAACCAACCAAAGAAATTAGACAATTCTTATTAACTAATATCAATAGAGGCCGTAAAGATGAAAAATGCACCCTGAAGATCCCGCTCAAGCTCATCGGTGATTCAATCACCGCCGGTAATATCGCTGCTTGGCCCTACGATCATAATATCTCAAGATGGTCAAAAGGACCGGCTTTATTCATTAGAGGTACCGAGTCAAATTACGTCCCCGATGAAGTGATCCCAGATATCGGTAATTACTTCCCTTCTTTTGAATTAAGAGATGTTAAAGCAGGTCATTGGCTTATAAGTGAAAACCCAAAGGATTTCATCGAGACTTTGGTGGATTTTATTGAAAAACATGAAGATATTTAATTACTTACTCTAACGTCACTCTTACTGATATCGGGATAGATATCAAATCTTCTTTGATAATGCACTGGTATCCCACTTCTAACTTTAGGAAGTAAATCTCCTTCTAACTCAGCATATAATATCTCTTCTTCTTCTCCTGCTTCAGCAATTATCTTCCCGGTGGGATCAACAACTAATGAATGTCCGTATGCTTGATATCCTCCTCCTTCAACATCCCGGGCAGGACTACATAAAACACTATACATTTGATTATCAACTGCTCTTGATCTGGCCAATAAATGCCAATGTAATGGCCCTGTAGTCGTATTGAATGCCCCCGGGTAAAACATCCCAAATGAATTGTATGGATTACGCGATGCAATTTGAGCCAATTCGGGGAATCTAATATCATAACAAATCCCTAATCCAATATTTCCAAATGATCCTAATTTGAAGACCGTGGCTTGATCTCCGGCATCTAATGTGATTGACTCTTTGAAAGTAATTCCATTGGGGATGTCGATATCAAATAAGTGGGCCTTGCGATGCTTAGCCAAAATATCACCATCTGGTCCAAATGTCAACGATGTATTATATATTTTATCCAGTGAAATCTCCGGAAATGATCCTCCAATGATGAAAATTTCATGCTTTTTAGCTAAATTCGACAAAAAATTGGTCGTCTCTCCATTAGGTATATTCTCTGCATACTTACGGAATTGGTCAACAGCGTATGGTGAATTAAAACACTCTGGTAACATTATCAAATCAATCTTACCAATCTTGGAATTTTTAATGGCATTTTCAACAAACTTATCTACTTTTAGTAAATTGGCAGCTTTATCTGAGCCTGCCTTGATTTGAATAAGTGCAATCTTAAGATTGCCCGTCAATGGTGCTTTTAAAGTCGACATTTCTTAAAGAATGAGTAGATTAATTTCATCAATTACTAATTTTTTTTTTGCTTCTTTATATCCACAGTGCGGAAAATCTGATTCCGCATTTTGCAATTACTACAATCTTAGATTTGATATTAAACATAACATTCTATAAAGATAAATATGTGATTAAATGCAATAAATAAGAGTGATTAAGCTTCATTTTCGAGTTTGTCATCAGTGTTTTGACTTTCTTTTTCAGCTTTTCTATTTTTACGAGGTTCAAGAACAATTTGTTTATACAAGAATAAAAGTGATAAAACAACTCCAAGACCTGCGAGTCCCATACCCATGTAAAAGGCTCTTCTCATCCCGTAGATTCTTGTTTCTTCATTGACTGGTTTATTTTTTGTTTCATAGTATTCAACGGTACCGGCAAAACCTAAACCAATTGAAATGGAATAATTAACGAAAGTTGAGACTAAGGAACCAGCAATCCCTTGTTGGTGACGAGGTAAACTATTTGAAAGAATGATACAAGCAGCAGGGAAACTCATATCCATCCCCCAACATTGAACTAATAAAGAGACGAATTTTTGACCCCAATAAATTTGACCAACATGTCTTGTACCCATAATGACAATACCACCGAGGAAAGAAACCATAGCCATGAGCATGACCACGGAAGATGGAACTCTCGTTAATAAGAATGCAGTTAAAGCAGCTGCCAGAAACCCGACAAATGCCGTAGGGATAAATTCAACTGCTCTCATGATTGGTTTACGACCATCAACATATTTTGACCATTCAAAACTGTATTGTAACCAAATACCAAAAGAAGACCAACCAGCAGCAATAGTACCCAATATAGCACCAGTTTCACCTCTGAAAGCATCTGCTGATACAATTGGAGTACTAACTTTTTTAATTGAGAGATAAAATAAAACAATTAATAAAAATCCAACAATTAATAAAACGTAGACATAAACTTTATCCCAACCAACGTTTGGACCTTGATTGAATGCAAAATTGATTAAAATTAAAGCAGAAACCCCGGTTACTGAACCAATCCAATCAAACAGTTTAACCGAACGACTACCAATTCGTTTAGGAATAATGAAAAAAGCCATAAAGGCAACGATGAAATTAACAATACCATGAACCCAAAAAAACCAAGGCCACCAAACTAATTGAGTGAAAATACCTGAGAATATAGCACCAAAACAAAAACCTGAAGGAGCAACTGCACCGAAACAGCACATTGCCCAATTCTTCTTACGGCCTGGGGGATAATAATGACCAATCAAAGCAGTGGCATTTGGCATCACTAATGCTGGACCTACCCCTTGTAGTGATCTCATTATATCGAAAAAAACTGCCGAACTGGTGAATCCAGAAAATCCACATAATAATGAAAATACCCCATACCATATAAATCCAATTATATAAATGAGTTTATAACCATACATGTCACCCAAACGACCTGAAACTAAAATGAAAGTACCTGCGGTCAACGAGTAACTAGCAGAAAACCAAGAGATTTCTCCTGGCTTATCTTGAACATTAAAAGTTTCTGCAATTTCTGATCCTGGATTAATGGTTTGACTAACCCCAGCTTGAGTGAATAATTGAGCCAAAGCCATGAAAAATATGAAAAGAAGCTCTCTCACCAATGAAATCTCATCGGGTGAAGGAATAGGTATTGGTGTATTAGAATGAACACTAAGATTATCGGCTTTTTCTTGAACACTAGAAGACATCTCATCCCCGGGTCTATATTCCATATCCTCATCGGGTCTATATTCCACCCCATCATCAGGCAGGGTCAATGTCTGTTCGTACTCATCTCTGGTACCTGAATTCTCAATGCCGGACATTCTACTCTCTGTTATCAAGATTCCAAACCTCCATTATTCAACATTCCAGTGCCGATGACCTCTCTTATATATATTTGCGGCTTTTGGTGTACATTCTCCGAATGTCTAAGAGAAATTTTATTAGTAAAGCTTACAAATTTTTTTCTTTTTTTGCACTCACGGCTATTGCTACATCAATTTTTTGACAGTTTTGACAGTTACCAGCAGCGCAGTTTAGGGTTAACGGATTAATACATATTACTAAACTTATAAATATATCTATATTAAAAGTACGTGTGATTAAGTAAAGCTTAAGGTATCGGGATGTTTTGTAGTCTCTTTTAACCATTTCAAATGAGGAATAAAGACATTTTTACATCTTTCAATTTCGGTTCCTTCATCGTTAGCCACGTATTTAAGGTATTTACCCATATACTCGATACTTTTAGATAATCCAGGTTCACCATCAATTGGTAAACCACTTGTTTCATAATAGTAATTTGGACAAAGACCTTGAACGAACAATTGTAAAGTTCTTAAATCAAAATCATAACCAACATTACCGTAAATACCTTCATACATTCTAATATGATTACCACTTTCTTCATAAACTAAATCATGATTATCAACCAACCAATTAGGGTAGAATTTTGGATAAGAGAGATGCATAAAGATGATATCGGTGTTATCACCTAATTTTTCGTCTTGAGATTGGATTGGATCATAATGACCTAAAGCTTTTGAAGAGAAATCTCTTGTTTTTTCATGGAAGTAACCCGTCCATTTAAATTGTTTTAAAGTTTGAAACCAAGTTTGTTTCATTACTGTGGCAGCAGCAATGAAGGTTTCTTTATCCCCTTCACCAGCAGAACCTTGAGTTAATAAGGGATAGTAATGATTTGGACCAAAAACGTTATAATATAAAGCAAGCAATAAAGTTTTCAAATGAGAAGTTTTATTGATCATTAACATACCAGTTTCAGAGGTTGGATTTGGAATAGTTCCTTCAAAATCATGATAATTTGAATCAGAAAATTTATATTCTCCCAAAGGTTTCACTTTACCGTCTTCTGCTAATTTATAATCAATTGGAGAATAACGCACTTTATTTTCCTTAACTTTAACCAGAGCAATATCGAAAAATTTCGGATTAGTTGTTCTTGCCCAAGCATCTGGCCATATTATTAATCCATTGTCTTGATATAATTTAGAATTGAATAAATAATCGACATTTTTAGTTGGGAAATTATCGGAATCAACATACAAAACACTTTCGAATTTTGAACTTAATATTGCCAACATTTTATATTGATAACCACCCAAATTAAATCTTGCTTTTAAATCTTTTGCTAAATTAGTATCGAAAACATTACAACGGGCATTGTATAATGGTAATAATTCTTCACAGAATTTCTTTTCATAATCGTCTTGAGTGGCAATAAATAATTCAATTGGTAATAATGAACCAGTGGCTCGGATTTGTCTAATAACCAAATACGATAACCAACTATATTGACCTCCCCCTACTAAGACGTATCCTTTTGATCCTTGATAGGCTGACCATTCGGGGTCCGATTGTAAAACGTTACCAAAAGTTTGCACTCCGACATTTTCAATCAATTTATTGATATGATTATCGACATATCTAGTATGGCTATTTTGCAAATCATCAAACGTCTCTTGGGAAATATCAAGAACATTCTCAAGATACTCTTTAGTGAAAAGGAAATCCTTTGTTGTTGAAAACATCTCTTTGGCCTTTTCTCCTTTATATTTCCCCTTTATAGATTCCGACTTTGGTGTATAATCTTCTAAGCCATTGAAAAATGCAGTATAGTCCCGAATCGACTTGATCCGTTCTTCTTCTTCCTTATCGACGTGTGCTCCGTCGTTATTTGGTTTCTGTGGTGGAATGACTTCTGCTCCTGGTGGATCCTGTAATGGAGCCTTACCATTAACAACTTGTTCTTCACCAACTAAAACCGGTCCATTGTCTGCATATCTTGGGGTACTTGAGCTGCGTGAAAATATATGATAGATCACAATAAGTATAAAAACTGACCCTATCACCTTAGCCTTCTGCCGAGTTATCTGTCTTATAGGATTCATCTTTTCAGCAATCTAAAGAAATGAAAAAATTAACCAATTCTCAAGTATTGGTATATGTATATATATATATATATATATAGATGTATGTGTCTTGTACCTCTTCGAGTTACAATCAGGAAAACTGACTAAATCTGAAATTTATTATCCGTTCTTCAACTTATGCCGTTGGTATTAAACCTCGTCCATCAGTCTAATTTCGTTTTGTCCCGTTAGCCTGCTCTTCGCGTGCACTTGTTCTTTTTGTATCTCTTTTCGTTTACTGCTGAGGCCTTTGCAAAATCACTTGTTTCTTGTCCCGAAAAGTCTCTGCTTCGAAAAAGGGTTCTTGTAATTGGGAAACTACAGCCGTTATTATGGTATGATCAACTCCGGCATTTCGTTGCTTGACACCTCAAGAACAGATATCCGAGGGCGGGTGCGTGCTGCACGTGAGCGCAGCGCCCTCGTATCTCGATGAGCCGTTCGGGTTCCGTTAATGGAATGTTTTTTCCATTTCTTTTTATGGCAGAATTTTTCAAAATTTGCATTACGGTCTTTTCAGCTGAACTTCTAGACATTCCAGGATGACGGTGACCTATGAAGAACAGGCTGGCGGAGGTGCCAGGTTCAGACTATTTGGACTCCATATCCAGCACTCCAAAGCACCGCTTCTCCATAATTTTTTATTTAAAAGGCTAGGTTTGGAAAATTGGAAATACGAATTATTCGAAAGTAATAATGTAGACGAGTTTAAAAAATATTTGCAGGAGCCAGGCACCATAGGGTCTGCCGTTACCATGCCTAACAAAGTGACTATGATTGACCATGTTGACGTTGTGGATGATGGAGCTAAAGCCGTGGGGGCAATTAATACCATCTATACTAAAAGGGAGGCTGATGATAAGATCATTGTTGGAACCAATACAGACACTATCGGGATCCATAGTTCGTTTGTTTATAATACACCGGACCAAGTGAAACAATCACAAGAGTCAAGCTTGCCGGGATTGGTTTACGGTGGAGGTGGTGCTTGTAGATCTGCCGTTTATGCATTACATGATTTATTGCATTGCTCTAAAGTGTATATCATCAATAGGTATGAAAGTGAGGTAGTCCAAGTGATGAAAGCAATGAAGCAAGGGGGTTTCAAAGGTGAAATCGTCCATATCAAAAACCCCGATGAAGCAGAACAAATTGCTAATAGACCAAAGTTGATCGTGTTGACAGTGCCGGATTTTGAACCGGTTTCCCCAGAAGAAACATTGGCTAAACAAACTTTGGATGTCTTTATCCAAGATGGAAAGGGGGCTGTTTTGGAAATGTGCTATCACCCTAATCCAACCACTCGTTTATACAAAGAATTCGAATCTCACAATTGGAAAGTCATTTCGGGTATAGAGGCCATGATCTACCAAGGCATAGCCCAACAAGTCTTCTGGACCGGAGTGCCCATTGATAAAATGCCCGTCAAGGAGGTGATAGACTATATTTATCTGCATTTAGACCATTAATACATATATTTAGACCATTAATACATATATTTAGACCATTAATACATATATTTAGACCATTAATACATATATTTAGACCATTAATACATATTTTAATAGATTGGCAAAATGATTGCAAAATATTCTGATTATGTAATGCTTATGTAACCGGCACTCCAAACCCCATTCACCATCTTTCGAAAGCAAACAACCTTTAACTCCAATACGGTGGAGAGAAAGCAATTGCATAGTTGGTCCAGCTTTCGGCATTCAAATATAAGTCGTGTAATCTTTCTTTGGAAGAAAAAAAAAAATCTCTTCCTTTTAAGATCAGATTTGCTACTGAATAGCCTGATAAAAAAAAAATTTTCATGATCAAGCATGTATAAGGTCAATTTACACCAATTGAAACATTCTTCAACTCGTTCAATCATAAGAAGATCAATGACGACTCACACGCTAGCAGGATTGCCCAAGACTTCGACTTTTACCAAATACATCACTCCAGATTTCAGAATTCCGGATGTTAAGACGGCAAAAGATAACCATGATAACATCATCAGAAAACCAAGAATCTTAAAAGACGGGGGGTTTTCATGGACCTTACCTGAGGAAAGAAAGAGTTATCAGTATCTTACATCAAGTGATACGGGTTTGAAAGATTTGGGTTTGGATCCTGAACAAGTTCATGACCCGGAGTATCAAAAGATTGTCAGTGGTGAAATTTATAAGGAGAACCCAGAATTCTTGAAGCAAAATCCTTTCCCATACTCTCAAGCATATGCTGGTTGGCAATTCGGTCAATTTGCAGGTCAATTGGGTGATGGTAGAGTTCATAATTTGTTTGAAATTCCTAAAAATTTCAATGATCGAACTAACCGAAATAAGTTTGAATTCCAATTAAAAGGTTCTGGAATGACTCCTTATTCCAGATTCGCCGATGGTAAAGCAGTATTGAGATCCTCAATTCGTGAATATATCATATCTGAGCATTTAAATGCTGTTGGGATTCCTTCCACAAGAGCACTTTCTTTAACTTATTTACCCCAAACTTTTGCTCAACGTCATGCCGCTGAAAAATGTGCTATTGTTTCTAGGTTTGCTGAGTCTTGGATCAGATTAGGAAGCTTTGATTTATATAGATGGAGAGGTGACCGTAAAGGTGTTAGACAATTGTCAGATTATGTTATTAATGAATTGTTTACAATTAATAGAGAACAATTCCATCATTTATCAAAAATTTTAGATTCTAAAAATGATTTTTTTGAAAATTCAAAAACAACAATTGGTGAATTAACTAATTATGATAAAATGTATTTGGAAATAATTATTAGAAATGCTATCACCACTGCTAAATGGCAATGTTATGGATTCTTAAATGGGGTTTTAAATACTGATAATACCTCAGTATTGGGTTTATCAATTGATTTTGGTCCCTTTTCAATAATGGATAAATATGATCCAAATTATACTCCAAATTCTGAAGATCATGAACATAGATATGGTTATGCAAATACACCAACCGCCATATGGTGGAATTTAACAAGATTAGGTGAAGATTTAGCTGAATTGATTGGAGGTGGTTCAAAGTTGGTTAATGATGATTATTTTGTAAACACCGGTATTAAACCTGAATGGGAAGATCGTATTATTACAAGAGCTACAAAAATAATTGAAGCTGGTGGTGAAATATATAAATATGCTTTTACTAAAACATATGTGGAAACTCTTTTTAGCAGATTAGGGTTATCCTCAAAATTGATCAATATTGAAAATCCAGATGAACAAAATGCTGATTTAATAGATCCAATGTTAGACATGTTATACAAAGTTCAATGTGATTATAATAAGTTTTTTTTAATTTTACATTCAATAGACTTAGATGGTGGATCATTTGACTCGTCTAGAGTGGCAGAATCTATTTTATTACCAACATTTAACAAGCAAACATCAAAATATGATCAAAAAGAATTAACCGAAGAAATTTCAAAATGGTTGGATACTTATAAAAAATATTTAACAAAATCAGAAAGAAGTGAACCCGGTTTAAGAAAATCATTGGCTGCAAAATCAAATCCATTATTCTTACCAAGAAATTGGATTTTAGACCAAGTTATTCAATATACTCAAGATTCAAATGCCGAAGATTTGAGTTATTTGAAAAAATTAGAAAAAATGAGTTTCCATCCATACGATAAATCAAAATGGGGTAATGAATTGAAAGAAGTTGAATCAACTTGGTTATTACAAAGTGACATGGGTGATGATTATTCAATGCTTCAATGTAGTTGTTCCAGTTAGGGATATATAGTTTACGATAATAAATGTTTGATGATTTCTACAACTGATGTAAGAAGAATTCATAAATTGATTTAAGAACTAAACAATAAAATTCAAAAATAAAACACTAGCAAATGAAAAGTAAAAATAGAGAAAATTTAATCATAATACATCACCACATTAAGTCAATCTATGTTCTGAAAGCAGATTGAGCATCTTTGTAACCTTTATGGAAAGCTTCTTTGGCTTGTTCTTGAACGTCAGGTTCTAAGCTTGAAATCTTAGAATCTAACTTATCATTACCAGTGGAGAAACCACCAAGGCCAGCAGCACCGCTTCTAGTGTCGTGAGAACCAGAACCAGCACCAGCACCAGAACCATAAGCACCACTAGATGAACCATAGGCACCACCAGAAGTACCTTTAGATTCTTGACCTGAACCGTAACCGTAAGAAGAGTCTCCACCGGTGGTAGAGTCTTTACCGTAAGAATCGGTATTAGATTTTCCACCGTGTTTATGAGCACCATAAGCAGCAGCACCGGCACCAGCAGCACCAATACCTGCACCGGCAGCTTCTTTAGAGTGGCCAGATTGACCTTGGCTGTATGCATCTTTACCTTGAGAGAAGGCATCTTTACCGTGGGAGGAGGTAGTACCTTGGGAGTCTTTACCTGAGGAGCCATAGGCATCTTTACCTGAGGAGCCATAGGCATCTTTACCTGAGGAGCCATAGGCATCTTTACCTGAGGAGCCATAGGCATCTTTACCTGAGGAGCCATAGACATCTTTGCCTGAGGAGCCATAGGCATCTTTGCCTGAGGAGCCATAGGCATCTTTGCCTGAGGATCCATAGGCATCTTTACCTGAGGAGCCATAAGCATCCTTACCTGAGGAGCCATAAGCATCCTTACCTGAGGAGCCATAAGAATCGGTACCAGCACCAGAACCAGAACCAGAGCCAGACTTGGAGGCACCGTAGGCACCGGCACCACCTAAAGCTGCACCACCGGCACCTGCACCGGCAGCAGCACCTGCACCAGAGCCAGAGCCAGAGCCAGAGCCAGTACCAGAAGATGATTTACCTCCAGCACCACTGGACTTTCCACCCCCGGTGATTTTGTCACCAATACCACCTTCGGTTCCAGACAAGTTTTCACGGCCAACGTATTGACCACCTTTCTTGTCAACTTCGTTGGCGTATTTAGCAGCATTTTCCTTGTTCAAGTTACCATCCTTATATTGTTTTTGGACTTCACCAGAAAGATTATCCTTACCAATGGCTTTACCACCTTGTTTATCTAAGTTTTCGACTTCGTTTTTGCCGAATTTGTTTTGAAGTTTATCAGCGAATCCCATGATTGATTATAGTTTTCTAGTCAATTATTATATTAAGTCAATTAGTCAATTGAATTGATTTGTTTCGTTTTGAATTGAGTAATCTATATCGATATTCGAGAAATGAGGAGACTCTTATATATTTTCACCAGTCAAGCAAGTTGCTCGAAGTATGATGAATATATTGTATTGGTTGCTATCCCTGATTTACTAGTGAGGTTTACCGGTTGCCAATTTTTATTTAGCGTTTTTTGCCAGCAAAAACGAAAAAAAAAATTGTGAATTCTGCAGCATGTTTTGGGGTCACGTGCCGGCATCACCAGAATTTCAGTTTCTCAGTTCCACAATTCATAAGAGAAGCATTGCTATTCTTATTATAGGGAAGAAGTATTATTACGTTGTTTGTTTAGGTTGGCTTACTTATTTGAGTTTCATCACTGTAAAATTTGTGGCTGTAGTTTAAGTGTTGCACATTTTCCACTTTCAAGACTTAATTAGCTTTTGGTTCAATTGGCTTCGTTTCATTCAGTTGAAGGTCAATGGCAGCACCAATTGAATACCCAGCACCAATTGAGTACCCAGCACATTTGTATATCCAGCATAATTCAAAACGACAGCACAGTTGAGGATGGCAGCACCGTTAAGGACGGCAGTATCAATTGCATTAGTGTAAATTGCAAAAAATATTGCAAATAGATGATCATCGAGAAGTGAAGGTTCGTGTATGCCTGTGAACTCCCTGATTATTCCTTCACGTTCTATGACAGTTTCAGCCACTTCTTTCTTGCTGTCATTCCCACAGCTTTAGATTGGAATACGTGCTTGACTCTTCGTTGCCATAAAAGGCTGCAGAGAAACCTCCGTACATTTTTTTCAATCATAATACACCTGTACATTTTGAAAAATATACACCCGTACCGCAAAGAGACTAGTACGCGGTTAAACTTCACTTTTTGAATCAGAAGACCTGTAGAAGCCCATTCGAGTAGCGGTAACCTGGTTAGATGTCTAGTATATTCAAGCTTTCGATCCAAGGGATTCGGTCCTTCGATGGGGAAAAAGAGGAAACAATTCAGTTTGGTTTTCCTCTCACGTTGATCTGTGGTCAGAATGGTTGTGGTAAAACAACCATCATTGAATGTTTGAAATATGCAACTACTGGTGATTTACCACCAAATTCTAAAGGTGGGGCCTTTATCAATGATCCAAGTATAGCGAATCGTAATATTGTCCATGGGCAAATCAAATTGGCTTTCAAATCGGTTAATGATAAGTCGATGATTGTCACTCGTTCAATGCAATTGAGTAAAAGAAGAGGAAGAGGAGGTGCATCAACTCTTACTTTCAAAACTTTAGAAGGGCAGCTTAGTGCCATCAACAAAGGAGTTAAAGCTGCTATAAGTTCCAAGAATGCTGAATTGGACACTCAAGTGCCAATATATTTAGGTGCTTCTAAAGCTATTTTGGATTATGTTATATTTTGTCATCAAGATGATTCACTTTGGCCCTTGAGTGAAGCTTCAGTATTGAAAAAAAGATTCGATGACATTTTTGAAGCCCTGAAATATACTAAAGTCTTGGATAATTTGAAAAATGTTCGGAAAGAAATGGCTACTAACATTAAATTGATAGAACAGTCCGTTCAACATTTGAAAATTGATAAAAATAGAGCTTCTAAAATCAAACAAAAATTGAAAGAAAATCAATTGAAAGTTGATCAGTATACTGAGGATATTGCTGAATTGACCATGCAAATCGAACGCTTTGAAAATGAAGCAAATGATTTATTTGAATCAAATCAACAATTCCAAGCTACTTTAAGTGAATACGAACGTCTTAAAATGATACAAGAAAACTTATCAATCAATTTGGAAAAACTTCGGAGCTCCATCAACCTTCTCGATGATACTGATGAAGAATTAAGTCATAGTCTTTCTAATTTTGCTCAAATTAATAAAGATAAAAAATCGTTGGTTACTAATTTAGAAAATCAAATTCGGGAATTAGATACTCAATTAACCAAAACTCAATCAGAATTCCATAAATATACTAGAATTGAAGGGTCTCTTTCCAATAAAAGACAAATTTATGATCAGAATATTTTTAAAATTGATAAATACTTTAAGAAATCAGAAGATTTTGAAATTAATTTCGATACTCAAACAAACGACTCTAGTTCTAGATTAAACTTGAAAAATCAATTGCAAGAAAAATTGAAGACTTCTTCTTTATCCTTTAAGAAAAATCAAGAATCTTACAAAAATCAATTGTCTCAATTACAAAAGGAGCTTCATGAAATCCAATCTTCTATAACAAAGGAAGACCAGCATAATCATTACTGCACCGAGGATATCAATAATGCCAATCTCAAGATTCATGATCTTCGTAAAAAACTCACTTCCTTACATTATGATGAAAGCACTTTGGAATTCGAAAAAACTGAACTTGAAAATTTAATTTCAAAATACAATTCTAAAAAAGATTCAAGTACTCTTGATGATTTAGAGAAAAAAATTCAAGCTAACAACTCAACATTGGTATCATTAGAATACGAAATGGATGAAATTTCAAGAAAAATTACCTCAAGTAATAGACAGTCTGATCTCCATGCTAGATTATCTGTTCAGAAGGATAGTTTATCTTCTAAAAATGACTTTTTGGAAAAAACCATAACTCGAAATAATGAAAAATTCAAGAATTTGATAGGCCAGGACTTAAAGGCTGATACTTGTCAAACTATCCTAAATGAGTCAATCGGGGAAGTATCGAAAACGATACATATGCTTGAGATGACCAATGTTTCTCAATCTAACGAACTTCACGCAAAGAATTCACAGCTTGATGCTCATAAAAATAAACTTGACGAATATAAAACTAGCCTTGCACATCATAAACAAAGAATTCTTCAAGTTATAGAAGAAGACGAAATTGATGAGTATGAAAAAGTGGTCCAGGAATTAGAAGAAGATCATAATACAACTCTTCATAATCTTAACACTTTTGATGTTACTAAAAATTTTAAAATAAAGGCGATTGAATTGGCCAAAATTGAAAAATGTTGCACACTTTGCAAAAGGCCTTTTGAAGGTAACTTTATGGAAACTTTCATTTCTCAATTACAGGATAGTGTTAATGGTATGAGCGTTCAGAAGTTACAAGAGAATGTTGATTCCACCAGAAAAGATGTTGAAAATGTCAAACTGATAAATGTCGACATATTAGAATACAGAAAGCTTATTACACTAATCCCAGAAATGACCTCGAAGATTCAGACTGAAGAAGACCAAGCTTCTAGTTTACTCAAAGAAAATAAAAAGCTTCAGGAAGACCTCTCAAATGCAAAAGCTAACTCGGATAATTTAGAAACTTTGCAAAATCCTATAAGATTAATTCGAAGACTTCTTGATGACGCTGAAGAATTCAAAAAACAAATTGACGTTTTAAAAGATGAATTAAACGACTTCGGTGCATCCTCTTTGTCACTCTCTGAGTTGCAAAAATTACATCAAACGAAAAATCTGGAAGCTAAGACTTTGCGTCAAGTTATAAATGAGGGAGTAGAATCCAAATACGTTCAGCAAAGAGAATTAACAAGATTAGATAGTAACATCAAAGACAAAAGGTTATCCATCAGTAACTTGGAGAATTCTCTTTCTGAAATAACCAATATTAAACGATCAATCGATGATTTTGAAGTCCATGTCACTTCATTGAAAGAGAAAAAAACAAAAATTGAAATAATTCTTGAAGATCTAATGAAAAAGAAGGAAGATAAAAACTCAAAGTATCAAGATTTATCTCAAGACTTGGGCTTTCAAGAAGAACAAGAGAATTCTAAGCTTAAAGAATTGGATAATTTTGTCAGTAATTACAATGTTTTATATGAATCTGTTGAAGAGTTCGAAACTAAAGACTCAATTTTGATTGAACAAAATAGTCAAAGTTTAGAAGAGTCTAGGCATCAAATTGAAAAAATCGGACAAGATAAGGCAGAAAAAATTGAAACCGTTGCAAAAATTTCAAATGAAATTAATGAAGCTTCAAGCGTAGAGAGAAATATAAGAGATAATATTGAATTGAGGTCAACAGAATGTCAAATTAGTGAAGTTGGAGATCAAATGATTGCACTCAATATTGAAAATGCCGAAATTGAAAGAGAAAACTATCATACTAAATCCAGAAAAATTCGTGAAAAGCTCTCCGACCTTAATTCTGAAAATGCAGGTAAGATTGGTGAAATAAAACAAATCAAAGATCAGGTGAAGAATTTGGAAGATGAGCTTCGGTCCGAATTCCAAGACGTTGACAAAAAGTATAAGGAGGAATCGGTTAAGTTACAAGTTAACTTATTGGTTTCCAATGATGTAATGACTTATTCCAAGGCATTGGATAATGCCATCATGAAATATCATAGTGCAAAAATGGAGGATATTAACAGAATTCTCAGAGAATTGTGGAATCAAACATATAAAGGAACTGATATCGATATGATAGAAATAAGAAGTGATGTTAATACCCAAGCCAAAGGTAACAGGTCCTATAATTATAGAGTTGTGATGTTTAAAAATGATATAGAACTAGACATGAGAGGAAGATGTTCCGCTGGTCAAAAAGTTTTGACTAGTATTTTAATTAGATTAGCTTTAGCTGAATGTTTTGGTTCAAGCTGTGGTATGATTGCATTAGATGAACCAACAACTAATTTAGACCTGGAAAATGCAGAATCATTGGCAATTGCATTGAATAACATTATCCAATTTAGGAAAGACCAGAAAAATTTCCAATTGATTGTTATTACTCATGATGAAAAGTTCTTAAGTCATATAAATGGCGATAATTTTACTGATCATTTCTACCGAGTTCAAAGAGATGAGGACCAAAAATCTGCTATCAGAAGCTTGCCCATTCATCTTATTCAAGATGAGTGATTGCATTTATTACGAAGTGATATGTATATATATATATAAACAACATAAATTGCATAAGATATTTTATTTACTTATTTCGTTGGTTGAAGGAGAAGTTAACAATGAGGTAATTGGTTTATCTATTAAGGAAGTAGAAACTATTGGCTCGATTTGGTGGGATAAATACTCGTTAGTGATAAACTTATCTTTCTCGACCCAGCAGTGTTCAAGCCATCTTTCCAATCTTTTACGCTTTGTAGGCACTCTCATAATCAATTTGGATTTTACGTGAATCTTCACCTCGATTTCATCTTCACTTGAGAAGATTTTCAAAAGCGTAGGCGAAGCGAATGAGCTGCCATATTCCTTGGATTCTGTAGCTGATATTCTAGGTTTTTTCAGATAAAAAATTGTCACATCGTAAATTGTTGATATTTTGTTATTCTGTTTATTATTTAACGAAGATATGGCATTGTAAAACCCAGAGAACCTTGGGTAAAGAAGATTTTGCAATACGGGTAAATAGTACTTTTCACACTGTTTTTGATGCAAACGGCAATCCTCTGGGTTCCAAACGTTGGCTTCGGGGAATAAGATTATCCATTCAGGAATTTTACTATTCATAATTTTTTTGAAAAACGTTTGACTCAATGAGCTCTCTAATTCCCAATTTTCATCACTTTTCAATAAGTTGAATAAAATTCTTAAAGTTGGAACTCTCCAAATCAAAAACCAAGAAAAGAAGTTAGTCCTGGGTAAAGTAATTAGACTATTTTCGTTTTGAAAGTTATTGGAGCATCTTGCTAAATATGCCATCATGATATGATCTGCCAATGACTGGTGGTTACAGATTACTAAAGCAGAATCATTAGAAACAAGATCACCAGTCACTTCTATTTTAACATTTTGCAAATTCTGCCTTTTTGTTAGTACTATTACTTTGTCCATGTTTTTTTGATTCATTTTCAACCTAATTTCAACCAAAAACAGACAAAATTGGTCAGTTTATGATTTTTCCAAAAACATACCACCAAGTAAATACATAAGTCCCAAAATATAGCAGCACCAATCCGCTTCACCTCAATAACATCAGGGAATAAGTACTGCAACAAAGAACATCCGACTGATACGATATGATAAATGCCTAAAACATGAATAAGGAAGTAAAAAATACAATAACCACGGAGTTTGAAGTAGATGGACCGGATAGTTGGATTAGGCTCAGGTAGGACCCCCAAATGGTATATTAGATCCATAACACTATACCTCTAATTAAAGATAGTATTCACAATCCACAAATGATTGAAATAGCCGCAAAAAATAGTAGCAGAATCAGGTCTGCAACAAAAAGTGCGGCATATCCATCTCTTCCTTTGCTGGGATTGAAAAAAAAAAAAAAAAAAATCAAAAAAATTTTAGGGTGATGAGATAGCAGATATCCAAAGCTTTTCATTGAATTCGAAGGTAAAATGTCACGTTTGATAGTGAAAGGGTTACCTAAGTACCTTACTGAGGACAAAATAAGAGAACATTTTGGCAAACAAGGGAATGTCACTGATGTTAAGTTAATGAAGAAGAGAAATGGTGAATCAAGAAGGTTTGCATTTATAGGTTATAAATCGTACGAAGATGCTGAAAATGCAGCTAAATTCTTTAATGAGTCGTTTATCGACACTGCCAGGATCAGTGTTGAGTTAGCGAAAACGTTTTCTGACCCAAGTGTTCCTCTTCCTATGAAAGAGAAGAGAAGACTCAATGAACAGAGACTTAGAGAACAAGAAGAAAGATTATTGGAACAAGAAGCCCAAAGACAGAACAAGAAACAAAAGAATAATAAGAAATCGCTAGATGAAGAAATTCAAAGTAATCCAAAGTTGCGTGAGTTTATGGAAGTTATGAAGCCTTCTCATCAAGTCAAATCATGGGCCAATGATGTCGTGGCTGATGGATCGGGTGGACCATCAGCTAAAGACTTGGAGGAAGCCTTAGCCAGAAAAGATCAAATAGAAAAAGGCTCTAGTATAGATGATACAGAATACCAAACTATTCAAGCCAAAGATTCTGTTAGTGACGACGAATACGAAGATTTCCAACCAAATAATAAAAAGACAGAAGATAACGAAGATGAAGATGAACCAATGATGTCGTTAGACTCTTTACCTCATAACGAGGATGGAGATGATAACTTAGCTACGGATGAAAACATCACCGATCTTGATTGGTTTAAACAAAGAAGAAGTCGTATGAAAGAAAACGACACAGAAACCAATAACGAAACTGACCTGCCAAAGATACCGATTAATAGTCCCGAAACCACAGTCGAACCAGGTTTAATCAAGCCAAAAAAGCCCCAAACAGTCATAAACACTCCTCAAGAACCAAAAGAAACCCCTGAAGAACAAACTGCAAGTAAAATCTCGGAAACCGGTCGTTTATTCATTAGAAACATTTTATATTCATCAACTGAAGAGGATTTCAGAGAATTATTTCAAAAATTTGGTCCCCTTGAAGAAGTTCATATTGCCATAGATACTCGTACTGGGAAATCAAAAGGTTTTGTCTATGTCCAATTCATTAAAAGTGAAGATGCTGTTTCTGCTTTTCGTGCTTTAGATAAACAAATTTTCCAAGGTCGTTTATTACATATTCTTCCTGGTGAAAAGAAGAAAAATCATAGATTAGATGAATTTGATTTGAAGAATTTACCATTAAAGAAGCAAAGAGAATTGAAGAAAAAGGCACAAGCATCTAAATCACAATTCAGTTGGAATTCTTTATATATGAATAGTGATGCAGTTTTAGAATCAGTTGCTAATAAAATGGGGATTGCTAAATCTCAATTAATCGATGTTGAGAATTCTAATTCTGCAGTTAAACAAGCATTAGCCGAAGCTCATGTTATTGGTGATGTTAGAAAATATTTCGAAGATAGAGGAGTTGATTTAACGACATTCAATCAAAAAGAACGTGATGACAAGATTATTTTAATTAAGAATTTCCCATTTGGAACATCAGTTGATGAAATTGGAGAATTATTTAATGAATATGGATCATTGAAAAGAATATTGATGCCACCAGCTGGTATTATTGCAATTGTTGAATTTAGAGATTCACCAAGTGCAAGAGCTGCATTTACAAAATTATCATATAGAAGGTTCAAGAAAAGTATATTGTATTTAGAAAAAGGTCCAAAAGACTTATTTCTTCGTGAACCAAAGGCTGATGAAGTTATCAATAAATCCAATGAAGAAATTGAATCTGAAAAAGCAGTTGAAGCCAAGGTCAGTGCATCTGATATTATGGGTACTTCTAAAGATAAAGATGACGAAGAGAATAATGATGGTATTGAAGGACCAACTGTTTCGATATTTGTTAAGAATTTAAATTTCTCAACAACATCGATCAAGCTTACCGAAACGTTCAAATCATTACCAGGTTTTGTTGTTGCAGTTGTTAAGACCAAACCAGATCCTAAAAATCAAGGTGGAGTTTTAAGTATGGGTTTTGGATTTGTTGAATTTAGAACTAAAGAACAAGCAGACGTAGCCATATCAACATTAGATGGGCATGTAATCGATGGACATAAAATACAATTGAAATTATCACATAGACAAGGACAAAGTTCTAATAACTCTAATGTTAAGAAGTCGAATAAAACCAATAAGATTATTATTAAGAATTTACCATTCGAAGCATCAAGAAAAGATGTATTAGAATTATTTGGAGCATTTGGACAATTAAAATCAGTTAGAGTACCAAAGAAATTCGACAAATCGGCCAGAGGTTTTGCATTCGTTGAATTTACATTAATTAAAGAAGCCGAAAGTGCAATGAGTCAATTAGAAGGGGTTCATTTATTAGGTAGAAGATTAGTTATGCAATATGCTGAACAAGATTCTGAAAATGCAGAAGAAGAAATTGAAAAAATGACCAAGAAAGTTAAAAAACAAGTTGCAACCACTCAATTAGCAGCAGCGAGATTAGCAGGCAAAGGTAAATTTGAATTAGAGGGAGAAGAAAATGAAGATGAATTTGCATAAACATAATTTTTATTAATATTTTAATATACTATAAACAAGATTTCTTACAAATGTAACTATTAACAAGGTTTTTTTTTTTTTTTTTCCCAAAAAAACTATACATACAGAAAGCGAATTAATTTAAGTAGCCGGCAACATCAGCTAACCATTTTCTATATTCTTTTTCTTCTTTGAATTCACTGAAAGTTAAGATGAATTCAGCTAATTGAGAATCGATCCCTTGAGAATCCAAGTAATTTTCGAATCCAGTTTGAACTGATTCATCTAAATCAGAAAATCTTGGACCTTGATAATTGAATTTATTAACAAATTGACCATTTGAAACTTCATTTTTGATAAAAGAAGAAACATCTTTTTGGTGATTAACAAAATCAATTAAAAATGAACTATCAGAACCTTGTAAGAATAAGTTTAAGAATAACCCGGTATTATCAGGTTTTTCGAATAAGACTTTAACGGTGCAGAGTAAAGAGTCCAAGGAGTCGATTTCATTTTCCAAGTCTTCGAATTCTTGGCCTTCTTCCACTTCAGGAGTTTCATTAATTGGAATATCGGTAACTTCATCGATATCGAAATAAATTCTAACGGTTTGACCATCAGGTAAAGTTTTTTTCAATTCAACGTTTGATTGGCCATCGACTTGAACAACTTCAAAACCCGAAGTTTTCAAGTAATCAGTATAAGAGGAGTCCAATTCATTTGGAACGGTATTGGAAATTTTCAATTCTGATTTCAAAACTTCCTTCAATTGGTTAGTTTGAGAAGAGTAAGATCTGAACGAGTGGGTTAAGACCGGGGTGACTGCAAGTCTGAAGACTTGAGGTTTGAGAGCTAATCTTCTGGATTGACGTAAGGTAGTGGCTAAAAATCTGGACATGGTTGGTGGAGGAGGTTAAGATGAAGCTAAAGGGATGAAAGTTTTTCAGTTAAACGATGCCCTCGCTACAGACCCGTACATATATACACTACTACTACTACTACTACTACTACAAAAAAAAAAAAACTCCATACACCAATATATATTAAAAGGTTTCATCTAGAGTAATGGTAGGACTTTGGGGAGGAGGATTATCATTTGGATCGAATTTAGTGTTGAGATTGTCTAATTTTGGTTTGAATAACGTTTTAGTTAAGGATTTATTTCTTTTCAAGTTATTTGGAGATTTTAGCTCGTCCAATTGATCCAGATCATTAAAAGTATTTAGGTCAATGCCTAGTTTAGATAAATCATTATAGGCATCGAATTTATTCGGCTCTGGTTCATTATAATTAGTTTTGTTATGGAAGTTTTTAAAGTTGGACAAATCTTTAGTTACCGAAAGCGAATCATTATGATTAATTAAAGAATCAAACGATTTTGAACGAACCAATAAATTTTCCTGTAAACTGATTTTGGTTTCACTATTAAAGGGTAAGTTTGATAATTTACCATTTAAATTATCTAATAAATAGTTATATATATTCAACGCAGCCTCATTTGTTTTGAAAATAATGATTATTCTATTAAGAGAAGATAAATTTGACCAATGTTGAATATTATTCAAGTAATAATCGTCACCGTATTCATTTGCAATTGGAGGTTTTAAATTTAAGATCGATAATTTAATTCTGTCCACAAATGCTAACTCATTTGAAATGAAATCTTCTTTTGATAGATTCGATATTATAACCGTAGTTTTACTTTCATCAAGTGACATTTTGGTATAAGGAAGAAACAAGTAGGCGATTTTGCCATTAGTCTAAAATGGGACTTTATACCGTCATCACCCCCCGAGCAAAGACCGACTGGGCCTCCCGCCAAACACCCATACACCAAAAGCAATTTTAATCAAAGTATAAATCATAGTGGAAAGAACATTTAGGATTGAATTGACTATTGCAAATGGTACAACGGTGACTTTTCGAGTAGTCATCAAAAGTTAATTCAGAGTAACAATTCCCGCAAAGAACCACTTTTCCATAATCCAGCTTACTAAATTTTTCCACCGGATGATTAATCGAGTAATTTCTAAACAAATCATGACATTTAAAACAAGAAAAGTAGTATCCACAACATTTGAATTTAATTGCAATAATATCAATTTCACTGTGATAATGTAAACATCTTGTATTTTTGTCGAGCAGTTGGCCGAATAATTTCAAGTTTTCAATGACCAAACAGGACAAATCCGACATTTTCGAAGAACAATTACTGGAATGCTTACAGTCTGCAATAACTTAACGCAATAAAGGTAATGAGTATCAGCAATGGTAACTGCCAACTGCAATTAGGAACTCAATGCCAACTGCAATGCTAACTGCAATGAGAATAACTGCAATGAGGTTTAAGCGATCGTTGGAAAAAAAAACTACCCCCGTGCACCAATGGGAGGTAATCGAATACAATTGAAGACAATTGAATACAATACAAACAATTGAATATAATAGAATACTAAACAAAGAGGGTAGCTACCAAGGGTAGCTGCAAGGACACTACCGTGACTGAGGGATAGCTAATGAGATCTAAAGGGAGATTAGAACAATGCATTTGACGAAGGAAACACACGAAATTACTCAAAAGAATAACATCACAAATATAACAATAAAGCAAGTGAAGAATTCCTTGTGACAAAAGGGTAGGTAGGTAAGCCGGTGGGTAAGCCGGTGGGTGAGTAGCTGAGTGAGTAGCTGAGAGAGTAGCTGAGGAGATGAGTAGCTGGGTGAGTACTGGAGATGCCCAGGGATGGGAGATGAGATGAGCTGAGTAGGTGGAAAAGATGAATATCAAGTAGAAGAAGAAGAAAAAAAAGAATATTAATAGATGAATAGAACGGATCATAACATCCCTAAAGGGAAAAATTGTGCATTTAGGTAATATAACCAGCAATCAAGTACATGAAAAAAAGAACAATAATAAGTGAAACAATCACAATTACATAAAGAGGAAAATTACATGTATAGATCCCTGAATATAAATACCAGGGTTTGCCTAAATTTATCGAGTATGATTCAATTAAATTATTATAGATTCAAAATATGTCATTATCACAACCATTTATTGCTAAACCAGACCATTCTTTTAAAGTTAAGAAATTTGACTTAAATAATATGATTACTTCAACTCCAATTATTAATTACCCAATAAGTCCAATTTCAATAGATCATCAAATTAAACATACTAAAACAACCCACTTCCCTTACCAGACTCCAATAAGTGAGCTTTCGTTTGATTTCATCGATGATATTAACGTCGATGAAATAGAAATTGACTTGTACAACTAAATATTTGCATCTACTGTTTGAGACAGTTTTTTTCGTTTAATTCTTTTACTTCTACTTTGTGTATTAATATATGTTTCGGAATCATCTTGCCACTTGAGTAAACGTTTGACCTGAGAATGAGACCCTCCCTACAACATCACTCCCTACATATCTATAGCCTACTCCCTACATATCTATTTGCAAACATCTAGAATTACGTTTTAATCGTATTATACTTCCATGTTTGTCATTCCCCTTTTGGTACTTACCAAATACCCACCGCGGCAGTCACGTGAGCGGCGCGATTCCCTTTTCGGCCTCTTTATCCATCAATCGGGACACCTCAATAATCTACGTCTACCATATACATCTACCATAGATACGCCTACTATACTATATATACATCTACCATAGATACGTCTACTATACTATATATACATCTACTATACTGTATATACAGCTACTATACCTACTATGTATATATATGTATATATACATATACAAGCTAGGTAGAATGTGGGATGTACGGAGGTTGTATTCGGGATATATGCAAGTTTGAGTCAACCGTGTAGTAATCGAGTTAATCATGTTATTAACTTGTTTTGTAAGTAGTATAAGTATAAGTATTGTAGGATAGTCTTATAGTCTGTACTCTTATAGACTGTTCTTGTAGTGTATGATCTCTAAGCAGTAATGTATAATGGATAATACAATGTATTATGGAATATATTGTACAAACAAAATAAAAACAAACAATCATCAAAATTACAAACACCAAATCTCATCAAATCAAACACCAACTAAACTACATCTATAACTAAAGTAAAACTAAGTTACAACTACTACATCTACATCTACAACTACCACTACAACTACGATTTTACCGGAGTAATACTCCATCCAACTACTGTCACTCTTTAATTAACTCTAGTCATTCGCTATGTCATTCCATCATAAAATTTCCAATGATGAAAATATAAGGTATGTTAAAAAGCCTATTCAACAAAGACAGACGTCAAATAGAATCGTATTAAGTGATTTATCAAATAACGATTCTTTAAACCGTAAATATGAACCATCCGATAAAAAACCCAAACTAAACAATTCAACCCAATCGATTGGCGACGGTTATGATGATACGGATACTGATTCTACTTCTTCAATAACTTCTTCTCATGATAAATTTAAAATCTCTTTGAAAAAAGTCGATGAAGAAGATGAAGAATCTGATGATATAATAAATAATCATTTTGATCATTTGGATGATGATAAGTGGGTTGACGTGGATGATGATGACGACGATGATGATCCTGATGATCCAGAGGATTCAGAAGACCCCCAGGTTCAACTCAAGGATAAACACGCTCATTTGAATCAATTGATTAAAAAACAAATTGAAATCCAACAATTACTATCACAAGAGGAGGAGGAAGAAGAAGAAGAAGATGATGAGGAGGCGGAGGAAGAAGATGAGGAAGAAGAGGAAGAAGACGACGAAGACGACGACGAAATAATGGAACCAAAATGGAACCGATCAATATTTAATGAATTACAATATGTAATGAAAAATTTTCAATCAAAAATTCTCGATTTAGATGATGAAGATACTTATGATGTTACCATGGTGGCAGAATATGCTCCAGAAATATTTAATTATATGCATGAATTAGAACATAAATATTTACCAAATCCAAATTATATGGAGAATCAAGATGAATTAAAATGGGAAATGAGAAGTGTTTTAATCGATTGGGTTGTTCAAGTTCATAGTAGATTTAATTTATTACCAGAAACTTTATTTTTAACAATTAATTATATCGATCGGTTTTTAAGTAAAAGAAAAGTTTCTCTTTCAAGATTTCAATTAGTTGGTGCAGTTGCTTTATTTATCGCTGCTAAATATGAAGAAATTAATTGTCCAACTATTCAAGAAGTTGCTTACATGGCTGATAATGCTTATAGCATTGAAGATTTTTTGAAAGCTGAAAGATTTATGATTGATGTCTTGGAATTTGATATGGGTTGGCCTGGTCCAATGTCTTTTCTAAGAAGAATCTCAAAAGCTGATGATTACGATTATGAAACTAGAACTTTAGCTAAATATTTCTTAGAAATTACAATTATGGATAAAAAATTCGTTGCAAGTAAACCAAGTTGGCTTGCTGCTGGTTCTCATTACTTATCGAGAAAGTTATTAAATAAAGGTGATTGGTCCGACTCCCATATTTTCTATTCTGGTTATACTGAAATACAATTAAAACCATTAGCTAAATTCTTATTGAAAATTTGTGAAAATGCCGAAATTCATCATAAATCCATTTTCGAAAAATATCAAGAAAGACGCTATAGAAGAAGCTCTTTGTTCGTTCAAGATTTCTTATCCCACTTGTCTTCCTCTTTATCCTAATGTATACTACTTTAATTCTTGCATTCTTTACTTCTGCCCAATATATTTCATTATCTTTATAAGTCTTTGTAATTTGCAGTATTTAAACAAAACGGTGCACGCACACCATTCCGACAAAGCATTTTTTTTTTTTTCTCCCAGTGCTGAACTTTTTAAAGGAAAACCGTAAGTTTAATACATTATCAGAGCATTTTATTAAACAAATATGAGGTTAAGTAGTTGGGTATCATGTTTGATGGTAACATCGATTGCATCGGCGAAAGCAAAGTCGGAAGCCTGGGAAGTTTCAGTTTATGATTTGCAAAATCAACAACATGATAAAGTTCCAGTCACCAATTCAAAAATTGGAGAATACTATTTCAGTGATAAACTAGACGTTAGTGACTATTATAAGTTAGATAAGTCATCAATTGAAACATTGGATGATATTTATAATGATGCATCAGCTTCTGAAACTGAAAAACCAAAATTATACATTAACTTACACGGAGTTTCCCAAGGGATTTTCAAATTTAAACCAATTTTTAAAATTTTGGAATCAAAGTATAAAAAAATTATTAATTTAGACGATAGTTTAACCAAACAATTACAACAGTTTGTTGAATCTCATTCAGATTATAAAATTAACCAGTTAACTAGTGAATTAAAGCTTTTAACTAAACACGATTCAAGTTTGGTTAATCATTTTAAGTATTTTGATGATCAATTGATTCAAATATGGAATACTTTTAAAAAAGGATATCAATTCAATGGCAATCAACAAGTCTTATCCAACCATGTTGATTTCATTAATGAAAAATCATTCATTAATGGATTATCCCAATTAATTCATTTAAATAATATCGAACATTTTGAAAATGATGATATTATCAAGTTTGATACTTTTGCCTTGGACTTAATCGGTAAAAAAATTGGTTATGATTCAACTACTTATAAATTTTGTGAAAAAATTTTGGGTGATTATTTAATTTTATTATCTTCAAAATTTGATGTAACCGTTTTAACTTTCCCATCAATTGATCTGATTAATGATGATGAGATTATTAATTCTAAAAAAAATAACTTACGTAAAAGAGATTTGGAATTATCAAAAGTTTTCGAAACTTATAATAAAAGATCTTCTTCTCAATCTTCTTGTTTTACCAATGAAGAAGCTTGTCAAGTTGGTACTTCCAACTGCAATAGCCATGGTGTTTGTACTAAAATTGGCTCAAAATGTTGGCAATGCTTATGTTCTTCAAGCTTTAACGAATCTACTCATAAAACTACCAATTGGTCAGGTTTCGATTGTGGTTCAAAAGATATCTCTGCGCAAGCTAACTTATTATTTTGGTCTTCTTTAGCCATTATCGTTGCTTTCATTGGTGGTATCAAATTATTAGTTGACGTCGGTGGTGAATCATTACCTGGAGTTTTAGATGCTGCTACTGCTCCAACTAAAAAAAATTAATTAGTTTTATTCATTTCTCTTTTTTTGGTTATTCTATATAACTTGAAAATATAAACGTTAGCGTGTTTAAAGCTGTTGTAAAAGCCTTGTATTGCGAGATTTAAAAAAAAAAAAATTTAATGAAACACAACATCCTTGATACCATTCTTATCAAGCAGAAATACAAGATGGTATGGGTTGAAGGTTTGACCTGCTTATGGTTGGCTTCGTTGGTAAGAGCGGGCGATATTGCTAGAAATCATATAAACAATCCAGACGCTTATCACTACTCCGATCCCGACTCTTATCAGTACTCCGATCCCAGTCCTTATGCTGATTCTTATTCTAGTGCAAATCATCCTTATCCGTCTTACTCAAGTCAAGAGTCTGGCAACCAACTATACTGTCCAGTCGAATATGTCTTCGCAAGTGGGGGTCCTTATCATTATTCACTAGTTGCAAATAATATGGAAAATCACGGATTTTACCATGGATCTTCGAATCATGGTCATACAAATGAGGGTTCTTGTCCGGTGAACGCATTTGAACATCCATTCGGCCACCCGGACCATCGACCAAGACGTCATCGACTTGGTTTTGGTAATCGTCTACGTAGAAACTCAAATAAAAAGGAAAAACCTTTTGAAATTCTGGTATTTGAATTGGATTATAAAAATTTCGATCAAAGTCCTAAAATAAGTACTGAAACCGCCAAATATTACTTTTCCAAGGAACTTAACATACACCAGGAGTGTCCTATAGAGTCAATAGACCAATTAAATAAAATCTATAAGAGAAAATTATCAAGAAAGAATGGGAAAACCAAATTATTTATTTCTCTACACGGAGTGGCTGATGCACAAGAGTTTTTCTATGGAGTCAAACCGAATTTTCTAATTGAAGGTATTGGAATGAAACAAATGCTACGATTTGACGTTTATTTCAATAGGAAACTAGTTTATAAGATAATTGAACTGAATATTAAATCATTCTTGAAAAGGTTCCGTCGTGGGTTTAAACTCATCACATCAAACGAAAAATACCAAACGGAAGCAAATTGGGAAAGCTCATTCAATATCTGGGATAAGTTGAATAAAGTCCCAAACTTGAACCTGATCCTCAATTTTGATCTAGGCCATATAAGATTCATCAACGAAAAATCCTTCTTTGATCTATTGGCCAATCTAATTGATATTAACGATTTAGAAGAATTAAGTCAAGATGAAATTCTTTATATACTGTCTCCTACATTTGTTTTCCTTGGTGAAAAATACGGTCATGATTCCTTAACTTATAAATTTGTTAAAAGAATCATTGGGGATTATATCGTTTACTTATCCCATAATTACGATACTACAGTAATACTTTATCCTGCAATGAATCCAAAAGACAAAGAGGACGAAAAAATTCAACCATTTCCCAATGACGACAATGCTAACAGAAGATCGTTGATTGAACATATCCCCCAATCAAGCTCTTATGTCAGTTGCTTTATCAATGAAGAAATTTGTAAGTTTAAAACTTCAAATTGTAATAGCAAAGGTATTTGTGTTGAAACCACCTCTGGGTGTTGGCAATGTCTTTGCTCTTCGGTTTTCAATGAAGAAACTTCCATCACTACAAGCTGGTCTGGCTTTGACTGCAGCACCGAAGAACAATCCCTGGATAGGAATGCATTTTCGTGGTCGTCACTAGGTTATATAATTAGAATACTTGGGGGGATCAAGTTTTTAATTGATATCAGTGGTGAGTCCATATTCTACTGAACCTCCTTATGATCTCTACGTGTTTAATGAACGTAAAACGAACAGATTCGTAAATAAAGTGTAAGTATAGTTAATAAATGTATTGTACGATAAGCTTAGTATGCTGTCGCTAACAAAACAAAAAAAAAAAAAAGGCAAAAAAAAAGCGAACTAACGAGGAATAAAATCTGCTGATGGAAATCAGATATAAATAAATAGCCAGGAGAAGCCTGTTTATACAGAATACATACTACTTTTATCAATCAGACCAGTATGTTACACGTCAGAAAGCCCATGGTCACCACCTTTTTGCTTTTGGTGGTGATCAGTATCATCTACTACATGTCGTCGTCCAGTTCTACAAGTTCCTTAGGTAACATTTCACCAATTACCAGAAACAGTATACAGAATGAAAATTTGAATTTAGTCAATCAGCAACAAAAGAGTGAGAAGATAATTGAACAAGAAGAGACTGCTGAAGACCCTGAGGTTATTAAAAGACCAACTAAGCAAAAAGAAGAGCCAGCAAAGGAGCAAGTACCAGTTAAGGAAGCACAACCTTTGGAAGATGAAGGAGCGGCAATTCAAATCACCGAGACTCCATTCATGCCTAAGATGGCTAATGAGACATTAAAGGCGCAATTAGGTAACGCTGCTTGGAAATTATTCCATACTATTTTGGCCAGATACCCAGATAAACCTTCTCAACAAGAACAAAGTACTTTGAATACGTATATTCAACTGTTTGGACAAGTGTATCCATGTGGAGACTGTGCCAGACATTTCCAGCATTTGTTGAAGAAGTTCCCTCCACAAGTTGGAAGCAGGAAGACTGCAGCATTATGGGGGTGTGATATTCATAATAAGGTTAATGAGAAATTACATAAATCCCAATATGATTGTACTACGATCTTAGAGGATTATGATTGTGGGTGTGGAGGTGATGAACAGGAGAAGGACTTTACTTTGGGAAACGAAAGTATCGATCACGTTCGAAACATCAAAGTTGATGAAAAGGAAGATAAGTTACAATTAGGAGGTTAAATTAAGTATTTTTAAGAAACAGAGATGTATTATTTAAATGTATTTGTGATTGTAGAACTAGACAATGGTACAGCAACCAACGTTCACCTCTTTTTCAGCTCTTGACTCCTTAAGTTGTTGATACTGGCGAAATTTACTGAGCTTTGGATCCAATTTCCAAAGATACGGAATCAAATAATCAGGCACCGTTTGGGTGTTGTTGATTATCAACAACGATACAGAAGAAGCTGGGATCCGTTCCTTTTGTAAGCTTTGTTTTAACCGGTTATTCAATTCTTCAATACGGTTATACTTGATTTCCAATATTTTATTGGCAATTTTCTGCTGCTGAGGCGATTGTTGAAGAGTTTGAGCGGGCTGGTTAGCTTTCCCGTAGGCTTGGGCTTGAGAATCTGACATTTGACCTGGATTTAATAGCGTTGGATATGGTGTAGTGCTGAAAAGTGTAGAGTTGGCACCGTGAGGTGAGTTTTATCCTTGACTTCGCAAAATTTGCAGTTAACGAGAAATGATAAGAGCACCTACATACAATTTATATCCATATATATATATCCATATACATATATCTATATATACATATCTATATATACAATGCAATGCTAGAAGAAGAATAAGAATAGAATACAGACAGAAATAACCGAAGCTAGAATCAAAGTATCTCTTTTCCTTCTAGTATTGATTTTGGAAATCAATACGTTTATACCCGGGATTGAAGATAAAACCCCCATCATTTTAGAAGATGCATTATTGAGATGAACTCTTTGTTGGAGTAGTTCGTCTCTGGTTTCATAAGCAGATCTTAGTAACCGATCGGCAAAAGAGTTGGTATTATCGACTCTTGTTCTTTCATCCAATATATAATCATTATCATTGAGAGAATTCTGCTGATAATTGGCGGATCGCTGTTTATGGGCGTTGATATCTGATCTAACCAGAAACAATAGATTAGAACGGTTTCTTTCGTCCAAGATTTTCGATTGAATTTTACTAAACGACAGTTTTTGGTCGTTCAAGATTTCTTTATGTCTTGTCAATTGCTGTAATTTCGACGTGGATATATTTGAGTCACTGTCGCTTATTCTATTTAGTTTGTTTATGAGTGAATCTCTTTTGGTCAACAAATCAGTAATTTCTTCTACTAGCTGAGTTTCTTCATCGTTTGCTTCGCCGGATATGTCTGAGTTTTGGTACTTGGAATATTGGGATAGAAGGGACTCTGTTTTCTTCTCTAAATTGAGTGCCTGGGTTCTGGTTTGAGAAAACGTTGCGCTGGACATACTTGTTCAAGTCGAGTTGGGTTAAAATCAGGTTTAGGTATTTAGTTGTTGTCAGTAATTTATCAAAACTCTCGGAGGGAGAGCAAGGTGATTGCACGACCTCATTTTAAGTCTTCTCATCGTATTGCTTTGATCAGGTATTGAGCCATAAGTGAATAGCGGATAACATGTCGTCGGTGGAAGATCTACGGGAGGTTGCCCCGGAGCCGGTTACTTTGGATATCAAGCAACAACCAGAACCAAAACAGCCAACATTAGTGAGCAAATGCGTTAATTATTTATTAAAATTACAAAAATATTCAGCTTATGGATTAACTGGATTTTTGGGATTACATATTTCATCAGTGGTGATAGTGCCGGGGCTCTCGATACCCTGGGAACTATGTCAGGAGGTGTTTGAAATGGCCCGGAACGTTTACCTTGGGATCCCATTTTTCGAGCCAATTGGAATCTTTGGCTGCGGGATTGTTCATATTGGTAGTGGGATTGGAATCCGATTTTTACGTGGACACCAACGGAAAACCACCAATAATCACGAAGTGATTATCAAGGATGAACAGAGAAACGATATTGGCTTGGGAGGAATCACTGGGTTGCTTGGATTAGGGTATAAGAAGTCGATAATTCTGACGATCTGGCCAGGAATGACTCCGTTATCGATATCAGGATACGTGACTGGGATCTTATTGATTGTTCATATTCATAAGTTTAGATACGTTCCTTTACTGATTGACGGAGACCTGAGCTTAATCAATTTAGAATATATTGGATACGTTTTACAGAAGTCGCCTTTAGCTGGTTTGGGTAAATGGGTCAATTGGACGATGTTAACTTTGCTAGTCTGGACTTCAAGCTATCACATAACCAGCGGGTGGTTGAGGTATATGAAGAAGTACAGTATGCGATGGAAAAGACTTGCTTATGGAATAATCAACGGGGGGTTTTTCTTAGGAGTAGTTGCATTACTCAGATATAGAAAAGTGATAGTGAGCAACGGCTTTATTGGTGATGCGTTCAACACCTACATACTGAAGAGCTGGGTCTAGCGACTCGGGTCCTACATCGGAGTAGATCTATATATATTTAAAACATAATTTATTGAATAAATAACATACAAAGCCTATTGAATAAATAAATTAACAAGAAATGAACATGCACCAGTGGTAATTACCTAAGCAGCAACTGCTTCTGGACCCAAGGTTGGTTTTTTAACCACTCTCTTGGATCTATAGTCTTTAACTGCGCTTTTAATTGCATCTTCAGCCAACATGGAACAATGTAACTTAACTGGAGGTAAGGACAATTCTTTGGCAATGGCCGTGTTCTTAATGGCCAAGGCTTCTTCCAAAGTCTTCCCCTTGACCAACTCAGTAACATAAGAAGAACTGGCAATGGCAGAACCACAACCAAAAGTCTTGAACTTAACGTCTTTAATCACCCCAGTCTCCTCGTCAACTTGTATTTGTAATCTCATCACATCCCCACAAGCCGGGGCACCAACCAACCCGGTACCCACGTCTTGCAATGCTTTATCCAAGCTACCAACGTTTCTTGGATTGGAATAGTGATCAATCACCTTTTCATGATATAAACGTTTGCTTTGGAAAACTGGACTTGTTATAGCTGGTGTTCTAACCAATGGAACACTGGCTCTAGCTAATGGAGCTCTTAAAGCAGATCCAACTCTTAATAATTGTCTAGCGTACATTTTGGTCAATAATACTCAAACAGGGCAATATCGATAACGACGAACAATCTCTTATTTATATAATAACGTTTTTTCGGATTAAAAAGATAAAAGTTTATGAGATGGGTCCGACACACCGAAAAGCGTGAAAATTAAGGGTATTATCCAGTAATAGCTTTTCTTCAGGCATGACACAAGGTCAATTTGCTCTGAATAATTAATGAGATTGGGGTCGGGACACGCCCATCGGTGGGTGGGTGGCTGCTTAGGTAAGCGGGAAAGGGCCTCGCCGTTCGGCAAAGCCGAACGGTGAGGGGAACCGCCCGATGATTAGATAAGCAATTAGCTAAGCATTGTGATTAAACACGGAGATCTAAGTCCAGTTTCAGGGTTGGTCCCAGGGCGAGCAGCGGGTGGTACGGGTGTCCCTTTGGGAAGGCTTGCCCAATAGTATCCCGGTGTAAGTAATACGTTTACAGCAGAAGCCTCCAAGGCCTAAGTCATTGGACTGAACACCTATGAAAAATCATAAGATCCTTATAGAGATAAGTGATACCAAGTGCTAAGGGAGGAATCTACTTATTAATTGATCTTTGCCTTGGTTTGTACAGACAGATATTTTTTTTTTGCCCTTTTTTTTAACATCATCACCTTATAATTTAACAGCTACACGGGATTGGAACTACCACCACATCTTTTTAAGTTGTAGATGAATCATCACGAGTTATGAATAACACCAACTATCCAATTCATCCAGAAAAGTCCCCCGTTAAAAAAGATGATGACGATTACACAACCGGTGTATCCAATGGAGATGTGGACTGGTTATTCAGAGGTAAACTGAAGAAGTTGACTAAGAAAATGAATGGTCCAAACGTGTCCATTGAGGAGAATGCGTCTTCCAAACAAGAAAACCCGGTTGCCGATGAGTCCAAGGAGAATAAGCCGGGTCCAGAAGTGAAAGAACGTTTGCCGCTGGAACAAGTTGATAAACCAATTAGTAGACCAATTGATAAACCAATTGATAAACCAATTGATAAACCAATTGATAAACCAATTGATAAACCAATTGATAAACCAATTGATAGACCAATTGATAGACCAATTGATAAACCGGTTAAACCAGTCAGATCAGAACAACCAGTCAGATCAGAACAACCAGACAAACCGGAAAAACCAGTGGATAAGCCAATTGACAAGGTTGATAAAAAACAAGATTCAAAATTTAAGCTAGTAAGATCAAGGTCGTCTTCAACGTCGTCGGTCAGTTCACAACCAATCCAGTCTCCTCAACAAACCCGCAGAGGCTCCTTCAGCTTCATGTCTGCTGCCGCCGGGAACTCTCCTATAGATGAATCGAATTCGCAAACAACCTCCCCCAGTGTTAGCCGCTCAAATTCAGCCTCTGGTAAAACAAGAAGTTTATTCAGCTCTCTTTCTTCCAAATTTAAATCCCAACCCCAACTGGATTTTGATAAAGATAAAGAGAAAAAATTAAACCCAAACTTATTAGGAAGCGGCAATGATTCTTCAAATCAAGATGATTTGGCCACTCTAATTAATAAACCTTTGGCAGGAATTGGTATTCCAAACCGTAATATCAAACGTAAAAACTCTTTATCAATTGATGAAAATCCTAATTCTCTAGATAAAGATCGGGGGAAATTTTTGAAAAAAATAGTATCCTCATCACCAAATTCATCCCATTTACTGAAAAATCCGTCAGCAAAGAAATCCAAAAAAGACGATTTGGAAAATATAAAACTTCGAAGAGTCACGTTTGCAATCGATAAATTACCATCGGATCCTCAACAACAAATTCCTTCTCGTCGTCCTAAAAAGGGTAATGTTTTGATTCCTGAAGATATCGTGGCTCCACCTCCAAGATTATCCCAAGGTATTTCCATTAATAATGAAAAACAAACTCCTTCTAATAATGATCATAAAATTTCAGAACGAGAATTAAATATGGCTTATGAAGCTCAAAAAAGAGCTTTATTAGAAGCGGATAAACATGCTCATGAAGCTCATTTATCTGCTAGACGTATTGCTCATGAAGTAAGTCAGTATAAAGTTAAAAATTCAATACAAAAAGATACTGAAGATGATACTTCTGGAATCTTGGATCATGATGTCAATAATATAGAAATTGATAAACCAGTTCATTTACATGAACAACATTTTGATGATTTGGAAAATGATGATGATATCGATAAAAATTTGAAAAATTTATCTTTGGAAACAATCTACTCCCGTTGTTGTCACTTAAGAGAAATCTTACCAATCCCTGCCACTTTAAAACAATTGAAAAATAAATCAAAACCTTTGGAAGTTTTGAAATTATTAAATCCAAGACCTACTTTAATTGATGTTTTGAGTTTTAGTGATTTCATTTCAATTATTCCAATTAATACAGTTATTTTCGATAATGTCACCATGACCACTGAAATGTTAAAGCATTTTTTGGCATCTTTAGTTAATTCATCTAGTTTGGAAAAATTGAGTTTAAGAAATGTTGCAATTAATGAATTAGGTTGGAAATACTTATGCAAATTCTTATATAAAAATCATACGGTTAAAAAATTAGATATAAGTCAACAAAGAATTAAATCCGAAACTAATAAATCAATGGTTAGATCTTCCATGAATTGGAATTTACTCATTCAAAGTTTAGTTATGAGAGGTGGTTTAGAAGAATTGGTCATAAATGGTTGTAAATTATCAGATGAAATTTTTGAAAAATTAATAAATCATGCTGTTTTACCTTCAACTTACAGATTGGGAGTTGCTTCTTGTGAATTAAATTTGAAAAAATGTCAAGTCATTGCAAATTGGATAAAAAATCCTTCCGGTAAGTGTATGGGGGTTGATATTGCCTTTAATGATTTATCTAATGGTCAATTAAAACCTTTTATTGAAACTTTTAATAAAGGTAATGATAAGTTGATTTTCTTCTCTTTAAACTCAACTAAATTATCAAACATAGAAGAAACAACTGATTTAATTATATCTTTATCAAAAGTTACCTCTTTGAGATTCTTAGATTTAAGTTCATTACCTGATTTATTTCCTGGTATAATTTCAAAATTGGCTAAATATCTACCATTTTATCCAAATTTACGTCGTATTCATTTTGATTTAAATGAATTAACTTCTCAATCCATTAGTGCAATTGCTGAATTCTTACCTAGGTGTAAAGCTTTGGTCCATGTATCATTTTTGGGTAACCGTAATCTAGGTCATGGTGCTGCTGCTACTTTATATACTGCTGTTAAATTATCAAAAAGTATTTTCACTTTAGATTTGGACTATGATTTAGTTAGTGATAAATTATCACAAAAAATGGCATTCTACTTAATGAGAAATATGGAAAGAACAGTTAGACCTCAAATTGATTCAATAGATGATATTAAAGATGAAGACGAAGAAGAACTCATGTTCGATGGTTCATTATTAATGGAAACTGCAGAAAAATTATTGGTTGAAGATGATAAACACAATAATGATAAACAAGAAGACCTAAAAGTTCAAAAAATCATCACCAATGCTTTGATTGAACGTACTAGAGCAGTAAGAAATGATATTCATCGAACTATTGATTCCTTATTCGAAAAAAGAAATCATGGTGAGTTATCAATTGATGGAAAAGAAACACTTTTGAGATTTTGTTTATTGGATTCTTCTTTGGAAAAAGTTGTTCATATGTATGAAGAAAAGGCTAAGACTTTTGCCGAATTTGGTTCAACTCAGCAAAGTCCTGCTCCTTCACAAAGTGGTGTTAATGATCAATTAGTAGAAGAGGATACAAGACTACAACAAATGCAACAACAAAAAGAGTTGGAAATCAAATTACAACAACAAGAACAACAACAAAGAATTCAACAGCAACAAATTTTACAGCAACAACCGAGACAACAAAATAAAATTCCTGGAATTCCTACTATTCAATTACCTCACAATGATCATTTACATGAAAGTTCAAATGAGTTAATTACTGCTGGTCCAATTTTATCACCTCATAATACAAATATAGTTGAATCTTCACAACCAGGCTATTTTCAAGGTATCGAACAAACCTTTCAGCCTCATCAAGTTGTTGTTGAATCGTCATCTGATGGTACTTCAGTACCAATTGATAATTTGACCGGTAGACCAGTTTTGATGAAATCTGTCAGTCAAACATCATTACATGCAAAAGAACAAGAAGAAGAAGAAGGTGAATTTCATAGATGGGGGTTTTTCATTCAACAAAGAAATAATCAAGGAAATGATAAGGATAAAAGAACCGATTCCACCAATTCAAATAAATCAAACTCACCTCTTACATCCCAGCCTAAATCACCACCAGAAAATAAAAGAGAAATACCAGTGTTGAATGTGTTACCATCTGGTTCAGAATTGAGGGAGGCGATTATTGCGGCTAAAGGTATTGAATCCGTTACTGATTTAATTGATAAGATTAATAATAGCCGTATCAGTCTTGATAAGATTTATAATTTGGATGAGATTAAAGATCAAATCAATCAAATCCGAAATGAAAATTTGAATGAAAAGGATAAAGATCAATTAAACCATTACCCACATCACTATCATCAAATGGTATTGCAAAAACAATTACAAAAGCAGTTACAACAAGAATCCAATGATTCTAAAAAGGAACCGTCAGCTCATAGAACTCCCTCACCACCATCACCTAGAAAAAATACTGATATTCAACAGCAGCAGCAACAACAACAATCGCCATCTTTTCTATCATCAATTTCTCTGGCTCTCAGTGGTAATAATAGCTCTAAATCCACAGGAGATGAAGAAGATGACAGTGGGTCTATAGATTCAAATGAAGACGAAGGCGGTAATGTGGATGCAGTTGTTGATGAAGCTTATGATAAGTTACTTAACGATGCCCAGAGAGTGAGATCTAACAAATAAAATATGTATATATTCAAAATTTTAATGCTACAAAAAAATTTTTTTTTAAGACATACGAAAAAAATTATAATTAAATATATATAAAATTATAAAAAACCATACATCAAAAGCAGACAGAAAAATAAATTAGATGAGAAAAACAACTAATTAATTTAGTTATCAGCTTTGAAAGCAGCGATTTTTTCAGCAACTCTAGCATCTCTTTCAGCTTTAGAGAGTTTGAATTGTCTGAATTTCTTACCGTGAGCTTTGTATTGTTCTTTGGTGAATTTCTTTTCAGCTGGTTTGAAAGCTGGGTCAGCTCTGATAGCTTCGTGAGCGTTGGTGTAAAGTTCTTCAATATCTTCAACTTCAATTTCTTCATCGATGTAGTTTTTGAAGACTTGTCTGTATTTTTCTTCATCATCATCCATTAATTCTTCCATGTATTCAGCAATGTGACCACCGAAGATGTATTTTCTTAATAATTCAGCATCCAATTCTTCGGATTCCATATCCCAACCTGGGAATCTGTTTGGAGAGTGAGGAACGTATAAACCACCGTCAGAAGCACCTTTTAAGACACCAAAGATTTTAGCACCAGTGGTAGTTCTTTGTAAACCAATATCTAAGAAAACTTTGAATGGTCTTGGGCCATCTTCAACAGCTTCGGTTAATTCGTATTCACCTTCAACTTCTTCAACACCTTGGTAAGTTTCATCTAAACCTAATTTTTGTAAGGCTCTTCTGGCAACTAATAAACCAGTAGCGTAAGAAGCTGCCCAGTTAGTTAAACCATGTTTAATACCGTATCTTGGTAATTCATGAGAGTAAGCAGCAGTGAAAACAATATCACCAGTGATTTGAGAAGAAACAATTTGAGCAATGATATCTTTCTTGGTGAATCTAACAACTAATCTGTATTTTGGAGAGTTGTATTTAGCCTTGTGTTGGGTAACCAATCTCTTTCTTTGGTAGTAATCGGTTTTACCTTCTTGTCTTCTACGGAAAGGAGTTTGGAAACGGGAGTGGTAAGAGGAGCTCTTTAAAACTTTATCGAAAGCCATTTTGGATACTGGTTATTGATATACTAATGAAAGTTAAACAAGTTAAACAAGTAGTAGACTTTTTTTTTTCACTTTATTCTCCCTCCAAAGGGAAGAGATGAAAAATTTTTCAAATTTTCAGTCGTATTTTTTTCCGTGTTCGCGCACGACTTTTTGGGAAAAAAATAATAATAATAAGTGGACGGGGATTTACGCTTTTCAGACTGACGTTTACACAGTGATAAAATGGCTTAGGCTGCTAATTTGCAGCCTCTCGATAATTCAGACGGACGTCAGAGAGAATCCGTAAGCCAAAAGCTGCAAGAGATGGGTTGACTGTAGGGGGTTCTTGGGGCGTATGTATGGAGAGCCTCTTGCTCTGAAGAAGGCCCAATAACCATTTGTCTCTATGCTAAGAATAACTAGGATACCGTTTTCGGACCCTGTAGGTTATTAATTAGCAGTGTAAAGGTGGTAATAAAGCAATGTGATTGGGGCTGACAAGAGAATGCCACATCACATACAGATGCTCTCAATTCGTATAACCAATGAGTCAAGGTACATTTCCCTGATCGATCAGATATTAGTATTAGCAGCACATATTTGAGCATCTTTGGCTCAAAGGAACAAGGAGTATGTATATTAGCTCTCTCTTGGCACTACAATAAGAATAACAAAAACAGATTAGAAGTTTATTATAAGTGAATACTGAATCACAAACCATCATTGGGTAACTCTATAAATTTAGAATATATATATATATTCTGGAATATACCCCATATAAGCTGAAAGGGCTATTTTCTTCTCTTCTGGAGTAATTACTTAAGATGTTCGACAGAACCAAACTCTTACCACGAGACACTTGTGAATCCAACAGCACGTTCAAGGATGAGGACATGCCAGCCAGAATCTCAGCCGTGTTTGTTGTATTTGCACTTTCATCTCTAGGATCATTTTTTCCATTAATTGCCAAACACTGCTCTTTTCTTCGGTTACCTAGTTGGGTATTTTTCATTACTCGCTACTTTGGTAGTGGGGTTATAGTTGCAACTGGATTTATTCATCTTTTGGCTGAAGCCGATGAAGCCTTGACTGATGAATGTTTGGGTGGAGTCTATGAAGAATACCCTTGGGCTGAAGGGATTGCTCTCATGGGGGTTTTCGTTATGTTCTTCCTTGATGTACTTGCTCATAAAAAAATCGAACAAAAAGTCAAGTCTAAATGTTGCACAGTTGAAAATATCAATATCCTTAATAGCGGTTCAAATGAAGTAACTGAAAGTGATGATAAAAAATCTGAAAAAAATGAAATTCAAGAAAATGCAGAGGAAACCAAAACCAAAGATCTGGACCTTGAAAATTTCTATTCCCAAATCTTGAATTCTTTTGTTCTTGAATTTGGTATTATTTTCCATTCTGTTTTCGTTGGGTTATCTTTATCCATTGCTGGTGATGAATTTAGAACCTTATATGCTGCTATTTGTTTCCATCAAATGTTCGAGGGCTTAGGCTTGGGTACTAGATTTGCTACTACTCCATGGCCAGAAGATAAATCTTACACTCCTTGGGTATTATCTTTAGCTTACAGTTTGACTACTCCTATTGCAATTGCAATTGGTTTGGGTGTAAGAAAATCGTATGCTCCTAATTCGGCTAAAGCTTTGGTGGTTACCGGGGCCTTTGATGCTGCTTGTGCTGGGGTTTTGATTTACAATAGTTTAGTAGAATTAATGGCTTACGATTTCATGTACTCTACTGAATTTAAAGGTGAAAATGATGGTATGAAAAAGACCTTGTTTGCTTTTACTTGCTTGAGTCTCGGGGCTTTTGGTATGGCTATTATTGGTAAATGGGCTTAATATTTGGGTAGCTTCTTCATGTGTATTTATCTTTCATTTCTCTATATAAATCAAATATCTATTTAGATGCTTCAGAAGTCCTTTTACAATTGGGAAAGGTATTGTAAGTCGGGTATATCCCTTGTTCTTTGTAGCTATAAAGAAGTCCATTTCTCTATAAAATTGAGATTTTGGCTCAAAATTAGTGCTTTCCAGGTAAACAGCATTAAACTGTGCAGCTAAAATTTCCAAGACCTATGCTTCGAAGCCATTAAGAAAACCACAGCAGTCAAAGTTGAATGGAACCTTCCACTCCGTATCTTGATGACTCAACTAGTATTTAGTTAAAGGAGATTGATACAATGGAGATGTAGAGGGCGAAGAGGGTGTAAGTTTGAAGGGTAGGGAATAACCGGATACCCTTTGATAACACGAGATGTAGTATCAACTGATGGAAAACTACAGAAAAATCTAATTCAATGTAGGAAAATTGGATAGCAAGTTAATGTTAAAATGTCGTCTTTGTTATAAATACGGTTGCAAAAATGGCGTATTGAGAGAAAAATCGCCTTTTCAATATATTATCAGAATCATTTGCTATACCCAACCATAAACAAGGTCAACTTAGAGATATACATTATTGAAAAGTTGAAGAAAAGACTGGGAAAACCTCATGGCTACTTTTGAGAAAATCCATATAAAATTAATTTTTTTCTCTTGTATTCTAGTTCAACCAGTTTTTTGATTTTTTAGCTGAGATTAAAATACAAAAGCTTTTGATAGCTTATCTTTCTACTGTCAAATAGCCTAAGACGATATATTGATTGTTAACAAAATTTCCTTATTTTTTTAAATTTTATTACTGTTTGAATTTTCGCCAACATAATTACCCAGTATCAGCATTCTTAATATACAAGGCTCTCTGGCCGAGTGGTCTAAGGCGGCAGACTCAAGTTCTGTTATCGTAAGATGCGCGCGTTCGAATCGCGCGGGAGTCATTATTTTTTTTTCTAATTTTTTCGCTGGTTGCAAAAATCTCTTGTAATATAATTTACAAATGTCAAATTTTGGCAATAAATAAACATTGAAATCACTAATCTAAAAAAACTTAAAAGGTGTATAATTTGGGTCAGACAATTTATAATAATATTTTTTCGTCATCCTTCTAAAGGATTTTCCGTATATAATCATGATTATAAAACTACCGTTAATTATAGTGGCCATCATAAACATAAGCCAAGTTGTTCCAACCAACCCCGATTTATCGATCCATGGTTGCATACCAAATGTAAACCCGCAAGCTAGTATGTTTCTAACAAATAAGATCAACACCATACTTTCACTTGCTAATTCAGCATAACAATCAGCAGCATATGATAAACAAATTGGGCCAGAGGCACTCATAGAGAACCCCAAAAATCCTCCACCAATGATAGCAGGAATTTCCCAAGCGGCCTTGTTATTTGCAGCAACACCGTAAGCAATCAACCCGCAAGAATTAAGAATCGTAGGGACAACCATTGCATATAGTCTGAATTCAGGTTCAAATACACCATGATTGCGTTCTGCTAATTTAACAGAAAGCCAATCAACAAAATTACCACCATAAAATGTACCCACTATACTACCGACAAATGGTGCTAAATTAGTTAAACCAGTATTGGAAGTGGAAAACCCGTATATTCCAGTAAAAATCTGCGATTGAGTATTATTCAAAAGAGATAACCACATAATTTGAGCACCATAAACAAATCCACCCCAAATCAAAGCTGGAAATCCAACTAACAAAAATGGTCTGGTGAAAATGGTAATGAATGGCCTTTTATCATTATATTCTAATTCGACTACCTTTAATTTCTGAGCATAAGACCTTTTTGGAATAGTCGGATCGATACTTGACGCATCATTTTCACTAGTATTTCCATCTAGGGAGCTTACTTGTGTTTTTATATTTTCACCAAATTTTTGGGCTTGGGCTTCAGTAAGCTCACCTGTTTGAATTGCTTGTAAGATTGTTTCGTGGCTTTTAATTTGTTCTAAAATCTCTTTTTCCCCAGAATCTTTGACTCTTTCAAAAGTAGTATCCTCTAATAAGAAAAATAAAACAATAAATAAAACTGACATTAAAATCACTTCAATATAAAAACACCATTTCCACGTCGGAATGTATCCCCCAACAACTGGACCCAAAAATGAACCAGCATATAGGGCCAAGACCATTAAGGATATGTATTTCGATCTTTCGTGAATAAAAAAAACATCAGTACTACTGATTGGAACAAGAGAATCACATGGAGCTCCACTGATCCCACTTATCATAAATGAACCGATAATGTAATTGAAGTTTTTTGCTTGTGACCCAAGAGCATTATCCATGATAGCCAAAAGGGTACAGAACAAGTAAATACCTCTTCTCCCATATTTCATGGCAAGAGGTTGCAAAAAAATACACCCAAATGCTAATCCGAGTAACATAGCAGCACTCAAAAGATTCAAATGATTCACGTCGGTTGAAAATTCCTCCATCCATATTGTATAATATGGCCCATACCAGACAACTGCAATTATGAAAGCCCAAGTCCAGGTTAAAGCAAATTGAAACTTCTTTTTCTTTTGAGACCATCTCAAAACATCATTTATATTCGAACTTGGCTGAGGTTGCAAAATTATATTCGAGTTGGACTCTTTCTTCACATTTAGGGCATTACCTAGATCAATCAAATGTATGGTACCTGGGACGTATTCTTCTTCATCTATTGGTGGTGCTTCACCACTCAATATTGCTTCAAGGTTAGACTGTGGAGTGTTTGGCATCGTTGCAGTGCTTTCCTATTACTTTTTTTTTCTCTAGAAACTTGTATAAGTTTTTATAACTTGACCTCTTCTAACCTGTGATATGTAACCTCATATTTATCAAGTGAAGCACGTAACAAAAACCTTATGTAGGGTTATCTCGACGGAATTTCTTATCAAATGATTCGCAGCTGGGGCATTTTAAAATTTTTTAAAGAATAGGCCCTTCGAGCAGCCAGTGTTTTTGACATAAAGCAACGCATATCTCGACGATAGCAGTACTGTGTTCCATAGTAGAAGCATCTGATAAGAGTTTATACGGTTCCATTTCCTAGCCTATAATCTTACTTTCATTCTTCTCCAATGGAGCACTTTATGCAAAGCTTCGCCTCGTGTAAGCTTATCCTAACGGAAAATCTTATCGGCATATTGCAAAAAAACAGCAAATAGGAATTTTAGAGTTTTGTGGGGAAGAGCTGTCGAATAATGAAACAATGTATGACTCGATGCCATAGAAACCGTCTGTGGAAGTAGGTGAATAACCGTTTAGATTTTTTTTTGTTTTTTTTTTTCCGTTAAATCAGTGAACTATACAAAGACTATATCAAACTTTATCCTACTTCTTTCATCTTCAAGGTTGGAACATAACGGTTGAGGGCATAAGTTGAATGGCTCCTTGTTTTGGTTAAACTATGGGCAACAGTGAGTTATATTCCGTCGGAAAAAAAAATATCCTATCTGGTATAGAACTTATCAAATGAGGCTTAATTTTTGATAATTTATTAATTATCTACTTCTTAATTCTATTTTGCCAATGAGGCTACCCGTCCCACTCTTTCAATAAATAACCTTACGATAATCTTTATTTTTTTCAAAGCATGATTTTATACCGTCGAAGGGCCGAAAAATCAAAAATACATCACCATTAGATAGATGATAAGAAATATATGATAAACGAGTTACTTTGATGAGACAGTAATGGCCATAGCAGCTTTGAATAAGAAAAACTGCTTCGATTCAAGGCTTTGTAAAAATCGTGGTAGAAGAGAAGAAGTGGGGGGACTTTGAAATTATCGGGTTATGTGGGTAGATCGGGCCCATAATCAACCACCAGTATCCATTAGTATTAGATACATAGTTCTAGTACGGTTGACCATAACACACGCATAAGTAGTATTAGTCAAATACATACTAATACTTGGTAGCACAGTGGATTAATTCGATACTGTCAGATTAATCTTTCCACGTTATTCAAAGGGAGGAAATAACTTATCACGATTAAGCTTAAGTATCCAAAGCCAATTCATGAATATTATATAAATATTTATTACCGAATATAAAGAACTCTCCATAGGTCGACAACCATGCTTAAATCAATTAGAAGCATCACTTTGGTCCACAGCCCACGTCGAGTAGAAGATTTTTCCATTTAATATGGAGATGCCTATTTATTTATATATGCACATTATCATAATGCCTCATTTATGGATTAACACAAACTTTAAATATAATTTGTGTCTTCATTTGATGATGTATTGTACCTATCAATATAGATAGGCCGCTACATCATCTGCAGACCTTCAAGGTCTGACAGAAATAATAAAGGCAGTATAAATCAACAAAATATTGTTTATTAGTGTTCAACCTTCAAAGACTCATTCGAGTCGGGTACGAAATACTTCTCCCATTGTAATCAGTGCCAGATATTCTTTGAAATTCCTTTGTAGCTTATCTGTAGAAAGCTTTATAATAATAATAAGCATTAAGAGTTTTGTTCACGCAACCGGTGGAAGCTTTCAAAAAAAAAGCGGATCTTAAACTCATTTATATAAATAAGTGAAGATACATATCCTGCCGCTAGAAGGTTATTTTTCCAAAATAAGAAAATGATGTGAATTACGTACTTTTTTAATTATACTTTGAAATTTGGTTGCAAAAAAGACATGTTTTGTTGGTGTACGGATCTTATGTATAGAGTTGGTAAATGTTCTGTAAGTCTGAAGATCCAACATTCTGGTTTTATACATTTTTAACTAAATAACACTTATCATAGTAATAACCAATATGTATAGAAAGATTTGCAGAAAGAGATAATACTATCGGGCATAACCAGAGGTCTGGTAAAAAGAAAGATTTATGAAAATTCTCTCCGATGAACTTCTACTTGTCTATTTATGGTGCTTCCTAATAATTCCTTCTTTGTCTTCTTGAAAACAAGAACTCTTTTATAATTCAAGGATGTACGAATTTCAATTCCTGAGAAAACCTGGTCCATTCCAATAATTCCAGTTCAGTTGGGAATTTTTCTTCATATTTTTCAGAGTTTTTATTTTACAAAATTTTACAATTAAATCTTCAGCTAATATATCTGCCCGAAATGCACCTTTTTAAGGTAAATATCTCGGTATTTTTGTTAATAATATTGCCGGTTACAGCTTTGGAATGGCAACACTGGCTAGCAATTTCTTTTCTCTTTCTGGAAATTCTTACTCTTAATCTGGTAGAAACACCTTGAACACCAATAGGCCATAATTGAACGTTTAATCTTGGTTCTTTCATCAGTATTCCCGCGTGTAAAGTGATGAATTCGTTGATTTCTTTGACGTTTTTGTACAATAACAAATACATATTCATCTTTTGAAGCTCCTTTCTCGAAATACACCCATTAGATCTCTTGATTAAGTTGATAGTATATGCTTAGGTAACGCAGACTTATCTGGTTGCCATGCTTGCTTCTTAGTAAGGGCAAAACTTTTCTTTTGTACAATTGTCTCTACTAAGACATATATCAGTGTACTGTTCCACCCACTGAATACTGATATAAAATGGAGGGTTGGCCGAGTGGTCTAAGGCGGCAGACTTAAGATCTGCTGGACAGTTGTCCGCGCGAGTTCGAACCTCGCATCCTTCATTATTTTTTTGTTCACACGAATGTCTCAAAAGTATTTGTAAGGAGAAAGATAATGATCTGCTTCTTATCTTAATCCTTTTTTTTTCGACTTTTTTTTCATTGAGCAAACAAGGTCTGGTTATATTTTACAGGGACAGGCAGCCTTTTGGAAAAATTGGTGAAAGAAGTTAAGCAAAACTGAATCATAGGCGTAATGGTCAGATCCAGGGCCAACAATGAAAGTTCTCTGGGTTATCCAACTGAAACTTCAACATTACTACCGACAAGTTCTAAGGTTACATCTCGGCCAAAAATGAAGAAAACGAAGAACAAGACTAAAACAACTGAAAAATCCAGTGAAGACCGTGCTTCTAAAGAAAACTCCAAGTTGGGGACCTTTGACGGTGTTTTTTTACCAACAACATTGAATGTTTTATCTATTTTAATGTTCTTAAGATTTGGATTCATCATTGGACAAATGGGTATCTTAGGGACCTTCTTGCTACTTATATTATCATATTTCATTGATATATTAACTACCATGTCTATCAGTGCCATATCTACAAATGGAACGGTTAAAGGTGGTGGAGCTTATTACATGATTTCCAGGTCATTGGGTCCTGAATTCGGGGGTGCAATCGGTCTTGTGTTTTTCATTGGACAAATCTTGAATTCCGCTTTGAATGTGGTGGGTTTCATAGAGCCATTACTTTTAAACTTCAATGAAGCTGATGGTACTATTTTGAAAATGTTACCAATTGGGTATACCTGGCAGATCCTTTATTCTACATTATTATTAGCATTATGTACTGGGGTTGCCTTGGTTGGATCGAAATTAGTTTCCAAAACTGGTTTTCTTTTATTCATTATTTTAACCATAAGTACCTTATCAGTACCCTTTTCCACGTTATTCGTTAAACCTTTCCATCCCCTTCAACCTCCTCTTGATGATCTTGTATATACTGGTCTTTCGTGGTCAACTTTTAAAGGTAATTTATTGCCTCATTTCACTAGTGGAGCTGCTGGTTCAGTCCAACCTCCTGGTGAGCCGGAAACTTTTAAGAATTTATTTGGTATCTTTTTCCCAGCAACTGCTGGTATTTTCGCTGGGGCTTCAATGTCGGGTGAATTGAAAAATCCTTCAAAGTCTATCCCTGAGGGAACTCTAAAGGGATTGATGGTGAGTTTTATACTTTATTCAATGGTGATCGTTGCTATGGGTGCAGCTATTCCAAGAGATTTACTTCATAATAGTGTTGAAGTAATACAAGTTGTTAATCTCAGTGGATTTTTAATACTTTTGGGTGAATTTTCAACATCCTTATTTTCAGCCATCATGGGGATTGTTGGCTCGGCTTCAATGCTTTCAGCAATTGCGGATGATAAAATCATTCCTGGCTTATCATTTTTCACTACTACTAAAAAAAATAAATCAAAAGGTCCAACAAATGCTATTTTAATAACTTGGTTTATTGCCCAAGTTTTCTTATTTGCTGATATCAATCAAATTGCAACTTTTATTACCATGGCTTTTCTTATGACTTTTATCGTTACCAATTTGGCTTGTTTTCTCTTGAGAGTTGGTTCTGCCCCCAATTTTAGACCTTCTTTCAAATATTTCAGCTCAAGAACTGCATTTACTGGTGGTGTGTCATCCATCATTGCTATGTATATTGTTGATGGTATATCTGCTACATCAGTCATTGTATTTTTAATTATTCTCATTATGTTGATACATTATCTGGCCCCTCCTTCGAAATTCGGAGATATTTCACAATTATTAATTTATCATCAAGTCAGAAAATACTTACTTCGTCTTAAATTACAAATGAGTGTGAAGTATTGGAGACCGCAAATACTTCTTTTATGTGATGATCCGCGTTCTTCTTGGAACTTAATTGGATTCTGCAATCATTTGAAAAAAGGAGGTTTATATATCCTAGGACATGTCGTTTTGATGAATGATGACACTGCTAATCGTGATCCTCGATTGAGCGAACCTTTAAATCAACTGGAATTTAATGTGGACTCGTATAAAGAAATTCTGAAACAACGTCAAGCATGGGTAAAGCTTCGTGACTTATCTAAAATAAAAGCATTTGTTCAAATTGCATTAGGTCCAACTTTACCTTGGGGAGTCCGTAATGTTTATCTTGGTTCCGGACTTGGTGGTATGAAACCTAACATAACAGTGTTAGGATTTTATGACTTTGTGAAGCATGGTGTGGACTTTCCTGTTGTTCCAAGCTTTGAAAAGGATAACAAAATGTTTCAACTTCCTACGGATGATTGCAGAAGGGAAAAGAAAATATCAATAAATCAATGGGTGCAAATAGTTGAAGATTTGATTATAATGCAAGCAACTGTCGCTGTGGCCGCCAACTTTACCAATTTAAACTTACCTAAGAACGACCATACACATCATCATTTTTGGTCTAAACCCAAAATCACAGACTCTGCAAAAAGATTCATTGATTTATATCCAATACAAATGTCATCTATCAATATTTTGGAAGATGGGAAATCAGTTCTCTCAACAAACTTCGACACTTATACCTTGATTTTACAATTGGGTGCAATTTTAGCTACAGTTCCTGAATGGAAATTCAGCTCACATGTTCTCAGGGTCATTGTTTTCGTTGAATCGCAAGATGAAGTTGAAGATGAAAAAAATCGTTTGGCTAATTTGTTATCATCTTTGAGAATAGATGCTCAAACCATAGTTGTTTGTCTTGACGATGGTAATTTGGATACTTATAATTTCGTTGTTAAAGGTTACAATGTTACTCCAACAAATAAACTTAAATTTGATAAAATTGACCGTATGTTGAAGAACGATCAGTGGTGGAAAAATTTGTGTAATGCAAGAACTACCTTGAAAGATTTGGAAAAACAAAGGGTTGCTAGAAGAAAACAATCTTTGAGATTTCAACAGCAAATTCCAGTCAATCATTCTAAATCTTCACTTTCATCCTCCGCAAATCTATCTGATGGCTCAAATTCTAATTTAAAGCTACAATCATTGAACTTAAATTCATCGAAGAACCCAGTCCATGAATCTAATCTCTCATATGATGACATCAAAGGAAACAGAAGATATACCATTTCCAATTTGCATGGCCAAGGATTATCTTTATCCTTTAATATGAAAACTCAACAAGGAAACGACTTTTTCAAATATGATGATTCTAATAGTGACAGTAGCAGCAGTAGTAGTGATAGTGAAAAAGAAGATTACATGGAATCTTCTGGTAATCTTGATGAGTATGGCTCTACTTCAAACTTGAATAAAAGGATCTCAAAAGGATCGCCATCACCTGCATTATCAGGAAATTCAAACCCAAAAACTTCTTCTGAGTCAAATAATAAGATTTATAGTTTAGGTGATCACTTTTTAGCGAAAGAAAAAGCACAAGGGGATAGAAATAACTCGTCGGACCAAATATCAATAAGGTCTTCTAGATCCAATTTAAAACCACATTTTTCGTCCGTTAAAACCCCTCAGGCTCAGCTAAATGTTGGGGAAGATGAAGAAGATGAAGAAGATGAAGAAGTTGGCAAGCAAAAAATCGGCTTTGTAAATGATGATCAATCCACTGATGACGAAGATGACGGTGATGATGCTATGGAAGAAAATCAAAATGAACTTGAAGATGTTGGTAGAGCTAAAAAAGAGAACGGAGTAACTACTGATTTAAACAAAAATGCCAGTACATCGAGTGATAAGGCTAAGCGTGGGTATTTTGATTTGGTTAAGCCTGCTGAAGAAAAATCAAGAAAGCTGCAGCTAAAAAAACCACTAACTTCTTCACCAAGTATACGATCACCCTCCATCATTTCAAATAATGATGAAATTATTCAGCACATGAGGACCCCTAAATTTTTAGCAGCCGATGATGACGATGATGAAAATCTTGATATGAATATCAGCCAATTGAACTTGTCGAAATCATCCGAGACCAATTATGGTTCCAACAATAGAAGTCAACCTTCGGGGGCATCAAACCTGAGGTCTGATTTCTATAATGGAAGACAAAAACCAAACGATACAAGTAGAGATAATTCTGCCCCCTTTACAAGAAAACATTTACAAGAAGAGTTGAGATCATTAACTTTCAATGATTTACCAGCTAAGGGACAACACATTATTTTGAATGAGTTGATGAGAAAAGTTTCTGACAAGGAGTCCACTGATGTGATTTTCTCTACGTTACCGGCACCATCACTCGGAACTCATTTATCTTATGATGATTCCTTCGATTATACCCATAATATAGCATTATGGCTCAATGAGTTACCTCCTGTTATGTTGTTGAACTCCCAAACTGTTACTGTAACAACTGCACTTTAGACTTACAATTAACGCATATATTCAACTATTTTTGATATAAATCCTGTAGCTACTATCTTCACAGAAATAACTTTTATTTTGCTAGACAATGACGATATGGTGAATCAAAAACCCTCTTCAGTAAAGTTGTAGCTAAGAAATGGGTGCAAAAAGTGATAATCATATTATTTTTTCATGGTTTGACTGACTATAAACATTTATTTATCTTTAAAGGAATGGACATTTAACTTGAATGGCTTTGATCATGTATTAAGAAGTACTTTCTGACATAATTATTTGAATTTGTTGAATTTTTGCTGAATTTATTCCAAATTTGTAAAAAGTAGTAACATAATGGTGAAATATCGAATCAGATCACAATTGAACCAGTGATGCAGAAGAAAATACAATTTTTTTTTCAAGTTTATATAACAAATATTTACAGATATAGATTGCGTTTTATAGAAAGTATTTACAGATTTATTAGTTTAATTTGATTCTGAGTCAGTTGGTTCAACTGATGCACGCATTTCAAGGTTTCCTACAGGCACAGCAGCCAATTCACCATCGCTATAGGAAGCTTTGAAAAAGGAATAATGCAAGACAACATCCTCAACATTTTTCATTTGGGGATCTTTAGCAAAGTCAGGATCAATAAAGAAGAAAACTGGCATATCGACTTCTTCACCTGCACTTAATCTTTGTTCTTCGAAACAGAAACATTGAATCTTATTAAAATATGGTGCTACTTGATCTGGAGTAACAGTATAGGTAGCCATCCCAATGATATCTTCCTTAGACATGTTTTTTGCTTTGTAGAATGCTAAAGCGGTTTCCCCAGGAACAATATAAACTTCTCTCTGTTGGGGAGTGAATTTCCAAGGTAAAATCCCTGATGCTTGACAAGTAAATTGGATTCTGATTCTTTTGTTGGTATCAACTGGTAAAACTTTATCGGGTGAGACTTTAGTATTATCCGTTATTGGAGTACCTGCCCAACCAGTTCTTTGACAAATGGCTCTATAAACAGGGACAGCAGCAAACGAAAGAGCAAGGAAAAATATCCCTAAAGATGCCGAATAGTAAGCTGCGCTTCTATTACGCATACGGGCTCTTGCTTCACGTTCATTCCTTATATTTTTATAATGCTGGCGAAGAAGTTCATTCTTTTCCTCTTCATTAAGTTTAAGTATTCTCGATCTAGTATGGAAACTTTTTTGCGGACGAAATCTTAATATATTAGCTTGAAAGCCCCTTAACACACTAAAAGACGTTCTCCCGAATCTGGAGAAACTTCTTATACCAATCATTCTTATACGTATTGCTTCTGATATACTAAGAAGTAATGATTGTATTTTTTTTTTGTCTTCGAAAATCGTACTACTAATATTTGAAAATTTTACAATCTTGGTGCGAATTTTTAGACTACGGAGTTTGACAACTACAGTAAACGGAAGCAAGTTGAACTATTGAATTAATGCAAGCTTTAGGCTAGTTTTTGTAAGCATTCAGAAGTGTATTGATCATTCATGGACATCAACGAAGCGAAATCTGAGTCTGACAAGTCTTGTTTAAGTTTTAAAGAGACCTGCTTGACAAATTCTTGTAGATTCACTTTATAAAGAGGATCATTACTTTCTAGTAATGATTGGTATCTTATCTTTTCGCCATGGGGCTTTATGTCCTGATCTAAGTATTGGTAGTCATCAATATCTTCATAAACTAAATTTTGGCTGTACAGGGAACAGAAACCATCTGAATTTTCTTGTACTTCTTCCAAAAACATGAAGGACAGTTTCAATATCTCGGAGAATTTGGCTGGAAGAGGTGAAAAATTCAATGGGACCCCGTATGCAGCTATTGCCAATAAGGCCATAATATTGATTTTCTTGTTTCGTGGATTTCCATTGTTGTTGTAGTATCTTAGCCAAATGTCGAAGAATTTATTGGTATCAATAGATAAATGGGATAACATTTTCAAAAACATTTCACTTGATTTGTACGCCAACCTCGACAATATTAAAAGAATCTTGTTAGCAGTGACAATGCTTTGGTTTTCATCGAGTACAAAGTTCACCATTTCACTGAATAACCCACTATTAATCAAATTGGTGACAAATGCTTCATCATCTGCTTTTGCAAGGAATAGGATGTCCATTAATGCAATGAAAATAGCAAAAGAATCATCCCTCATGCTTGAAATGTACCCCGATAAGGTTCTTAACATTTCCAAACCTGCATTTTCGTTGAATAAATTAGGATTTATTAAGGCATAGCTTCTTACTATTGACAAAATAGTGGGTAATATTTCAGTAGAATTAACTAAACAATAATGCACAAGATCAAATAAGCTCATTAGCTCATTAGCAGAAGCAGAAGCTGCTTGATTCATTGGAAGATACTGAAGGATCGATAACCATAAATCACAACCATCTTCTGATAAAAGGGTATAAAGATCACTATTTGAGCTAACACAATTTTTAACAAGAGGAAGAGTAATGACGTGCGTTTCTGGAGAATTTTCATTAAGCGCCACCACCAAGTTCTTTAAGATTCTCAAGAGAGAAGCTCTCAAAATAGCTTCTTCGTTATTAACATTGGTTTCATCCCAGTGACCAGGAATGATAGATAGAATACTCATTAAAGTTTGGTAGTCGATCAAGGGATTACATTTCTCGATCAATGTTGCTAAGGTATCCAAAACATATAATTTTGATTCAGTGAAACTCATCTGTGATAATAAATTAAGTGATAGTGAAACGAATTCTTTTAAAAAAGGTTGGAAATCTTGTTTGTTGAAATCCCAATCCTGAACAACATTTCTCAATGTTTGAATAGAAGTAAGTTTAACAACTTTATCATTAACCTTATTATCTGGTTGAAGAAAGTTGATTAAAAGTTTATAAATATCCACCCGACTCTCTCTAGAACAATCAACAGGAACCCATTCATTTATAATTAAACAAATTCTCCTTTTAATAATTTTATTTTCAGGTGAATCATTTTTCAAGCCTTCAGGAATGAAAACTTCAGACAATAATCTACCAAAGTTCACATTATTTGAAATTGAAGTAGCGGATAATTGGAACGTACACAAGGTAGCATCTTTCACCAAAATATCCATTGAGTTACTAATTCCATTTGAAATTTTGTTCAATATGAAATCAGATAATTCATCCTTGAAAAATCGTATCAAATCTTGGTAAAAATTTTCTGCACAAGGTCTGACCTGATATTCCCAACTAGTTGATAATTCTTCATTACACCATTCTTCTGGTTCTAGCAACCAACCTTCTAAATCAGATGGACGTAAACGGAGATACCAATTGATGATCAAGTCACATAAATGTTGCACGACTTGAGGAGTAAAAAATTCTTTTGAAAGTTTTGTGATTGCATGAGTTACTTCTTCTCTATCGTTTCTTTGCTTCAAAGTGATTGCACCTTTTTTGTAAATGTAAGTCATTAATCTTTTCAAGATGATTAACCCTTTGATCGCTAATACTTCCCAAAAATCATTATCCTCAGTACTTTCATAAATGACCTCTGCTTTTTGCTCGAGTAAAGTCAAGAATGTAGTCATAATATCTTGAGAACATGGTAATAATATGAAACTTGTTGGATTTGAATTAATCAAATTCACATAAAGTTTACTATAACTTTTCACATATCTTTCCAAAAGATCAGATGAGTATTTTTCATGCTCCATAACAAGACCTTGTAAATGGCTGACACTCACCTTGAGAAATTCAACAATATCGTGGTTTTTATGAGGTTGTTCAAAGCCCTCAGGGATAATCCTTCTCAAGTTTTTCAAACATAAGTAACAAATTTCCATAATGGTTAAGTCTAATGAGCTTGTCCAAATTTGGAAAAACTTAGAGTAAAGTTTGAACAAAACAGGTACTAAAATTGGTGCCTTACTTTGCATTGCATGTCTTGCTCTACCAATTCTTACCACTGCAACAGCTTTGATTATCTGGTTAAGGATTATAAGTAAATTATTAGTTGCAATCAAATCGTTTTTATTGAATACAAAATCTTCTAAATTATTAGAAATTTCATCAAATAATGTAGGCCAATCACCGGGGAAGTCAAACCTGACAATTCGTGCCACTGAATGAGCGTTCTGAATTGTCAATTGGTTATTCTTTTCACTTAATAATTGAAATAATCGACTTTTGATTTGCTCTTTTTCTTCTTTTTTAATCGAGTTTTGACGGGATGCCCTCCAGTATTTCTCAATACCATTTTTAAAACAAATAATTGCCAACCATCTCATTTGCAAAGGAAGCTCTGTATTCAAGTAAATATCCTGCAAAATGTAATGATACCCGGGTTGGATCTCCCAAGATTTCAACTGTGACTCGGCTTCCTGTTGTTTCCCGTTTCTCTCAGACTCATTGGCAACAGCTAGAACATTCAACACGTCATTGTAGTTCAAACTCATTTCACAATCCAAACCTGTTATTTGCACCTTTACAGTAAGTCATCATAACCTTGAAGCTTGTCTGATTTTTTTTTTTTTTTAATAGGATCAAAGCTGCCGGTACGCACACATACTTAACATCAAAGTCTTTATATTATTGAAGAAACTACTACAAATCTAGTATAAAAGCAAACAGAGAAGATATCACCATCTTTTGGCCTCATCACCTTCAGCCCATTCATATTCTTTGTAGCCTAGCTCTTGTTTAACTCTAGCGACCAATTTTTCGTCACCCATATTCTTACCAAGATTATCACTAATTTTCACTGATGGATTGCCATTAGCTTCCTTCAACTTTATGACGATGTTAAGGGGAGAGGATTTGGAATGTGGAACAGAAACAGTCTTGAAGTCATTGGTGAAGAAGGTACCTATACCAAAAGTTGCCTTTAGGCCCAATTTATCAGCCGTTGATTTATATTTCAAGCATTTTTCTATATTCAAGGAATCACTAAAACATATAACTTTGGAGAAATCTGGGTAACCTAGGGATTTATAATGGAGGGCTATTTTTTCAGCGTACAATTCTGGATCGCCAGAGTCTTGTCTGACCCCAGTGTAATAGTCCGAATAAGGTTTTTGAAAGACCTTTAAATAGGCATCGGTACCAAAGGTGTCAGTTAAAGCCAAACCGGCAAACCCAGGACCAAAAGTTTTCAACCAATAATCCATAGCATTTTTATTGGCATTCAAGTAATCTTCAGTGACTGAAGCAATACCCATGTACCATTCATGTGCAACGGTACCAATTGGAGCCAAATCATATTTTTTAGCCAAATAAACATTAGAAGTACCGATAAGTAAAGGATTTTTATTTGCATATTCAGCCAAAGCCTTCACTACAATATCTTGAGTCTCATGAGACCTTCTTCTTCTAGTACCGAACTCACTAAAGGGACAGTTATTCTCGAATAACTGTTTACATTTAGATTGGGCCAATTCATATTGGCCATCGTAGTTCCAATCAGTATCAACAAATTTGAAATAAGCTTCGGATACTAAGGACAATATCGGGATTTCATAAAGAATGGTCTCACTCCATTTACCACTGATCTCAATTTCAAAATTACCTAGGTTTTCTTCATCATTATAATATTGAATCTGTTGAGCCGGATCCAATTTAAAATCTTTTAAATAATCAAGGTAAGATTGTGGAATCTGACTAATAGTTTTCTTCAAGTACTCTATTTCATCATTGGAAAAAGAAAGCTCACCCAAGAGACTTATCTGATCCTTGAGCCACGCAATAGCTTCCTTGTTAAGTTCCATTGACGGTGTTCTGTTAGTAAATTTGTAAACCACATCGATGCCCGGGAAGTTATCGTGGACCGCAGCTTGCATGGATAACTTATACAAGTCTGTATCCAATAATGATGGAATAACAGGACTTGAACTAGGCATTTCCAGAGTGTTTCAAATATCTTCCTTAGGTTAAAATTGGCTCAATCCCTTGTGAATTGTCTGTTCCTAGCTCTATCTAATGAAAAATCATTATCTGATATCTCTGGTGCCCGTAATTTTTTCTCACCAAACTATGATTTTTTACAAAATTTTTATGGCCATACAAAATTACAAGCTACAACACGATAAAAGAAACATGAGGGAATAGAAATTAGGAATTGAATTAAGTGTTAACTAAGTAGTTTTACAATTGAAGTAGAGAACTAGAGGATTAAGTATAAAAATCAAACAAGAAATTTTAAAAGCAAAAACAAAGAAAGAAGTACGTGATGTAAAATGTCATTAAAGATAAATGCAATATCAATGTATATCAACACTGCCTAAGGTGACCCAGTCGTTCACGTCACCCTCACAAAGGACTAGTTTCAAAACACCACCGTTCCAGCCAAGTCCGTTATCGTCAATGAACTCGGAGTCACAATTATCGATATTCAAGTAGTCCAGCACTCTGGTCTTTATGGTTCTCCATAATGCACTGTCAATTGGATGGATGTCACTGTAAACCAAAGAAAGATGGGGATCAAATTCATCAACCACCCACTCAGCAGCTGCTACAGCGGACTCTTGATGTATTCTATCCATATCCAAAGGTTTCAAATTGGATTCTGGTTCGGGAGAATGATGAGACTTTGGTTTTTTTATCTTCGATTTCAAAACTATCTCTCCGTGGCTATCACGGGTATATAACTGAGGATTATGGATTTTATTTTCCCGGTCAATAATTTCTGGTAAAATTACAAATAGTTCTCGAATAATTCTTGCAAATGATAATAAATTAGGATCTTTACCTACTTGAAAGTATAATTTCTTGAAAAACTTTCTCTGACTATTAATTTTCCCTAATTTTATTAAACTTTCATGATTTTTAGGTAACGAATTCATTGCAACTGCACTTGCCAGTAATATTCGATCAACATCGTCTCTTGTTTTATTGGAATCATCTAGATTTATATCAACATTGGTGGTTATAGTCACATGCGGATCAAATTTGGGTGCTTGCCCCGGGAATATGGTATTCAACGAACCCATTAGAGTAGTCAATTTATCATAAATTGTACTATTTTGTTTGGGACAAAGCCATAAAGCGACACCTATTGCTAACAGTTCACCGTTAGTACTCTCAGTTCCAACACCCGTAGCTCAATCAATAACATACCCATTGCTTCAGTAAGATCTTATCTGATAAAAAGAATATAGAAAGTTTTATCAAAGAAAGAGAACAAAAAAAAAAAAGGAAGAAAAAAGAGGGACGAATTAACTCGGAGCAAAAACCTGTACCGATTCTATTGAAGCTTCGACTGCAAACTAAGTAGAAACTCGAATTGCAATCAGGGATGGGTCTACAGGTATGTTAAGCTATATGTGTATTGAATAAGCTATATTGTTATTGATCAGCTGTCGTTGGGATTAATATTTCGATGCGATTACATCCACGCCATTGATTGCAGCATCATTGACAAACCAATTGACGTCAACCCCAGTCTTGATATCAGTAACTAGTTTAGAAGGTAATTTACTGGAAGGGTCATTGAAGATCTCTTTTAAAATTGGGGCTTTACCTTCACCTTCAGCAACAAAGGCAATGGAAACAGCATTTTCCAAAACTGGGAAAGTGAAGGTGATTCTTCTTGGTGGGGGTTTTGGGGAGTCGCTGATATAGGAGATCAATTCATTTCTTTCGTTCAAGAGTTGGTGGCCTGGAAATAAAGAGCAAGTGTGACCGTCTGGACCGCATCCTAATAAGATTAAATCAAGTTTATGATCTTTTGGTAATTTTGATTGGTAATCTTTAGCAATTTCGATATCTTTTGCTTGGTCTGCACCGGAGGCTTGACCATCTTGACCAGTTAATAAGCTCTCGTTAATGGTATTAACTTTTGGTTTGGTAGTACCTTCTGGTAAAGATTTCAAAACCATTTCATTGAATAAACCAAAATTTGAATCTGGATGATCTAAAGGAACAATTCTTTCGTCACTGAAGAAAACTTCCCATTTATCCCACTTGACTTTTGGAGCAATGTCCTGGTTATCAATTAAAGCTTTTTTCAAGACTTTTCCTAATGATCCTCCGGATAAAGCAATCTTAAAAGTCAGACCGGATTCTAAAGCAGAATTTTGAAGTTTAAGAACATGTTTACCTACAGCATTGGCAACATCGGCCGATTCAGCGTGAGAATACACTTTTGGAGACATCATATACTTTGCAGACCCTTCAATTGACTTAAATCTAAAACAATTGAAGATTTGACTGAATTTTAAGCATATTTTTATATTGAGAAACTACAAAAATTTTCGCACTACCAAATCGTTGCTATGATTGCAAATATGATTAGAAATATATATATACATATAATGGGAAATTAATATACAAAAGAATTGAAGCAGAGGCAAAAAGTCATTAATCAAGATAGTGAGCGTAATCCGTACTGTCTTTTATCTTATTATTCATAAATTTTTCTAATTTAGAAGCATTTTTATAGTAAGTAGTAGATTCAGCATTATAAGCACGACAGTTATTGAAAATTAGTCTAGAATCATATAAGAATTGATCAAAAGATTCATACTTATCATTTTCTAATTTCAGCTCCATGGTAGATAAATCCATTGGTTCTTTAATGACATCATAATAATCACCAACTTCTTCACGATTAACTGGTACTGCAAAGGGCCAAGCTGAAGGATGATTAGTTAATTCCGATAATAAAGTAACCATAAAGTTATAATGAGGACCTCTTTTAGGTTTCTGAGCTAGTTTGTCCATTTCTTCCAGCCAACCACTTTCCACTAGACCAGGAATATCTTTTGCCGGATTGAGATTAATATTTTTGTTAGATTTAAAGATTTGTAAGCCTGGTCTAACAACATGAGATTTTGATCTTAATTTGATTTTTTTTTCAATGGCCGCTTTTTGCAATAATAATATTTTGCCCAGGTCTAAGTATCTTAAGATGGAAGGTAACATTGCACATTGCATTAGAGTACCTCCTTCATAATCTTTAATATAACCGGTCCATACTGATTTAGCCAAAGAGATTTCTTTAGTGAAACCTTGTTTTTTGAAATAACCAATTGCATAATTATCAGCATAGGTTAAAAAATATTTAATTGGAGAAGTAGCCCGAACATAATCTTTTAAATGATTCATCAAATGGGCACCATAACCTCTGACTTGTTCAGTAGATGAAATAGCACAGAAAACAATTTCGGCAAACTCTCGATTATTAAATGGTCGATAAGTTATACCCCCAACAACAGTTAATGGTTTTCTAACAACTGCCATTGATAAATGGGATCGATCGTATACCAATCTTGAAATATATTCTCGGGGCATTTTGGGCAATTGTTTTTGGAAAATGTTCTTAAGACCCGTTAACACAATCAAATTTTCTTTAGTATTATCGTTATTAACCACTCTGAATTCAATCTTACCTTCTTTCTCTTCAAGGACTGACGGTCTTTCTTTAAATGAGTAAGTGACCCCATCGAAATTGAACGTCGTGGTTCTTTTTCTTTCCTCTTCATCATCATCGTCATCGTCGTCATCGTCGTCTTCGTCTTCATCGTTCTTGCCATTGGATTCTTCTTTCTCTTGTGCTTCTTGTTTAATCGGCTTATCATCCTCGTCGTCGTCCTCTTCCTCTTCCTTTATTCTGGTTTTCTTCATCGTAGGCTCGCTCTCTTCATCGTCTGACTTCACCGAATAGGCCCTTTTTCTATCTACCATCGTCAATTTGTATAGATTGATTCAATCCTTCAGCTTGTCTTTATCTTGTTGTTTTCGTCTTTGATTTTTCGAACAAAGCTTGAAGAAAATGTCGCGCGCGACATTTTTGCCAACTGCAAAATTTATAACTCTAGATACACTAGATGTCTTCCATAGTTAGCATCCAAATGAACCGGAAAGGTATACGATATAGAAGGCTAGAGCTTCCAGCCTGAAATTGACTATTGAACAGACCATTGATCAATTTACCAGGTTGTTGACTCGACTATTGTAATTTTATTGACTAACTTACCAGGCTATTGACTAGTCTATTGACTAACTTACCAGGCTATTGACTAGACTATTGACTAACTTACCGGGTTATTGACCTATTGGCTGACTGGAATAACTCCATTCACAATAGGCATGCCTGGGCCTAATACAAGTAGGACAGTGTAGAATGAATATATAGGTCTATAGTAGTATTTGTATTTGTAAACCCAGATTCGAGGGCACCGCACGTGACCTCACCATTCCCGAAACTCTGCTGAAAAAAAATTCTAAGATGAGCTTTAGTCATCTTTGATTTTTTACCATTTGAATCTACTTCAAAGTATATAGTCAATAGTGGGTTAAGATGTCGAACTATTCTCAGCTAGAACATAACCACGGACAGGGCCAGGGAGCGGTGGCAACGGTCTTATGTTGCAACTGTGGTGTGCCCATGGACGGGTCCCAAGGGTTGGTTATGTGTTACGATTGTATCAAGTTAAATGTTGATATTACCGAAGGTATTCCAAGAGAAGCAAATGTTTCGTTTTGCAGAAACTGTGAACGTTTCTTGCAACCCCCTCAGCAATGGGTCCGAGCACAATTAGAATCTAGAGAGTTATTAGCAATTTGCTTAAAGAAATTGAAAGGGCTTAATAAAGTTAGATTAGTTGATGCTTCATTTATTTGGACCGAACCCCATTCTCGTCGTATTAGGGTCAAGTTGACCGTGCAGGGAGAGGCCATGGCCAATACCATTGTGCAACAAACCTTTGAAGTCGAATACGTTGTTATTGCCATGCAATGTCCTGATTGTGCCAAATCCTATACGGCAAATACTTGGAGAGCAACTGTGCAAATCAGACAAAAAGTTCCTCATAAAAGAACTTTCTTGTATTTAGAACAATTGATTTTGAAGCATAATGCACATGTTGATACTGTTTCGATTCAAGAAGCAAAAGATGGATTGGATTTTTTCTATTCACAGAAAAACCATGCTGCTAAAATGTTGGATTTCTTATCAGCAGTGGCTCCAATTAAAGCTAAAAAATCAGAAGAATTGGTTAGTATGGATATCCATTCTGGTTCTTCTTCTTATAAATTTTCCTTTTCCGTTGAAATTGTTCCAATTTGTCGTGATGATTTAGTGGTTTTACCTAAAAAATTAGCCCATTCAATGGGTAATATACCAAGACTTGTTTTATGTTCGAAAATTTCTAATTCTGTCCAGTTTTTAGACCCAAATACTTTACAAATTGCTGATATGTCTGCTCCAGTCTATTGGAGAAGCCCATTTCCTTCTTTAGTTGATGCAACTCAATTAGTTGAATTTATTGTTCTTGATGTTGAACCAACTGGGGACGTTAGAGGTAAACATGTATTGGCGGATATAACTGTTAGTCGTGCAAGTGATTTAGGGGTCAACGATAATTCATTCTACGTAAGATCTCATTTAGGTGGTATTCTTCATCCGGGTGATTCTTGTATGGGTTATTATTTATCTAATTCTAATTTTAATTCCGATCTTTGGGAAACTTTAGATACCGCCAACACTCCAGAAGTTGTTCTCGTTAAGAAACATTATGCTAGAAAATCTAGAGCTTCTAAGAATAGAAAATGGAAATTGAAGAGAATGGCTAAAGAACATAATGATATTGTTGCAAATGATGATTCTAGACAAGCCAGACAAGAACAAGAACGTGCTGAAAGAGATTATGAATTATTCTTACAAGAATTAGAAGAAGATGAAGAATTAAGACAAACCATTAACTTATATAAATCAGGTGATAGTCAACCTCAAAAACCTAAGGATGAAGATGATATGGATGATGAAGATGAAGATGCCCCAGAAATTGGTATCGATGAATTATTGGATGAATTAGACGATTTGGCATTAGAAGATCATCCAATGGATGGTTAATCCACAGCATTCTCTCCACCTCTTTTGTATATTAGTACCTTCTATCTAGGCTTATTTAATGGCATAATTAGTTTTCTTCTTTGATAATTAACCTTGTAATCGATTATTAGCGGTGCACGGGTGCGTATTCCCTTGACTCAAAATTTGTGGAGTTGTACTGATAAACTGCGTGGGATAAGCTTATCAATAACTTGATCTCTTCCTATATACCAACCGGGATCTTTAAAATGGATAAACTTCAGACTACCGACAGAAAGGGACCACTTAAGTTCACTCCTATTCAATCTTTTGTGGAGTCATCCTTTTTCACCAAGTTGGCAGACTTGAAACTAAATGAGTTTAAATTAGACTCCAAGAGAAGACCAATAAAGGCATTTATGACCAATCCAAAGAGACTAAGCAAGTTCAATGATAAACCAATTGTTAATCTCGACTATTCCAGTTTTGATGGTGAAATCAAAAGTAATACTGATAATATCTGGTTGAATGGTCATCTATATAATGTCAATACTATCGAGGAATTCAAACTGCTTGATAAACTGAACTTATTGAAGGATTGGGGAAAAGAAATATTTAATGATATTATTGGCGCCGATCATTTGGAATTTAAAAATATTGATAGGTTTTTCCTTTTAACGTTCTGTGATTTGAAAAAGTATAAATTTTATTATTGGTTTGCGTTTCCTGCTTTGCATTCTAGTTGGAACATTCTTGAATCTTATAATAATAACGAGTATGAACTAGAGATTGAAGAATACATCAAACAGGATAACGGTGATCAATTTTTACAAATAATTGACGGCGAAATTCATAGAATAAAAGATATTCAATTGAGTAAATTGGGTTCTTTTGCTTATATAGATAGCAGTCTAAACACAGATAAAACCCCTTCTATCCAACTCAAGAATTATTTATTTTTTTTAGCAGCTAAAGGGTTCGAAGTAATTGATTTGCTCATATATAGAAATAACGGGTCTTCATATACACTCAAACTTGAATTAGATAAGAATTCATTCAACATTAATGAAATACCTAAAATGACTGGTTGGGAAAGAACCGCTCAAAAGAAGCTTGGTCCCAAATTAGCTGATTTAGGCTCCTTGATTAATCCACATCAATTAGCTGATCAAGCGGTGGATTTGAATTTGAAATTAATGAAATGGAGAATTGCTCCCGAATTAAATCTCGATACCATAAAAAGCCAAAGAGTTCTTTTGCTAGGTGCTGGTACTTTGGGTAGTTATGTATCCAGAACCTTAATGGGGTGGGGGGTTCGAAAAATTACTTTTGTTGATAATGGCCGTGTATCGTACTCAAACCCGGTTAGACAGCCATTGTTTGGATTTAAGGATTGCTTTAGTGATAAGGGTCAAGGGGAATGGAAGGCAACACGAGCTGCAGAATCATTGAAAGAAATCTTCCCAGGAGTAGATTCTGAAGGCATCAGTATGGAAGTTCCCATGATTGGACACCCAGTTACCGATGAAGTCAAACAAAAGAAGAACTTTGATGATTTGAATGAATTGTTTGATGCTCATGACATCATTTTCCTTCTTATGGATTCAAGAGAATCAAGATGGCTACCTACCCTTCTTGGTACCGCCAAAGATAAACTTGTGATCAATGCTGCATTAGGATTTGACAGCTATTTGGTGATGAGGCATGGGAATGCGCAAGAACCTGAAAAGCAAAGACTCGGTTGCTACTACTGTAATGACGTCGTAGCTCCAAATGATAGTTTGTCAGATAGAACTTTGGACCAGATGTGCACCGTTACCAGACCCGGTGTTGCATCAATTGCATCCTCATTGGCAGTGGAGCTTTTGGTTTCCGTCTTACAACACCCAGATGGCCGCCATGCCCCATACCCAAGTGAATCTCTGCCTAAATTCGGTGAAGTTCCTCATCAAATTAGAGGATTCTTACACAATTTTCTGCAGACAAAGCTTCATGCACCAAACTACAAATTCTGCTCTGCTTGTTCTGACCCAGTGGTTTCTACTTTCAAACAGCAAGGTTGGCAGTTTATCAAAAACTGTTTGAATGACAGTAAATATCTAGAAGAAATATCTGGTCTCAAAAAAGTGCAAGAAGAGGCCGAAAAGGCTTCACAGGCAATGCTAGACATGGCAGACTTCGAAGACGATCTCGAGTACGGCGACGAAGAGATAGACAACGAATGGATTAGTTAGTCTTGCCAAAATGGTAAGACGAATAGACATATAGTCAAATATGAGTATGTTAATATAAATTTTCAAACGCGCGATATTGTTTATGTTTTTTTTTTGTTTTTTTTTTTTTTTTTTTCTTTTTATTTAATTCGAACTTCCTTTGAAAGGATATACAAGCGCTGATACTAATTCACTTTACTATCGAAGATTGGAGTATCGAGAGCTTTGATTCGGTAAATGACTAGCTATATCTCGCCACAGGCAGGAAGTCCTGCACCGGAATCGACAGTTATAACGCTAGCGCCAGAACCAAACATTCTTCATTCATGTATTAATCAAAGCGGGAAGATTCGAAAAAAGAAGCCATATGCTTTGAGTAACCTTCAAGATTTGAAAATACAACAAGGGCTTATCATAAAAGATCTTTTGTTCTCCTTATTGGGGTTTGAAGGTTCGTATATACGCTACAGTGAAAGGTACGATGCATCGGAAGTTGATTTTAGAATAAAAGGTCCAGATTTCAAAATTGCTAAACACCTAGACGTGAGTTTAAAAATAATAACTAAGTCTTTGGTTAGGTACGGGAAATATTACTCTGGTCTTGTCGGGTTTTTGGAGTATTATGATCAACCTGATCACGGGAAGATTGTTCAAAAATTATGCTATGTTATAACTAATTTCTTACAGAAATACCAGCAAGTGATAATTGAAATGGAGCAGCAGTATAAATTCAATGCCAAGTTTAACTTGAGTGCTCTTGAAAATTCATTGAATCAAGAAATTGGTACAGAATTGGCCCATATATATGATCTAATAATCAGTATACACGATGAAACCATGCAAAGACAGGCATTAACGAATCAAGAGAAAAATGAACTATATGTACTGAATTTTTTTCAAAATATTCAAAATGACTTACAGCAAACAGGTTCAATAGATTTTTCCACCGATAATAGCAAATTCAATGTTTGCAAAGGGGGGTTGGTATTGCAAATTGTTCAATCAAAAATAATATCATATAAAGGTGATCCTGTATCACTTTCTTTCTTAACTTCATTGTTTGATTCGATAAGTGCAGACTATGTTGAAATGTTAAATCAATGGTTAATGAATGGTGAAATAGATGATCCATTCGAAGAATTTTTAATAAAACAGAATAAACTTCCAGATAGTTTAAGCCAAATATTTCATTTTAGTATGGAAAAATACTGGGATGAACTATACATGACTAAATCAGATGGGCTAATAGATCAATTTAAAAGTAAAGAGATTCAGTTCAAGATTCTATCAACTGGGAAATTATTGAATATTTTCAAAACTTGTACTGGCCTTGATAACTTTGAAAATTTGAATGAAAATTTAAATCCAATCCACAGTTTATATGCTCAAGATTTTGAATTGAAAATTAGCAAGTTTTATGAACGTGCAAATAGACTATTTTTGAAATTGACCTTTGAAGGTTACAATTTTAATCAGCTAATAGACCATCTCGAAACCACCTATTTATTCAAAGAGTCTTCTCGAATTGATTCATTTTTAGATAGATCTTTTAACGACTTGAAAAGAAACAAGCATACTGTTTCAAGTTCAAGATTGATCAAAAGTTATAATGATATTTTCCATGCGGGTCTTAATGAATTTAACGTGATTCTGCTTGACGATAATGAACCCCAAGATAATTACCAAGGGAATATTTTTTCTGGGTATGAATCGTTTTCTATAGAACCTATCAATTTTTTTGACACTGCAAAGGAAATCATCAACGTGACTACGTTTGATGTCGAAGAGGAATTAAAGGGAGGGGCAACGCTGAAAACCTTGAAATCTCTAATAAATAAAGCCATAGGAGAAAGAGAGCTAAATCTGGCTCAGGAATCTTCTAATAGTGATCAGGCAATGTACGATCCTGATCATTTTGATGATTATGCCATGAACGCTGTGAATCTTGAATTGAAGCTTCCTTTCCCATTGAACTTGATTATAACGGAGAATTACACTTTTGAATATCAATTGATATTCAAGTTTCAAATTATAATAAAATTTATAAGCAAACTTTTGGATACTACTTGGAAGGAAATATCGTATTCTACTGTCTGGAAATACTCGAAATTTAGCAATAAAATAAAAAAATGGGCTTTAAGATGTCGAATCTTGCATAATAGAATGAAGGATCTCATGAACGAAATACAAAGCTATATAAATTACGAAATAATTGATCACAATTCAAATAACTTGAAACGATACTTAGTTGGTATCGAAAATAACCTACATAAAAGAAAATTAGGTTCATCTGAATCTCCACCACCTCCAACCGGTACGCAGTCCATATTTGGCAATTCAGGAATTTCCCATCATAAGTCTGCGTCCTTAAACATCACTAATAATCAAAATAATAATATTTTTGACCAAAAAATCTTTGCTCAATCAACTCGTCATGTTAATGGTAATGATATCAATGGAAGATCACGTCATCCAGCCAATGGGAACCAGACAAATAGTAACCAGAACCCCCAAGATCAAATAATTGAAGAAAGCGATATTGATGTTTATCGCTTAAGTTATAAGATTGGATCATTTCTCAATAATTTATTGAGAGATTCATTAATTACAAATCGGGTATTGATCGATTCAGTGAAGAACTTATTTGACGTAATAATTCTGTACAATAATCATTTACAGAGGTTTAGAAAACCGATTATTTTGATTAATGTTGAGTTATTTGAACAATTTAGTCAAGTTTACCCTGATAAATTTGCAAATAAAAGTATGGATGAAGACGCGATAAATAAACGATTTGATAATTTGAATCAATTGTTGAACGCTCATTTCGAGTTATTCAACCTGGCTCTTACTGAGTTTATAGTAAACTTAAAGAGTCATGGTGAGTTGGAAAACCAACTGTTTTCCATCTTAATTGAAAGATTAGAAAGGTGTTTCCCAGATCGTCAATAATTTCATTTTTGCTTCATTAATCTATTCATCGGCCTACGTTGTATTGTATACTGTCCTTCTAGTTGTATATTATATATTGTGTACTATTAATATATAGATTAAAATAGATTTTTTTTTTTTTTCAAAGAATTAACTATCATTAGTTTCATCAGTTTGTTGTTCGTTTAAGACCTTAATAATTTCATCAGTTTTTTCATCACTGTAAACTTGGAATCCACCATCAGCGGTGACACTTGCTAATTGAGCATTTTTACAATCTAATTTTTCTTCCATTACTTGTTTTAAAATCTTTAATGCTAATAATTCAGCGTCTTTTAAAGTTAAAGATTTATGGTATTCATTTTGTAATTCAGTTTGAGCTCCTTCAGAACCAGAACCAATAGCTTTAGCATCATATCTATAAAAAGTACCACTTGGTTCAGCATGATATAATTGAGGACCTTTATCTTTATCAACACCAGCAATTAATAAAGCCACACCAAAAGGTCTTGACATTAATCTTTTTTCACCACCAGCACCTTCACCGAATCTTAAAGCCAAATCACAAACTGATTGAGTTAAGCTTTCAACTTGAATTTCTTCATCGTAATATAAGTTATGGGTTAAGGAGGAAACTCTAGCATGGTCAATCATTGATCTAGCATCGGCGGTTAATCCACTCATGGCACAACCAATATGATGATCAATTTCCACAATTTTTTCAATTGATGAATGTTCTAAGAGGGGGGAAGTGACTCTTTTTTCAACACTTAATATCACTCCTTCTGAGGTTTGAATACCAATAGCGGTAGAACCTAATTTAATGGCTTCTAATGAGTATTCAACTTGAAATAATCTACCTTCCGGTGAAAATGTACTAACACCACGATCGTATTCACTTCTTGTTAAAAACATGACTAGTTATTATTCTTCAATTGACAAGGATACGTATGATATTTGAACGAGAAAATCGAACTGAATGCAATCAATGGTTGGATGGTCGTAGATATGTGATAGTGCTGTTTTGAAGGTGGCAAGAGTCTTTTTTTTTTTTTGAGTCTTTTCAAAAACACGCACCCGTGCACCATGTATATTACCATATACTAAATTCGATTATACGATTAGGACTACAATTCAGACCACGATTAGGACTACAATTCAGACCACGATTAGGACTACACCAGAGATTACAATTGAAAGTGATATGGAAATTTTGATCTTATAAATAATTATCTAAGAAATACTTAAGCTTTTGGGGCTAAAGAGACAATTTTTTCGGCAGCAGGGTCTAAATCTTCAAAAGCGAATAATTTCAAACCAGAATTTTCAATTAATTCTTTAGCTTTAGCCATGTTAGTACCTTGTAATCTAACAACAACTGGGATATCTAATTTGAAGTTTTTGGTGGCAGCAATTAAACCTTCAGCAACGTAATCACATCTGACAATACCACCAAAGATGTTAACAAAGATACCATTAACTTTTTTATCGGATAAGATTAATTCAAAAGCTTTTTCAATAGTTTGAGGAGTAGCAGTACCACCACAATCCAAGAAATTAGCAGGTTCACCACCGTATAATTTAATGATATCCATGGTAGCCATGGCTAAACCAGCACCGTTAACAATGTTGGCAATGTTACCATCTAATTTAATGAAATTTAAACCGTATTCAGCAGCTTCACGTTCTTGTGGATCTTCTTGAGTTGGATCTCTCCAGGAGAAAACTTCTTGTTGACGGAAAGAAGCGTTATCATCGAAACCTAATTTAGCATCCATGGCCAAAACTTTATGATCAGGAGTTTCGGATAAAGGATTGATTTCAACTTGAGTACAATCTTTTTCAATGAAAACATTATATAAGTTTTGAACGGTTTTAGCGGCTTCAGGAATGGCTTCTGGGGAATAACCCAAGACTGAAGCAATATCGGTGGCTAAAGAGTCAGAAACCCCTTCGTTTAAAGGAACTTTGAAAGTCTTGATAGCATTTGGATCTTTAGCAGCAACCCCTTCAATATCCATACCACCTTGAGCAGAAGCAACAATCATTGGAGTTTGAGAAGCTCTATCCATTAAAATAGCCAAATAAGCTTCGGTTTTAGCGTCTCTTCTTTCAACAACATAAACGGCGGTAACTTCTTTACCAGCAGCACCAGTTTGTTTAGTAATTAACTTATGATTCAACATTTTTTCAGCCAAATCTTTGGCTTCTTCGGGAGAAGAAATCAATTGAACCCCACCTTGGAATCCATTATCGAAATGACCTTTACCACGACCACCGGTTAAAGCTTGGGCCTTAATGACCAATTCATTAGTACCCAAGGCTTTGGCAGCATCAAAGGCCCCTTGAGGAGTGGTTGCAGCAGAACCGTCTGGAACACCAACACCAAAAGATTTCAATAAAGCGGCAGAACGGTATTCATGTAAAGATAAGTATCTTTTTTGTTGAGCAACGGACTAGAAAAATAGTTAGTACCAGTTAATAAATTAACCAATTGATCATTGGATTGGAGTTAAGCTTATTCATTTATGCAATAACGCATCCGTCAAACGGAACAACCCCGAAAGCCGGGGATAAGGGGTTCACTCTATGATTTCCCAAATCCTGGGGTCGAACGGAAAACTGGCCCCGTCTGCCAGCCCACCACTTAACCAGTCAACCAGTTAATCCAACCAGTTATCCACTTCAGCAATAATTCAATCAGAGATCAGCATTCACTAACCCAATCGCCCATTCAAATCAACCCAATTCAATCAATTCAGCAATCCTAATACATACTCTTGAAGCACGAGCAATGGTTCTAGACAACATTGTAGTGTGATTGAGTGAATAGATAGAAAATATATGGAAGAGAAGAAAGAAAAAGAAGAAGGTTTATATGATTTTAAATCCTAATAAAATGTTGTCAGAAACTCTCCCCAAAACGAAGCACAGGAAAAAAAAAACTCCAAACTGAAAAATTGGAGCTGTGTGCAGGAAACCTGCCCTCGCTCCTGGACGATGCACTTCCGAACTCATAAACAGACCCGTACCGCACCTCTGGTCCGATTTTGCTTTTTTTCGTTCCCGGAAGTCGCCGGGCGCGTTTGCCCGGAGCGTTGGTCCGGCTCGGCCCTCCCTCAGTCCGAGTTACATCATTGACTATTGATTTGTATTGAATATTGATTTGTATTGAATATTGATTTGTATTGATTTATATTGACTATTGATTTATATTGAATATTGATTTGTATTGATTTGTATATTGACTATTGATTTGTATATTGAATATTGATTTATATATTGAATATTGATTTATATATTGAATATTGATTTATATTGAATATTGATTTGTATTGATTTATATTGATTATTGATTTGTATATTGATTATTGATTATTGATTATTGATTCAAATTGATTCAAATTGATTCAAATTGATTATATTGATTTTGATTCATATTGATTTATATTGGTTATATTGATTTATATTAGATATTGATTTATATTGGTTATATTGATTTATATTGACTGTATTTAAATTGTATTTACATTTCCATCGATGTACCGATTACACTACATTGACTTATTGATCGACTCTATTTGAACAGGCTTAATGGTTTCTCATACATTTGTAAATTGAAAAGTGGCTCATACATTGATTATCGGCTCATACACTGATTATTGGCTCATACATTGATTTTCGGCTCATATATTGATTATTGGCGATCTTTAGCTTATTTATATTGATCAATTAACACTAATGCTTATTTATCTATTCCTTATATTAATACATTCATGTATAGGCTGCAAAAGCGGCCGCCCGATTCGGAAAACCGATAAAAAAACACAAGGTGTACGGAGGTGTTGATAATGCACGGGTGGAGGTCTGCTCATCGCTAGTGAAAATTACATAGCACCAATTCCTTCTGGCAAGTGATTAGGCAACCATGTATAAAACAGTCAGACCATCGTATGACGATGAAAACGAAAGCGAAGACGACTTCTTGGGAAGTGTGTTGGACAAGAAAGAACCGCAAGACGACGACGAATATAGCACTCTTTCGTTCGATGCTTTAAATAAGGCCCAAAATCAATTATCCAAAAATAAAACCAACAAGTCAAAACAACCAAAAGGAAAATCGAAAATAAGAGAAAGCCGATCAAGCGACGAAGAAGAAGATATAAGTAAGCAGGAAGAATTAAGTAAGAAAGAAAAGAAAAGAAATAAACATGCTCCAGCAGAATCATCCACTAAGAAACCAGTTTCAAGAATAAGAGAGATCCCTGGTCTTGTAACTAAAAAGGATAGCACCCTTCATACCGATATAAGATTTGATCCAGCGTACGGTAAGGCCGATTTACAGAAAACCCGTAAGAATTACTCCTTTTTAGATGATTACAGAAAAGAAGAAATTAAACAAATGGAATCAATATTAAAAGATAAATCAAAAAACCGTTTTTTATCAGAATATGAACAAGGAGAAATTCAACATAAGTTACAATCTTTGAAATCAAGATTAGATACTATGAAAAATCGTGATTTAGAACATGAAATATTAGCAAATCATAAAAAAGAACAAATGCTTAAAGTTAAATCGGGTGAACAAGTTAATGTCTATCATTTGAAGAAAAGTGAACAACGTAAATTAATCCAAAAGGCTAAATTTGACTCTATGAAATCAAGTCAAAGAGAAAAAGTTATGGAACGTAAAAGAAAAAGAAGATTGGGTAAAGAATTTAAACAATTGGAATTTAGAAATAATAATTAATATATTTGTATTAAAGAGCAGAAAAAACATTATTGTAGAAGATAAACTATATGACAAGAACGATAATAAAAAGAGAGTTTATGCAATTGAAAGAAAAAAAATAATTTGTAGAATTCTATAATTTGGCTTGAGGTTGTTCAGTTTCAACTTGTTTTTCACCTTTAGCATTTTCTCTAGCAACCCAATCTTCCCAGGATCCGACGTAATTACCTCTTTTTTCGTATCCAAAAGTATTGGCCAATTCTTCGGCTGCAGTAGATCTAACTCCTCCTAAACAATAGAAAACTAACTCTTTTTCCTTTGATGGTTTTTCAAATCCAAAATTTTCTTCAAAATCTTCTGGAGATAATTCAAGTGCTCCTGGAGATGATTTAAATGGGATGTTTAACGAGTTTGGAATGTGTCCATCGTGGAATTCAACCGGTTCTCTAACATCAATTAATAAACTATCTGGATGACTTTCTGGTTTACTAGCCAATTCTTTAACATCTTCATACTTATATAATTTGGCTTGGGGTGAAGTTGATAAAACACTGTAAAAACGAGTTTGAGAATATGGTCCATATGCTAATCTCAATGGTTTAACCAGTTGGAAAGTATTCAATCCTCTAATTGGATTTGTTCTAGTTATAAAACTTCTAATTAAATTCCCACGGAATTTACCTAAAATTTGACGGGTAGATTGTCTTAAAGTAAACATTTTGGCTCTGGCTGTTTATCACTTTTCCAATAAACAATTTAAATGTTTCCAAATTGATTTCTCAATCAAGTTATTTATACTGTTTCACTAAAGAAAGAATCAATATTGTTTTCAATCTCCTTATGTCCCTAAGTTTTTTTTTTTTCTTTCAAAGGAAAATTTTTTTCCTCCTGCGAATTTGATTGTTTTTGTCTGTGATGACTGATTTCTCCGAGCAATTGCAGCTTTACTTCGATAACAATTGCAGCTTTACTTCGATAACAATTGCAGCTTTAGTTTGATTATAACAATTATTTATTACAAATTTATGTTGAAAACTATGTAAAACGTAGAGAAGTGAAGCAAATAAAACAGTATATATTTCGTAACATCATAAAGTGTTGAACTTCATAAAATTAATATCAAAGAATGACTTAGAATAAACCTTCAATTTCACCTTCGTCATTAACTTCAACATTCATAAATCCACAATGGGTTGGTAAACCAGGAATGGTTTGAATTTCTGCGGCTAAAGCATATAAATAACCAGCACCAATTGATGCTCTAACATCTCTAATTGGGAATTTAAAACCAATTGGTACCCCTTTCAAAGCAGCATCGTGAGATAATGAATATTGAGTTTTAGCAATACAAATTGGTAAATTACCAAAACCTTGTCTTGTGTAAGTATCAATTTTCTTTTGAGCTTCTGGTAAAAATTCAACTTCACCAGCTCCATACATTTTTTTAGCAATAGTTTCAATTCTTTGTTCAACTGATTGTTCATTAGAAGTTTCGTATAAAAATCTAAAATCTTTATCAATTGAATTAGATGCATTAATAACTCCTTTGGCTAATTCGACTGCTCCTAATCCACCTTCTTCCCAGTGATTAGAAACAATAGCATCAATGGCACCTGCTTTTAATGATTCTTGTCTGATAATTTCGTGTTCTTTATCAGAATCAGAGGACATCTTGTTAATTGCAACAACAACTGGTAATCCATATTCTTTTGCATTTGAAATATGTTTAGCTAAGTTAGAACATCCTTTTTGTAATAATTCAACATTTTCTTGAGTGTATTCTGGTGCTAATGCTGCACCGGCTTTAACTTCTGGTCCTCCACCGTGAACTTTCAATGCACGAACAGTGGCAACAATAACAATAACGTCGGGTGCTAATCCACTTGCTCTTGATTTAATATTGATAAATCTTTCACCACCCATGGTAAAATCAAAACCAGCTTCAGTAACAACATAACCTTCTTGTTCTTGTTTTTCTTCTTCAGTTAAATCAGGAGAAGTACCGGCCAACTTTAATGCCATTTTATCGGCTAAAATTGATGAAGCACCAATTGAAATATTAGCAAATGGACCAGCATGAACGAAAACTGGAGTACCTTCTAAAGTTTGCATAATATTTGGTTTGATAGCATCTTTCAATAAAGCAGTTAAAGCACCAGCACAACCAATATCTTCACAAGTAATTGGAACACCAGCTTTAGAAGAAGCAACAACCATTTTACCTAATCTTTCACGTAAATCTTGTAAAGAATTAGCTAAGGCTAAAATAGCCATACATTCGGATGCAACTGAAATATCAAATCCAGTTTTTCTAGTAAATCCACGTTCAGTTGGAGCTTCACCAATGGTAACTCCTCTTAAATAACGATCATTACAATCAACAACTCTTCTCCAAGTAATGGTATCTTCATCAATATCCAATCTAACAAATTTACTAATTTCTTCTTCAGTTAAATCATCAGGATTAGTTTTATTGATACTTAATTTTTCTAATCTTTTCAAATGACAAGTTGGAAATTTTCTAGTACCTTTTTTACTTGGAACTAAACGTTTATATAATGGACCATCTTTTTGAGTTTTTTCATGGAAAATACGAGTATCAATGGCAGCAGCTAATAAATTATTAGCCATTGAAATAGCATGGATATCACCAGTAACGTGCATATTGAATTCATCCATAGGAATAACTTGAGAATAACCACCACCAGCGGCACCACCTTTAATACCAAAAGTAGGACCCATGGAAGGTTGTCTAACGTTAGCGAAAACGTTTTTACCTAAATGAGCACCCAAAGCTTGGGCTAACCCAACGGTGGTAGTTGATTTACCTTCACCCAAAGGAGTTGGAGTAATACCAGTAACCAAAACGTATTTACCATTTTGTTTATTTTCCAAACGGTTTAATAAATCTAAAGAAACTTTAGCTTTATAAGAACCAAATAATTCTAATTCACTTTCTAAGATGCCGGCTTCTAAAGCAACTTGATCGATTTTCTTAGGTTGTTGAGCACGAGAAATTTCATAATCAGAAGGAACTGGTTTTTGTAAAGATAATTTTAAAGGATTAGTAAATTTTGGAGTTTCATTATTTTGTTTATAATGTCTTTGAGCTGCAATGACAACGTTATCCAATAAATTGGCAACAGTCATTGGACCAACCCCACCTGGCACCGGGGTGATTAAAGAAGCTTTTGCTTTAGCACTTTCAAAGTCGACATCACCAACCATTCTTGAACCGGATTTTTTAGTTGAATCTTCAACGAAATTAGCCCCAACATCAATAATAACACTACCTTGTTTCAACCAATCACCTTGAACGAAATTAGCTTTACCAATGGCAACAATAACAATATCAGCAAAACTCAAGAAAGTTTTCAATTGTTCCGAAGGAGTTTGAGAATGTAAAACAGTAACCGAAGCGTTGGCTTTGGTTAATAAGTTAGCCATTGGCTTACCAACGATATCGGATCTACCAAGAACAACGGCATTTGAACCAGCAATAGTAACGTTAGAAGATTCTAATAGTTGAATAATACCTTTTGGAGTACAAGGTAAGAAAAGAGGTTCACCACCTTTTTTACTCAATTCACCAACGTTGAAAGGACCAAACCCGTCCACGTCTTTATCGGCGTTAACCGCACTGGTGATTTTAGTTTCATTCAAATGGCCTGGAATAGGTAATTGGATTAAAATCCCGTCAACCTCAACATCGTTATTCAAACGACTGATTTGGTTCAAAAGCTCGAATTCAGTGATGGATTCGGGTAATTTGATGATATTGCAATCAATAGATGCTTCTTGTGCAGCCTTTAATTTCATTCTCACGTAAGTGGAAGAGTCTGGTCTTTCACCAACTTGAATAATGGCTAAGTTTGGTTTAAAGTCAGCATGTTTGGTTTGAAATTCTTGGATATCAGCATGAATCTTGGTACGAAGTTCCAATGCAACGGCCTTACCGTCAATTAATTGAGCCATCTTATAACTTTGGGGAAAAGATGTAAGCAGGAGGAAGAAAAGAAGTGGAAATATTTATCAACTAAAGGGGTTATACGAAGATTTATAAATGGTGAATCGGTGATATCGAGTCAAAAAAAAAAAAAAAATTTCACAAAATGATAATTTTTCACTGTTCGCTCAGAAAATGCTGCGTTGCACCAGCAGACAGTTGACTCGTGTTCGAGCCATTCGGTGATCTGCCACCACCAATGGCACGGTGACTACAGGTTTTGCCCCGGATGGTGGTTTGGAAGAGGTCCTACAGAGGGTGTTGGTGAAAAAGAATTATATTGAAGTAGGATGGACCAGGAACGAGTCAAGGAGCGAGTCAGAAAAAACGAGCTGGGGCCCGAGTGAGAAATAATTAAATATCATTGAACGAAGCTAATGAAGATAACGAGACGTTCTCGAGATCGAACTTCGAGTTCAAGTTGTGGAGCACCTCGCCCGGCCCCAAGTTGAGTACTCTGTAGTTTTCTGCTTGTAACAACGACAAGGACTTGACCCACTGGACCGGTTTGGAGTTGACGGCGATGGTGTTGGACACGGCCTGTTTGGCGTCCAGCACTTTTTCCCCCGATAAGTTTGAGATGATGGGGATCCGGGGCTGTTTGATGGAGCTGAAGTCAACCAAGCCAGTAAGCTCGGGCTCGATCTGCGATAAAAGTTCATTATGGAAGGGGATTTGAACTGGTAGGTTGATTTTTTTCAAGATTGATTTCTTACCGGGGACTTCAGATAACACCGAGTGCAACTGGGACTTTTCCCCCAGGATCACTAGCTGCTGGAAAGAGTTAATGTTGGCCAACACCCGGTGTTCTTGGAAATACGAGACCAAGGAATCAAACTGGTTTGGTCTGATCATAAGGGCCATCATGCCGTAGTCAGAGGTTGGGTCGAGGAGACTTTGCATCAACTCTCCTCGACGACGAACCAAACGCACTGCTGTCGAGAGGTCGGTGACTCCACTGAGGAGGAGAGCAGAGTACTCGCCTAGCGAATGGCCCAAGATGGCGTCCGAGCAGTCGATCAACGACTGGCCGGCCACTTGCTCGTAGAGGTAGTTGATGATGTACGTGGTGGACAAGATTGCCGGCTGGGCATTGGCGGTATGCATCAACCAGTCTCTGGCAAACCCTGGGTCTTGGTTGAATAGGTTTTCGGTAAACTTCATATCCAATGCCTGATCGATCTCCTCGAGCACCGGGGAAAGTAAGTTATCCCGGTACTGGGCATAGGGCCCCAAGAAGCCTGCCTGGATGATGCCTTGCCCTGGACAAGTCACTGCTGACCGCCGAGTGGTCAAGTGTCTTATACCGCTTCTTGCAATTGGTCTGAACATTCTGATGGCTAGTTGGTATGGTGTATTTGTTAGTCGCAGAAGAATAATGTCCATTCCAACCTCAGTGCATTGCTACTGCCTGCCTACTTAACTAATTACCTACTTATACTTACCTACTTAACCAATTACCTACTTACCTACACACCTTACCTACTTACCTACACACCTTACCTACTTACCTACACACCTTACCTACATGCCTACCTTTTCACCTGCTCACCTACTCACCTACTCACCTACTCACCTACTCACCTACTCACCTACTCACCTACTCACCTACCAGTTGCCTGGCAGACCGCGCGACTCGACAGAATCCCCTGCAAAACAAAAATAAAAACAATCAGCCAAAACCGTGACTGGCCGGGTTTTGTTTTCGTGTGCAACTGAGCCAAAGTTTCATTCGCTCGCACCACTTGCCCGAAAAACCGTCGACTTGTGCTGGCCTGGCGGTGCCGTGGCCTCCCTCGACGAAAAGTATAAATATCAGCCTGGTTGCTCTGCCCGAGCACTGGCTCCACCCAGTTTTTTTTTCCTTCGCCCCTGCTGTTTTTTTCGCTCCCCATTTTCCCATTAAGATGTCTGAAGCTGATAATTATAAGAATGCTCTTGTAGCTTCGCTTTTTGAACTTGCTAATGCTGCTCAGAACACCGCGTCTGCCACCGTGAACTTGGTCAACCATTACAAGTTGGCCAGCACCGGCGAGTCGGCCGACGCTTTGGCCACTTTGGCTGAAACCTTGGCCAGTGTGAAAGGTGCCACGGCCTCTGCGCTTGAATCCAAGCCGTTGACTAATGGTAAGGCTGCGCCGGCCGCACCCCCGGCCGCACCCCCGGCTGCTGACGCAGCCAAAGCAGCAGCCCCTGCTGCTGCTGCTGCCAATGGCCAACCACCGAAGAAGAAGGCCAAGGTTGAAAAAGACCCAAATGCTCCCAAGAAACCATTGACCATGTACTTTGCGTACTCGTTTGATATCAGAGAACGCATCAAGGAAGAACGCAAAAAGAAGAATTTGGAACCTTTGAGTGCGGTTGACATGAATGGCATCATCAGAGATAAATGGGCCTCGATTACTCCAGAAGAAAAGGAGAAATGGCAAAAGAAGTACCAGGACGAGTACATTGTTTACCAAAAGGCCAAAGATGCTTATGACGCCAAAAAGAAACTCGAGCCATCGCAAGCATCCCAAGAGGTTCCAGCGGAAGATTCAAGCGAATCCGGCCCTGAAGAGGTTGCACCAACTCCTGCTAAATCTTCTAAATCCTCGTCAAAGCCACAATTACAAGAAATCCCCGATGAAGACTCCACCGAACATAAAAAATCTAAGAAGAAGAGTGATAAAAAACATAAAAAATCAAAGAAATGATTCACCACGCTTACGTTTTTTTTCAATTCTTCCTGTAACTTTTAGTTTCTCGTAACTCTTCCTTATGTATTACTACAATCTTAATGTATATTTCCAAACTGTTTCACCAAAAAAGCTTAACTGTGTAATTTCTATTTATGTCTAAAAACCTTTCTTCTTTTGTTTATCAATGTGTGCTCTTAATACTTTTTGTCTATCTCTTAAAGACATTTTTTGTTTTCCTTGAACCGATTTCTTATGGATCATCATAACAAAATTCTTCTTTCTAGCCTTTTCTCTATTAGTAGTAGAATGGGGTTGGTCTCTTTTACCCTTTCTAGATCCAAACTTACGATCCTCTTTACCTTCTTTGGCTTGGGCAATTTTTTCTTCACGTAACTGTTTATACTTAACTTTACCAACTAACGTAGTCGAATCAACTGCATCTTCATTAGTGGTTTTCCCCCCCATCATTTTTTCAACCCCGGCTTGGGTCTTCAATTCTTCTAATTTAGCAAAATCAGCTGGAGTTAAAATACGACTTGAAAGTAATTCCGTCATGGCTTGTTCAGCAGAAATGGCAGCGTCAGTGGTCTTAGCCTTCTTGGTTGGTGGTTGCTCGTCTTCTTCGTCAGACAATTCTAAATCTGACACTTCTTCATCGTTAGATAATTCCAAATCAGATACTTCATCATCTTTCTTCCTTTTCTCATCTTTCTTAGATGCTTTTTGATCCTTCTTTTCAATTTCTTCCTTGCCATCTTCATCTTCACTGTCTTCACTAAATTCATATTCTTCGTCAGATTTAACAGTAACCCATTCACCTTCAATATCGTCGGCATCATCTTCTTCGTCAACTTCCCAATTTTTATCATCCTCTTCATCTTCATTTCCAACCAATCCTTGTTCTTCTCTCCATTTGGCTAATAATTCTAACCCTGGAATACCAGAAACAACAGAACTTTCAACCCCGTATTGTAAACCTGCTTTACCATTTTCATTGTTCTTATTATTTTGTAATTCAATTGATGCAACCTTACCACGATCTTTTCTAGTTAACATTTCTGGTGCAACTTCACGATATAAACTAATTAAGGATCTAGCAGCCATCATAACCGCCTTGGATTTGGATCCTTTATACTCGGTCAAATCTTGTAATAAAGGAGCCTCAATGGCTAATGGATTACGACTTAAGATTTCTCTAATAGTATTAATACCAGCACTTGCAACTTCAGCAGCAACACCATCACTAACAAACTCATCAGCAATTTTACGAACAACAATTTGAATCAGTTCTGGCGGAACCAAATCATGAGATGCTTGTGCAGAGGCAGCCATAATTTGAGTAACATTTCTTTGTTTTGGAGTTAAGTATTTCAAGAAAAAGGAATATATACCTAAAACAGTCAATTTATGAGTACCGATTAATCTAGATATTAAATTCATAAACATAATTTTTTGATCTAAGTCAAATCTGTTACTATTTTTACCACTCAAATGTAAATCGAATAATTGTTCTGCAAATCCTTGTGGATCTCTTAATAAATGAATGGCTGAAAAATTTAAATAAGTTGCCAGGTGTTTGGCACTATTTTTCTTCTTCATGGCTTTAACAGCACTATCAAGTTTTTTACTTCTTTTCAGAGATTTCTTATTGATTTGCATTCTATGCTTTAAGGCTCCCATATCAAAGCCTTCTTCATCACTACTGTCATCTTCGAAATTTTCTTCACGTTCCTTATCTGCACCTAAAAAGAACTTAGCTCCAGCAATGGAAACTTTAACATCTGGATGTAAAGCAGCTTGGGTCATAATTTCAACAGTTCTTGAATCATCCCAAATACCTCTTCTCCATAATTCACGAGTTAATTTGGTGGCCCATAAACCTTGTTGGTCTCTTTTTTCCAATAAATTAAACAAAAGTGCCTGTGTGCTTCTATTAATCTTTTGATTTTTGGCCCCTGTATTAACGGATTTTAATAATGCAATCAAACTACTATAAATTTGATGTCTTAATGCTTTAACATGCTGACCGTTATTTGAAACTGCGTTTGATGAATTTCCATATGCATGAAGAAGTGGGAATATAGTTTGAATTAATGATTCGGCACTGATTATATCTTTATTTCTTAACATAACTAAACACTGGATTATCTTTTCACGTAAATCGGGATTTAATTCACGATGGTTATTAAGTAAAATGTTCTTCAATTCTTCGGGAAACTGACTAGTTTCCTTTGGATAACAATTACAAACAGCACTCACAAATCCTATTAATTCTCCAAATTCTTCTCCTTTATCACGGCTACCACTCGGATCCATCAAGAAAATATCTCGAAGTGATTCATAATGGGAATATTGTTGTAAAAATTCTTCATGGTATGATTCTGGATCTCTACGAACAACATTCTGTAAAAGAATAATGTTAGTCGGGAGAATAGCAGCTCTTCTTTGTTTACCCATCCTTAATAATACTGTTCCTTATACTATAAGACCTAGATATATGGAATAAATCTGATTGATTTATTATCTCTCCGCAGACGTGAAAAAAAAAAAAAAAAAAAAAGAAGCTCATCTCTTCGCACAGGCGAATTTACTTTGGCACTAAAAATACAAAGGTACGGATGTTTAAGTAATCAAATTCAACTAATCTAATTATGTGTGAATAAATCATGAAGAGTATCATAATTAATCTTCTTTGAAAAGGGTTTCTTGGAAATCATCTTTCTAGCACTGTCAGCTGCAGAAATTGATTCGCCATCTTCACCAACTTGGTTAACAGCGTCAAGTAATCCAAAGCTTTCGATTCCTTGTCCAAATTCATCAGTAGGGTTCTTTTCAGATTTCCCAATACGACGCTTCTTACGGGTACCAGAAGTGTTACCAGTAAGAATATCAGCTTCTTCTTTCAATCTCTTTTTCTCTTGTTCTATAATATAGTCGTAATTCAATCCGGTCCAGATTCTTATTTTTTGTTCGAGAGCTTCGCCTGTTAGTTCAACATCTCTAGTTTCCTCATCTTCATCGCTACTGTTAAGAAGAGGATCTGAATTAACCTTGTCGAGTATCTCTTTACTGCTAGGTAAATTTGCAACTAGATTACGGGGTTTGTCCAGCTCAACTTGCTTTTTAAAATCTTCGGCCTTTGCCTTTTCAGCCGGAGTCTGATAACATAAACCTTCTAGATTTTGTTTTTGTCTGTTGATTATTCTTTGAAGTTCTGATGTGAGTAGTTCTTCGGTGAGATCATGGTTCATCAAAACCGATTGCAAGACGGCATCAACTTTTTCTTGTTCGGCTTTTTCGATCTTTGCGGCACGTGAAGCCTTCTCTTTTGCAGCTTTTTCGTGCTCTTCAAGACGTTTCTTTTGCACCTCAAGCTTCGTGGCTGCTTTTCTAATCTTATTCATCCTGTTTTTAAGACGATCAGCACGCGTCAATAAAGCTTTCTTTTCTCGTAAGGCTGCCCTTTCTGCAGCTCTCTTTTCTCGCGATTCTGCCTTTTCCAAAGATCTCTTTTTTCGATCAGCTGCCCTTTTTTCAAGTTCTTCCTGTGTGATTTTTCTTGGACGTGGTTTTGAAATTTTCGTATTATCTTTCTGTTTACTCAGTCCTTCTTCAGCAACATCTTCTGAAGATTGTACAGCTTCTATAGGTTCATCATTTATTTCACGCTTACGTCTTCTCTCTTCTCTACGTTTAGAACGTGCATAAATTTGTTCGAGACGTTTTGTCATTCCCTCATTTTTTTGTGCCATCATCTGCTCTTCTTCATCCGTCTCACTTTCCAGCACTAAATCTGAATCTTCGTCTTGGACAAAAAGTTCTTTCAGACTTTCATCAGAATCAGATTGTTCTTCAAAAAATAAATCTTGTGCTTTATAGGCTTCAACCAGTGCTTTATTTTTCTTTGAGTGTTTGTCCTCGACTTCAACGACAACAACTTCATCATCGTCTTTTCCTTCTTGTAATAGCTGGCGTTGAACTTCTTCCTCCACCTCTTTTGCAATGTTGTTATTGAGATAACTTGCTGTATCAATACCAGCAGCATTCTCATCAAAAGTATCATCATGAGCATCTTCAAAATCGTCACTTTCTGAATCCGATTGGTGCGTGACCTGAGGTTGGTCTTCATTTTTGTCATTTGCAGTTCCTGCTTTATCTAATGCATCGTTGTTATTCTGGATGGGTTCTTCCAATTCATGTGGGGCTTGTGGTAGTTCGGGTTCTTCATTTTCGCGTCTGATCTCTGGTTCATCATCAGTTTCGGAATTTGCAGTTTTTGACTTATCAACTACATCAATATTCTTACTTTTCTCACTCAACATATTTCTTGCTTTGAGATCTTCCAAAAGTTTCTGGAGCTCCTTTTCCTTCTTTTCTTCTTCTTCTTTCTCTTTTCCTTCTCTATCTTCTTTATCCTTTTTGTCATCCAAATTTCTTGATCTTAATTCTTCTATGCGGACTTGATCTTCCCTCTCCTTCTTCTTTTTTTCTTCCTCTTGCCTTTCTTTTTCTAATCTTTCTCTTTCTTCCTTCGGTTTGAGAATATCTGGAAGCTCTATAGGGATAAGTTGATGCTTATTGGCTAGTTCAATGTATCTTCTTAATGCTAATTCTTTCTTCTCGATTTGCTTTCGTAACTTTTCTTCAATAGCACGATTTTTATAATAAGATGGAGGCAATGATGGAGCAGGCGCTTTTGATTGACGAAATTCTTTAACAGTTAATGAACCCGATGCGGTTTTTTTGAATTCATTCAATCTTCTTTGTAAAGTTTCTGGAGCAACATGAGCAACGTTAACAATTTCTGAATGTGTTCTTCTAATATTATTCATTCTAGCGGCTAGTAGAACACATGCACCAGCTATACCAGCAGGTCTTCGACCTTCGTGGATCCAGTCATTGGACATTCTTTGAGCTAATTTACAGGCATCTCTGGCAATTTTCTTGCTTTTGTCACCAAAATTTAAACTTTCAACAAAGTTTTGAATAAATAATGAGGGGTCAGCTAATGGTAAATTGGTGATTGTCAATGCTTTCACCATTTTGAGAAAAGTTGCACCTAATGAATAAACTGATATTTGTAATCTTGAGCTAAAATCAATCAACATGTGATGAGTTCTTTCCTTTCTGCAAGCAATATACAAACAAGTGGCTAAAACATTCTGAGACCTTCTACCTTGAACAAAATTTTGGGTTAATGCAAGATTAAACCAACCACCGGCCGCATCAGCTATATGAGGTTGAATCTTAAGTACTATAGCAAGTTTCTGGATCTTCCTTTTACCATTCAAAAGTGTTTGCTCTCTACTCTCCATGGCATTCTGTCTACTACCATAACCAGCTCTGGCTTGATCTGATCCAACCATACTACCTTGAACAGTAGCCGCCCCTGACGAGGATTCCCCAAACTGAACTTCACTCACAATCGGATTTTCTTCTTGAACGGTACCACAGACCGTACAAGTAAGATCACCTGCCGCCGTTGTTCTATCGACTTGAAAACTGTTTTCAGCCCCACAGTTCCGACAAGTTGGTATTTTATTCTGGACTCTACTCATTTTTAACCTTTGGTTTTCTTATTCTCGTGAATCTAAAACAAAAAAAAAAAATGAAACTCCCCTTTATATTAAATATTAGACGGGGCTATCGAGTGAGTGCTAAATGTATATCAAAACCTTGTTCTCTAAGTTATCCTTGTAATAATTAACAATTGTATCTAAAGCTCATTAAAAAAGAAAAGTAAAATAAAAAAAAATAAGAATCAAAACAAAGATCATTTTACAGTTTGTGAAGACATTGCAGTTTAGGCGAGTCTCAACAAAAGACTAAAGCTTGAACCCCATACTACGAGCTGATTCCATATTTTAATTGGCCTGCAATGAGTAATTCAGTCAACTTTAGAGACATAAATTATCAGGATCCGATAGATGAGCGGAACCTTGAAGAGCAGATTAGACTCTTTGACCCGTCACAAGAGTCTGGCTCGGAAAGAACACCAATACGATCAAGTCCATCGACTCCGACGGTACCAGGATTTGCACGATCGAGAAGAGGTTCCAATGAAAGCAACTACCCAATATACAGTGAGGAGGCAATGTTGTCTGGGAGGTTTCCGTACGCGTTGGTGATGAAGGTATCAAGTAGTGAGCCTAGAGACGTTTTGCAGTCGGAAAGAACATGTTTAACGTTTATCAGATTTTCAACTTCATTATTTTTCGTTGCATTGGGAGTGGTACTTAACTTCAAGCTTCATACTTCGAGTGACGATAAGGATGGCGGCGGGGATGAACCATCCAAAGGATTTTCTAATTATTCATTTTTTGTTGCCATGGTATTGATGAGTCTTGCGGTAATTACGTTAATTGTGAGTGGAATTGATTATTTTGTCACCATTAAAAGATACGCTAAACATAAGATCAAAACGTATAATTTTAATAATTTGACTACAATTTTTTGTGTTACTAGCATTATTATTACATTACTTGGTATAAATATATCTCTAATAGTGGATCAGTATATTAAAGAATCATGAATTCTTTGAGTTTTTATTCAGCTTTGAAATCTTAGATTTATTCTTTAATTCTTCTCTAGATGCATGTTTTCTTTTATTATTTAATTTTTTTTCACCAAATCCTTCTCTATCCATATCCATTAAAGCTTCACGTTTAGCCGAACTAGTTACTTTCAAAGATTCTTTAATAATTTTATCATCGTCGACTAATTCTAATAAGTCCATTTTTTTATTAATTCTTTCTTCAATGGATAAAATTCTTTCCACGTCTTTTTCAGTAACCACTGATAATGCATCACCTTTTCTACCTGCTCTTGCAGTTCTACCTACTCTATGAATATAGTCATCAGGATCTGCCGGTATATCATAATTTATTACCAATTCAACGGTTGGAATATCCAAACCTCTTGAAGCAACATCTGTAGCAATTAAAATGCGAGCCGCGTTAGCTTTAAAGCGATGCAATGAAGAAGTTCTTTCCAGTTGAGGCATTTCTGAATGTAAAGAAGCCACTCTTAATTCTAACTTTCTTAAAGTTCTTCTTAATACTTCAGCAGTATGAGTTCTGTTAACAAATATTATAACATTTGCATCTTTGTATTGAGATAGCGTTAAAATATTATGTAAATAAGCTTCTTTGACGTATGAAGGGATGAAAATATAGTTAACATTTAAAGTTGATGGAATTGCAACCTTATCAATAGTATCAACTTCATTTATATAAACTGGTAGTTTCCCCTTTGGAACAGGACGATCTTTTAACGCCCTTACTGCATCAGTGACCGTGGCGGTGAATAGTAAAGTTCTTCTTTTATCTGACTTTGGTAATATATCAAAGCATTTTTCTAAATCTTTACTAAAACTATTACTTAATAAACGATCTGCTTCATCAAGAACCAAGTATTTCACTCTTCTTAATCCACATATGGTATCTTCCCCACTATTTATTATATGGTCTGCTAATCTACCAGGAGTTGCAATTATAAAATGAGGTTTTTTCTGTAATTCTAAGGCTTGAGTTATAATATCTTCACCCCCAACTATAACACTAACTCTTATATTCATTGAAGAACCCAACGCATGGAATTGTTCTGCTATTTGTAATGCCAACTCTCTTGTTGGAGTTAAAACTACACCAAAAATCCCCATTGGATCTTGAGACCATTCAGTCAACATTGGAGCACCAAATGCAATAGTTTTACCACTACCAGTTTTAGCCCCACCAATGCAATCATGACCTTTTAAGATCTTTGGAATGCACGTTGCTTGAATGGTGGTTGGCGTGTAGATTTTCATGGCATTTAAGGACTCGGCGAGCCACTTGGCCACCCCTAGATCTTCGAATTTTGACATTAGTTATATGAATCAAACTATCATCTCATCTCAGAGTATTTTTTTTATAAAATAACTTTTAATGATGAACCCTCGGTCATCACGTGCTCGCCCTCGTAACTTGCCAACGGTGAAAAAAAAAAAAAAAAAACTCAAACTATATAGGCATATTCAATTGCTACAACATCTCTAGAATGATTCGGACAGGTATTAAGCCCCCAGGGTTGGTGAGGTTGTTTAGCAGTGCTCGGGTGTTGAGAGAAGCGGTGCCTGGTCCTGAAACCAATACGTTTGAACTTGAAGTTTTAGATACCCCGATCGAACGAGAGTATAATAGATATGGAGAAATCAGCTATGAAGAAATTGACAAGAAGAGAGAAATAACCAAGATACAATTATCATTGAAGGATTATTTTTTGGGAGACGAATATCGGACGCACTCTATATTCACTGGAGTCCATGCTGATCGGATGAGAAATGCCCAAAAGGTGGAAAATAAGACATTTGAAGATTTAAGATTTATCAGGTTAGGTAGTGGTAAAGGAGGGAATGGATCGGTATCATTTTTCCGAGATTCCCATACACCATTTGGACCTCCGGACGGAGGAGACGGGGGAGATGGAGGAAACATATATATCCAAGTAGTGGAAGGGCTTAATTCGTTACATCGGTTGAATAAGAGTTATCAAGCCGGGTATGGAGAAAGTGGTAAAGGATCACAATTAGACGGGAAGAATGGCCGAGATATAATATTGGAGGTCCCGATTGGGACCACGATTCGGTGGATTCCCGATCCGGTTAGTATTAGAAGGTCGATTAGACGGCTGAAGGACCGATTAGATATGGTTAATCTAAAGATGGGGTTAGTTAATAACGAGATTCAGTTATATAGAGAGGATTACCAGCCGGGAGATGGGTGGATATTCAAAGAGCGAGATGAAGAGTACCAGCGAGAACGAGACTATTTCAATAATTTGAATGAACGGGTGAAAGTATACGATGAAGAGATTATATTTGAAGAACGAACGAACGACCGGTTCCCAATCTTGGGGATTGATTTGAACAAGCCGACTTTGCAACCGGTGTTATTATTGAAAGGAGGTAAAGGAGGAATGGGGAATATGAATTTTTTAACTAAAGATATAAGAAATCCTCGATTTAGTAAACGAGGTCGGAATGGGATTCAAGAATATTTTTTATTAGAGTTGAAATTGATTGCTGATTTAGGGTTAATTGGGTTACCAAATGCCGGGAAATCTACGTTATTGAGGTCAATTTCCAAAGCCAGTCCTAGGGTTGGTCACTGGGAATTTACCACGTTACAACCTACGATTGGGACCATTCAGACCACCATTGATAAGGAGCCATTTACCGTGGCCGATATTCCGGGGATTATCAGGGGGGCTTCGCAGAATAAAGGAATGGGGTTAGATTTCCTCAGACACATCGAAAGAACCAAGGGCATGGTGTTTGTGGTTTCCTTAGAGCTGGAAGACGCGGTTGGTGACTTACAAACGCTTATGCAAGAAGTTGGCGATAAGCGGATGCAAAACAAGAAAAAATTGGTGGTGGCCACCAAAGCTGATTTGAACGAGTCTAGTGGAAATTATCATGTTTTGAAAGATTATGTTGATTCCATGTCGTGGAAAATCCTCCCGGTTTGCGCCAAACAGGATGAAAACATACAAAAGTGTATAAAGCTAATGAGTGAAATGGTATAAATGTATAAATGGTATAAATGTATATAGTAATGCAGAAATAGAAGTAAAATCATTGACGGCCCATCCGTCTTAACCGTATATAAATAAGAGAAAAATGCAAAATTAATAATTTTTTCGGCAATTGATAACTTGATCAATGCAAGACATCATGTAGTTATGAGAATAGTTGAGTGGTTTAGCAAAAGTAAAGTCAATCCCCACCTTGCTGTAGAGTTTCAAGTCTTCAATGTAGTGTCTGGTAGTCACTGCAATAAGACCCAACCCGTCATTCGAGTGATTGAGTCTAATGAGGCTAGCCAAATCGGTTCCGGTTAGTATCGGCATTTCGATGTCGAGAAAAACCAAGTCAAACGCTTGTTTTTCCAACGTCTTCATAACTTTGGTGGAGTCCTGTATCTGTACACACTGGCTATTGGGGTAGAGTTTATTGAGAAACTTGGCCAAAATCTTCAAATTAATAACGTTATCATCAACGAGTAAAAAATTAAATGGCGTGAAATTGGGTATGAATAAATTAGAGTCGTAGGATTGTAAGTGCGAATTAATCGAATTGCAATCATCGTCCTCCACCGGAGATATAAAACTGGCTTTTTCTAGCACTTCGGCCGGAGTGACATCCACCGAAAGAGTGGGTCTTTTGTAATGGAAGTAGTCTCCCGAATCGCCAGTTACCAAGTCATGGGGTGGGTCAATCAAGTCGCTGGTGAGCGGAGGAGTCGAAAGCTGCGAATTGAAACAAGTATCCTGCGAGTTGAACGACGATTGCGAGTACGAGTGATTGTGAGTGTAGATCGGATTAAGCGATTCCATAATGCTTGAAGATATCCTTAACGAAATACCTCCCATCCAACTCCTCCACCACGGATATCATTTCAAATATATATACCTTTAGAACCCATCGGTAGAACAACCTTGCATGCATGCAGAATTTTCTTTTTTGCTTTCAGGCGCCGGAGGTTCGGGCCCATAACTTTGGTCTTTTTGTTGTTTTTTTTTTTTTTTTTTTTTTTTTTTTTTTTTTTTTTTTTTTTTTTTTTTTTTTTTTTTTTTTTTTTTTTTTGTTCTTTTTTGTTGTTCTTTTTTTTTGGTTGTCTTTTTTTGTTGTCTTTTTTTTTTTCTTTTGCTTTGTTTGTGCGAGAGGCGGGCCAGGAACAAGAAAGGGTGCAGGACCCGTTTGACGAGAGAATCGACTTCTGAAATCTATAAGACCATACAAGCATTTAGACTAGACCTGTCCACGTATACGAGCGTAAACTTTAATCACCGTCACGACTGGTTGCAAACATGGTTCTGGTAGCTGTATTGGATTACTAGATGAGATCTGTTCATTTGTATCCTTTATATTGAATTGATATTAATTAAATTAATAATTAAATTAATATGTTTAACTAATATTAATGGATATCAAATTGTAGGTAATGGTTGCTCTGTCCCAAACAGGTAACTCCTCAGCTACAGCACAAGCTACAGCAGCTACCGCACAAGCTACAGCAGCTACCGCACAAGCTACAGCAGCTACTAGCCCAGTTTACTAGCCATGACTCAGATATCCTCTTCAAGAAAATAACGGAATTCGCTAAAATAATTGCATTCGCCTTAGCAATTAAGAATTATTTTCTTCCCCAGAGCCATCGTATTTTGGCGTATCTTCCGTGAGCTGACTATTTATAAGTGTCTGACAAGACTTTGGTGCAAAAAACTCATGAACATCTGATTGGCTTTCTTTTTTTACGGTTGGGCTCTCACGTAAAGCTTATTGCTGATCGGGGTTGGATCACCACTGTTCACTTGCTTGGATTGTCATCTCAATTGAACAATGTGCGATGAGATGAGATACTTTGGCGGGGCCGCGGTACGGGTGGACCTGTGCCCCGCCCAAAACGGGGATAGCCCTGTGCTTGATTGTCCAGAAGGTTAAAAGTATAATATCACGCCAATTTCATCTCAGCCTTGGGTCATCAGATGAATTGGGGGAGCTTGACGATCTGGTGGATGGTGAGATTCTTGGAAGTAGTTCCCGTGGTGCTCGGCTGGCCGCTTCGAGATGCTTACTGCTTGGTTAATCCCCTTCCCCGGTAGTGGGGTGCACAAACCCCTGGTGTACGGGTGGTGGTGGTGGCGGTCCCGGATTTAGCAAAGGGTGCTTCGCCGTTTTATTGTTTGTTTGACAGCTTGCCGTCGACGGAGTTGCTTGTTTGAGCGGTTCCGGTTGGAAAATAGTTCTGTGTGCTGACAAAGCTGATGCTGACAAAGGGTTCTTGGTACTTGACGAAGGCCAATCTGGTGGGCAATTGGCGCAAGGTTGATTTGGTAAGGTGGATTTAGTAAGCAGCCTCCAGGGAATTGGTATAAAAGCAGCTCAATTGACCTGATAATCTTGATTCTGTTGTAAAAAATCATTAAATATGACTGTTACTTACTTTATCACTGGTGCCAATCGTGGGATTGGATTTGAATTTGCTAAACAACTTTCTGCTGATTCCAATAACGTTGTTATTGCTACCACCCGTTCTTTTGCTAATGCTGCCGCTTTGAAAGATTTAAATCGCTCCAATCTTATCATTATCGAATACGACTTGAACGCCTCGTTGGAAACTTTGCAAAAATCTTTGCTCCCAATTAAAGATTACTCGGTCGATGTCGTTATTCAGAACTCGGGGATCGCTAAAGACTCTCAGAAATCAATTCTCCAAACATCCGAAGATGAACTCCGTGAACATTATGCGGTTAACGCAATCGGCTCGGTGAAAGTGTATCAATCCATCTTCCCCTACTGGTCTAAAAAAGCCAACCCGGAAACCGCCAAAAAATTCATTTTTATCAGTTCTGCCGTGGGCTGGACTAATAATTTCTTCCCCATGCAAACCTCCCATTATGGTGCTTCTAAAGCTGCTTTGAACTTTCTTTCGAGACACATTGCTTTTGACCATAAGTCTTCTGAATTGGACCACATCAAAAACTCGATCGTGGTTCCAGTACACCCTGGGGTTGTCGAAACCGATATGGCTAAACCATTTCTTGTTCATCGAGAAAAACTTTCGGTCCCAGTGATTACCCCACAAGATTCTGCTGCTAGCTTGATTAGCCTTATTCAAAATCTTAAACAAGAAGATGACGATACTTTCATCACCTATGATGGTAACAAGGTCACCTGGTAATTTTCCTATGTACACGTGAATATATGCTTATGTTTTTATATGAACTGTAGACTGATTTACTCAGATCGTGTATTTAATTCTTTCGAGTACCTTTTGAAGTAAACCGGGTTTACGAAACGGGAATAGCTTTTTGCAGTAATCTCCACGCTTCAAATCATATCCACTGGATGACTAATGGTAAATGTATAAATACATGACAATTGACGCTTGAGATTTCGTTCGCCCTCCACAATCATGACCATCACTTACTTTATTACTGGTGCCAATCGTGGGATTGGGTTTGAATTTGCTAAACAACTTTCTGCTGATTCCAATAATATCGTTATTGCAACCACCCGTTCTTTTACTAATGCTGCCGCTTTGAAAGAGTTGAATCGCACAAATCTTATCATTATTGAATTTGATTTAAATAATTCTTTAGATCTGATGCGGAAATCTTTGCAATCAATTGAAAATTACTCGGTCGATGTTGTTATTCAAAACTCGGGGATCGCTAAAGACTCTCAGAAATCAATTCTCCAAACAACCGAAGATGAGCTTCGTGAACATTATGCGGTTAACGCAATCGGCTCGGTGAAAGTGTATCAATCCATCTTCCCCTTCTGGTCTAAAAAGGCCAACCCGGAAACCCCCAAAAAGCTCATCTTCATCACTTCTGGTGCTGGGTGTGTTAATAATTTCTACCCTATGCAAGCCTCCCATTATGGCGTTTCTAAAGCTGCTTTGAACTATATTTCAAGACACATTGCTTTTGATCACAAATCTTCCGATTTGGTCCACATTAAGAATTCGATTGTGGTTGCGGTTCATCCTGGTGTTGTTGAAACTGATATGTCTAAGCCACTTCTTCCTTACCGAGAGAGCTTCCCACTCCCAATAATAACTCCTCAAGAATCTGCTGCTAGTGTAATTGATATTATTCAAGATCTTAACCAAGATGATAATGATACTCTTATTAGCTATGATGGTGGTAGATTTTCCTGGTGAATAATCTTTCCCTATACTTTCATAAGCTATGGTAATACCTCTCATACTTTATTTTGAAATATGTGACAATGTCTTTATTTAAGCTGTAGCTCAAATTTTGAAAATGATGGAGTAGATTGAGCCATCATGTTGCCTTCTAAAGTGATCACAATGTAATAGTTTAGAAGGAAATTGGCGATCTTGTTTGCCATTAACGAAACCCTTCTTCTTAAACAAACTCTTTGCACTCGCTTAAATCGAGTTCTTCAGTGGGTTCAATGTTAGTTGCTTCCAATTGTGCATTTCCGTTTCCTCATATGAAGCAGGTCACTTATTCTTTTTGTACAGCCTAATGCAAGTGTGTTTCTGGAAAATGAACATTCACTCAAATGAAGCAGTATAACAGGGAACTATAATCCTTATTATGGGGCCATAATTCTAGCTCAATTCTGTTTTAAGCAAACTATAAATTAGACTCCTTAGAGTCCGAGGAGTCGGTATTCACTTCGGTATATTGTATTCTAAAATAACACCCAGGCTCAAAATAAGCTTTAGATAATAGCAAAAACTTATTTGGCTCTCACTGCTTCACAATAAATAGATTGGCATCGTTACTAATTACCCCTGTATTGGTATTTGCAACACTATGCTGCAAAAAAAAATATGCTTATCATTACCTATGTTGTGAAGCAACGTTAAATCAATTAAAATTAACTATTTAGTTAGTTTTCGACTTGCTCTCTGGGTAGTATGGTATATAAATTGGTTTTGAAGTTCGTAGAGATGAACCGCAGTCAATTATCAGATCCATAATGACTATTACTTACTTTATTACCGGAACCAATCGTGGAATTGGGTTTGAATTCGCTAAACAGCTTTCTGAAGATCCAAACAACAATGTAATTGCTACCACTCGCTCTTTCGCTAAGGCCACTGCTTTGAAAGATTTAAATCGTTCAAATCTTCATATAGTCGAATACGATGTGGCTTCTCCTT